GAAATGGTCCCTTGTTTCACGCAACCCATCCTCTCAGGCTCTCTTACTGGTGCCCCCCGGAGTACCACCCACCACAACTACCACGCATCCTCGTACAGGGACAGAGGCTGACGACGCTGAAGACCGAAGGGTGCATGAAGTAGCCTTGTGGCTGGACGACGTTGATCGGCCGATCTTTCTGCGGCCTTGGCTCGGACGGCATGTGTTCGGGCGAACCGTACACGGTACCGCTGGCGGGTTTGTGTGTGTGTGGGCGGCAGTTCGTGGGTTCCATAAGTATGGACGACGTTCCCTTCTCGAACGACACTTGAAACGCGGGATGAAAGAGCATAGCCACTGAACTGAATACCCATCTGCAGCGTTGTCGAGTTTATCTGATTTGAACTACTACATCTCTCTTTTCCATCTTTCCAAAACGAATATACACTTTTGCTCTGCATTCACTTTTCGTCTCGCTCATCAGACGTTTCCATCTCACAATCCATCAACCGATCAAAATGCAGTTTTCAAAGGTTCTCTACGTCCTCTTCCCGGTTGCCGTTCTGGCGGCGCCGTTCAAGACCTTCGAGGTCCCGACGTTGGACCCTAATACCGTTGCGCCGGTGGTTCCTGCTATCGACCGACGTATTCCCCAGGCGGACACTTGTGACGAGTAAGGTGGTTTGAGGGACAGCACCGAGGGAAGATAAAGGCACCTCTATCAATGTTTCTCGAATATGATGTTGAGGGATGGACATGGATACGTCAGTATGCTACTCGGTGCTACAAGTAGACCAGTGACGTTAGAAAGGTTTGTCTTCTCCCAATAACAGCAACCCAGGCACATGAGCATTTGCTGCGAGATTTGTCTACTCTCAACAATGGGGCTATCATACACAATGAAACCACGCAGCACTTTGATACCCCTTTCATCTCTTTGTTGTCCAAAGACATGAGGCATGGCACATGGCTAACATCTATCTAAGATACCCCTATCACTGGTCTACATACTCATTTCGCGAGGAGGAACGTTCAGGAGCCGGGACTCCTAGGTCTCATTGTCGACACGACCCGGGTTCAAGACTTCACCAGCCGCACCTCAACTCCCCACGCGGCTGGAGAGGAGGCTTGGATTCCCCGAGTTCGTTTGGTGGAAACGGAAAAACGTTTGGGGAAGGAAAGAATATTATTGTACCTACCTTTGAAGGCGGTCTTTCGAACCTGCCCTTGCCAAGAAAAATAGACGCCGAGATATCTACCACTTTCTCTTTGACTTTCTGCTCCCACACTCAACCCATCGACGATAGCTTCATCGTTGAGTGACCACAGTTTCGCCGTGCTCTCTCGGTCGTCGTCTCTTGAGGCCATCTATCTCGATATCGACGATGAAAGGATTGCTGCGAATTTCTACGAAGCTATCGTCGCTCCAACTCAACGTTTCAACACTATCCTTTCGAAAGCTCTACTTTCACTCTTGAGATCTACGTCTCCAACCACTCGCTATCAAATCAAGTTGCTTCTTATTTGCATTATCGCGATCTATTTGCCTCTGCTCAGCTTCTTCGTCGAGCAAGTTCACGTTTACCAGCTGGCTACGAGCTTACCAACACTCTCTTCTACTCCCACCCTCTTCGAACATCATGGCAAGTTGTTTTCCTATACGATATCTGCTTTTCTGCGCCCTCTCTTTTGATTGTCTTTTTACATTTTCCCCAATCTACATGAGAGGTCTCCCCCTTTGATGCTAGGTTTCCCCTTTTCCAAGACTATTCGCGAACCCCTCTACTTGGCCGAGGGCACTGGATGAATGACTGTCAAATTAGCGAGATGTTTCCTCACGGCAACAACTATGGAACTTGACCCCCTGTCAGAAGCGCTTTTACTACTCGGCTACATCAAGATGGGCGATGAACTAATACAATGAACGAACACAGATGAAGTCTCCCGGAGTTATCCCAGCTGGGATGATCGCTCTCAATGGCTACTATGTTCCCTTCAACTCTTCAATTCCTGGAACTTCAGAAATGAAGCAACTTGACTTTACGGTGGATGGCCATCCCAAGTTGATCCGCGTCTTGCATCGACAAGACCGGTCCGTCGAGCCGCCCCGGTTCCGGCTCCGAGTCGTGGAGCACCCCAACTGGGTGACGCGGTCCGTGCGCAAAAGAAAGGTCGACTGGGACGCCGCTGTGAACGCAGGTCCAGCACCGTTTCACCACCCCACTGCAACTCTGCCGGACATCTACAAGGCAGTTTTGAAGGCCCTCGGACGCGAAATCTCGGAGGCGACGTTGGAACAGATCAACAACCTCCACAAAGACGATACCATCCTCGACCTGCCCCTCGAGGGAGACAAGGTCTGGTTCGATGACTACAGCTGGATCCAGCTTCCCATCCAGCGCCCTTTGTACCTAGCCATCAGCCCAGACGACGACGACGGTGATTCTGGCGACTCTGGCACCGTAGGCGACAACGACCGCTACCTCGACTGCGACTTCGACTGCGGCGACGCTTTCGAGGACGACAACGAGCAGACCTTGCAGGGCGATTCTGACACGGCTGGAAAAGATTGGGACGGCGACTACACAATGGCTCCCTCCGGCCCCAAGGCGCAGAGTGTTGCGCAGAGCGCTGCTGCCACGAACAACTCGACTGCGGCCCCCGAGCCTGCCGCGGCTAAGGGTCCGCACCCTGGCCACATGCAGGTGTCTTGCCAGTTCACGAGCGAGCAAAGATTGAGACGCATGCTGCGAGACAACAAGAGCGATCCAGCTAGGGAGGATAACTACCGTCTTCAGGGAGTGCAGCTCATCGATAACGTCCGCACCATGCTGCGCGTGTATGTTGAACCAACCCGTGTCTTGGTTCCTTTGGCAGGAGCTAGTTGAAGTGGTGATGCTGACTTATTCTCTCGCAGCCCTATCAAGACGTTTGACACTTCTTGTGTCTACTTCCACTGGTTCAGACTGTCATTCCGCGACGCAGAGTACAACTATTCAGATGCCGCCATGGCTTGTCTCTTCCTGGCTTGCAAGGTCGAGGACACTATCAAGAAGTCCAAGGAGATCCTGTGCGCTGCGTACAACATTAAGAATCCCGAGCACCCCACGACCCAGGACGATAAGGTGCGTGAGAACCAGCAGTCTACTACATAACCATAGCTAACCCACCCGCAGATGTTCGAACAGCCCTCCAAGATCATCATCGGCCTAGAGCGCCTTGTCCTTGAGACTGTTGGCTTCGATTTCCGCTGCCGCTACCCTCAGTCCGCTCTTCTCAAGGCAACTAAGAAGATCTTGGGCCCCCAGTCCAAGAACGTCTTCGCCATCGCCATGGAGATGAGCGTCGACCTCTACAAGACCTTTGCCCCCGTCAAACAGACCACCTACGCCCTGGCCCTGGGCCTCCTCGAGCTCAGCGCCCGCCTCCTCGGCCAAGGCGTCGACAAAGTGGAGAAGATCAACTACGCAGACTTCCACACGACCCGCCAAAACGTCGTCGAGACAGTCCTCGACCTTCTCGACCTCTACACCCAGCACGGCAAGTCCACCAAGCTCGGCGTCCAATTCGACCTCAACAAGTTCATCGAGGTCAAGATCGTCATCAACAGCGAGGTCGACAACACCCCCGGCCTCGTGCGTTACGCCCACTGGTGCACCAATTGCGACGGCGGCGAGGACGAGAACCTCTCCAACGGCGTCTCCGTCCTCAAGAATATTTCCTTCTTTGGTAGTAACTCTGCTAAGCGCAACGGGCGCAACCAGGACGGCACCATGCGCTTCGTGTTTGACCCGGACCGCGCCCGCCAGGAGCGCAAGGAGGTCGAGTCTTACTACAAGGACGAGTACGAGGAGTATGAGGTCGAGGTTGAGGTTCCCATTGAGCCTGAGCAGCGCGGTGGCGGCAACAATAACAACAATCACCGCGATAAGCGTCATGAGAGCGGCGGCGGTGGTGGTTGGGGCGGACGTCGTAACCACCACGGCCGTGCCAAGGGCCGCGGTTACTACTGAGCTTGCTTGCTACTTTCTACCATCACTTCTTTCTCTTGAATTCGCTCTTTGCTGCGCGGCAGCCACTACTACCTCTGCCGAAGCTCACATGGCATAGCAAACGAACGATGCTCCGCATACCGAGTAAATATGGGAAGGAAGGGAAATTTTGTCCGAATATTTGGCGTTGACGGTACCAAAAGATACCCCATGGGAAAAGAATTTGGAATGCTTTTTTTTTTTTCAGTTTTCGGGAAGGAAAAAATTACTGTGGCGGGTTGATTCCGCCCGCACGTCGCATTGTAAGAATTACAATTCATATCGCAGGGCTTGTATAAGCAAATAGGAATTGAAACACAAGGTTGCCAAAGGTTGTGCAATTGGGATCGTGCGTGATAGCCCAGCGACAGTCCCGTGTTGAGCAAATGTAGATGCAGCTGATGCCGACTTGCGTGGGTATGACGAAGAAACTTGAAAATTTATGAGGTAACAGCGTCTAGCTGGCTCCGAGTGAGGCTCTCTTGGGGCGATTGAGGCCACATAGGGCGGCCGCCTCCCTTTGCCTGCCTTGGCATGCAGGAAACATTCGTTGGAGCGGCTGGACTAGGTAGTCAGCTTCTGTTCGAGGGCTTTTTGCTGAAAGGCGTTGCAGTTTGCGAGGGTCAAGAGCCGCCTTGGAGAGGACGTGGCTTGCTGAGCTGGACCTGCATAAGGCAGACAGGGCATCAGGCCAGGGTCAATTACGTGGCCTCAGCAGGCTGCTTGTGCCTTGCAGGTTTGAACTCAGGCGCATAGGAAGGCACACAGATTGGGCGCATTCCCCCCTTAGTGCCTAATGATTTCTCGTTCCCAACGTTGAAAACATCTACAAAGTTCGCTTGTATATAAAGAAGCCATGTTCCCACCGGACAATAACTTTCACCAGCAAAACAAATTCTCTCTTACCTAGATTTTCTTTATAACACAGGCTTGCCCTTTGCTCTTGTGAGTGTCCGTATGCCCCAGTTCAAACAAAATTGTGTTGTCAATATGGCTCTAGATCTGACCTACTTTGCCCATAGTCTTAGTTCCGGACATGAAGAAAGTCCATGCCCATCGGCTGCTCCGTGGCAGAATCTGTAAGCCCTCTGCTGTCTTACATTTGTCCTTTGTTACACACGCTTACCTTGAGAACTCTTGTCAATCTAGGCCCTTAGCTTCACTCCCGTCACAGCCAGCCGGTAATACACGCCTCACACTTCTGGACGGCTCAATCTATAAAGGCCCCAGGTTCAACCTAACTCGCAATCCATACCATCATGATCTAGGACCCTCCAGCCTACAGTATGGTCTGCTAGATGGGTCCCTTCATACCATCAGCAACGACGCCTTGACCACCTCGTTCAACGACGGAAGCACATGGCCGATTGCTGACCCGTCAGAATATCAGGGCGTCAACAATTCATGCGCTCGTGTTCCGGACTTTGGCTTTACCGACTTGTCAAACTCTTTCGACAGTTCTCTTTTAGCTATTCCCCATCCTGAGTGCCAGACTTCAGGCTTCGTTGCATGGGATATTGCTCAAGAGCCTCAGGCGTTCCCCTCAGGTCTGCCTCACAGAGATAAGGCCACACTGTCATCACAGAGTCCAGGGGGCATCCTGCTGGACCACGACGACGACTTCAACCTTTTCGCCCCAGGTGCTTCTGTTGAACCCTCTGGTTCGCCCACTCAGGCGCTCCAAGATTTCGACTTCTCAATCATTGGTGGGTTCGGTGATGTTGGCTATGCGAGCCCAAGCTCCTGTCACTCCAGTACCACAACCACCACAGAGGTTTCCATGAGCAAACAATATGAGGGAATGAGGAACTTGACGAGTGTATCTAGCCAAGCCTCCTACACCCCCTCCCCTCCGACTGCCAGCAGCAAGATGCGTAGAGACGATTCCGATTCCGAGAGGTCATCGACGCCAGGCGATTGTCCCTTTTGTGATAACTTCAGTGGAGATGCGAAGCGACTCAGGTTCGTGCACTCGCAGTATCGTAAATCTACGCATGCCAATTCATCTATTACAGGGAGCATATCCGATGTCACATCAAGGAGCATACCTGTGAAGTCCCTCGATGTTTTCGGCGCTTCAGCACTGCAAGGGATCTCCAGAGGCACAATAAGTCTGCCCATCGGAAGGAAACTCTCAGGTGCTACATCTGTGCAGCTAGTATTCGAGGCGGGCGCGTAGACAACCTCAGGAGACACATTAGAAAAAGGCACCCGGCGGTACAAGCAGACATGGATGAGCTAGCTTGAATTCGTGCATGTCGGCTATCAGCATGGTTGGACTTATTGAGTAGACTGTCGAGTTTGTATACTTGTATTACATCGCTCATCACTGGTATTTGGTTTGACGGTAGAAGCACACGATCTGGACTGAATTTACAACTCACTTAAATCGGACTTTCAGGGGCACACATTCATCTATGGCTTCACGAACCCTTAACCCATTCCTGGTAAGACTACTCGTTTCCAATCACATTATTCGACCTCAATACCATTCTCGGTCAATTTTGAGGCTGGAACATTCCATAAGTTGAAGAGAAACAAACTGAACGGGGAAAGCGCCATAGTTTTCCCAAGAGAACATGGCACTTTGAGACGATGCGAACAATCACCTGTGAATAAGCAACTTGGTTCATTGAAATCATCGAAGAAGCAGGTTCCAGCGTCTAGGCTTTTCCGAAATCAGCCTCTCAGGAGGACTGATTGTTATTATTTGACATGTGCATGAATAGCCATAATGAAGCCGCAATTGAAGAAACGGTCAAGAAGAGAAAGTTGCCTATGGATGGGTACGAGTCTATGTTCAAAGAAGCAAGAAAGCGAGCTCTGAATAGATGATACAATTAGAAGGCGTATCAGTAAAGACTGCGCAGGTTGGATAGCCCAGCAGCCTCAAGGTTCTCCTTGATCGTTCCGTTCAATTGAACATTGAATGGGCCAAGCTCCAAAGGGCAGTAGTGTTCCTTGCCACACATGGTGTCTTGGAAGTAAGACCGAATAGCGGCAAAACCACACATGTTGTTAGCGGCGACAGTGGTGTGCTACTAAAAGTCAGCGCGATGCACCTGTAGAAGAGTTGTTGAGATTGAACTTACACCCATGCCATCAGTGACGACTCTTCTAGCGTTGGCATACTTGTGTGCGTTCGAGATGGCGCTGATAGTTCTAATTAGTAGGCTTCAGGCTTCAGGCAAGATGAATTTACTTCTCGATAGGTGTCGTAGGATCGTACGTGTTGCTGACGAAGAGCATCGGGTACGAGGTATTACCTCCATACGGGCCCGTGAAAACGTCGTTGGATCTGATGGGCCAGTCGAGACATGCGAGCATCGTCCTGGACCATACCTCTCCCACAATGCTGGTATCCTTCAACCCGTCCAAGAGAGGCTTGATATCCGCGAGTGACTTCCCGTACCAGATGTTACTCTGATCAGAGCACAAAATGCCAAGAGTCTGTTCAGGGTTCTCATATCCTCCCATGTTGGGGTCGCCGTAGATGGCGTTCGTCTGCTCTGTCCATGCAGCAACGGAGTTGGATGTGATGGCCTTCTCCAGGGCAACGAAGACATCGGATATTCTGCTGAACTCTACCAACGGCTGCACCACCGCACTGAGGATGCTGACTTTAAATGTGACCAGAGCCAGACCAATATCGGTAGCGTTCGCCCAGCCCTCTGTCTCGGCTTTCTGAGCATCGAGTTGCGTGAATGAAGCATTGAATCGGCTAAAGATATCCTTGGGGGTGTTTCCAGCGTAGAAAGAGCAGACATCCGGACCGGCGGCGTGACAGTACACGAAGAACGCCCCCAAGACGCCGTCTACGTGGGTGATGGAGCTCGAGGTGAAGTTCGTCTGGTAACTAATCGGATCAACCAGTCCATCAATGGCTACGTGACCAACTCTATCGGGGAACATGGAAGCAAACGTCTGACCGAGCATGGTTCCATAGCTCACACCGTAGTAGTTGAGCTTACTGGAGTCCAGCACCGTCCGGTTTCCGTCAGGAGAAGCAGAAAACGCCTCAACAATGCTGAGCATATCGCGCGCAGTAACAGCAGTCGTCATATGCGGACCAGCTTCAGTGTCAGCACCAGTCTGAGCCTGACACTTATCACCGAGCTCTTTGCCAAAGTCAATGAATTGCTGGTAGTATCCATCGACTACCCGCGGGGCATCTCGTCTGGACACGGTACCGCTTTTGCCAATCGTGATGCCTGCAGAGCAATTAGGCCGGGGTTCGCTGAGCCCGACGCCGCGGGGATCGAAGCCGATGATGTCAAAGTTGGATCCGGCTGCGACTTGGACGGTGGTGCCGTTGTTGCGCGCGAGCTCGATGCCGGATGCTCCTGGGCCGCCTGGGTTGACGAGGATGGCGCCGCGATAGGGGCCATCTGGGGAATCGGCGGCGGCGGGGATCTTGAGTAAGGGGACGGAGGCTCTGCCGAGATTTGGGTTCTTGTAGTCGAGGGGTACCTCAAATTTGTGTTAGTATGGATGGTAGAGAGTTTTAAGACGTGACTCACATCGAGCTTCGCACAGAAGAACTGGCCTTCACATGGGCACCAGACGAGGTCTCGAGAGGGCGTGATCGATTCGAATGTGCAATCTTGAGCTCCGACGGCTTGGAATCCTACGAGGGCAAGCGCCGTCACCAGCTTCCAAGATGTCATTGTGACTGAAGAAGGAGGATAATGACTGTGTTGGTATAACGAACGATGGGAGTAGAGCGGCGAGGTCTCCGATTACTTCTTGATTGGCCTGGTTACTGATCTAAAACACTATCATCGGATGGGACTTCGAATGATATATATACAAATTCTCAGCAGATTCGAACTCATTGCTGGGCGATTTCTTAACAGGGGGTGTGGACGTTACACCAGTGAACTGACAAACACCCCTTCCGAGACAAAACTTGTCTTCGCTGAACCTCCCTAAGCTTTCCTCCGTCACCTTCGCTCTCATCGCCATATCTCAGTCATCAATACCTCCAATTTCATGTAAACGATTGCCTTCACTAAGACCCCAGAGAGTTAGGCCTTTACGAGGAGCATCTGAAGCTGCATGGAAAAGGAGATTAGAGGAAGGCTGTGCTTGACCTGCGGGTCACTTAACAGGGTCTAATAATAACCTCCAGCTGGAGTATGCAAGAATGCCATGTCTCAAACAAGCCCAATAAAAATTAAGCTTGTCTTGATGTTTCCCTTTGGGGAGCCTCGATGTAGGTGAGGTAGTCGACACTAGGCAGCAGTCATTCCTCCCCCATACTCCCACCGGGCGAGCCAGCCGAGGAAGTCACAGCAATGAAGACAACGTTGACTTGCAGAGGGGTATCTTTGCCATAGCCACGATTGGTTCTCATAGATCTTGGATACGAGATGTCTTCAGGAGTTTTATTTCCTCTTACGGTGATGTAAAGCTCGTTCTTGACTGAATTCCCTTGCTCACGCCCTGTGATTGGTGGGAAGCGGGCAACGCACTCACGTCATTATTCTGAGAATTGATGCTCGCACCGGGACATTTCCATAAGCTGTGACATGTCAGTCGTACGATCTCAAGATCTGGAAACTACTTCCAGGATACTCAGCTGGTGAAGGTGTAGTCGAGACAAGCAGGCGATGCAACACGTGGAGAAGTTCCCAGGATCGAAACTAATCCGCTTCGAGTTAGAGTTATACGAGCGCAACCGAGCTAGGGGGCCCTTGGCAACGACCGAGTAGCTCTAAGATATTGAAGACTGCCTCATGTCGTAGGTGATTTACATTTCGGTTTATACGAGAGATCGGATGATGCTTCTCTATGTGCCGTATTCATGATTTCCCACGCTGCCTCTCACGCGTTGCTCAAAGGCAGTTGTCCTTTTGTTGCTGGCCCATCAATCATACATATGGACCTAGTAGTTGGAGGTCATACTGGGCAGGTTAGTTCTTTAGGATTGATCAGGGTGACAAGTGAGTGGATAGTTGTGCTTGGATAGCGGGAAGCCTCATGAGACTCGGGGCATTCGCTTGCGAGAACGTACAGGGTCCCCATATCTTGGATGGATCAATATGTTTGTAGAGATGAATGTTTGCAGATCATCAAATCTCTACTGACTGTCTGTTTACCTCTGTCATTAATTTAATTCACCTCTGGTGTGGTGAAGTAGGTGAAGTAAGCATTCAACGGTTAACCAGCCAACTCGATGAGGCGTCAAGTCCGTAAGCTGGAGCCCCAGAATGAGGCTTCACCAAGGCTCTCTCTCTCTCTCACGGAAGGAACCCCCCAGCTCCCAAGCGACCTCACCTTCACCTTCACCTTCACATCAGGCAGCCACTCCTTCCACCCCTTCGGTAGACCCTCCATAGCCAACGAATTTGTTTGTTATTATCACCAAGGCCCGTGGCGTAGCGGGGAATGTCAGCTTGTCTGAATAGCCCCGCACCCATGGGTCCCGGGTTCGAGTCCCGCGTATAGTAAAAATCCTTGTCATCATTTAGGTGACGGCGAGGAGATTTCGTAAGCCCCCTCTGACTATCAGAGGGGACTGAGCTTTTGCATTTTTGATTCTATTAATCTTGTGTGATTTAGAGAAGGTAATCTGTCTTTTTCCTCGCCCAATTAGTATTACGAGATTGGGCTGGCGGGCAGATAACAGCGGTGTTTTGAAGGCAAAAGGGCTTGCGGGTGAGCGTATAAGTGGGAGGTGAACGGTGAGCTCGGTGAAGGTGGGGCAGAAAATGTCACCGAAGGTCAGGACCTGCGGCACCTTACCGAGAAAGACCCAGTTTACTTTTTATCGCAAGCAGAGACCCACTCAAATTTTCTTATCGGATCTTCCCCAACTCTCGATTTCTTTTGCGCCCGAGTCTGCTCCAAACAAGAATTTGTTGCTTGTTTTCATTGTACTCTTTCCCCGAGAACTTTTTCACGTTGCTCGACCGGATCCTGCTCGACAACATACTAGCAGAAGAGCCGGTCACAAATACCAAATTCACACAGCCAACATCATGTCAGGCTTCCAGATCCCCGGCCTGGGGTTCGCGAAACCAAACGAGACACTCCCACCGGTGCCCGCCGACGTTCTCGCTGCCGCAGCCAGCTTTGAGGGTGTTGATCCCGAGATTATCGCCGCCGCCAATGGTACCGCAGAGCAAATCCAAGACCAGAATGAGGATGTCAATATGGGGGAGAACACGAATGAACCGCAGCCCGCCCCTGCGCAAACAGCAGAATCCGTCGCGGCACCAGCTGCGGCACCAGAGGAGGCTACCGACCCCGATGCCATGAACGTCGACGATGCCGCCGAGCCCCCTTCCCTGACAGACGCGCTCGAGGCCATGATCAGCGGTCTCGATCATACCCCTCCAGCCCAACCAGTCGAAGTTCCCCAAGAGGCGCCTGCAGCTCAGGAAGCGCCTGTATCTGCGCCGTCTGCACCTGCGACCGCACCCGTGCCGACACCTGCAGCGCCAGAGATGATTAACGCCCCCCAAATGCTCGACGCACCCCAAATGATCGATGCCCCGACCTCCGCCACAGACCAACCCGCCGCCGAAGGCGAAGGCGACCACCCCGAATGGGAAGCCGACTCCTCGCCCTACGAGTCCTCCTCATCCTCAAGCAGCGACTCCTCCTCCGACTCGGACGACGACTCCGACGCAGGCGGCTACCAGCTCCTCGGCGTAGAGGAGACAGCGCGCATGCTCATGGAGATGGAAGGCGGTTCAGACGACGAAGGCGGCGACGGCGGCAAGAACGGCGGCGCCGGCGGCGCGGGTGCTTCGGGACATCTGCGGACCAAGAACGAGGTCGCTGACGTGTCGGTGCCCGCTAAGCCTGATGTCACGCTCACTGCCGACGATAAGATTGAGGAGCTGGGTCTCGTGGAGCAGATTGTTGAGAATATCATGGTGGTGAGGGCGTTTACGCCCGGTGAGTACCAGGTTCTTGACACGGGGTCTGTTCTTTGCACTGAGGACCGCAAGGTGTTTGGCGTGGTGTGGGAGACGATTGGAAAGGTGCTGCAGCCGCTGTATACCGTCATGCTGGCCTCGGCCGAGGAGATTACGGTGGCTGGGCTGGCTGTCGGTGCAAAGGTATACTACCCGCCCGCGCACGCCAAATTCGTCTTCACGCAGCCGTTGAAGAACCTCAAGGGTTCTGACGCGAGTAACATCCACGACGAGGAGATTGCAGAGGACGAGATGGAGTTCTCGGATGACGAAAAGGAGGCGGAGCATAAGAGGCAGGTGAAGCAGAAGAAGAAGGAGGCGAGGTTCGGCAAGGATGGTGGTAGTGAGCGCGGTGGACCTAGTGAGAAGAGGAGCAGAGGAAACCGCGAGCCGCATCCGCTGCGCAACGAGATCAGTGCCTACGCTGCCGCGCCGCCTTCTACGGACGGCGGACTCAACTACGACGACGAGGACGATGGTCCGTACAAGCCCCTCGCGCGACCGCCTGGATTCGGCCAGGCCACGCCCGCGCAGCAGAGTTTCACTACGGAGCCTGAGCCCAGCCGCTTCGGCGGACGTAGAGGTGGGCGTGGAGACTCTAGGGGGCGCGGTGATAGAGGCAGGGGAGGTGGTCGTGGTCGTGGACGCGGCGGGTACGGAGGCCGCGGGGATCACAGGGAGGGATACTCGGCGCCTCAGAGACATCACTCCGGCGGTGACCAGCAACAACAGCAGCAGCAGGGTGGACAATGGGGCGGTGGCGGCGTGAACGGATTCCAGGCTCATCAAAACTACAACAATCAACAGCAGCAGGGTGCGCCCGCGCCGACGGCGCCGACGTTCAACTTCCCGTTCCCCGGGATGCCTGTGCCGCAGCCGGGACAGCAGAGCTTCCCTGCCGTTCCGCCGCCGCCGCCTGGTTGGCCGGCGCAGGGTGGTCAGCCTGGGCAGAACGCGCAGCAGGGTGCTTATATCAACCCGGCCTTCTTTGCGGCGTTGCTTGGGCAGATGCAGCAGCAGCAGGGCCAGCAGCAGGGCCAGCAGCAGCAGCAACAACAGGGAGGACAACAGCAGGGACAGCAGCCTCCTCAGCCTCCTCAACCTCCGCAGCAATGGGGTGCTCAGCCGCCTCCGCGGTAGATTGAGTTCCATCAAGGTTGGAAGTATGATTCGGCCATTGTGCTGGTGGCGGAGAGTTGAGGGTGCCGAGCTGGATGAGCTTCATCGAGCTGTGCAGACCATACGAGGTGGGAGACATCGTGGGGGGTGGATTGAGACCTCTGGGGCTCTGCACCTAGACGAGTGAAGCCATATTGGACATGTGCCAACTACGAGCGCGGAAACCCAAAGCACCTTCACAAACGAGGTCTCGAAGCAAGGGACGTGCAAAGTCTTCGATCGAATGGCTTGCTCTAGCTGCCAAGTTTGGCACACTGGACCGGGAGGCTACCAACTAGAGCCCAAAACGCAAACTGCGAGAGAGTGACTAGAAAAAGCGCAATTGGTGGCTATTTGTATCGCTTTGTAATGATTAGAACTGCGGGAACCCGCGACGCAACTATACGCGAGGAGGAGATACGGATTAGATAAAAGTGAAAAAAAAGTTTCTATTTTGACGTTAGACTATGTTTGCGGCGCTCTGACTGACGGAAGAGGCTGCCTCCGAGGCGTCCACTTGAATATTCCGAAATGAACGGGTGAGATCTATATTCTTCTAGGCTCACTCACTCCGATAATTGAGTTGAGTGATTTAGTCATTGGTGAACTGCCTTTGATCATCAACGATGCGCGACGCTATACTGATCTGGTGCAGGGAACGTAAACGAGCGAGACGAGAGACAGGTTTGTCGCGGAGCTGCATAGGGCCGATGTACGGATCGCCGCGGCGGTCCTGTCTCTGGCTGTACTCTCCCGCGTCCAGATGACCGGATTTGCAGCAGGAGATCTCCCTCAGATCAAGACAGGGAAGAAGGCAGGTCTGGCTGGGATTAATTGAAACATTCCATAACCTACCTCTCGGGTTATCCGGCTGATTGCGGGAGCATGCCGTACAAAGGTAGTAAAATGACGCTGTGCAGATCTACGAGGTCGAAGTCAGGTTTTCTCGTTGTTATTGCATAACATTTTGCCTGAAGTGCTGACTCTGCTTTTTGTGTAAGGCATGGACGAATTGCTGTGCCGCACACGGATACATGTCATGGATGCGACGTTCCCCATACCCGGGAATGAGGATTGCGCGGTTTCCTGCCCCCAACTTCATTCTGACGGAGACGACTCCATTCACAATGCTGAAGTTCGTCGGCGTGTTGGTTGCCTGCGAAGAGCTGCGGTAATTGAAACCCCCGTACAGTCGCATCCGGGTCTTTTCGTTAGATTGCCCGCTGGCCAGCCATCATGTTTCCGCGTGTTCTCGCATGGATGTCATGGATGTCGATGGATAAGGCTGGTGGGCGGAGGTCATCTCCAGTGTGGAGAGATGGGTCACAATGCGAGAAAAATGCCAGCAATTTGCCAGGTAGCCAGGTACCGAAAGGCGCTTGGCAGTGGCATGCTGTGGAGGCGGGCAGATCATGGGGGAGGGAACCAAAGTTGCGAGTGTTTGCCGCGAGAGTGCTCACTGCGCGCGACGGGTACGAAATAGGCGAACCAAACCTAATGGCACGAGCGGACGAACCGGCTTGTTTCAAAAGGTCTCTCCAATTTCGGTGTCACGGGTGTGTTGGTCGAACCCTCGAGGGCCCAGGGGACGGCGGTCTGGGGCTTTAGGCTTTTGGTAGCTTGACGGCGCCGTTCGATGCATGTCTTAAAATTAGCCTCTTGGTTAAGAGTTGTTGTGTGTTTTTGCTTGTTTTCCCTGAGACCACATAGGAGATCTTGTTTGAAAATTTCCTCCGGCGCACGGCGGGAGGTCTAAATGCAACGGAAAAAGCAACGAGATCGAACGGTGTGCAATCCTCAGTTCTTGAGGCCTCGACCGCTTGTCGGATCCAAACACACCGACTTCTGTCAGGCAGACAGGACGACAAAAAGAACCTCGCGGCAACGTGGCCTGACAAGTCTCGTATTCGAGGCAGATGGGCGGATGCAAAGCACTGACTACTTCCTGTAGCTTGAGGGGATAAAAAAAAAAGGTCGTTCAGTGACAGAGAAAGCTGAAAGCTGAAAGCTCCTTGCGGCTCGCGAGGGAGAAGCACAGATCATGTCGTGTCATTCTTTCAAAGACATGATTGCTTCTTTAGGGGCCTTTAAGAGAGAGACGGTGTCGGTGGGTGGTTTGGTGACAATTACGGTAATGCCCGTGGCATTCCACTGTACTCCATAGCCTGCCTGTAAGTAGGGTCAGCAGTGCCTATATCAAACCTTGCGAGCTCCGGGCCGAATGGTGAGATGACGATGGGCAGGCCAGCTTCGCCATCACGCACGCCAGGCTCCCGCCAGTCTTTTTTTTCCGTTTTTTTTTTCCGCTTGGGAGACCATCTGTTGTATCTAGGTGATGGTGGCTGTTTTCCAGCTTTTGAGGGGATGCTATTTCGGTGCATTCTTGCCATTCCGCTTGTGGCGATAGGTGGTCTTTGCGTGAGTGGCTCGCATGAACGTAGCAGTCTTCCCGTGCTGCTCGAAGGGAAAGCGATGTTGTTTGCGCGGGAACGAAAAGGGACCAGGCTGAATGGGAATAATGTCGCGTGCAGTGGCGAGGGCAAGCGGGGGACGGCGCGTATCACAGCATTGGCAGATAATAGCTATGGTGTGTCTGGTGTTGAATGCTGTTGGTCCCCTGTTGACGATGACGATGGGGATGTTGGAGTTTGGGGGCTGCTGGTTGTGGTTGACTGGTGGTTGAAGCTCGGGCCGGACAAACGCCTTCTTTTCCCGTCCCACCTGGCAGGGTTTGATTGGATGAACACCGCAGGAACCCCGAGCAAACAATTTCGTTTATTCTGTGGGTGTGCGGTGGATACGGGGGTAAGAGAACCAATAAGATGGGGTCGGTACCTGACAGGCACGACAGGCACGACAGGATGGGCGTTGGGAGGCCCCTGCCTTAGCGCGGCCCGTGCATGGCGCTGATGAAGATGGGCGCCGGTGTGGATGGGAAATGCGACCGACGGATTTCATTGAGGGTCGCCGGTCGCCTGGGTCGGTACCTCACGTCGGAAACCGATGGGATGAGTGCGGGATTTGTTGGCTTGTTCGTATCAAGATTGAAGAGTACTCCGTAAGGCTCTGGTTAATTGGGACAACTGATGGCTTCGATCAAAAGTGAATGACAGACAGCCTGTTGGTGTTGTTACACACCTATGTACGACTGCCTGAAGTAGACAGATGTGTAACTATTCCGAAGTGTTTGTTTGTTTCCTCCCTCATTGTGTGTGTGTATCCGTACTCCGTAAGGAACCTAAGGTACGGAGTATGGAAGGTAAAGTTCATCTTGAGCGCAGGGAGAGGCCAGAGACAGGGCGGATGGTGAAACGCTGACTCGGTGGTGTGGGCGTGGATCAGATGTATTGTCGAATGACCGTTGGAGCCGCGGTTGCATTCTTGTGCGCGTTTATCCCAATCCGTCCACCTTGGTGCCATTGTTGGACTTGTGCAAAATGTGATCCGAGCCCATCCCAAGCCAAGTACCGTCACCCAAGAGACATCGGCCGCCTATGTACCTTACTTGCTTACTATACCTCACTTGCCTACATTCTAATGTGGGCTCGATAGGTACATTACGGATAGAAGTTACCTTAGACTATAGACTGTGATATCCCCGGACAGCACTAACACGGCAAAGACTGCAAGCCATGACATTGACCGTATCGCACGGCCGTCTTTTCCACGCGCCATTCCTTTTGCATCTTGATATCCCACGGTCCTCGTGGAGTTGCCTCCCCATCAGTTCCTGCTGTCTCGTACCTGTATCTTTGCAGCAAGTGATCCTGGGCTAATCCTCCATTGGGAGTCAGAGTGAGAGAGAGAGAGAGACTGTCAGATTGAGAGAGAAAAGACCAATGGACAGTGGACGGTACCTGACGCCGCAGGGATCTGCTTCCCATCCACACCCTAGTCGTCCGACCCTTGTCATCCGTCCAACGTTGCTTGGGGCCTCTTTCCCAAGTTCCCATTCGCCCAGCATCCTGGACTGCGAACGTGCAGCGTGCAAGTGCAACCTCACTGTCCCCGTTTCTCTTCTTCTCAGTGTCCCTTCCCACTTTCTTGAGCTGCCCTCTTCTTCCCTTCCCACCTCATCCTCTCCCGTTCCGTCCGAACTGCATCTCACTTGCTGAGCCTGACTGCTTACTGCCGTCGCTGCACTCTCACTTCCAGAGATAGACAGAGAGACCTCATCGTCGTCTTCTCTCTTGCAGCTTCCCAAGAGTCACGGTGTGCAGATTCATCCGTTCTTTCCTCCCACAAAACAAACATCGACATCCCCCCGTCGTCTTCATGACAATTTACTAAGACGGTTTGTGACTGTCCAATGACTGTGAGCTGGTAGTGAGATCTTGTAAAAACAACGACCTCACCTCACCCACCTTCTCACTTTACTCTCCTTCCACCGGGCCCAGCGCCGCTTCACATTCGTTCAATTGCACGCACACGTACGCGCAACAACACTCGACTTTCACCCACAACACCGACGCAGTCTTTCTCAATACCAGTCCCTCGACCAGCGCGACTCCCTGGCCGGACTCATTCACTGCTTATTCATTCTTTCGACGATCGCCTCACGAACATCACACCCCTTTCCCCATTGGAGCCGGATCCCTTGAGCATTCCCATCACCAGCCTCTCCCGTGAACGCCAGGCACCCTCCCTCCATTTTTCAGATACCCCGCCTCGACCCACGAAACTCACGATCCGAATCATCACACGCCTCATTTTATCTTCACACGTTACGACGACTTCTGGCTGGACTAGTTGGATTTGATCCATTTCCATTAACCCACGCCCGCAACCGCAGTAATGGCTCACCACCACCTCCACGCCCGCAGGCATATCGCGCCTCGCAACCCCGATTTCTGGAACGGTGTTGGCAACAAGTTCAAGGACCTGAATCCCTTCGCCTCCAGTGACGAGGACTCGGGAAGCAATGGAGGTAATCTCAAAATCAGACAGGACGACGACGATGATGATGCCACGACCACACGGCGCGCTAATACGAAGAAAGGCCGCTCGACCGTTATCAAAACCATCTACCAGACCGTCACCGGTGACGATGTCGTTGCCGCCCCTACGAGCACCACCTCCACCAAGTTGATTGTCGCTCAATCACCCCTCCCCACGAGGTCGAAACCGACGACTGTTGATTCCACCGAGACCACCATTGCCAGGGCCGGCGCACCCATCATCAAGACTGCCGACAGCTCATCCACCACCACCGATGCCGCATCTACTTCGTCGCTTCCCTCGGTCATCGAGGACCCCTTGACCGAGAGCATCCAGACCACGCTCGCTATCGCGACAGACGCGCCAACTTTCGCAAAGACCACCAAGACTGCCGCCGCCACTGCAGACAATGCTAGCATTATCTCCAGCGCCTCTCCTAGCGCGACGTCAACCACGGAGAAGTCAACCAGCAACGAGACCAGCGGTGCCGCAAAGGCTGGCATTGCCATTGGTGTTTTGGCCGGTGTTCTAGTTGTCTTTTTGCTCGTCTTCTTCCTCTTCAACCGTCGCAAGAAGCAGATGGAGCAGCAGCGCCTGGCTGACGAAGACGAGAAGAGCCATGGATTCGGAGCCGCCGCCGCCGCCGCTGGTAGCCAGAACCCCCGCGCTCCTCGCATCAGCCTCCGCCCCGTCACCCAGTTCTTGCCCAACTTGAACCTCGACAAGCGCGCCAGTAGGGGACCTGCTGGAGGACCTGCCGTCAATATGAACACCAATCTGGCCCCCGCTGCCGCTGCTCTGGGTCTTCGCAACCCTGGTCAAGGCGCCTGGGACAGACCGGCAACGAACCAGAGCTCGAACCCCGCGAACCCCTTCGGTGCTCAAGCCGAGAGAATCAACGGTCCCATCGCCGAGGAGTCCGTCAGCTCCATGAGCCTCAATGAGAAGCCTCTTCCCAACGTCGGCGAGCCTGCTCCGGGCACTACCGTGAGCGATGTCCCCACCAACGCCGGTGCCAACGGTGCTGCTATTGCTGCAGGTGCTGCCGCAGTTGGTGCTGGAGCCGTCGCTGCTGGAGGTCTGGCTCGCAAGGCGTCGACCCGCAAGGATGGCCCCAAGGCTCTTGATCTGACTCTGCCCGCGCCTCCTGCACCCTTGTCTACCATCCCTGCTTCTCCCTCCGGAACCACGTTCAGCGCCGACTCTGCCGGCCCCGGTCACCAGTCTAATGGATCCACTGGCTCTGCTGCCATTGCCGCCGCTGGAGGTCCCGCCAACACCACTGTTCACCGTGTGCAACTTGACTTCAAGCCTACACTTGAGGATGAGATGGAGCTGAGAGCTGGTCAACTTGTGCGCCTTCTCCACGAGTACGATGATGGCTGGGTAAGTTTTGATATCCACCATAATGAGTATGTAAGCTAACATCCCCCCAGGCGCTCTGCATTCGCTTGGATAGATCCCAGCAGGGTGTTGTACCGCGCACCTGCCTCTCCACTCGCCCGGTTAAGCCTAGACCTCCTCAAGCCCAGGGACCTAACCAAGGACCTCCTCGTGGTCCTCACATGGGCCCTGGTGCTCCCCGCGGCCCCGGTCCGAACTTCCCTCCTGGCCAGCGCCCCGTGAACCCCCAGGGAGGCCCGCCTTACCCCCGCCCTGAGTCGCCTGCAGGTCGTCCCATGAACGGTGGCGGCCGACCTCAGTCCCCCGCCGGTAACGGCCCGATGGGACCCGGAGGCCGGCCTCAATCCCCTGGTCCTCGTTACCAGGGCCCTCCGGGACAGCGGCCGCAGAGCCCTAGCGGAATGGGCGGTCGCAGGCCGAGCCCTCCCGGACCTAGCAGAATCCCTCAACCCAGCCGAATGAACCCCAATGGCCCTCCCAACGGTCCTCCTAATGGTCCCATGAACGGACCCCCCGCTCAGGGCCATCCAGGCCCACCACCGATGGGACCTGTCGGCCGCAAGCCCGTCCCCGGACAGGCTGTGTAAATGACAACCAAAACAGCGTTCATATACACTGACTCCCTGCGTATATAACGTCTTTTGGCACAAAGACTGGGGATTCATCTTCGTTTGGCGATAGACTAGGGTCTACTATGCATTCTGGACAGCACGGGCACGGCGTTTCTGCGAACTACCAAAAAAGAACTTGGGGGGAGGTTTCCCCTTCTACTGGACTCTCACGATGAATCCGATCAAGGGGCGAAACGAACCCCGACGACGCATTTATACCTTTCAAGTCACTCATTCATGACGCTCACTTTTGATACACCCTTTTTGCAGCCTGGTTTCAGTCGTGGCTTGCAATTTTCTTTTCTTTTACGCTTCTTGACACTCGCTCGAACACGCACCGTTTCGCGATTTCGATTCACCTACCCTGGCCCTGTCTTGAGCCACGCGACTGCAGCGACGGCGATTGAGGATGGCGCAGGGATTACGCCTAGTGCTTAATGTATATTGCTCACTCTTGTTGTTTGTCGTTCTTGACACTTCTCGTTTCTTCTTGCAGCTCTGGTGGCTGTGTTTGGTCGTTCAGCAAATACGCAGGGCGACCTATTTGGCAGGATGAGACGATGCTGCTGCTTTTTTTTCGTTGGTCTCTTTTGAGATGCCTTGAGGCGGCATGATTGGGGACAGTATGATGGATGGGAGACATGGAGATTTGGTGGCAGTTGGGACAGATGAAGAGAGAATCTAGGTCCTCCTGAAAGGGAAGAGACGCTAGAGCTGCTTCTTTGTGTCGAGCAAGCTAGGTAGACAATGAGATGCCTGCCTATACCTGAATATTCTATCCCACGTGTACATGCTTCTGATGCTTGCGAGCTTACGTACCTCTCTACCTTTCCGTCTTGCCCTCCCTCGTTTCCGATTAGGCGTCAAAAAAGACAGCATTGGAAGTGTCGAGAGGAGTTGTTGACCAAAACAAAAAAGCGAGATTTACGTCCCAGTAAAGTTGGCATTGTGTTTTGAGCGCCTTACCGAAGACCGTCTTCATAGGTTTCGGGATTCGTTGTGCTAGTCGTAATCGAATGTGCTTCCGATATTATTTCCTGATCTACACGGCTCTCTGCAGGCCGACGCCGGAGACGATGACCCAGCTGCTTTACACAAGAGTTGCCATTCGGAAGTCAGAAAAGAAATTGGATGATGTTTCAAAGACATTTCACCACGGATCCTAGTCGAAGACATGGAGACCATAGCCCAGAGGAACGGGGCGTGGCAAGCCGCTAAGCCTTACCCTCCGTTTTGGACAATGTTAACGTGGGAGCTAACATGAAGTCGTCTACATGTTGAAGCTGGAGGGGGATGATACACATCGACCATAGAGTACACAGAGCGGGACATCATGGAAATTCTCCGTAAGGTATGACGGGATATGTTGCCATTATTCACTAGGATGTTGTCATACTTCGTTGCGAGTATCTTTAATCTACACAACCTCGTGGCTACGAGGGTCTAGTTGCGCAAACAGGCTGTTGTAAAGATCAAGGTTTCCTGCAGCGAGCCTTAATACTCGCTCAGAGGTAGGACTTTCCAAGACCAATGAAGTGGAGTAAAGGTATCTCATCATTTCAGGACTCTCTGCTTCTGCTTGAAAATGGTGTGGGGAGTTACAGTAGCGCGGTTGTAATTTCACGGCAACGTACGTCTTGACGGCGGGGCTTGCAGCTCTTTTCACATGCGCCGCCAGATGTTGCAACGCAGACGCGGCTAGTCTTTACATCCTGTAATCGGTTCGTACTTACGACCCCGACTTTGCCTTTTGTAGATATAATACTGTAGCATCAGCGGGATGCCAGCCGCGGCTCTTTACATTAGCCGACTAAAGGAGAACTCATTGCCTTGATATTTACGCCTGGGTCTTCGACACGGCATGGTCGTACATGAACGTGGTTGAATGCTTCTGCCCGCGATGCTTACCTCCTCAACGTCTGGAGATATCATGATCTTTTCCGGGTAAGAATCGAGCGGGAGGATTCGGACAACTTCGGGATAAGAAGGCCTACACAGTGAATAAGGAGATATAGAATTCTCGAGTTTTCTGAGTATTTGACCATAACTTGACCATCTCATACCTCATCAACAAGCAAGCAAACCCTCCCCAAGCTCCATCTTCCACCAATCTCACCTGGCATCAGATCGCCCTTCTCTCTCTCTCTCTCTCATCATCAAGCTCACACGTTTCTTTACATCTCATTTCACCCACTTACACCACGCCTTCCAACCCAAGCAAAATAACAATCATGAAGTTCTCCGTCTTCATCCTCCCCGTCCTAGCATTACGCATCACGGCGCTCTACGTCCCCGACAAGCTGGTACAAGCGTTGCTCAAGGAGTCGGAGGTAGTTTGCTGCGGTGAGGTGCCGTGCTTCATCGGGTGTCCGGTGCAGAAAACTTTCCGCGTACGTCTTTCTCCTTTTTCTTCTCCTTGCCGCCCTTCATGCACTCCTGCTCAGTCTCGAACAAGAAAGGGCTCGGTATACTGACACATCATTTGATGGAATAGCTTTGCTGCCGAGAAACGCGCTGAAAAAAGGATCCAGGGGGTCGTTGTATGGAGTTTTTCTATGAAGTTTAAGCTCGGCCGACCTATGAATTGGGGGAGGACTGAGGGACTGATGCCTTTCATTTTGTTACTCCTTTTTCGAGGAGGAAGGAGGGACGTTGGTCTTGGTACTATTGATCTCCTCTGAATGATTGAATGAAGAATGAAAACAATTTCCTAATTCGTTTTCGACCAACGTTCCTCTCTGTGATGTGTTATACTACCTTCATTTCGCGTTTGCGCGGCAATAAACCTCTAGAGACCTTGCTAGATAAACCCCTTGATATAGAGTATACGCAGTCCGTCGTCCATACTGTGGATCGAATCCTCAGTATTGCGCACCGCATGTTCTTGAATCTCCTGGACGAAAAAGAAGCTGTCCCTTTCCAACGCTAGCATGTTCAACAAGGCTGGTATCAAGCATCGCTCCCTGAGGGTGGCCTAACACGATTCCAGTAGAGTAGGTCAGCCAAGTCATGGCATCCAACGAACGGTATGGTGTTCCCCCTCCAGCTTCATTCCGGGCATTTGGATATGATGTTATCCAGAGGAAATCCGGGGGTATCTTTCCCGGCCAGAGATCATCATTTCCATGGGTAAAGGCGAGGTTTACAGAGACCCTGTAATAACAACGCGGCTACAAGTGTTTTCATCGTCAGTCAGACGCTTGCTTCATGGCCCAGAGAGGTCATTTCTAGGTTGGTACCCAAGCATGCTGGCATCGTTGTGATTGAAGTTCAGACCCACTCTTGAATTACCTTTACGGCCGTCGTGATTGGCCGAAGGCTTGCCCATGCTGTCACTGATCGTGATTTTGGCGAGTTGAGGCATGCTCGCGTTTCTGAGTAAAAATATCACAATCGATGATCGGAGAAGTTGAGGTGAGCATAGGCGATTGTTTGCCTCGCAATGCCTGGCTCTCATTCACTCGGAGAGGGTATCGCCGTACTCCCGCGGCGAAATGAATGATCAAGGTCCAAGCCCGCAGAAAGCTCGTAGCAATTGAACTCGTTGCTTCACCGTAGCCCAGACACCGCCGTATCAATCCGTCTCAAGAGGGTTCATCACAGAGCAAAGTTAAGTGCTACTAGTAAGAGCGACGAGGTAAAGCATCGAGGGGTCGTCCAATGTTCGCAACTACCGCTACCGCGCGGCGCTCAATTCCTGGGGTACCATATTTACATTGTACAAAAGTTGGAAGACCGTCCGAGTCGTCGTTTATGAGTTCTGAATCGCCTCCGCCTGCGTCGTATCCTTGGCCTTCCTCGCGGCCTGTTCTCTGTCGTACTCGATCAATTGCTTCGACCAGCTGTGTTTTGCAATGTCAGCCCATGTCTGTCTCTCTCGTGTGTAATTGCTTTCAATCGCATGAAACGAGGGGCACCTACTATCTGCTGGGGAAGAACCGCCCCTCCTGAGGCATCACGTAGCGCACCTCCTTCTCGGCGCTGATCTTCCAGATAACGGCAACGACACCGGCCATGACGGCGCCGATGACGGCGGTGTTACGCTTCCAGTTCGCGGGTTGGGCGTACCAACCACCGGCCGGCGACCAGACGTGCTTGGGGTAGCTTTCGTGGGCGTTAGAGGAGCTGTATCTCGAAGAATCGGGGTGGTTTGCGTTCGGAGGGGATATGCGCTGGGGTTAGAACTTACGGAACCTTAGGACCGCCTCCCTGTGCACGAGTTAGCAATTGACCCGGATTCACCGATTGAGCAGTAACATACCATTTTGACTGTATTTTCAGTATGAGGGGTTGGATAGTGTGGTGATGGCAATCGCTTTCCCGCCTCGACTCGATATTGGAGCTTTTGCCCTTGGACGTCGCGAATGGTGAAGTGCAGCCATCCATTCCTCCCGAAAAGTGGGACCCGAACCATCCGGAGCTGCGGAGGAGCGGATATTCCGCGCTTCTCTCTGACTGGGCTTTCTCGCCTGGCTCGTGCACGGGGTCCCCAATTCCCCCTAGCATGCTGGAGCTTACACGACTTCGAATCGGTCGGCTCCAGAAACTTTTTCGTGACGGGAGACCGGCGCTGTTCGAGAGAAATCCGGGACGTGGAACTTTTTTACTTCCCCCATTTGCGATCGAAACCTCCAGCGAATACCTCAATCCACCAACTGCCCTGCGACCGCATTGTACAACACCTTTTCCTTCGTTGACTTTTTTATTTCGTTACGTTGTTACTGGGCCTTCGAACAGCTCAGCAACAACCCAACCTCGACCAATCGAATGGCGTCCCAGATGAAGAGGTTAAGGATATCAAGATGCACCGGGCAGCAGCTCCTCAACGCCCAGGCCAGGGCACACGCCTCGCCGTGCCTGACGCCCATCTCCTTTAGAACACAGCTTCGCAGCAGCAACCCGGCGCGGACACTATCGACCTCCTCCCCGTCCTCGGCAGCAGTAGCAGAAGCATCATCCGACGCCTCCTCGCCCGACATCACCACCGCCGCCGCCAAGCCCGCCCCGAAGAGGTCGAGCATACTCCCGTCACCCGCCCCCGAAAAGGCCCTCCAGTCAGCCAAGCTCGCCGCCCTCCACGCCCGCCTCTCCCTGCCCGGCAAACTGCCCCTCCAGACCCTCGCGCGCACCCTCGTCGACCCCTCCGCCGACCCGAGCCCCAACTTCAACAACGCCAACCTCGCCGTCGTCGGCGGCTCCCTCATCAGCTACCACGTCTCCGAGTGGCTCATCGCCCACTACCCCCGCCTCCCCATGGCCATCCTCTACGAAGCCATGCGCGCCTACGCCGGCTCCGACTCGCTCTACCGCGTAGCCTCCCAGTGGGGCGTCGAGAGCGCCGCCGCCCCCGGAGGCGAAGTCGACCCGGGCCTGCTGCAGTTCTCCCAGAACCCCGAGGCCGAGGGCATCGTCCACGGCCGCTGGGGCTACGTCCGCAAGGAACACGCCCACCTCGACAAGTTCAAGTGGCGCCGCTCCGTCTCGTCCAGAGTCGTCCTCGACGACGAATTCGGCGACGTCCTGCACAAGCCCAAACGCAACCCGTTCGAGCCCAAGCCCGACCCCCAAGACCCAGCCATCTTCAAGGAGCAGCGCGAGAAAATCCGCAACGACGCCCACGCGGCCCACGTCCGCGCCGTCACGGGCGCGGTATACGCCCACGCCGGCCGCGACGCCGTGCGCGCCTTCATCGACGCCCACATCCTCAGCCGCCGCGTCGAGCTCGAGAAGCTCTTCAGCTTCAAGCTGCCCACGCGCGAGCTGGCGATGCTCTGCGCGCGCGAAGGGTTCGAGGCGCCCGTCGCACGACTCGAGAGCGAGACGGGCCGTCTGAGCAGGACGCCCGTGTACGTCGTCGGCATCTACAGCGGGCGCGACAAGCTCGGCGAGGGGACGGGCGCCAGCTTGGATTTCGCGCGTCTGCAGGCTTCGATGAATGTTCTCAAGGCGTGGTATCTGTATAGCCCTGGCGCCAAGGTGCGGGTGCCGAGTGATATGCTCGTTGAGGGCGCGAAGCCGTGGCAGCCTGTGCACATTGATATGGGAGAGATTGTTTAAAGCAAAAGATGCTTTGGGGAAAAAGGGGGAAAGAAGGAAAAGAAAACGAAAAGCAAAATGCATCGACCGTAATTCATCCATCGGAGAGGGAAGAGGATAGGAGATGTGGCGGAGAACGTTGTCGAAAGGACCGGGAGACAGGTGATCCCGGACTGACCAAGATGTCTTTTTGGGCAGTGTACATTTTGAAGCAAGGACATGTAGAAGGTCAAGCATGTCTCTGTAAGATGAATAGATTTGTAAAAACAATGACACACTCCTCGAAACGGGGCCATTTACTGAATTCCTCCATTGTCTCTTCCTCGCTCCTATCTGATATCTCCAGGCGGCTGCAAAACGCATCCAAGTAACACACTTTTCATTACAACGGATCTACTTCCACTGAATTGACCTACGCTATCGTCTTAAGAGTCCTCCACCTTCCCGGGTATCTATCTTCATCCTCACAACTCTATAATCCGCCTCCTTCAACTAAACTGATCGCCCTCGCCCAGCTTGTGCGCCATCCCCCGCCTAACCAAGCTCCGGTACCGATCCTTCTTGATCCCCGCCTCCCTCTCCAGTCTAATCTTCTTCTTACGCTCGTAGACAGCCCTTACCGTCCTGCGAATCTGCTCCCGTCCCTCGGCATAATTCGCCCTCGCCAGCGCGGCCACCTTTTCAATCTGGTCGGGCGTGTAGACAAAGTTCCAGGTGCTCAGATAATCCGTCGTGCCGGGGTTGATGCCCGGTGCCTTGGGGTTTGCAAGATACGGCAGGTAGATGATGGCAATTCCCGCGTCAGCCTCCATGAGCTGCCACGAATTGGACTCGGTAATCGCCTTGGACGGCGGCGGGGACTCGGTCGACGACCGCTCCTGCGTCGTGCCGACCCAGACGGTACAGTACCCCAGCTCGCCCGACTCTTCGTCGCCGGGCATGAACTTGGCCGCCTGCCCGCTCTTCGTGTCCTCGTCCGGCTTGCGGTGGCCCTCCTCAGCCTGGTGCTCGCGTTGGTGGACCTTTACCTCGCGGAGCTTCTGGTCCGCCTCCTGCGTTGACGCAGCCTGTGCTTCCGAGAGCTCGTCGCGCACCTCCTTCGGGGACTCGCTTGCCTTGGGCCAGCCGACGCCGACGGGCCAGCCCTTGATGCCGCGCTGGCGGGCGTAGCCATCGGCGACGGCGAGCCAGTTGTCCGTTTTGATGTCTGCCGAGGCGTCAAAGGCGACGACTACGTCGACGTCGCGGCCGGGGCGGAGGAGCGGGTAGATGGGGAGGTTGTTGGACATGCCGGCGTCCATGAGCTGGATGTACTCGGTGTTGTAAGTGCTTTTCGGGGCCGTCTTGGGTAGCTTATCCTCCATGCCGTAGGCAAAGTTTGCGACGGTGCCGGGGTCGATTGGGTGGACCTTGCTGAGGTCCTCGTTGTAGCCCGAGATCATGCCGTCCAGGGCGCCGAACCCAGCGAGGCTCTGCACGAGAGGTCGGATCTCGTTGTAATAGTGGCTCAGGGTCGCGCAGAAGGCGCTGCCAAAGACGCCGAGGAGGAAAGGCATACGGGTCTCTGGGAGATGGAAGCCTTCTTCGGGGGGCACGTCGACGCCGTTCTTGAAGCGTCGGCCCATGGCCCAGGTCGGGATGCCGGCGGAGAACTCTTCGCAGAAGAACTCGTACGGCGTGATCTCGAACCACTGGAACCAAGCTTCCTTCTTGGCAACCTCTTTTGCTGCGTCTGACGTGGAAGGCACTGCTCCACTTCCGTCAATGTCGACCTCGGGGATCTCGTGGCGGACGGCGGTGTAAATGGGCAGTGGGTTCTGGCCATATTTGATGTACTCTCGTTGGTTGGAAAGCTTGAAATCCCGATCACTCACTTCCAGCTCGCCCTTGGGGACCAAGAATCTCGTCGCCAACAGGAGACCGTAGACGTCGACTAGACCAAAGTCCGCGCCAGGGTCGCCCTTGAGCTTCTCGACGAGACCGCTTAGGAGATACTTGCTCGTCGGTGCTGAAAGCAGAGCTTGGAACGCCACGGGCGGGTAGGCGATATGGATGCCAGCGCGGGCCTTCAGGTGCTGCAGGACCCGGGGGAGACTGCCCTCCGAGATGGAAGAGTGGTACAGAGCCTGGAGCCAACACGAGCCGCTCACACCAGAGGTGTACGTGACACAGTCGAATAGACCATCTTCGTCTGCGGCAAGCATGGAGCCTGTGCCGGCGACGAGGGCCCTCAGACCACCTCCGGAGCCGCACATGGCAATGGTAGGAACGTCGTCCGGGTCGACGTCCCTCTCGTCGATGTCAAGGTACTTGGCTAGTGCCATGGTGGTGACCCGCTTCCGCCTTGCCAAGAACTCCTTTTCCTCGTCACACAGGTCGTTGGAGACTCTGACCTTGGCGGCATATTGCACCTCGGGGTTAATGAAGGGGTCATGAGCTTCTCGCCAAATCTCATCTGCTAAAGACCCGGGTGCCATGGATAGCTAATGGTGTTAGCCAATAGTGATAATTGATGATATTTAGCAAAAATCACCTCTCTCTGGAGCTTCCGGATGTATCCGGGGACCAACCTGGACCACTCCGGCAGGATGAACCCAACAATCTTGTCTGCAGTCCATTCCATGTCGGCAGAGTCGGACAACGTCTCAAACTTGAGAGCAAAGTTGTACCACGCACTCTCGTCAGGCTTGGTGCTTCCCGCATTGCTGCGGACTCCCTTCCTCCTATCATCCTCAGCCAGGGATAGCCGTTCAAACTCATCAGACGGATAGAGCGCCCAGATGACAAGACCGCCGGTAAGGATGGCGACCGGGATTGACGTCTTCTTGGGCGGGGCCTTGTCTCGTGCCGTGAAGAAGCCGTGCCGCGACTGGCGGGATAGTGTAGGCCTCCGGTGAACGAGGAGGCCGTGAGTCCTGATGCGACCGACGGTTACGCTGTGGTGAAAAGATCTCGCGGCCCGGCGCATCGCGTCGCGGCAATACGGCGCGAATAATCTCATCTTTGCAATATTGAGAGGCTGAAGTCGTGGGACATGACTGGCTGGACGAGCCAGAAAAATGAACCGTGGTGTTGGCTACGTTGATCAGTTGTGATTTGGGGTTGTGTCGTGGCGTAGAGTGGGATGTTGGTGGTGGTTGTGGTGATTGCTATCGTCCTAGCTTGCTCGGGAATCTTTCTTGATAGGAAATTTACGGTTCCGGCAGATTCGTTGTCTTCATCTTAGATCGAACACCTAAACTGTCCAGTGCTACGGATGAGAGAAGTGAAAAAATAAATAAGAGACCAAGACGGCCGCGGCTACTCCGGGGGAAGAGCACCGAAGCTGAATTAAGCGCAAAGCGCGAGGTAGTGACAGCGAGGTAGTGACAGCGAGGTTAGCTCAACAACTTTCTCTTCCTCTCCCGACCCTGGTCTGCTCCTGACATCATTGAGGTACGATTGGGATTGGTGGATCGAAAGCAAGGAAAGAGCAAGGGGGTGCAAAGGGCGGACCTCTATCGGATGAGTTAGACATATACTTCTTTTTATGCCTTACTTGCAGGCTGACCAAAGGTACTGAAGTATGTGCCCAAATCTCCACCGTCCGTTGAGAAAGCTCCGGGCGGGTTCATTCGCCAATTGAAATGGTGGACCCGGCCACCGCTCTGGCCACTCTGTGGCGCCAGGTTTTCCCTTGGCCCACCCGGCCTCTGCCGCTTCCCATGTGAAGATGACATGTCTGTAGTGTCACGGCTCCTCGTTCGGGTGAGTCTAGAACCTCAAAGTCTCTTGAGACGACTCCATCACAGTGATACACTGCTAGTCAGTTGGAGTATGTAGTGGAGAATCTTCTGGCAATGCGGGTTGTCTTGCTCATTAGAAAGTTGATACGCAGGAAGTCAACCAACTTTCCCTTCCAACCTGAAGTCTGGATGTCAATGCAGCCTCAGCCACAAGTTTGAGGATATCACAACTTTGCTGAAGGAGTTCATCCAAGCTATATGCCAAGGCGAATCTTGCCCATCGAAAGATTATAATAAACCTTACCCTTGTGTCCATGTCCGTGAATTGGCTCCCAGATCGACCCATGGCTATGTGCAATCCTACTCAGATGGCCTTAAGTCTATAGATGAACGGGTCAGCCTCCAAGAACGTAGACCTGCTTTGTCACTCGTCATCAATCTCTTCTTTTGTGTTCGGGATGGAATCATTGCTGTCATCCGCCTAGCTTAGGAAAGGAAAAATTTCTAAATGTGACGAAGACCATATGCGAACGGTGGTTCTGGCTTATGTTTATCGTCCTTTCTTGCCCTACTATCCGCGGCTTGCGCCATCACCATCTACCTTTTGCTAACCCAATAGACAATATGCAAGAACATTCATATGATCTCTGCCTGGGTGTGCAACGTTTATGTACCTCCTCAAGATCAGTTGATGTAAGACATGAAATAGGTAGGAATCCTCGAGAACCCAGGTAGCGCAACGACACCAAAAACTCGCAATGAGAACCACACAGCGAAGTGGGGCTTCTTCAATTTAGTCTGCTACTCTTGATGACTGCCAGGTAGACATCCTCATGCTTACACAGTAGACTCCCACCGGCTACATGCCACGAGTAATAGCAGCCTCTTCGAGCAGACTCCTCGTCCTTCATGTTTTTCTCTGCTTGCTCTCCATCCCGTCATCGGGAGCATCACAAACCTTCCGCACCTTGCCTAGGTAAATTCTAAAGACAACATAGGCGTATGCATGGGTCCGCGGCTCAGCCAAACCGACATTGCTGTATGCCATCATGGCCGCACCCTCAATGATTCGGCACTACTATCGGCGCCGACCGGCTAGATCTCGAGTGCGGGGACCTCACTTTCTTGACAAATAAAGGCCTTGGTCGTTACAGGCATACATTTCGAATCTGTCTCTAGTCAATCTGTCTCTTGCGAGAGAAGAGCTCACGAGATGGATCTTGGAACATTGGTAGGTGCTACAGCGGCGATGATGTTTGTGCGTCTCGTGCCATTAGCTCGCTGGAAGTTTTACGGCAACCAAGGATCAGATCAGAAAGACTTTTGCATTTTCGGGCTTACGTTAAAGACCCGTAAAACAACATTGATACAGCGACCAAGGCCGAGTTCCTGTATTCTGATGACAGAGTTGGAAACTCTGATGTAGTACTTCGATATCCGGTAACGCCTAGGGAAAATTGATAGGCATCGAAAACTCCTTGTGGAAGGTCTTGGGTACAGTATCGCTGTGTCGAGGCCTCCCTTGGATACTCCTGGCTGGTCATGAGTATCTTGTCGAGGAAAGCAGCGAGACAATTCGAACAGTCATCTGGTACGAACGTTCCAACCTGCTCTCGAAGTAAATTGTTACAGTGACTGTACCAGACCCCCTGTCTTAACCCCATGCCAATAGAGTTACACATCCTTCACAGGAGTTTGGAGATTTGCTCTCTGACAAATGCAAGAAGAAATACTGGGACGTCGTGTTCTATCAAGAAGCCGCAGGCAATGTCCGTGTTTATAGTCAGCGACTAGGGATTTGAGTTTTCTATTTCGGAAAAGCAGGACCGAGCCGAGGTGACGGGTTTACCAAGTTCTGACCTTAGTAACCGGAGCACGTCAAAGGCATCGGGGCAAAGGCCCCACAAATACGGTGATCGAGAGCCGGTTTTTCTCACTTCGGGGCCGGAGCTCCTCATGCCGGAGATGACCTCAAGGCCCCATGGATCTTCGCGTCTCCTTTGAACCTTTAGCAGCTGTCAAGTACTCTATCTCGCGAATACTGGCTGCTTTGTGAATGTCAGCGTAACATAGAAGTAGAGCTATGGTCGAAGATTAGCGCGCAGGTCTGGACTGGCAAGATTTCGCTCGTCTCGGAGGCCGAGATGCGGCATCCCACTGACGAAAATCCACACACAGTTGCTTGCGACTCATTCTAAAGCATTCATCAGTTTGCGGCCCCAGGCTTCTTTAACTCTGGTGGCTCGAATTAGAGGTGCCAAGGTTGCGAGCGCAAGGCTGACCCGTCAATTGGATGATCATGAAGGTGCTGTGTAAGTACCGCCGAATCCAGAGCGGCGAGAAGAATGCACTGCCGGCGGAGGACATGATTGTCAGACTCGATATCGAGGAGCGAGACGACCTCCTGGCCTGCAATTACAGTGTGGACAATCTTGGGGAGTGGCTTGCTCCGGCAAATTAAAGTGGCGGGCGTCAATGGTGTTTGTGGGCGGTTCTGTCACTTATAACCACTTTCTGCGTTTGCCTGCTCTGCCCGCCTGTTTTTTTGCTGCAGGATCTGCGCGAAGCCGATCAGCGATTTGTCCGACGCAGGGAGTTTGGGCAAGACAGTAGTAGTAAGACCCGAGACACGGCAAGGCTGGCTGCCAAACCTGCATCCCGTTCCTTATATTGGCTGGTTGGCAAAACTCAACGTGCCGCAAGCTTGTCGATTCGCTGCTTGAGCAGTCCCTCGACTTGTTGGACGGTAGCTAATAATGATGATAAAGTGGTGATGTGGCTCTACGAGGTGGTCCGCTTCTTTTTCGGCATGCCACAGGCAGGATTGGCCTTCGACAGGATTGGCCACGAAGCATTCTTGAATCCCCCCCCAGCGCGACCTCGTACCTGCAAGTGTGGACGAATGACACCCTCTGGATGGACAGATTCACGAAGAGACGCGGTGATGTGGATGATTCGAAGTGGCTGAAGAGAACGCAGCTAACGTAGTATAGCGGCCGGGGCACCTTTCGGCAGACGACGGGTGCGTTGCTCTAGGTTTCTTCGGGGCAAGTGACTGGCGGATTCAGGGACTACTCCTGCAGGTCCACGGGGTCTCGCTGCAGGTAAGAGTGGCCAAGAGGACGAAGGGGGTGTGAAGCCTGCAGCAACAGCAGGGCATAGCAGAGGGCGAGGAAGAAGCTGGGGTGAAGCCTGTGAAGTCAGTGTCAGAAGACGGCCCGTGTGTCGGATTGTCTTTTTTCCCGTTCCTTGGAGGCCGAGTGGGTCCCGGTCCCATTTGGGGGGTCCCCCAAATTTGAGATTGTGCCGTGTGTGCCTGAGGCGCAATATGCTCATCTGCCCGGATTGTGACCAGGATGCCATTGACAAGAATGGGTGAATGGCTTCCTCCCATTTCCCACTTGGCCCCATTCCATCTCAGTCCACACTCACACGGCGGGATCCACGGTGGTCCATGCCTTTTGCCAGGCCGTGCTGGTTCCTGGTGGCTCCCGGTATTACTGACTGATACTGGCTCTGGCGCTGTCTTTGGTCCCGGGCAGGGCGTGATCATGGATGAGACGTGGAAATTGGAGGTCAGATTCCTGCTTTTCCGGCCCTCAATGCAATCACCGTACCGCACAGTGATATCGTTCTACAGGCTATGGGACAACACAACCGCTGCGTAGGGACAGGATCTGCTTAAGTATTCGTACGGCATGGTTGAGCAATAGCTGCCAGTCTCATCTTCGTCCCAAGTTTTGACTTTTTTTTTTTGGAGAAAGAAAGCCGAGTACGTAACTCTCTGCAGCTTGCTTGCATTGTTGACAGTACCTTTCGCACAAGCACACGGGTGACGGGAATCCAGGCAAAGCCAACGTCCGGGAAGGAAAAAAACCCAACTTGTTTCATTCCTCTCGGGACACCTGTCAATGTCGTGATGCAATCCATCTCACGTGGGCTTTCCTTGGCCTTTGGATACAGGTGGAGAAATGCCCCCTTCAGACTTTGAGTGTCACTGTGTGTTGGACGTGAGGTTGCGGTGCTCAAACGCAGCCGCAGGTTGTTTCTCCTTCCGTGCTGTCCCCGTGGCTTGGCCGGCAAACAGTTGGCACTCTACTTTGTTTCTGGGTGGAGCAGATGCCACTTGGAGAATCACCGTAAATCGCCCAAGCGTCGGGCACGAATAAGGGGTCCTCTCTGTGTTGTCGCCCTTGAAGGGACAGCAAGACTCGGCCCAAAATGACAAAGGTAGAAAGGCCTTTGGTCACAAAAGTAAAAGCAAGGAACTGGATGAATAGAGACATTGACTGCCTGCAAGAAGACAAGCTGCAAATCTTACCCAGTCTCTTGAAATTCAATGTCTGTCGTTCCTTTCCCCAATCTCCAGATGCTCCTTTTGGCGGGTTTTTTTTTCTGATGCTTCATTATGACCACCGCCCCACGGCCAATCATGTCGTGCCGTTAAGGCGGACCCCGGTCTCTAATTCTCCTGCTCCATCCACCACCCATGCTCGGGATCCACTCGAACCAATCTAGCCCGACCGGGATTAGTCCACTTCAACCCCCTTTTGCTTGGAGAGGGAAGGGGACAGCAACGTGCTTCTCCCCCGTCCATCATGCACCACAGCACCCGCCGTCCAGTAGCAGAACAGCACCGGCCAGCCAGGCCCAACACCATCTCCCGTCCCCCATCAGGCATGCTGGTCCCCTGTATCTGCACCTCGTAGCGGCGGGCAAGCACCACCTGGGCACCCTCAGTTCCAGGTTCCGTCCCTTCCCAGTGGTCGTCCTCTGTAGTATCTGTACGTGTACGAAGTACCTACCTACCGTAATTAGTACTGAACGTACCTTAGGTACCCAGGGAGAGAGCAAGCAGAATGGAACGCGGTGCTTTAAAGGTACTGGACGTGGACGGCACGGTAGGTGAGGTGACCTGAGGTGAATCGTGAAGGGAGCACCGACCGTCGTCAGGAAACGGGGTCACACAGCCAAATCTTTCTTGTCCCCGTTGCACCCTAAATTTCCCCTTCCCACCCCCAAAACGTACGTTCATCGAGGAACCTACTACCTACCTCACCCTACACCTCTCCTTCTCTACTTCGCAACCACCACACCTTTCTCTCCCTTGAGGTTGTGATTCTTCTTTTCGGCCCCATCATCAACTTTGCCCTCGAGCATTTCGCCATCTCCTCTTTCGGCACCGAGAGGTCCAATTGTCTGTCGCCAGACCCCATTCACCACCTCTCTCCTTTTCTATCGTTCGTTACCCATCTGCGACGCTCCTTGACACGCGACTGCTTTGTAGACGTCCAGGTACGTAAATCTTCCGTCGTCTCTTCTTCTACACTTCTCCTATCGTTCAAGGACCGGATCGAGGAAACAAACTGGCCAAACAAATGCTCCCTTTCCCTCCTTCACCTGGCCAGCTGGCATGATCTTGCTGTTGCGCAATACTACAAACCCATCACCACTTGCGTCGTCCCATCTCCTGAGCCAATCTTCCTGCTTTCCAGCAGCGTTTTGCCTCACATCACAGCCTAGCTAACACATCCTCTTTATCCTTCAGATCCAGATATTTTTCTTGAGACAAACATCTCCAAGACAACTCCCCCGATATTCGCAATGGGTAAGCAGCTCGCGGTGTCATGATCTACGAACCAGGACCGGCAAGGCAAAACGAGAATCAGACCGGAACAACAATGGCCACATGAGAAACCGTATACGATCAACTTCAAAGAAACCCCAATCCGCTCCCACCCGACGTTCTCTCTCTTATCTCTCGGATGCTTTCCTGGGCCCCAACAGTCGTTAGCATAGCCCAACGATGTGAAGGCGGTAGACAACAATATGGGAAGATATGAAAGACGACCTGCCCCTTCGCAATTCGACACCAAACAAACTATACAATCTTGTTCTCGCCGCTGCCTTGCCGCCCTGCTAAATCTCAATTTCTCGAAGAGAATCATTTACTGACGTGATCGCAGCTGACGAAGGTTCTCCTGCTACCTCCCCGCCGCCCTCGGCGTCCACTTCGCCCCCCGTCGAAGAGCCCTCATCTGACTCCTACCAAGCTGGCGGTGCCCCTTCGGCTCCCTCCAGTGATCTTAGGAACATTGTTCGCCGCAAGCTGACTGGCTATGTCGGCTTTGCGAACCTGCCTAACCAATGGCACCGCAAGAGTGTCCGCAAGGGCTTCAACTTCAACGTGATGGTTGTTGGTATGTCATTTACCGTTGTCTTCGATGACATGGAACACCCGCTAACATTGCTTAATTCAGGTGAATCTGGACTCGGAAAGTCGACCCTGGTCAACACTCTCTTCAACACTTCTCTTTACCCTCCCAAGGAGCGCAAGGGCCCTAGCTTGGACATCATCCCGAAGACGGTTACCATTCAGTCCATCAGCGCCGATATTGAGGAGGCTGGCGTCCGCCTTCGCTTGACCGTGGTCGACACCCCTGGATTCGGCGACTTCGTCAACAACGATGAGTCCTGGCGCCCGATTGTCGACAACATTGAGCAGCGTTACGACGCCTACCTTGACGCTGAGAACAAGGTCAACCGCATGAACATCGTGGACAACCGTATCCACGCCTGCGTGTTCTTCATCCAGCCCACTGGCCACTCCCTCAAGCCCCTCGACATCGAGGTCATGCGCCGCCTTCACACCAAGGTCAACTTGATTCCCGTCATCGCCAAGGCCGATACTCTCACCGACGAGGAGATTGCCAATTTCAAGTCCAGAGTATGTAAAGTCCTCTTCATCAACTCGTGACACCCACTAAATCCTTCCAGATTCTCTCCGATATCAAGCACCACGGTATCCAGATCTTCGAGGGCCCGCGCTACGAGCTTGACGATGAGGAGACCATTGCTGAGAACAACGAGATCATGTCCAAGGTTCCCTTCGCTGTCGTTGGTGCGACTAACGAGATCACCAACGCCGACGGCCGCAAGGTCCGTGGACGTAGCTACCCCTGGGGTGTCATCGAGGTCGACAACGAGGAGCACTGCGACTTCGTCAAGCTTCGCCAGATGCTCATTCGGACGCACATGGAGGAGCTCAAGGAGCACACCAACAACAGCCTGTACGAGAACTACCGTACCGACAAGCTCATTGGTATGGGCGTGTCGCAAGACCCCAGCGTTTTCAAGGAGGTCAACCCCGCCGTCAAGCAGGAGGAGGAGCGCGCCCTGCACGAGCAGAAGCTCGCCAAGATGGAGGCCGAGATGAAGATGGTCTTCCAGCAAAAGGTTGCCGAGAAGGAGAGCAAGCTGAAGCAGAGCGAAGAGGAGCTCTACTCCCGCCACAGAGAGATGAAGGAGCAACTGGAGCGCCAACGCATGGAGCTCGAGGAGAAGAAGCAACGAGTCGAGAGCGGCCGGCCCATCGAGAAGGAAGGCAAGCGGAAGGGTTTCTCGCTCCGTTGAGATGCCTCCTTTGGTCTCTTGACGCCACACGTTGCTCGCATTCTTCTTTCCACGACCCATGTCTAAGTACCAATGATGCCCATACAATACCAGCACACCGCGCCTCTTTGTCGATTCTCTTCATGTTCTTTCTTATCACCCCCTTTTTCTGGACCTCTTTTAATCACACCCTCATCTAATCACTTAACGGAATCCCAGCATCATCAAAAAGTCTTTACGAAGCAGTCACGCAGGGGGCTTGATGCAGATTAAGGAGGGAAAGACGCGAAAGGAATGAGGAGTCATTGCTTCTCTTTGTCAGCTTAGTTACAGTGCTTCGAAATGATGATTCCCTAGACCTTGTCCAAAGTGCCTATTCATGTGATGTCTCAAGTCCACCTATTCTTTCCAATCTTTGCCTTGAATCGCTGCGACGTAATGTCTTTGATTCCTTTGCATAGTCTAGCTCCTGATGCTCTCATTTGCTCCTTCCGAGGGGGTGGGTTAAAACTACAAACTGCTGATGTTCCTGCAGCTTACAAGAACCGCTGGTAACATTGTCATAGAATTATGGGTTTTGCGACACAGTATGTTTAGTATGTTTAATTTCTCTTCCCTTGATGATGTACATAGACGACTACGTCTACACCTTTTTACATGCAGTCCTACAAGTTTTGGGGATCCATGTCCTGTTGTACACTGCCGTCTGATCCTTCCAGCGGCCATCTCCTCTGCTGCACCACTACCACAACCACAACCACTACCAGGCACGACACCTACATCTCTACACACACGCTCAACCCCTCCTCAGGTACCAGTTGAAAGCCAACTGGTTCGTCTCGTAGGTGAAGGGAGTGGGCACCTCGGCCACACCGCGCCTCGCGACGGGGTGGCGGAGGTAGACGGCGGCGCAGATGTTCTGGTTCACCTCGAGGTAGCGCGGGATAAAGGCAAAGGGCGCCATGTAGCGGCGCGGCTGCCAGGGGGTCCAGTAGGGCTTGGACTCGTCGATGGGGTTCTCGGCGTTCTGGCGGAGAAGGTCGGCAAAGGCGGCCTGTTCGGCCTTGTTGAGGCCGCTGAGCGCGCCGCGGACGTCCTTTGAGGTGATGAGGTCCTTGACGGCCTCGGTCTCTGCCTTTTCTTTGGCGCTCGTCGGCTTGGAGTGGTCGTCCTTGGCCTCTGCTTCGGGGGAGGCGACGGCCTCGACCTTGTTGCCCTCGAGCTTGAAGTCCTTGAGGAGGGCGGTGAGGTTGTCCATTACGCCGACGTGGTCGAGCGAGGCGGAGTCGGTGACGCGGCCCGATGTGGAAATGGCGCGCTTGGCCTCGGCCATGAAGGCGCGGAGTTGGCGCTTCTTGCTAGGTGTGAAGCCGTTGGTTCCGTCGTTGATGAGGGTCTTGACGGAGCGGACGAGGGACTTGAGCTGCTTGTGGAGCTGGGCGGACTTGTCTGCCTCGGAGAGCTGGCTTCCCTCCTCCCCGTCGGCGGCTGCTTCTGCTGCTTCGGCGGCGGCCTCGCCGCTTTCTGCGGCAGCATCGGCTTCTTCGACGGCGGCTTCGGCTTCGGGAGCCTCGAGTGCTGCGTCACCGGATTCCTGTTCTGAGGCACCCTCCTCAATCGCCTCTTTGTTGCCCTTGTCGCCGGAGTTCAGGGATTCATAGTCTTTACCGGCGAGCCAGAGTGCGTGCTTGGGAGTCTTGGCCCGGCCGGTTGCGAAGAGGACATTATCGACATCAACCTGGAACATATCGCCGGGGTTGAGCTTGTAGGCACCATAGCGCATCTAGAAGCGGATGATTAGATGCCTGCCGTATACAGATGGCGGGAACTCGTGTTTGGGCAGGGGGTAATGTGGTGACTCACAACTTTGCCGTTGACCTTGACGGCGCCGTGTGTGCAGAACTGTTTTGCCTGGAGCGTACTGCTGGCGAACATGGCGCGGAAGATGGCGATGTCCAGCCTCCTCTCGAGGGGGGCGAACGCCATCTGCATGTAGGGCGTCATTTGCTGGACGGGACGGGCAAGCATCGCGGTCTGTGGTTCACCCCCTCTCGTGCGTTCCTCTCTGGAACGATCTTCTCTGGCTGATTCGAGCTTGGAGAATTTATATGCGGTGGGCGTGCGGTCCTCTGATCCCGGCTCGGCGTGCAGACCGGAACCGCGGCCGGCCGAGTGCTCTGATCCGTCGTACTTGGCGAGATACTCAGGCGGCATATCGACGGCGGAGAAGAGGCGGCGGGAGAAGTTGCGCGACCATTCCGCCTCCTTGACATGGGCGCCGTGGTAGGCACGGGTCATTGACTTGGCGGTCCATTTCTGCTGGAAGAAGGTTCTCGAGATACGGTTTCGTTTCAACTTCAATGTGGCGAGGTTGTAAAGGTTGTACTTATTCCATGACTGGCGAATTTTCTGTTTGAGGAGAAAGAGAAAAGGTGGTAATGGTTAGCTTCAGTTCATCCCTCGTTCGTTCCAGCGTCATGCGATGGAAGTTGTCGAGGGCAAGTTCAGGGGAACGCAGAATGCGATTGACGTCGAGGCTCAGTGGGAAAGGATGGATGATAGCTTACTGGCTTCACCAAGTTGTACCACCTTGGCTTTCTACCTCTCATGTTGGGCTAATTGGGGCTGAATGGTCGCGGACTTAGAGCTGGAGGGATGGCGACAGCTTCAGGAGCACGAGACGCAGAGACGGAAATTTTGGTGATGGAACGGCATGTCCCGGTAGCCGGTACGTACTTCTTCTGGCCTGCCGTAAGAGCTGTCACGTCGTCACGTGCGGAGATAGCTTACCTAAGGTAAGGTAGCATTAGAATTGGGCGGGAGAAAATATTGCTTACCTAAGGATCATTTTTTCGAGGCTTTACGAGGACTGGGATCATGGCAGTACGTACCCAGCCTCCCGCAGCATTCGCAGCCACCCGTGTGGTTGATTTTTTCAGTCTCCCCACCCTAGCCAAGTGGACTCGAGCTGCGGGCGGTGAGCCTCAAATGCGCGCAAGCCGCCGCGGCAGAAACTGGAGCTCTCGCTCGTGCATGCGAATTCTGGTCGCAAAATCCTCACTACTGGAGAAACGGGGGACTTTTTTTTTTCTTTTTTTCTGCCACTCCCGCTTGACCAAGAATTATCGCCTTTCTCCGCTGACTGTCTAAACTCTGAACCTCAAAACTTATTACACGAAGAACGCCCTGCTTGTACCACGGTCGTCCAACTGCATTGACTGATTTCTACACTGTAAGCTTTCTCCGGATTACTCACTTACCCCCTCTGACTCTTTGCGCTTGCCTACCCCGCCACATAATAAATACCACCTACTTTCCCCCCTCGAGTCTATTGTCTTGTCACTTCCCTTTGTCGCGCCACAATCTACTGCTAATTGCGACCGAGAACTCACAATTGACAATTTCTCTGCTATACAGACGATTCAACATTTCTTACTTCACACCCCGACTCACCCTACGATGAGCGCCGCCGAGGAGACCAAGCCCGTCGAGGCTATTGCCGCCGAAGCGCCCGTCCAGGTCGAGGAGCCTGCAAAGGTTGAGGAGACTGCCAAGGTCGAGGAGACTGCCAAGGTCGAGGAGACTGCCGAGGTCGAGGAGACTACCAAGGAAGAGGTCGAGGCTGAGGCCAAGCTTGTCGAGTCCGAGACCAAGGAAGCCGACATCATCAAGACGACCGCCCAGATCGACCAGAAGACCCACGCCAACAATGTCAAGTTTGACCCTTCCCTCCTCAAGGAGACAGACGATCCCGTTGAGATCCGCAAGCAGGTAAGGCATTCCCATCTGAGGACCCCAACTGACCGATTGACTAACGCGATTGACTGTAGGTCGAGTTCTACCTGTCGGACAGCAACCTTCCCCACGACAAGTTCCTGTGGGAGATTGTTGGAGGATTCGACAACAAGCCCATCCCCCTCAATACCATTACCAACTTCAAGCGCATGCGTCGCTTCCAGCCCTACTCCTCCGTCGTCGCTGCGTTGAAGGAGAGCACGCAGGTTAACATCGCCGGCGAGGAGGGTGAGGAGACTATCCAGCGCAAGCAGGCTTACACCTCTGGTAACGACAAGTTCAACGCCCGCTGCGTCTACGTCAAGGGATTCGGAGATGAGGAGCCCACCACCCAGTTCGACCTCGAGTCCTTCTTCAGCCAGTACGGAACCATCAACTCCGTTCGTCTTCGTCGCACCAACGAGAAGCTCTTCAAGGGCTCCGTCTTTGTCGAGTTCCCCGATGAGGAGGCGGCTCAGAAGTTCCTTGCCCTCGACCCCAAGCCCAAGTGGAAGGAACACGACCTGAAGATGATGCCCAAGATCGACTACGTCAAGGAGAAGTCCGCTCTGATCCTCGCTGGCAAGCTCGAGCCCAACACCTCCCGCCGATTCTTCGAGGGCAAGGAGGGTGATAGCCGCGGTGGCCGCGGCGGTCGCGGCAGAGGTGGCCGTGGTGGCAACTTTGGAAACGACGATTGGAAGCAGCGCCGCGACCACGACCAGAAGAACGGCTTCAGGGGTGGCCGGGGCGGACGCGGTGGACGCGGCCGTGGCCGTGGTGGTGACCGCCGTGGTGGCCGTGGTGGACGCGACAACCGCGAGAACCGCAGGGATCCCAACGAGGTCACCAACGACCGCAACGCGTATGTATCACCGTATCTGACTGGTAGGGACAGCAAAGCTAACCAGTCTCACAGTGGCAAGCCTACCATCCAGGCTACCAACGGCAACGGCGAGGCCTTCGCGGAAGACAAGAACAATAACGGCAAGCGCGGACGCGAGGAGGACGGCGCCGTCCAGCCTGAGGCGAAGAAGGTCAACACCAAGACCGACGTCGCCGCATAGGGTAATGAGATGGAAACCCCCTCATTACGCCTCGGAATTCCTCTGACACAAGATACCACTTACAAAAGCAACTTTTATCGGACTCGATTTTTTTGGCTCTCCTGCCTGTTGATAAACGAGGCACACGGTCTATGGCGTTCATGGGACTTGACTTTAGGTATTACTGGTTTAGAGGTCTGGTTGTTACGAATAGCATGAGCATGCGACCTTACTCAGTAGTGCCTCTGTCTGCAACATCGCGACTGCGAGAATGGACCTACTCACCAGCAGTTGTGCAGTTCTCTGTTGGGACACAATCTAGTTCAATCAAAATATTTCTGACCACTTTTGAACAAATGTTGCCTTTCTCGGATCGATCGAATATTAAGTGGGCTCCGTTCTGGGACTAATACCAGCGGCATAGCTCAAACGATACGGTAGCTACTGCAGTGCCAGCAATACACCCTCACCGCGTCCAACTTCAACTAGAGGTCCAATGGTTTTTGTAGGGATCAATCTACTGCCCTGTCCAGCTGTCCAGGGTTCCCGTATCTATGCATAGGTACGGACAATGGCCGAGATCGCAAAAATCTGAGGCGCCCGAGGATCTTCGCCGTCACAGTCCTGAGTCCTGACGCCGAAAAGGTTGCACGCTGTGACAGCCGAAGCCGACAAGCAGCGACGTTGTGGAGATGGTTAGCTCCATCGCAAATCCAGACCAACCAACAAGAGTGGTCATCCGAACGTCAGCGACCCTGGATCGCTGCCGATTCGGCACCGGAGTGCCGTCCTGGGGTCCTTTCAAGGCTCCGAACCACCAAGGAGAGACGTCCAGACGAACGGATTACGGAGGCGGAGGCAAAATCCGGACTCAGATCTTGTCAGCTCCTAGTCAGTTTTTCCTTGCTATTGCGCCCACTTAGACCACGGCGTTTGTGATTCTCTATATCCGCTTTGAGTAACTTGACTAATAGGTGCACCCAGTTTTACCTGATTTCAATGCCAAAATTTTCAACATGCCCACCGGAAGCAAAGAGATCTAGATCCAGGTACCCGAAAAGAAGAGAGGGAATCAAAGCGGCTGAGTCCGTTCAGCCCTCAAGTCTCGGGGATATCTGTGCCTAGCGCCGCTTCAGACGGCGTCATGGGGCTCGAGGAGCAGCCCTCGCCCCAAACGCATCTCTCGGCCGTTGAGTCGTCGTCTTTATTTGCTAGTAGTCACACGCATCTTATGCTGACCTGCCAGCGGACGTCATTGGATAATTGAAGCTAACAAGCATGCTCGGCAGAACACTTCCCGAAGCCGCAAGTGCGGGCATGCGCCGATGGAGAAGCGATGTGCGGCGGGCCGCCTTCTGGGGAACACGTCGAGGCGTCCATGGTCCCGGTGTTAAGAGATTTTAATGGGAATGATTCATTTCTGTTGCCCTCCTTTCTGATGCTGCTCTACTTTTTATTTAATTGGGGCGTGTTTCCAGTTGTCTGGAACAGATTTGCTTCGAGTTGAGCCTCCTCGTTACTTACTCCTACACTATCTCACCTTAGTACTAATAACTACTACTGCTACTACTACTCACTTATATACGTCATTGAATCATCCGCGCCTAGCAGTATCCAACCCACGCCAAGGTGACTGGCCTGGCATTTTCAAAGGAGAGATTGTACCTATAGCAAACACATAACTTATCAAGAGAATGGCGGACTCAAGCAACCCGCCACACTCAGCTCAACGAGATTCACACGATGAGGAGGACCGACCCGCGAACCCCCAGCGCACGACGCTAAGACAGCAGGTCGAAAGACACATCACAGCAGCGTCAGAGAAGAAGGTCGAAGAGAAGCAGACAGAATCATCACGGCACTCGTCCTCATCAGACGACAGCGACAGCAACTCAGAACACAGTGCAAGCGTCCTCCATGGCGGACGGAGCTCAAGGTCAAGATCCCTGTCGAGGACGGTATCCGAAGTCAGAGATGGCATCCAGAACAGACGAGACCTGGAACGCGGCGAAGAACTTGATCTTGAGAAGACACCGACGACACGGACAGCGCGAGACCCGAACCTCGTAACATGGGATGGCCCGAATGACCCCGGAAACCCAAAGCAATGGTCGATGAAGAGGAAATGGGCGGCAGTCTTCTGCAGTATGTCAAGCCCCGCATTAACAACCCAGACGAATATTAACAAGTGTACAGTATCATGCTTCACCCTGCTCTCGCCGGTCTCTTCATCCATGGTTGCGCCAGCTCTAGAGGCCATCGGGTCCGACCTCAACATCACAAGTTCCTTCGAGAAGGCCCTCGCCCTCTCCATCTTCGTCCTCGCCTACGCCGTGGGCCCCCTAGCCTGGGGTCCCCTCTCAGAACTCTACGGCCGCGTCATCGTCCTCCAGCTCACGAACCTCTTCTACATGTTCTTCAACCTCGGATGCGGTCTCGCCCAAACCAAGAGCCAAATGATTGCCTTCCGCTTCCTCGCCGGCCTCGGCGGCTCAGCGCCCCTAGCCATCGGTGGCGGCGTCCTAGGCGACTTATTCGAAGCCGAGCAGCGCGGCAAAGCCATCAGCATCTACTCCCTCATGCCTCTACTGGGCCCAGCCATCGGCCCCATCGCCGGCGGCTTCATCACACAGAACACGACGTGGCGCTGGATCTTCTACAGCACCACGATTCTCACGGCCGTCATTCAGTCCATCGGCTTCTTCGTACTCCAGGAGACTTTCGCGCCGGTGCTCCTCACGCGGAGGAAGAAGCGCCTCATCAAGGAGACGGGCAACACGGCGCTACACACCGACTTTGACCACCCGGACCGCACCATCGCGCGCACCCTCGGCATCGCCTTCACCCGCCCCTTCCGCCTCCTCGGCACGCAGCCTCTCGTCCAGTGCCTGGCGCTCTACATGATGTACCTCTACGGGTTAATGTACCTCGTGCTCTCGACCTTCCCGGCCCTCTGGACGGGCGAGTACGGCGAGTCCGTCGGCATCAGCGGCCTCAACTACATTTCCCTCGGACTGGGCTTCTTCATCGGCGCACAAACGTGCGCCCCGCTCCAGGACCGGATCTATGCCGCCCTCAAGCGCCGCTATGTTCCAGACGGAGGACCGGGACGCCCCGAGTTCCGCGTGCCGATGATGATTCCCGGCGCCATTCTTGTACCGATGGGTCTTGTGATCTACGGCTGGACGTCCCAGTACCATACGCACTGGATCGGGCCCAACATTGGCGCGGTGCTCTTCAGTGCGGGCGTGATTATCGGGTTTCAGTGTATCCAGGGCTTCTTGGTTGATACGTATACGCGATATGCTGCTAGTGCCGTCGCGGCGGCGACGGTGTTGAGGAGCTTGGCTGGGTTTGGATTCCCATTGTTCGCGCCGAGTTTGTATCAGAAGTTGGATTATGGTTGGGGCAATACGTTGCTTGCGCTGTTGGGTGTTGTTATCGGTTGGCCTGGACCGTTGTTGCTTTGGAAGTTTGGACCGAGGTTGAGGAAGAAGAGTCAGTATGCTGCTGGCTGAGTGATACCCAATGAAGTTGAGGTTATGAAGAACCATGATATAGATTGATATCTGTAGCTGAATTTTTAGCTCATTTAATCATCTCATCTTACTATTAACCTTCTAACCATTGTTTGTGCTCAGGGCCACACCATAATGCATATGGTCGGTGATGCAATGTGAGTGTTCTCAATAACGGACTGAGGTAAGGCTTACTCAACCCATGCCAAAGACTTCGTTAGCCTGAAATAACTGTCCAAAGGTGGCCATCTTGCAAGCCGGTTCTGCCGTGCTCCTACTTGCTTAAGGCAAGACTAGCCGCTTCCCACCAATCTCACTGTTACGTGTGTAGCTAAGGTGGGCCGCGATGGTTCCGCGATCCGGTGAAGGAGGCCGATCATCAATCTGCGACGGAGAGACTCCGTGCCGGGCCGGCCAACGGACGGAAGGCACAGGCTGCGCCGCTGACTCAACAAGCCGAAGCTGCGAGCTCATCGGTTGCACTGATCTCTGATTAGCCGATTGAGTGTTAATGGTTGAGACGACGAAGAGTCTTTGAGGTATGATAATATTCAAATGTTTCGTTTAATCATATTCAGTGCGCGACCAGTGAAATCTTATCCACTAAAATTTCCTGGGTAGCCTTCTCGATTGTTGAAAGTCAAATGTATGTCCTGGAATCAGATGCTGTTGGATCTTGGCTCTTGAGCCGTAAGGAAGGTCAAGTGACATTTGTCAGACTTCGTCAGCTTGAAGGCAACTTTGCCCCTTGGACAACAATGACGTAGGAGTTAGTTAGCATCCAGAAGGATCGTACGACGAGTGGATTTGAATAATGTCAAGTTTTCTGCAAGCAAAGCTTACGGCGTTCACGATTGACCCCATGAAGTTCAGTATCTGGGAAACGAATGCTAAAGCCAAGGAGTGATCCGTCCTAACCGGGAAGAGTTGTCGGAATGTGGGTGGGCGCAGTCGAAAAACAGCCCTTCCAAAAAGCAACGAAAGCACAGCCATGTCATTGCAAGACTGACTCGTAAAAGGCCCCTTTCGCGCCCCTTTTCAGGCCCCCTTCCATGTAACTTCAGTGCCCTTCACGCCTATGAGATTGAAGGGTTCTACGGCAGACTGCAAGATGCACTCCGCCAAAACACTTTTTCTCAGTAGACTTACGGTAGCCGTACAACTGAGTACGCTAAAGTGCCATACGTGCCCTACGTATAAATGAATATGATTACTAATCCCGTATAATATGGCAAGTAATTGATTGCGACCGGAGGCGCCGTAGATTACATGAGGGTAGTTGACTGGGCGGTAGAAGTAGGGCCACCGGGGTCTATACCTCCTTACTAATTTCTATTGCCGATTAATTTCCTCTTTTTCCTATCTAATTTAATATCCTTTAAGAGAAGTAAGTAACCCGCCTACGCCCCCCTATTTGCTTATATAATTTCGTTATATTATACCGTTATATTATATTACTCTTTGGCCTCTCTTTCTACTACGTTTTATAAGCTAGTTAATTTTAGAATCTAAGATGTTTATTATATACTACCCTATACTTCCTTATAATGTCTTATTAACCCGTATACTCTAGCCCCTCTATTAAATTAAGCTTAATCCTAAATTCTATAAAAAGGGCCGCTATATTCCCCCTAATGTCGCTATAAACTATACTTAGGCGGCTAATACTATTTAGACTATAGTCTATAGTACCGTATAGCCCGCTATTACGTCGTACTTTTATTATAAAGTAGGTAAAGAAATATTTATAGATTATATTGTCTTTATAGGTTATGGCTAACTTTATACTAAGTTATTTACTACCGTTAAGCTTAGTTTCTCCTTAACTTATAATGATCTTATTTTTCTTTTCTATTTTAATTTTCTTTTTAATTTTCTTTTTTTCTTATTTAGCTATTAAGTCCTCTTTTATTTTAATTATTAGCTTAATTCTAGTACTAGTTAAACTAAGAGGTTAGAGGTAGGCAAAAATAAAATAAATAAATAAGTTAAGATACGAGTTGGGATAATCAGAGAATCGATTGTATTGATGATTATTCTATAATATGATGGGAAAGTATAGTTTATATATAATATAAGAATATCATATGTAATCACATGTAATTATATGTAATCACATGTGATACTTAAGTCCGAGCATTAAGTTTATACGGGCATATGTGCCTGTCTGCGCTTTAACATGTATATGTAAAGCGTATTTAGTACGGGCTGTACGTGCGTACAAAGCGTTGTATCTCAGTAGATACGTACTTCAGTTGAGCCTCTTATTACCATGTAACTTCTTAAGCACGTAACTCATATGATACCTGAATTTATAAATTATAAATATATCATTAAAATTGTAGAAAACCACTGAGTCTAGATATATTTATAAAACATCTGTAGCCATTATATTCATTAAGATATTAATATATATTTTTTATATTATAGAGTACTAGCTTTAAGGCACTAATTAAGTATAAGTTTTAGAATTTTAGTAAATGTTCTAAGTGTTAATAACCATATCTTTAGAATATTCTTATTTATATAAGATAAGGTATTATATATCGTTTTACTTATAGTTTTGGTCGGTATTGGCTTTATACAGCCTTTTTTCTTTCTTAATAACTTAAGATTCAATAATTAGCGACTTAGTTTTAGTTTAAGAAATAATAAATAAATAGTAATTTTCTTTTTTATAAGATATCATAGCTTTAAAGAGGAATCTCTCTAAACCTATAGCTTTATATATTACCTCCCGGTTTTAGAAATATTGTAAAGATTCTTTATATTAATAAGCAATGTTATTTATTTTATAAAATAAATTTAACGTGGTTCATCAGTCAGTGACGAACTTTTTCCCATGCACGTAATGGTATTTACTATTGCACAACCACAACACATTGAATTAACTATTCCTCATTACTACTCGAATCATTTGACAATTCCGTATCCTTAGAACAGGTTCGCGCATTATGACCGGTCTCGCCACACACACCACAGCGTCTCCGAGCTGGCTAGGCTCTCTTTGATGGACCCCCCTCCTCATCCTCTTGAGGTGCAGGACGTTTCCCTTTTTGTTTCCCTTCAAGCAAAACCTGAGATTCCTCTATACTAAGCGCCCCTCCAAGCTGGACCCGCGTCCTTTTAGCCCTCCGGCGCTTACGAAGTGCAATATTCGCATCCTCAAGGGTACGAAGCCGATCAGTCAAAAGAGTGATTGAGTGCGCCATTGCCTGCGCACCCTTTGACAATTGCTCAACTGCAGCAATAATTGGCGTTGGTGAGCTTCCTTGATGAGCAGTGATCCGACTTTTGATAAAATTGGACTGCGAGACGGTTTGTTGTGGGTTAGAGGGCGTTTGCGACTGCCAAGGTGGTGGTGTTAAAGGGTTGGCCACAGGAGGTGTAGGCGTCCGTAAACGTACATCAAGCTTTTCAATAACATGCTCTGGGTTCCATGGTGAAATTCCAGCGCCTTGAAAAGCAGCCCTAATGTTTTCTTCATTAAAAACTTTGTTGTGGGCCTGGTAGAAGGCAATAAAGAACTCCGACTTGGTGATGTGGTTTATGGAGGCTTTGATGAATAGGTTGATTTCATCACCATATGCGCGTTTTAAAGGCGAACAAAGGGCAATATCTAATGGCTGTAGTAGATGTGACGAATGTGCAGGCATACTGACGGTTATAATATTGTTCTGCTTGCAGTAATTGTCGAATTCGGCCGATAAATGGCTCTCGTGGCCGTCGATAATAAGCATCCGGTAGACGCCCTTCGTTTGGTTCTTAGTATGTTTGTCGAAGTGTTTAATCCAGTCAAGACCCGTCTGATTATCCGTCCATCCATTATTAGTAGGTTTGATAACCCAGTCGCTAGGAAAACCTGATTCCGTGGTCCAACTAGCAAGGTGATATGCGCCTTTGACAATCACGAACGGAGGGATGCACCACCCGCCCGAATTGATACATTCAATGACTGTAGCCCATTCACGGTTGCCAGACTGGACAGACTTTGCTTTGCCGCGTCGATCAGCGCGTGTTACTACTATTGACGCGGTGATCATGCCCATCATAAAGCCAGTTTCGTCGAAATTATATAGGTCCCCCTCTTGGATGCCATACTTGGCCATCATATTGCGTAACAGCGCAAACCACTTTGATATAACCTCAGGATCTTCTTCAAGAGCCCTTTGATAATCGTATGGACGATTAAACTTGGTTTTCAGAGCAGGCTGCGAGTCCACAAACCGCCTGGCCCATCGCTTGCCAACAGGCTTGCCATTACGCGCTCGTAGCAGGAGATTGGCCATATCTTCCACACCAGCGAGACGCAAGGGAAACCCTCTTTGATCCTGCTCAATAACGTATTAGAAAAGCGCTTTCTCTTCGATCGCATCAAGTTTATGTCGTTGGGGTTGGGCACGTTCGCGTCGGGGTCGATCGTTCATTCTATGGCGTACGGAACTTTCGGGGACACCGTAAGTCTTCGCAGCACGCAATACACTTAGTTTTCGGCCGGCGGCGCGGGCTGATCGGATAGTCTCGATGGCTAGAAGTATCTTGTCTTCTTGTGTGTAAATTGGCATAATGGTTGTGGAGTTATTACGCGTCAGGTTGGAGTGGTTTAATGCAAACCGCATTTGGGAAAAAGTTCGTCGCTGACTGATATTCGTCGCTGACTGATGAACCACGTTACATTAATTATTAGCAATTGTGTCACAGACCCGCTGTCCTAGCCCCCAACCTTGAGGTTGGTGTTGAGTAATCCGGTGGCCGGGTTACGTAAGCCTGAGGCTGGATAAAACCCTGCATCCTGTATTCTGTCGCGCATGTCCAGAAACGTAGCTCCTTGAGCTACGTCTTGTCAACAGAGCCTGTACCTGCTTAGGATAGAGCCTGCCCGTAGCAATATATTGTCTGATCCGCCTGCCCAGCATCCACCTGTCGTGGATTATCGTGATCATATTGTTGTCTATGTTGCGTTTTCTCCTTTCCAGATGCAGCCAGGAATATCCCTCATCTGAGGCACTTGGATTCCTGCATTCTCATTGGTTGGTCTCACCCAGATTATTATGGGTCCAGATTGCTCGTTCTGGTCCGAGCATACCCGCCCAATTCCACTTCCGCACTTCAACACCACCTGCCAAACAACCTGCCTGCTACCGTGACAAAAGATATAATGAGAAGGAAGAATTTTTGTAATAGTTTATAGTAGTACGTAATTTTATATATCACTATACGGGGTCCTCTAAACTTAATTAATAATATGTTTTAAGCCGTAATTCTACGTAAACCATATTTATGGTTTATCCTACTAGTATAAAGTTTAATAAGCGGTGGTGGGGTGACTGTAAAATTCGATTTCTGCTTTGACGTATGAAAAAAGTATTTTGGCGGAGTGCCTCTTGCAGTCTGCCGTAGGTTCTCGGGATGTGGGCGGCGTTCCGCGCTGGATTAGGAAAACTTCGTGCGGTTATTCCAGCAAATGCTTCACTTACACGATTAGGCTTCAGGCCTGACCGTTACGCCCGCCGCAACTTGTCACTGTGGGCGCGTAGCTATATAATGCAGAACAAGGGAAAATGATGCGGAGTCATCATTATCGAAGCTTTTGCTTTGTGCCACAGTTGGTTGCCTTGACCTGCTCGTAACACTGACCCAACAAACAAGCATTCAGCCCCGCTTAGCAACCTGTTTTATAGGCTTCTTATAGGCGCCCTCATCCGCGCGGTTGCCAAGAAGGGCTTAGCTGATGGATTTGACAGACGATCATCCCAGGTCTATGCCTGTTGAGGCTCCATGGAGTCACTATACGGGCTTCCCGAGTCTTCCACCACGCAGTGGACTGACTGGTTCAACCGTCCAACGGTCTTGACTGGATATTTCGTGTAATTGGGGAGGCGATCATCAGGGGACGAGGAAATGAACGATAAAAAGGACGGGGAACTCTTGCCTCGCAGATTCATGTTCATAGTCTCTTCACTCTCACTTCGACCGTAACAAGGACCTCAAGCCAATACATTCGTTCATCAAAACTCATTGCCTCTCTCACGATGCACTCCACTCTTTCAAAAAGCTTGACGGGCGTTGCCGCCTTGGCATCTGTTGTCTCCGCGTTCCCTTTCAAGCTCGCAGAAACTGCACACTGCGCAGCTGTTAGCGGCACATTCGAAATCGAGAACTTTAAGCTCTATCCCGAGAATCTGGATTGGGACCCTATTCACTGCAAGCTCTACATAAGGTATGGTTGTATTGCAACCCTCCGACATCAGATCTCGTCACATCTCATATCCTAACCTGGTCGCCCAAACTTTAGTGCCAACTTCAACTCTACCGTTCTTGTCTACGACCCTTACAAGGCAACCTACGACATCCTTTCTTTCGACGGCATCACTGGCCTAGACCCTTACCACGTATCCGGCATCGACTATGATGCAACGACCGAGTCAATCCTTATTTCTGCCAACAGCGGAGAACCCTTTGCGACCTCCGGCTCGAACATGACCGGCGGCAACAAGGTCATCCGCTGGGATACCAACACAAACTCGGCCGCGTACACGGTTGACCTGGCAGACTTCACGTCCAAGCTGGCAATCGACAACTCAACCGGCGGAGGATACCAAGACTTTGCAGAGGACAAGGACGGCAACGCCTACGTCCCCTCAGTCTTCCACGTCCCCGCCATCGCCAAGATCACCAAGGCCGGCGAACTCTCAAGCTGGTACATTGGCGAGCCGAGCTCGTCCAGCAAGTACATGTACCTCGGCATCATCTTCCACGAGGCCACCAACAAGCTCGTCATCACCGCGCCCTACCTCGGCACCTTCCTCTCCTTCGACGTCGGCTCCTCCAGCCCGGCGCCCACCAACATCAGCATGACCTGGCCCGCGGACGGCTCCTACACCGCCAGCGATCTCGATTGCGACGGCCTGCTGAACCCGGCTCGCTACAACCGCGATGTCCTGCTATGCTCTGAGAACGGGCTGCAGGCCATCACCCTCTGGGCCTCCAAGGATGGCTTCGAGTCGGTGCAGTACATTGGCAAGGTAATGGACAACTCGACGACTGATATTGCGACGTGGGCGTCGCCGACTGCTGCTGTGCAGATTGGCAACAGCATTTACATCTCGCACGAGTACTTCCACGACCTCAATGAGTTTGATGTGGCTGGCAACCGTTCTACCTTCCCTTTTGTGGATATCACTGCCGACTCCGACAAGTTGGTTTTGGCTGCTGGCTTCAATGTCACGGACTGCTAAAAATAAAGCAAGGAGATTATTTGGAGTAGTTTAACAAAAGAACAATACTATCGTTGAGAAACTTAAACCATTGTGCCCATGTGCTTATGAACTCACTGTCAGTTGTCCCTAAAGTGAACTGTGTGTTGACGGATCAACGGCCGTGGCCAGATGAGAGCCACATTATTCTATCAGTGATCTATCCCATCAATTGCGAAATGGCGTCAATAAATGTATACGTAATATCATAATGGAACATAACGAACTGTAAATTGATGTAACTCTAATTAACTTATATCTGTCTATAAATGATTTCGAGATAGAGCACAGTTAGAGAAAGACTGGAGATGGATGTACTGACGCCATCCAGCAGTCAATGGGATACAGTGGTATCAACTCCCAACAGCGATGCATGCGAGTCGCCACTCTACATTTGCCTCTTTCTCGACATGTTTGCAATCAGTATGTCACACCACCTCTCAGCTTCATCTCTTCGGCCAGCCGAACGATAGAGGTCGATGAGGTTTCGGATGGCTCTCAGCGATTGGTGCTTGTCTTGTCTCTGAAAATGCTCTGCTGCATGTTCGTATGTCTTGCACCCATATGCGACAGCCTCGTCAACTGAACCAGTCTGATAGCATAGCCGAGCCATCACTTCGTAGTGAGAGAGCTCTAATAAAAGCCACGGCCTTTCAGGATTTCCTTTGTTGTCCCGTGCCTGAACCAGAGAGTGTGCGCGCGCCAGTGCTTCCTTCGCCAGCTCATACTCTTGCCCCCACGAATAAATCCCGGCTACAACCGAGAGACATTCGCATGAGTTTTGGTAGTTACCCTCTGCCCAGTGCGCTTCACTAGCTGCAGTGTACTTGGATAAGAGCTCGCTAAATTGGCTTACGTCTGTCTCACCCGGTTTGTCGAGAATGGTTGACGTCGAGCCGAGGGCCAGTGCTACTACCCTGTTCAGGATCCCCTGTTTCCCTTTGAGAAGCTGGATGCTACTGCCAGCCATCTTGCTGAGAGTGGTAGCACGAAGTTCCAGTGGCAGGCACTTGAACCTGCCCCAAACAAGAGCAAGGGGGTGTTGAGGGCCTAATATCGTCTCGTGCATTCTGTGGATGAAAGCAACCACAGTATCGGATATCCTAGGCCCAAGCTGAATGGTGCGGTATGACAAGATGTAAAAGAGGAGCGGATCTTGCTCTTTAATCGAGTATGCCAGCGAGTCGAGGCTGTTGTTCAGGGCGCAGAATGCGGCCTCTAGCTTGTTCGACCATAATAAGGTTATTGTATTATCCAGATCAGTGCGCATTTCAATGACTCGCAGCTGGCTGAATTTATCATCGAACCCATGTATCTTTTCTTCTTCTATTGCCCACTCGCCCTCCAGGCCCCTTTCAAAATAGCCCTTGAAGATCCGTAGCATTTCTTCAGGTAGCCGTATTTCAGGGGGTCCTCCTATGAAAGCGGGCAGGTCAAGTGGCGGAGAGGGTGTCCGGCATATTATGTCAAGGTCCGAATTGGCTGGCGTTTGGGTGGAAGTACGAAGCTTGTGGCACAAGTCGGGGCGTCTGTCTAGATAGCGCGCAACTCTTTCCCAGTGAACTCTCTGGTTTCGTATATAGAACTCCGATTCCTTGCCCATGGCCTCACGCTCCCGCTTGAGCTGGGCTATATGCAAAGCCTCAGACTCCTTGAGTTTCTTTTCGAGTCCCCAACTACGAAGTCGAGTCTTGAACATTCTCTCACTGCGGATGTCGTTAGCTCCTCAATGAATTTTCATACAGCGCTTTCAGGCGAAGCTCACGTGGCATAGAGGCTGTAATCACGTTCCATAATCTGTTTAACTTGCTTCAACGACATCTTCTCGTCCTGGTAGAGTTTGGCAATGATAGAACGGTGGCAGTCCCAGACCTCCTCTGTGGCGTACGTCTTCTTCCTAGTGACTAAGGGTGCCCCGGTATCGCGTGAAGTATCCATAGCGTAGTAGACTAACCCAGGGATTGTGTCGTGACTCGATAGTGGCTGCGATTTAAGCATAGTTGCTTTCTTGACAGAAATCAATGGCCTTTGTTCGGTGCTTGGGAAGGACCAGTCGTAGAATCGCTCCCTTGGCGGGGTGAGGTCGTGTTGGCGCTATGGAGGCTACAACGGGCTCCCTGTGCGCCTCTTCGGTAGCCAAAGACAAAAGGACTTCGCAGATCTGAACAAAGGGACGGTGGAAGTCGAGCGGTTATCAATTTCTGGGGGCAAGTCAACGTTGGTCATGTATCTGGTCACATTTGGCGCGATTCTGCATGGTGGGACTTCATCCTGGTCACTTCAACGGTGTACGGATATTGCTCCACATCATACCGGAGGGAACCCACTCGGCCCGAGTTGCGAACCTCCAACAGGGATTCCTCCGCAACTTGAATGATCGGTTCCCAGATGAATGCTCAGTTCAGACAAAGACATTAACATTGGCAAATGACACATGTTGATTCCTGTAGAAGCTTTCGCATAACCTCGTGTAGACTTTGCTCTCTTCCTTCAGCAGCCTTTATTTTGATTCCTCCGACCCGTGATCTCGTTTTTCGGAGACGGTCAGGCCTCTTTCCTGTTCGGGTATCCCTGTGACCAACACCACCGACTTCAGGCGGTTGTTCTAATACCCGTCTAACTGTGGCGCATTCCATTGGTTTAGGAAAAAAAGACTTCGCATTGAGAAGTGGGACTTGGATATAAACCCCGGTAACAAATATTCATCCCAAATCCAAACCCGTACTTTATCTGCTAGCCTGATTTTACTACTACAAGAAAGATCTCGAACTGCAGCCTGCTTCCACAGATGAGAACCCTCTAACCCGAGGGAACTTGGAAGATAATGATTTGGAATTGACACAGGTGATTCTCGCCCAAGCTGACGTGAGAAACGTTATCTGGCTTGCCGCACGCATGATGCCCTCGTCTAACGGCGGCTGGGCTGCGGGTATCAAAGCCCTGTCCTGTTCATGGTGTGCCACTTTATGTCCATAGATATGCCAGCCTGCAGCTGCCTGCTCATCGACTACAACCGTTGATACGCTGCCATTACAGGAAGAATGAAAGCAGTAGGGAAATTGGGGCGCAATCATTCAGCTGTGTCGATCTTCACTCCCCGAAGGAGCACATCTGGTCACCTGGTGCATAATCACTGACGATGGCGAGCCTGATTTTACCTGACGAAAGTAAGTTTGCGAAGCAACTTTACAATAAGCAATCCTTGAAGTTTCGGATAGCCTTGTGCAGGCTGCAGGCTGCAGGCACAGGTACAGCCAGGACAAGGATGCTTCCCTCAAAAGTGGAAGCTGTGAATCCCAGTTGGATTGATTCTGAACACTAGTGGAAGGGATTTCAAATCACTAGGAGCCGGGAATCTTGGGTTAGGCTAGCACATGATCCTAAGGTTCTAGCTTTTCTCATTTTCTCAGACTTCTCTTCTTTAGTTTTTCCAACCTGGCGTCTTGTCACTGCGCATCCATCAAAAATCTACAACACTTGTCACGACTCATGCCGCGTTGGCAATGGCTGGCGCGCAGGCTTACAGCACACTTGAGGTAGATCCTCGTCTACCAGAGGCCGGCCTTGAGGCACATTATGGTCATGCAACGGGCACGTGGAGTACAGAGAGTCAGTATCTTCAACGGACTTCGGACTTGCGCCAGAAACTGGACCAACCTAGCCACGAGCTAGCCGATTCCCATCAAAACGACAGACATGACTCAACAGCCAAACCTGGGAAGAGAGCCACCATCTGTGGCCTTTCACGACGAGTATTCATCATAATACTTATTGTCGGCCTTGTGATACTGATCGGCGCCATCGCTGGTGGTGTTGCTGGAGGCTTGCTCAGCCGCCGGGATAATACCACCAAGGCTACCACAGGCTGCATTCTCAGCACATCAAGACTAGCAGCGGCGAATCGAACAATTGGCGCAAACTTTCAAAAGACTGTCTTTTTTCAAGATGATACCGGCGCGCTAATGGCGCGTTATTCTTTGGCATCGTCAACGGGGTCAACAGAGTGGAAGACCAACAACCTTACGTCCTACTTCAAGTATACGGACGACAAGGTTGATCTTCCTAACGGTGCTCCAATGGCAGCAATTTCTTGCGCGGATTATAGCTGTGGCGACACCTGCCTTTTCTATCTTGGTACTGACGGATATTTACACGACGTAAGGGATGATAGTTGGAAAGGCGGCGCAGTGTGGTATTCTGAGCATGGCGGGACGGCGAAGGCACTCCTCAGAGCCGACCAGGGCTCACAGCTTGCAGCAACATTGACAAAGCGATTTTCCACCGAAAATGATCAATCGGTGCCTAACGGTACTCTACTAGTCAATCGACTTGTTGCTTACAAAGACCAAGACAAGAACCTTTATGTCGCCAATGACAGTGCTTCTTACGTCCCAAGCGAGCTGGATCAGATACCGAATTTGACAACCAATTTAAGCCTGGCAATGATCACACAATTCGGAGGTGTTGTACTTGATGGCATTGGCTTGGTTGCTCAAGCCGTAGGCTCGAACACTGCAACGACTTCAGAGTTCAGCATGGTTGAAGACAGATGGGATGGTCAGGGATGGAACAGCCAAAGTAAAAACACGCACACCCCGCTGAACTTTGGAACGAGAAAATGCTAAGATGTTCATGTATTTCAGATGAAGCTATTCTAGCCAATGTTCTCAAGCCCCAAGGCTCATCATCTATGGCGACGCCTCAATTTGCTGTTACGATGCGAAATAATTGGCTGGACAGCATCTACTTGGCCCTCAACCCCGATGGAACGATAACTGGCCGAGTAATAGGCCAGAGAAATGAGACGATGAACCAAATCACGCTCGAAAAGTCTGGGGGTGAAGTGGCAAAGTTTTCGGCTATTGCGACAACAATGGACGGACACCTCTATGGCATTGTCGACAATACCATACAGGAGTACTCCTTCGATACGTCCGATGCGTCTATTCTACATTTTGATGGAACTGTATATGATTGTTCGACGGAAAATTCATCCTAGTCATTCACAAATAGGCACTTAGTAATGTATGTCCCAGCTTCGGGTGGGAGGTCAGCGCTATTGAGCAGGTAGGGGGCGGATATCTTTGGTTAGAGATGAGAAGTGATTTTCAAGCCGACCAGGCACATTCAAGAGGTAGTTCGTACTCCTCGAACTAAGAGTTACACTGGGGTCAGGTTCTGGGTCAATAATTTAATGCATGAGCTTCCGTCTAGTATAGAAAAAGGGGTTTGCTGGAAGATTTGTTGTGTCTTGGACCACCGGCCGTTGCGTTGCAATTCATTGATATTATACCATTCCTGTTGGTATACACGTTAGAAGGGCAAGCCTTAAGTCAGTACGAAGCTCAATAATATGGCATTGAATTGCGTATGTGTATGGAAGGAGGAAGTTGGTGGGTATGGCCTACAATTCCTCTGGGTGTCAGTAGTTGGAGGGGCCGTCTGTACGGCCCAGACCATCAATTCCCAATCCACATCAAGCCGCAAACACTGACTTCATCCGCCTCCAGCATTCGCTCTTCACAGCAGTATGCTCATCAGTCGTCCTCAACACCGCATCCCGGTTCTCCACAGCCCTGCGAAGCAAGTACGCCAAGCACTCGCTCATAGTGCCCCAAGTAGAGCACTTGAACACAGCAGGGCTTTCTTCGCTCTTCGTCTGCAGCAACGAGAAGCTGACTTGATCCGACATGCCATGGAGCTGGCCAAACGATATCGGAACGGTGGGGATGCCGTTCTTGACGCGGTCTTGGTGTAGCTTCAAGGAGGCGAAGAGGCTCTCCTTGTTGTGACTTGCCAGGAATAGGTCGACTGACGGGAAAGCCTTTGATGTGCCAAACTCGCCGATGCTGCGCTTCACGGCCCCTTGAGAGATGTAGTTATACGCGTGGTCGGTGTCCTCTTTTGTGTCATGAATCATTGATCTGTTGTCAGAGAGGATATAGGCTCCCCTAACAAGCTTGAGTCCGAGGGTGAATCCGTCCTTGTCAGCTTCGGTGAGGTGGTTCGTGATGTTATCGGGTGTGTGCTTAAGGTAGGCCTGGTAAGTGTTGTAGATAGACGCAACTCCATTCGTGTTGAAGCGACGCATGAGTTCGAGTGTTACCCTGTCGATGGTCTTTTGGAAGTGAGTTGATTCGGCATCGACAATGATCTTGATACCACGCTGCTTGCATATCGTCGCAATATCAGTCAGGGCGTTTTGCATTTGCTGTGGCGGTAGCTCATTGTTTGCAAATGAGGTAGTGACGGCACGGCCGGCACCAGTCAGCCTGTGTTGCTGTTAGTACATTTATTCTTGATGTTCATGGAACTGCCTTACTTGATGGCCAAGTAGTCACCCTCCTCGATCTGCGCAGCAGTCTCAAGAGTACCCTTCTTCCACGACTCAATATCCTCATCAAACCCATCCGCCGACGCACCAACAAGCTTCCCATGCTCAACAGAAGACTGCGTCAAGTGATCAAACACAGTCTCCTTAGCATACGTAAGAATCACACCCCTGAACCCCAAGTCCTTGAGACTTTGCACACACGCCTTGGTCTCCTGTGCCGTCTCACCAGTACAAAATTGATCATAAAAAGTCTTTCGGAGAATCTTGTGCAAGACGGGGTTGCGGTCGACATCGAAGAAGATCGTCCGGCCCGGCTTGGCGAGGAAAGATAAGATTTTCAGTGCGGGGATGAGGAGGAAGCGGTTGGAGGAGATTGTGGTGACGAGGAGAGACCGTAGGAGCGTGCCTGTTGGCATGCCGGACAATGGGAACCCATCGACGGGCTTCCTCTTTGTCTTTGTCGTTGTCAGAGCTGGCTTCAATGTCAAGGGAGTTGCGTCGTTTATTGTGACGTGTGGTGAGTTGGCGGCGCCGAGGGACTGTCTTGGCTTTGTTGGCTTGCCGTAGGCGCGCTTATCCGATCTGACGGCTATCGTGGTACCCCACGGCCGCCTGGCGGCAAAGAGTCCCAAAGAGGACTTCATTTTTTTTTTGGCGCAGGGGCAGTGTTGTGTCTCTGGTTATGGTGTGATGGGGGATATGATGGTTGCAGGGTTACGAAGAGAGTACTTTGAGTTGTGAAGAGATACACTGATGGAATTGGTAGATATGAGGAGATGGCATAAGGGTTGCTCTACATAAATGCCCAACCTCTATCGCACCGGATCGTGCCGTTTCGGAGCTATGCCCATCCAGACACCACCGCAACTAGTCTAGTATACGTCCGATACCCGGAAGTAGATGCATGGTGATCCCAGTGGATGAGTGATCACGCTTCAGTCTTGGAACTCCATGGCGAAGAGAGTGATTCGCTGTCAGTTTAGAAACTCTATGCTCATCCGCAAGTTCGGGCGTCCTGAACTCTCAACGGCCACAACGGCATCAAAGCCAACTGGCTATCGGATAGGTGTGTCGTCGCTGGCCGTGGGCCGCAGAAGCGGGCGTAGATAAGCTACGGCTCGTCCGTGAGGGGAAGCGCACGTGGCGTAGGTTGCTATTACCTCATCCGGGAAGCACTCAGTAAGATGGACCGGAGACGACTCCGTATCGGACCCACTTACCGGGCACCCCTCCGATACGACCCTACCATCTTCCAACATCACCCCGACATCTCTTATCAGGTCCCCTGCCTTCCCCTTTTATCGTCCTCGGGGCATCGTACTTGATCTGCCGGGATTACATCTTATCTTCATCACATATTCAAACCGGACCGAAATAGTTGCAACCTGTTCGTGGTTTTGATGTGCCTATTGCCCACCACCAACATCAACGCGCTGTAACACGATACATACCTCGTCAAGGTTGATCTTTCGAAATCGTCCATGCTCTCTTTCAAATGGTTCTGCACCTGAAAGGACTTTGCGGGGAAGTTTGGAGGTAGAGAGGAAGAGAGCTCTATGATGTATCAGCTTCGAGCTCAGAGTTCCTGTTGATAAAGACTCCACATTCGTCGTAAACCGGCGCCCCCGGTGACGTCGATCCCAACTCACCAACAATCGCTAAGCATCTGCGCAGCAACGCTCTGATACCGGCACCCTGAACATTCCCAGGGATACTGATAAGGATGGTGTTGCTTGCGCGCCATTCGAGACTGGGGGTTGACGCAGTTGAGGGGTGCGAAATCGCGTGCGAAGATAAAGTCGCATTCGTTCAGGCAAATTATAGAATACTTTAAACGGATGAAGGCCGCGTAGATTCTGAGCTCTGGAGTTATATAGATCAATCGATTTTAATTCCTACTTGACCATTTTCCACAATGACTGTAGAAGAGAAGAAACTCGACGTCGCTAGCGAGGCGGCTGTTCAGCCCACGTCTAGCAATAGCGAGGGGGAGAGCGAGCCCCAGAACCGGCAGTTGTCGAGGGCGCTCAAGGGTCGGCATATGCAGATGATTGCGATTGGTATGTCACTCGTCTCTTACACCACCCAGAATCTAACTGGATGCTCTCCTCTCAGGAGGTTCTATCGGTGCAGGTCTTTTCGTCGGAACTGGAGGCGCATTGAGGACAGGAGGTCCAGCTGCTCTGGTAAGCATCTCAGCATCAACATTGCCAATCCGCTTGAGGTAAAACTGAATAGACTGCAGCTCATAGGTTTCATCATCATTGGCTGCATGATGATGTGTACCGTCCAAGCTCTTGGAGAACTAGCCATCATCTACCCAGTCAACGGAGCTTTCTATGAGTACGCCGTTCGCTTCATCGACCCAGCTTGGTGAGTTCCTCTACAACTGCGTATTCGCACAGGTAGATATGAGCCAAATTTTGACACCTGCCCAGGGGCTTTGCCATGGGATGGGAGTACTGCATCGGATGGATGGTCACCCTCCCCTTCGAAATCACATCCGCCGGCATCACAATCGAGTTCTGGAAGAGCAGAGACGAAGTCAATCCCGGCGTGTGGTGCGCTGTCTTCATGTCAATCTTGATCATCATCCAAGTCTTTGGGGTTCGAGGATACGGCGAAGGCAAGTTCCCTTACTTCATAGAATTCGGAAATCGCTCTCTCTAACTTTGCCTATAGTCGAATTCATCCTCGCCATCGTCAAGATCATAGCCTGCATCGGCTTCATCATACTAGGCATCATAATCAACGCCGGAGGCGTGCCCACAGACCCGCGAGGCTACATCGGCGCGCAATACTGGCACGATCCAGGCGCCTTCAGAAACGGCTTCCAAGGATTCTGCTCCGTCTTTGTCACAGCCGGTAAGTCACTTCCACCCTGTACTGTGGGACCTTCAGAATAGTAATAGCCTTCCAGCCTTCTCCTTCGGCGGTACCGAAATGGTAGGCCTCGCCGCCGCCGAAGCCACAAACCCGCGCAAAACCCTCCCGAAAGCCACCCGCCAAGTCTTCTGGCGCATTACCCTCTTCTACATCCTCAACATCTTCATCCTGGGCCTCATCGTCCCCTCAGATAGCGACGTCCTCCTCGGCGCCAGCGGCGCAAACACAAAAGCCTCCCCCTTTGTCCTGGCCGTCCAGCTTGCAGGAATCCAAATCCTTCCTCACATCATCAATGGCGGTACGTGTGATGCGCCCCGCTCCAAAATTACCTATCTAAGCTGTACCTCCGAGTTAGTATCTGACACTTACAACAGTAATCACCTGCGCCGTCATCTCCGTCGCAAACAGCTGCACCTACGGCTCAACCCGCGTCCTCCAAGCCCTCGCCCAATCAGGCCGCGCCCCAGCCATATTTGCCAAAATCGACAAGTCCGGCCGCCCCATCTACTGCGTCGCCCTCCAAGTCGCCTTCGGCTTCATCTCCTTCATCACCGTCGCCGCCGACAGCAAGACCGTCTTCAACTGGCTGCTCGCCGTGACGGGTCTATCGGGCCAGTTCGCGTACGTGAGTATCATGATTGCGCATATTCGTTTCCGTAAGGCGTGGAGGGTGCAAGGGAGGAGTCTGGAGGAGATTCCGTGGAGGTCTGCGTTGGGTGTGGTGGGAAGTTATGTTGGTGTGTTTTTGGTTTGTTGTTCGCTTGCTGCGACGTTTTATTCTTCTCTCTTTGTAAGTCCCCTTGTCTCGCCTTTCACAACTTGTGTGGTTCTCTTGCTAATGCTTGATAGCCTGTCGGAGGAAAGCCGAGCGCAGAGTCCTTCTTCCAGGGATACTTGGCGGCTCCCATCACCATCTCCCTCTTCTTGTTCTGGAAAGTCTATACCAAAGATTGGGGATTCGGCGTCGACCTGCACAGTGTTGATCTCGATATGGGAAGACGACCTGAGGAGGAGCTTGACGATGTCTACGAAGGGACGGAGAAGAAGACGAGCATGTGGAAGCGGGGCCTGTCGGTCATCTGTTAAATTCAGTCAATGGCCTCCCATGGAAATGTTCCAGAGCAATCCTGTCCCAGAATATGATTGTATGTCAATGTCTGAACTTCTAAGAGGTAGAACAGCAATGCGTGAGTATATATGTTCTTTATTGATGAGCGCAACTCTGGGCCCTTGGTTTGCAAAGCTCTCTAGGTGACCACATGTGATTTCCTTGTCAGGAAGTATGAGCGGCTCCTTCCACAGGTGGCTTTGGAGCCTGGAGTGTGTTTTGCTTTGCACTTTAGCTGGATAAGTCTTCCTGCTCACAGCCTTCTCTCGACTTGCAAGCCTGGGAAGTGCGGGTGTAGTTCAGGCTGTCGCTGAGACAAACAACCGCCCGATACAGGCTATTATCCTTCTGAATCATTATCTGTCCCTTGGGCTTCTCCCACCTTCATATCCTGGATACATCCAGTAACAGATGTGACCGTATCGCTATCGAGATGATTGATCGTTGGATGATGTCGATTACTTGCCAAGATCCTTGGCCCAATCGCAAAGGCAGCTCCTCTGGACAGCCTCAAACTTCTCCAAAGGGGGGCTCAAACACTTCAATGGTACAACCCTGAGAAAGGACCGCCTCATTTCTTGTGCTTGAGCAGACAGTGACGTCCCCATTTCCGCTTGAACTGCTCTGGGACGAAAGGAAGGTCGGGAACGTAGAGCGCTCTGGCCAAAACATGGGTATTCTCCGCATCCAAGAAGGGGATGCACTTGACGATCTCCCAGTTCTCTTCATCGGCGATGTAGTCGGGCTCGTTCGGAGGCAGGGGAGCAGTTCGTTCAGGGTATTGTGTGTCGACCATGAAACCACAAAATCGCTGGTCAACGTACTTGCCCATGTCCTCTTCATTTCTGTCGTTCATGCCATTTGTGGGCATCCAGGTACCGCTCCAGAAACCAAATCCAGTGCGAGCCTCGGAGAATTCACCCGGGAGCAAACCCCTGAACTCGGAGCGAACAAACTTTGCGTGCATATCGCGAGGCAGGAAGTAAGATGACGGGAAGCGATACCACTCCTTGCCGAAGCAGACATTGTCGCCACGTACACCGAGGCCTTCTTGACCACTGACACCAGCCCCGAGGGGCTTGTAAAGACTCAGCGGGGCGGAGTAGGCAGACCAAATGCCGTACACTCTAGCCAGACTGATATCGAAGGACAGAAGCAGGGTAATCATGACCAAGGACAGCTTGAGCTTGGCAGGGATCTTGCCAACGAGGGTCTTTGGATCGGAATTGCCGAGCGCGGTAAGAACAATGTGCAGAGACATGGCTGCGTTCAGGGCAAGGAAGGGGTACGCAGGGTACATGAAGCGCTCTTCCTTGTGAGGCTGCAGAGTGAAAATGCCGAGCCACAGGTAGAAAGGCGAGATGAAGACCAGTGCACGGAGGCCGGTCTGGAATCCCTGGCCAGAAGGGGAGATGATCTTCTGTAGCAAGAATAGAGGAAGGCAGACGAGCGCAAGCACGAACCAGATGTTGAAGTTCAGGGTCAGGTTGCGGAAGTAAAAGGTCCAAGGTTCTGTGCCGTACAGTTCAGGCCCGCCGGATTCCGAGAAGATGTTGTACTTCACAATGTTCCAAGCTGCGACCTCGATTTCCTTGTAGAAGAAAGTGTTGATAACGCCGTCGAAGAACTAGCTAGCATTAGACATTGACTATTCCCAAAGGAACGAGTGGAAGGACTTACAAGAACGATGAGGCCCGCAACGACACCCCTCACCACACGCATGATAGCTTCAAGCAAGCGGTCCGTATCACTCAATGCAGCGAAAAGAGCCTCCTCGATGAGGAATGGTGCGCAGAGTGCCGCGGCAAAGGGCCATCCCACGACCGCACCAACAGCAAACCAAAAGATGCCTTGAGCAGTCTTGAGACCACCCCGCCAGTTCATGAAGGACGAAGCACCCAACATAGCCATGTACATGGCAAAGCTGGAGGGCAGGTATGCAGTGCTTGCATGGAAGTTTCCAGGGCTGAAGACGGTGGCTAGGATGAAGAATAGACCGATGCGCGCGTTGAGAGTGAGGCTAATGACACGAAAGAGAAGGGTCTGGCACAGGGCGCAGCTGAATGCGAGTACATAGCGGATGAAGAAGAACTCTCCGACCTGGTTATGGTCAGCAATTGGTCGCATATGGTATCCTGTGGTGCCACGATGTACTTGCCTTGGTGGACTGTGGCATCAACCGGCGGATATTGCCAACTACGGCATGCATAGCAACGTAGAGCCAGCTGCGGATGGCGTAGATGGGGGAATACTCCCACGTCTGCAAGCCATATCCATGGGACAGGTAATGGGTCGGTTCATAGTAGTTGAATGTTTCATCGCAGTCTTGGATCGGAGCGTAGAGGGCAGAGATGATGTTGGCAACCAGGAAGCAGTAGAATGCCGTGATGGGCTCGATAGCGAAAGCGCTGGGGGGCCTGTTGAGAGTTGCTGTTAGTGGAGGGGTCTTGTCTAGTTTTCATGAAAGCAGAGGCAAAGAAAGTGCGATAACTGACTTCTTTCGAGCATGTCCAGCTTCGGGATGGACAAACTCCCTTGGTCGAGGGGCTGCTTTGGGAGGCATCGTGGCTGATTGTGGTGTTGAGCAGTGCGCAAATCAACACGGCCGTCTGGTCGATGGACTGAGGTGAAGCCACGAAGCTGCAGCCCTCAACATTTCGAAAAGCTCGGGAGCTTGTGACGCCACAGCTTCCCCAATTGAGCAGGGGTTCTGGGGGCAGTGGGTGACGTGGGGATTGGCACTGTTTAAATGAGTGTGAATCATGGCGAGACGTACAGTGTGACTAAGCAAGTTGAAAGCGGAGAATTGTCATTGGTCAAAGCTTTGTGGATGCGACGGAGCTACCGCCTGCAGCTGCCGCACAGACCAGGCGTGATGATGACGAAAAGAAACAAGCCGAAGATTGTGGCTTGACACCAGGCCAGGAAAGTCCGGAGCTAGCGCCAGGTGGTGATGAAAGAGTCTCGACTCTCGAGTCTCCCGTCCGAGGCACAGCTGCGTCCTAAAATCGACACGTAGGTACTCCGTAGATTGGTAGGTATCTAGGGGATGGGGAATTTCGTACTGTTGGTGTCATAATATCCCTGCCCGATTTGTTCGTCATTGGAGGGAGCTCTGGCCATATCATTCCATTTTCTAATTATCGACCGCACATTGAGCGCAGAGACATGCGTGTACCACCAAGACGGCTCTCCCTTCTGCATTGCATGCACATGCTTTTTAGTGGCCTGGTGCTTGCTGATATTTCCTGCTTGGGCACGGATTCCTCCCGTCGTCTCATCTTCACACTGACCTGACGGTTGGGTTCTCGCGGTCAGATCTTTCTCCTGTGCCGCCGTTGAAGACAGACGCGAAATTCCAAAACACTCGAAATGAAAAGAAACATTGAGCCTTCTTTACATGTGAGTGGCAGCGCTGATTCGCCACATTTCGTGTGACGTTGGGATGAGACGGGAAACAAGAGCCAGAGAGCCCTGTCTTTGCCTGTCTGTCATTTAAAATCTGGAGCAAATCCCACTCCCTCGCCCATGGTCGGAGTGCAGATCTGCCGCTTCTACGCCCGGGACCCTAGACTGGAATTTGGGGAATTTCGGATAGGTAGGATTCAAGAAACACCTACGGAAACGCAATACTGCGGAGTATTCGTAGCCACACAGAAAATAAGAACAGAAAAAAAAAAAAAAAAAAGAGGGACCAGCGACGGCAAGGAAAGAGGGAACCGACCAAAGGGAAGCACGAAGAAGGAAGCAGTGACGCACTGACGCACCGACCACCGCTTTCCTCAGCTGGTCCAGGCTCCATCTTCCCTCCACCCCCTCCGTCCAGCCACTCCAGTCCCCGCCGCCGCATCACTTCAACTTCTTGCGCATTCTGGCCAGCTTTCCCCAAAGTCAACCCAGCATCTGCATCTCCAAGAAAGTCCTCACACGACACAAAAACCACCAGCTCACCGTCGCAGCTCTCTTCTCTCCTACGACATTGCTAAAAAGTACCAATTTCGACTGCTGCATCGAATATTCCACATACATCTGTTCCGCCCTTGAGAGCCGCTGCACTCAGAACACATCACGATGGCTCCCCCTCCGCCTGCCAACGTCCCTTTGACCCAGAGGCTTTTGCTTCTGGCCCAAACCCTGCAATGTACGTTGATTCCCGTCTTTTCGCCTGTATGTATTTTTCGTTGCAGACAGCTGCTAACAAATTCGTCAACAGTCGCTTGGTTCGCCGGGTATGTACAGACCATCCTCGTTTGACGCCCTGCTCCCTCCCTGCAACCCGACGACCCGACATACGCGGGTGGAGATGCCCGATGGGCTTACAATCAAGGATATTTACATCTGTTCTACCAGACATTGACTGACAACTGGCTGCAGACACTTGTCGCTGATTTTCGCCGTTATCCGTTATGGCTTCTCCTACATCTCCTTCAACTACTACAGCCGGGTCGCCCGCTTCAGCTACAGACTCACCTTTTTGTCTGCTGCTCTGACCTACGGCATCGTCGTTTACAAGACTCTCCGCGCACGCAGCAAGGCTGGAGCTAAGGCTCCCCAGAGCCCTCTGGCCCTGATTGCCGACGAGAACGTTCAGTACCTAGGTGAGTTGCATCCTTGCCTTCTGATTGCGGGGGAATCGCTTCTAACCCTGCGACCCCAGTCATGTCCCTGGTGTGGCTTCTGTCCCCCCAGTACCCCCTGGCCATGCTCCCTTACGCCATCTACTCGATCTTCCACGTCGCAACTTACACGCGCGCCAACGTGATCCCCACCATCACCCCCCCCAAGCCCGTCACGCCCGCTGCTGGTGCTTCCCCTAGCGGCAAGGCCCAGTATGCGAACAACCCGATCGCCGACAAGATTGGCGCCTTCGTCAAGGAGTACTACGATGCCTCCATGTCTGTCGTGTCCTCGCTCGAGATCCTTCTCTGGGTTCGCCTTCTTCTCTCTGCCATCACCTTCCAGCGCCGCTCTTGGATCTTGATTGCCATCTACACTGCATTCCTCCGTGCTCGCTTTACCCAGAGCACCCACGTCCAGAACTCGCTCGCTCTTCTCGAGTCTCGTGTCGACTCCGCTGTCGGTAACCAGGGCACTCCCCCTGCCGCCCGCCAGGCTTGGGAGACCGTCAAGGGAGGTGCGCGCCAGTTCTACGCCTACACTGACCCCAACCGCTACCTCAGCGGTACCGCCGTCCCCAAGAAGACCTCGTAAAGCATTGACGAGACAGGCGAAACGATTCAAAGTCACGAATGCCTTCAAGGGTGCAATATCAGAAGCCTTACTCGAGATGAGGTTGTTTGTCTGGCGGCTCCGCCGTTGCGACGAGTCAGGTTGCAAGCCAACCACGATAAGAGTGTTTCTCGGCAGGGGATGATGAAAGGAAGAGGTTTATAACGAGAGTATACGGTCGCAAAGGAAAAGAAATGAGCGGGAGGGTTTATGGCCGGCCAAGGTTGACATGGTGTTTCGCCGGTAATTCAGGTTATTGTAGTGTAGGCGAGTTTGGGGCCTGGTCGTTACCGGGTTGCTCTCTGCATCGCACGATGATTTCAGGTTTCCCGTTGCTCGTTGGCTCCGGCCTTTGTTTGTTAGTTTTTGTTTGAGCAGTAAATCCAAATTCGCATGACTACACAACTATGTTCATCATATTCCTCAGGTCTTTGCGGTTTGTTAAAGTCGCTAGATGCCAACAGCTCGAGTTAGGTAAGGGCTGAGCACATGCTGCCAAGAAGCCGGAGCGGACGACGGCACTAGCCACACCCGAAGTGGCGTAGCTCGGCAGCTCTTCCCCGGGTCACCCCACTACGAATGACGTCGCCCTCCCTGTTCGGAGGCAGACGTCAAGGCTCACTTCCCGCACGCGACCAAGGCGCAGCTACGACACAGTTGACCGTCATGAGGGAGGACGCCTTGGTTAGACTTCCCTGATCGCCCATTTATAACTACACGCACTGCAACAGTCCCTTTTTCCTTGGCGCCCGTTCGTCCTAAACCTTGCTCCGCTTTCCTGGGTGCATCAACAAGATTTGTCTCCATCATGGCTTCTTTACTTCGACAGATCGTTGCGGGACCTCGAGCACGGCACGCCGAGTCGGACCTGGACCTTTGCTATGTCACCAACAGTATCATTGCAACGTATGAAGTCCTCGGACACCAAAACATTAAGCAACAAAGAAAAAGCTAACTTTCTTTTACGTAGGTCGGGTCCATCTGGCACATATCCCCAAAGAGCTTACCGAAACCCGCTCGATCGGCTCGTAACCTTCCTCGACTCGAAGCACAAGGACCAGTGGGCGATATGGGAGTTCCGCGCAGAGGGCACAGGGTACCCGGACGAAGAGGTCTACGGCCGTGTGCGACATTACCCGTGGCCTGATCACCACCCGCCCCCGTTCCGCCTGATTCCCATGATCATGGCCAGCATGCGGAACTGGCTTCAGGGAGGCGATCTCGAGCCGGGCATTGTTGCCGTCAGTGCTGCTGGCAAGACTGCCGAGGGTGACGACAAGAGAGTTGTGGTCGTTCACTGCAAGGCTGGCAAGGGTAGGAGTGGAACGGTGTCGTGCAGCTACCTCATCTCCGAGTGCGGCTGGAAGCCGGAAGAAGCTCTTACGAGGTTCACGGAGAGGAGGATGCGACCCAAGTTTGGAGCGGGTATCTCAATTCCCAGCCAGCTTCGAACGATTACATATGTCGACCGGTGGACTCGAGGAGGGAAGAAGTACGTTGATCGGGCTATTGAGATCATGGAGATCCATGTCTGGGGTCTGCGAAGTGGTGTCAAGTTCGATGTCGAAGGTTTCGCAGAGGAGGGGAAGAAAATCAAGGTCTTTCACACATTCAAGAAGAGCGAGAGGATTGTCGTTCAGGGCGACACACCGAGCGGAGGCGGAGTCGGTTCTATGGTATCCGATCTCGCCAGCGTCAGTGTCAAACCTACGGAAAAGGCCCCCGCCGCGGCGCCTTTGTCAGAACCAACCAACACGAACAATTCAAAGAAAAGCAGCTCAGACAAGGAGACTTCCGGACCTGAGCAGGATGATGCTACGCCTTCGCGTAGCGAGTCAAAGAAGCTGCGCAATGCAAAGACGACTTCCTTGATCCACACACCCGAGCCGAGCGCGGCTCAGAAGAGAAGCGATACAGATGCTCCGCTAGCAGGACAGTCGAGAACACCACCCCAAGGGAAGTCAAACGGTGGCGAAGACGGTGAGCCCGGCGGTATGGCCGTTATCCTCAAGCCAACGGAGCCTATCCACATTCCCAATAGCGATGTCAATATCTCTGTGGAGCGTCGTAACCGTACTTCATCCTCCATGGGCCTGACGATGGTGACCGCCGTCGCTCACGTTTGGTTCAACGTCTTCTTCGAGGGCAACGGCCCGGAGCAAGACGGCAAGGCTGACGCTAGCGGTGTCTTTGAGATTAGCTGGGATGCCATGGACGGCATTAAGGGCTCTAGCCGCAAAGGATCTCGCGCGTTTGATAAGATTGCCGTGGTTTGGCGTGTGGCGGACTCACAGCGAGCCGAAGATGGCGGCGACGAGGTCATTTCTCCAACGGACGGGGAGATCATCAACGAGCCATCTTCCGGGTCCCCTGTTCCGCAGATGCAGGCTGCCGACTGGAAGGGTCACAACAAAGAGGACCCTGTCGCGGAGAAGCATCTCGGACTGAGGAACGAAAGCCCCGAGAGTGCGGACGTGAGCCGAGCGAGCAGCGTCAAGGATGATGCGGGCGTTCTGAACGGTGGCAAGGATGGTAATGATACGGATTCGATGGAGGGCGTGAAGACCAGTGGTCCGTTTGGGGAGGAGCAGCTTGATGCTGAGGATGTTGATGTGAAGAAGGTTGAGAAGGAGGCTGTGGAGGGGAGCTTGAACAGGCAGGCGGAGCCTGGGCCTGAGTTGCTGGATGCTCCTGACACAGCGAGCGGGACGACGGCGATTGGGAGCACGGAAGTGAAGAAGTGAGCCACGCCGCGTGAGTCCTGGCTACGGCGCTTGTGTAGAGCGTTGTTGTTTCATGTATGTGTAGGGTTGTTGATACCATGATGAGGGGAAGGATGGCTATAGACGATTAATTCCATTCACGACCTTCCTTACCAACGGCGTTCTTGCCACACCAGAAAGTCGAGTGCTTACCAAGGCCCAAAGCTGAAGGAGGTTTCTTCTACAACGCCTACGAGGCAGAATGGAAGCATGCCACGTCAGGCAGGCTGAGGCAGGCTGCGTGCCCCCAGACTTGCATGTCAGACGTGTGAATCTGCCAATGGTTCTCCGACGCAGACCACCCTGAGCCGCAGCTGCCCCCTCAACTTTGCCTGGACGACTGCGCACGCGTCTGAGCTGCCCATCACCCCTTTCTTCCCTCCTTCTTCTTCTCTGCCGAGCCTAGTCTTTCCCACAGCTTCCCCCTTCGCATGTTCGCCTTACCGCGATATCGCGGTGCTTCGTAACTCCTCATCATCCACAGGAGCTGCCAGCATCAACAATGGCCGAGGGTCTCGCAGTCCTCGGCGGGCTCACCGCATCGATGCAACTGGCCGAGACTGCTGCGAAAGGCCTCATTTCGCGCGGTGAAACTCGTCAAGCAACTCCGCGAGATACCAAAGAAGATTGCCACACAGGTCCAAGATATCGAGAGGTCTACCGAAACGATCCTCAATATTTGCCAGAAGCTGCAAGCAGACACCTCTGGCTCTTCGGGCCAGAGTCCGCCTTTGTACGAGCCAAGCTTGTCACGGTCTGCGGAAGAGCTTGTCGATGCCTTGAACGAGGCACACAATGTCCTTCGACCGCTTATTCGGGACTATGATAAGGCGGGAAATCGCATAAAGAAGCTATGGCGGGAAGTCGTCATGGTTGTCCGGAAAGCTGATGTCTCGGAGAAATTTGACAGAGTGAAGACTGTCAACGATGACTTTCTTCGGGAGCTCCACATTGCTAACATGGACATTGGAGCAAAGATAAAGTCAGTCATCTCCTTACCATCTCCTATTTTCCAGCACTAGAGATCTGATAATGAAACTCACAAATAACAGCACAACGTTGATGAAGACATCAACGATAGTCGAGGCTCAACGTGGCGAATCTTCCCGTCATTATAACTCGCTTCGTACATCATTTCGAACCCTTCATGTGGACTTGGCCACTGGATTCGACAGAGCCGATGAGAGCTTACGCGACGTTGTGGAGCAGAGTGGTAGGATGGCCGAAATGATTGATCACGGATTTTCAAGCGTCAAAGAAGACGTCAAGGTTAGCCATGATTTGATGCGAGAGGTAATTCGCAGCCAAGACCAGCACATGACCGAGGAAAGAAAGGCGTTCCTTGCTGGGATACTGAACATTCTGACACGCCCTGATTCCTTCAATCAACAATCCTCGGTACTTCAATCGGAGATTACAACACACAGGCAGGAAGAGCTAGCATTCGACACGCAAGTCGCCCTACTGCGGAATCCCAAAGACTTGCAGAACGCCTTTGGAAGTTCCAGACGAGGCTTGAACGAGGTTAAACGCTGTCGTTGTCGAACGAGCATAACCATCAAGGATAGGTCGATGAGACCCTTGAAGCTACAAATGATGCAAAAGTCCGATCATAGTCCGGGATGTCTGTATCGCCAGTCAGGATCTGTGAGCTGGAGCTATGCTGTTTGCGACAGCTTGTATCCTTTCATCCGCAAAACGATGGAATTGGCCATGGTGTGACGACAGGACCTGGCATTTGGCATCTAACGCCGCCGCTGAGGTTTCGGAATACTATTCGACGGTCCGAATCTGAAATTTTCCGAGCGTTCGATCTCTTGCCAAGTGTTTGTGCCAAAAAGCTCACACGCAAGGAGTATTGGTGTCGGGAAGATTTGCGTAACATTCCATACAGGAGACGTGTAAGATGGGTCACAATCGGCGACCATTCTTCCATGCATATGCATGATGTAAAGGACTATTTCATTTGGGACTGGAACCCTTCACTAAATCAATACCTTGACGACGTCACTGGCCTCATAAACGAAAGCGTTGCCCTAGGCAGTTTCCACGGGCTGGAAACAGATGAGAGTGGCTCAACGTTGCTATTCGTAAGTTTATGACCTCTACCGCACCGCCGAATGTGCAATAACCTGGGACATCTTAGGAGTTCATACGTCTGCTCCTAATGCTCGGAAATTCGCGGAAACGCTTTAGGTATGAACTAGAACAGTTGCTAGACGCAATTATGTGTGCAGGCGTGGACGTTCAAGCAACAGCTTGGAGCACAGAAGATTCTGCAATGCACTACCAGCTTGACCCATGTCAGAAAGACCTGCAGTACGTCAAGTTGCCATGTAATATCTATCTGAATCATGATTGCGTGTTAATTTGAATACAATAGAATAAATGCTCGAAGACGGTCAGATATTGCTAATTGCACAGCAATGGCTTATTTGTGGAAACGCGGCTTTACAGCGCCAGACCCTCACTTCTTTGGAACGGAGTTTCCCTTGTATAAGACTTTGGTTGCAAGAAAAATCATACAGGAGATGACAATTGTAAACGGCAATATGAAAGAGTCTCGCAGTCGCTGTGCGAGGATTCAAATTCTAGTTCGCCAGCCAGAACTTGCTGAAGGTTAGTAGATCAAGAAGCCTTTTATAAGCCCGCCATCTGACAACATTATAGCGTTTGGATATGATGATTTAGCCATCGCCGTTATTCAACGCTCATTCGAAGACGTTGTACGTCTGTCTAACCTGGAAACCTCCTCGAAAGTGGCGTCAATACAGTGTGCAAACCATATTGGCGACTTCAGTCTTTTGGAGCTAGCTTCAGGATGGCCAGAAGGTATCAAGTATCTTATACACCGTGGCTATCCCGCCGCACTCGCTATCCATTGGGAAATAATGGCGGAAGATACTGAGTCATTTCGACTTCTCCTTGAAACCGAAGAGGCGGTATTTGCCCAACATACACATCCGTTTCCTCGCGCATTCAACGAGCCCAATAGCTCCTGGATCTTTGCAACGATTCTGAGGACGCATGCACTTGACCAGGCATCCAAGGACTTGCTGAAAATTGCAACATTATCATTGAAACATCGAAGGCATATTCCTTTCAACTAGCTGCCTCAGTTCTCGATGAAGATGAAGTAGAGTCCACTGGGCCAGGGCATCAGAGTCTCCTTTGCCGCAGCGCAGATCAGGTATACACCAAATTGGAGAGGCAGGCAGTCATCCCGCCCGCCTTAGACTGTTGTCAAGGCTCGCCATATCATCTTCTTAGCTTGACTGATGTTGGACATTTTAAGAAGATGTGGACCGATGTTCTCGACATTTTGTACGCGGCGGGGTTTGTCGATGTCGATGTGCCGGACAGATCAGGGCACACACCGCTTTTCCGACCCATGGAAAAACTTACTGGTAGACACAATTGCAACTGGCCAGTTCTTGCGGATATAGCGACATGGTTCATCACCCGTGGAGCCAAGATCATCAACATGAACCCCGAAGAACGGCCTAATATCATGTTCTACATAGCACCTGCTTTTTCCCTGCCCCCTTCTACCGCCAAACCCAGAATCGAGGAGCATTTGAAAACTATATCTACCGTTGAGAAGCTCCACACAGCTGCTGATGGCTGCGACTGTTTTTGTTCGACTGCCGGATGTCTTCCGAGTTACTTGGTCTCGGAAAGCTGGAGGCTCAACGGGTATCATGTTACCGATCAACTCGAGTGCTGGTTGAACACTTGGAAAATGGATTCAACCAGCGAAGAGATGATTTGCAGAGAGGGTTGCAAAAGAGAACTATTTAACCGCCTGGGAATGTTTCTGTTGGATTCACAGGTGGAGAAGGAAAATACTCGAGTATCGTGGGTAGCAACGATCACCGACTGTAGTGGTGATATTGCTTGTTCTTGTTGTTCTTCAGTGGAAGTCTAACCAGGTGCCAGCGGCGGCAGGAAGTCTGGGGTATACCACCCTCGTGTGGCTGAGCCACACGGACCACCGTGGCTGGAACGGACCGCGGCAGCAACCTCCTGCTGCCTAATGTAGGCCTATTCCAACAGTTTCATACATGTACTTGCTATAGAAATGGCCGGTTTGGCAGCGCTTCACCCATATCAGATGACGAGATATCGCGAATACCAGAGGAGGACGCTGTGTCGGCTAGTCAACTTGACAGTCTGATGGAAAAATACGACCTTGCAAGGGAAACCGTCGCAGGGCCCATGATGGGATTCCCAAGACATATGGTGGAGGGCCGTGGACCATTTACTACCTCCTGTACGGGCGGGTCTCGCTGAGTATGAGCGGGATAAATCCGTTTCCAATTATGAATATTACGAATGGAAGGAAATAAAGAGAGAAAGGCAGGAGGCAGAAGCTCTACGTGCTCTTCGGTATGAGAATTTCGAGGATTTCCAGGATGTCATTGATGATTTTTTCGCGAAGCAGACTTGGAAGGTTGAAGAGCCTGAAACTTGGGATCCGTAGGGTGGTAATCAGAACCCATTGCTTTCAGTATCCGTACACATACGGGACAAGACAGGGAATTGGCAAGGAACACGAAAATCTATCTAAAATTTGTTGTCTGCAGAGGTTGGTAGCAATTTGGCCCCCAGAAGGAATATGTTCCATGTCTCGATGTGTTCCTGATGGTCGACGGCTTACATGATTGTGCGGCGTAGGCATTTGAGGCAGCAACTTGCTGCCAACACCAAAAGACTGCTAGCTAAAGCGGCAATCGCTAATCTCAATTAAATACCAGGAGAGGCTTGAAGCCTACCGGTGACGCTGGCGGCGATTGCCGTGACTTCAAGCAGTCCGGCCAGACATACTCACGAGTCGGAAAATCACATGATAGATGGGCAGTCCTATACAGCTACTACTTGCCCAAGGTCCAAGGGAAAGAAGAGCAGCATCGCCATCACTGGTTGACTGTTGTCGTTTGGCTTGCTTTCGACACATGTCCGGATGATGCCAGAGTTTTCTCCCGTCGCGGCGTGAGCTACTCTACCAGCCCCGGCAACTTCGACACCATCAGACCCAACACTCTCTTCACCGATGATGAGTACGGCCTTGGGACGCACCATATCGTGGCGTACGACGCTGGCCAACCCATTTTCCCCTCCAGCTCAGGGCCGGTGAGCGCCCTGAGACCCCCTCTGGTGGGCTGGCAGAACCTCCCCAGCCTCGTCAAGGAGCAGTTCAATGGAATGCAGTACAAGCACACCAAGGTTCCCTTCAGCGATAATAATTTCCAGGGCTTCCTGGATGCCGTCTACTCCGACGCCTTTTACAAGGATATGCCAATTGGTGAGGATTGCGGATCCGACGACCCGCCTCAGTCCGAAATCGACCCGGACTTTGGTGAGGCCCTGCCGACTTCCACAGCCCCGGTTGCGGAACCTACTGACGACGCTCTTCGTCGATGAAGTGCTCGTCTTCCTTGCTGCGCCGAATATTGGACACTGGTGGCATGTATTAGTAGGCAAACACTAGTAGAACAGTGCACGTGTACAACCGTGGTAGCTGTGCGTGCTCGCTTTCTAGAAATCAATTTGATCTCTTTAGCACGACATGTTTGGTACATGTTGATGTGACTATTATGACTGCCTACCTATTACCCCTTCGAGGAGCCATTATGGACTCCACTGCTTATGCATTGCTTAGGTATACATATATCTATGTATACTCTGGGAAAGTGTGAGTAGTCGAGCATCAGTCACTGATTTCATTGTCTATCGATGTGATCTGGCAGAATTAGCCGATTGTTTCGTGCACAAGTATGACCTACCGGCGCCCTGGCACCAGCCTTGTGTCTTACGGACGCGCGACAGCTGGCAATATTTTGCAATTCAGAGGCGCAAGAAGTATCAAGACCGGTACAGGCGCGTATTCACACTTCTTGTCTATTACAAGGAGCCAGGGGCCTTCTTTTGTCCATATCACTCACTACATCACAGCAGCTATAGCCTCAATACCAGATCTCTCTAACGCTAAGATAGACGAAGCTCTTGAAGCTTAGTGGATAAGATGCAGAAGTATGAGGAGTTTCACCAGACTATCTACGCTCAGGATGAGGGAATCATGAGCAAGAAAAATGATTGGCTAGACAGGGTCGGCTGATGGGTCCAGTGGTCGTTAGCATCCAAATCTAGGGGTTGACAGTCACGTAGCTTTAGTTGAAAGGTATTCAAACGACATGGAGTTGGAACGAGCAGAAGAATACCTTTGAGACATGTAACATACTAGTAGCGTGATTTCTCCGAAGGGGGTTTAGTTAGACTCCTTCAAAAGGTTCTAGAGGCTAAGCAAGGGGGTCGCGGACGGTTTTGCGACAAAAGAAAATTGATCTACTCATCAATTTCGTTGAAAGAATTTCTCATATGAATTTAGGAGTCAAAGAAGGGTACGGTGTCCCATCTCCCTGAGCGAGCAATGGCGTCATTTATACACACGCACGGGGCTGATAGAGAATAACATGCTGCAACCATATTTATTGTGATTGACATCACCTTGATTTCTATTCCCCTCAGACTCCACGCTTTGGTGCATCGCCTACGTTGACAAATAATTTAGCAAATCTACACGCAGCTACCCGATAGCTGGGAAACACAAAGACTTACGATGTAAGCAGTGCCTCTCTCCATGGCATAAGCGTGAAACCTCGGCCCATATACTTTGCTGCATCGTCAGATAGAAAGAGAGAAACTCGATAAGCGTGTGGAACGCGAAAGAATCGGCAGGCATCGTTGTGCCATTACAAGCGATGTATGGTGTTACGGGATTGTCCTACCTCTGTCGACCAATCAGCATGAGTGTAACTAAATCACAACTCGGGGATTTGTATTCAAGCCTAATATCAGATTGGACAGCATGAGATATGTCAGTACTTGGTTTGGTAGATGTGCTGGTTATGACCGTCGGCCACACATATGGACCAGATCTTCCCTCTCGACGAACCAAGTGATGAGACAGTGTTGCTAACAAAACGTACCTTGATAGAATTGCATTTTTGTGAGATCCGACTGATCACACTTCTGTTGCATGATTATAGTACATGTAACAAAGATGCCTCGAAGTGTGACACATGTACCGGACCTATCTTGCTTATGAAGTGTACACTTACAGGCGACAGCCCAGAGCTTCTAATCCCTCATCGTCGGAAACATGCTTTCATAAGATCATTTTAAAGCGGATTGCTGTACATTGAGAACGACAGAGATTTCAACCTTTCTTGGTTTCTGAACATGAGCTCCTGATCGCGGCAAGTTCATTTGGTAACTGAGTGTGCAGCATATAAATTATCTAAGCCTTCTTTTCTGGAGGCTAGCATGTCTATGACAAAGCGATCTTTGGTGTTATACGATTGAAGTAAGTCTTACCGTAATAACTTCAGTTTCGGATCCGAAAAGCTGTTGTGCGCGACTGGAGATGACCAGATAAGTAAGTGGCCTTTTTCTTTGGAAGAGGTATTGCCACAAAATCTGACAAACCCTCAGCATCAAGTAGTTGGGTAGGGCCAACTATCCTTATGCTGGCTTCACTGACGAAGACACTGTCAAACAATACAACGCAATGATGGAGAATTCATCTAATTTCGACTACGACGGATACGACGGAGTGCAGACTCTGCAGAGTACCGCGCATTTCGCCAACGATCCTAAAACTCGCACTAGGTCGACAAGGAGGACGACCTCTACGAGTAGTGTCAAAGCCCATAAAAATCACGAGGCCTCGAAAACATTTATACGAATTACCACGTCGAGCACTTCTTCCGCTACACCGACTCATTCCGACTTCCTTGTAGCATTTGCTCAGATGGTTAATCTTTCGGACCCTAAGCTGTACAATGTGTCGAAAGACCAATTACTCACAACTCCTTTCGGCAACATTTGTCCTTCCGGAAATTGTGTTGACGACTGCAAAAATATGACTCGAGTATTCCAGGCAATCCCCGAAGGACTCGACGTAGATCCGCTACGTTACGGACGAATGGAGGCACAAGAATCAAATGTGGCCTTACTCAGCACCTGCAGTAACCTTGAATTCGCCGCGAACTTTGCTACTGCGGAAGAGAATCGCAGCTTCACACCCTATCTTCTCCAGCAATAATTCCATAGACCTATTCAGAGTCTCCGTAAGCATAGCAAGCTGCTTCGCTGCAACATGCGAACAAACGCGAAAGCCTACACTTTGGGTCTCCCGAGCTGCGTAGTCAGGCTTTGCGACAATACCTGCCCGTTGCCTTATGTAGACCCTGATGTCTTGGGCATTGGTGTGAGCTCTTCTCCTGGAGTTCCTGGTAGGCTCAGGAGATTGAGACACTGACCAGCTACTTACTCAGGTACTTATTTCGTACTATATTCGAGCTGTGTTTCTCGTCATTTGCGCTGCAGCCATTATGATCTCAGCTGGAATTTAGTTATTGAAAGTATTCCCGGCTCAACCGACAGTCAGAGAAAGTCTGAGGAGTCCATTGGAGACATTTGTGAGAGTTCAAACTCTATTTGGCAGTATGTCTACACCAACCCTTGACCCCTGGGAGGCATTTCTTGATCATCACCCGTACATTGCAATAAATCAACTGACTGACTGATGTAGTTTCTTTGGTTATCACAACACTCATCATGCGGCCCGATGAGATCGATCCACTCAACGGATATGCCCTAATCCTGACAGCTATCATGGGCTTTCTCCGACCCGTATTTGCCCTTATGTTGCTTTATAGCCACAGTGTATGATCGCGTTTCTCAACCGCATTGGTGTTTGCGAGCTATTTACTCAACACTGTGACGTCCTTTATACTTGTCCGGAACCTCTCGATTTCGACACATGATAGGCTGTTTCTGGACAAAGCCATAGATAGCCTCTTCAGTGCTGAGGCATGTGTTGGTGGCTCGGCGATATCCCTCTGCTACCAGTTGACTGGCACGGATCCCGTTGGCTTCTTGTCCGGCTTTTACGACAATAGTTCGTTCGCAAATATCAAGACTGTCCCACTGCTATGGATATGGACCACGTTGGTGTTACTTCTGCTGATCACCAGACACCTTGTGGCATCCACACAGAAGAGAATTGACGCGGTCGGCCAGTTAATACCGCCTGCCAAGCCCCAAGGTCCTTGTCGGAGCAAGCGACTTTCCAGATTCCATGCATTCTTTGGTAAACCGCTGTTCACCTTCTCTATAATATCTTTGGCGACAAATTTGTTCTTCCTCTGCCTTCTGTATCAATACCTGTTGGTCAAAGCTAATGCTTGGATGAATGTGGTTGATCAGAAAGGTTGGTCTTTTGGGCAAGTTGTGGCCTTGTTGTTCTGGGTGCCACCATTCCTTGATGTTCTCCGGTCAATGTACGAGAAGGAAAAGTACGAGAAGATTCAGCATGCACAGGAGAGCTAGAATTAGATGGAGAATTTGAGTTTGAAGGATGGAAATTTCACATCGAGATGCATAAAGCGCTATACTCTATCCTATTCTCATTGACATATCCTATCAACTGTTAGATCACGTCAATATGTGCATTTACGTTACTTTATAAGAGATTATCAGAAAGCATACAATAATCAGAGCCAATGTCCTTCAAATTTGTCTATAAATAATTTCAAAGTAGAGCAGGATTAGAGGAAAACTGGAGACGGACATGCTGGCGCCATCTATCTGTTGATGGGATCTGAGAACTTCTTGCTTTGCCGATAAGTTACATGTTTGGATTTACTTCTTAAAATCAAAGACAGTTTTACCCTCAAAACAGGTTGTCAGAACCTCTGCACCCGCGAATTCCCCAACATTCAGATCTCGATCCACAGAAATGAAATTGGCCTTCTTTCCGACCTCAATGCTTCCTGCGACACGATCAAGACCGACAGCGGTAGCGCCTCCTAGTGTGATAGCGCGACAAATTAGCTCCCCGCCAATTTGCTTATCAGTCTTGTTGACATGATTCTCAATATCGGGCTCCTTGATGGTTTCTACGATATGAGCGAGTGAGTCGAACAGACTCGGGGTCGGAGTCAAGATCCAATCAGACCCAAATGTCATCCTGGCACCGCTAGCAAGGACGTCATTGAAAGGCCACTTGAATAGGTGGGGTAGCTGTTGAAAAATGTCATTGTGGAACATAGCTGGAGACATCTCTGCTGTCAAATCCAGCCTCTTAATACGTTGGATGTCATCTGCCATTTACCACTGTGAATTAGCTTGACTTCCTGGGACCTAAGAGATCCAAATTTTGAAGTCTTCATACCTGGGTGTATTGCATTGCAGTGAGCGATTTCGTGTTTTGGCCCATTCGGGTTTCTTTTTCTCACTTCAGTGTAAACGTCCAAAGCTCTTCGCACGCTTCCTTCGCCCGCGACGTGGATTTTACACGTCATGCCCTTCGAGTCGTACTTGACAAGCAGTTCCTGGAGCTCAGAAAACCCCAGGAGAATCTTGCTGTTGGCATTTCTACCCTCATCAAGATCGCATTGGGTGAATTCTGGCGGAAGCGGTGCGCCATCGAGGAAAAGCTTGATAAAGTTTGTTCGCACATGCTTGCTACTGAATGCCTCCGCGATATCAATAAGAGCAGACAACGTTTCTTTGGAATCGGGTCCAATACCCTGGCCAGCAACGATGTGCGTGCTTATGTCCAGATGAAGGCCGTTTTCTTGCTCCAATTCCTTAACAGCATGCAAGTAAGCGGTAGTAGCCGTTGCTTCCTGCACAGAGGTAATGCCGTAACGATGGCACTCTCGGATGGCATGCTCCAAAGCTACTTTGACGTAGCGCAATGGCGGTATTGGAAGGCTTCTCCAGACAGCTTCCTGAGCAGTCTCCACCACTTCGCCAGTCAACTCTCCATCAGCGCGGCGTATGTAGTAGCCTCCCGGGGGGTCCTTGACGTTTCGGTCGAGACTCAATCTTCTCAACCCCTCAGAGTTGAGCAAGATGCGGTGGACAGGAACTTCACGCACAATGACTGGCGTATTTGGGTACAGGTCGTCTAGGTACTTGCGATCAGGATTTCCATCTGGGAACTGTGCCACCTGGTAGAAGTTTCCAACGACCCAGTCTCCAAATATATTTGAGTAGGCGCATGCACAGCAACCTTTGGTAAGATTGGATGCAAAATTCTCGTGATGCTGTCGAGACTGATTGAACTCTCGCTTAGGCGCTGCATGCTAGCTTGTAGAAGGTGCGTGTGAGCGTCGTGAATACCGGGCATGATGAACTTGTTTCGGAGGTTATAAGTGACGAGCTTCCTTTGAAGAGCAGTTGCTTCAATCTCTTCATTCGTACCAACAGCCTCGGAAGTTCCTTGCGAGTCGACAATGAAGGCTTCGGCCCAAGGCCTCGATTTGTCGATGGTGTAGACCCGGCCATTGATGTAAGCAAAGGAGTTCTGAGGGCCCGAAGATGTATAAAACGGGACTGAGATGGCGTTCTCGCTCTCCATATTTTTGCTTGGTGCCTTTAAATCAAGATCACTTATGAGAATGATGTGAGGTAGATAGAACGGGGTTTGGATCCCTGTTGTTGGCATACACGTCAGCAGGGCAACCGTACGGTTGGAACGAAGTGTCAATAATGGTCTATTATTGCTGCGTCTGGAGGTGGAAGGAGGAGATTGTGGGCTCTGCCCACAATCTCCCAGAAGTGGTATATGTGAAAGGGCCGTTTGTAAGTGCCCATACCGCCTTCCAGATCCATCTTTTCTGCCGACTGCTCAGAGATCCAACACCTGTGTTTTCGGTTGCGGCTAAGAAATTCTTCTTCAAGCTTTCCTCTGCAGTAAATTTCATGCGGATATAAGCTTTTTCTCCTACTCACCTGATTAGAAAGCGATCGGACTGCATTTAGTCAATGTCAATGTGTGCAACAGGCATATCAAGTTGTTGAGAAGCGCTTTGGCTTGGCGGCGGCAATAGCTCCCAATTGAAGCCCATAAACCCACGATGCGCCTTACGTTGCGCCTTAAACCGGGGGACAGTCTACGTATGCGTTTCTTATGTAGTCTGTTTCCGAGATTGTTCACAGTGTTGTGTGGCTGCAACCTTCGATCGTTCCGAGCTTCTTTCCGTCCCGCACGGGACCGAACGGAGCCCCGGCTCAATGATTAGTGATTACTTTCGTTTGAAGCGAAAGGGTCAGACTGGTGAGAGTGACGGACATTTGACCGCCTCATCTCTCTCGTGCATTTCGATTCGTCTGTGTCTGTGACTAATCGCGTTGAATTTTCCCGTTGTATTTCATTGAAGTAATGAACGCTACAGTCCAACCTCTGTTCAATTTCGTAGAAAGTCATTGCATCAAACGTCCAATCTTGTGGATTACTCCGTCTCAAAACGGCACCATATCTAGATCTTCCTAGAGGCCTAGTCCAACTCCTTGCCAATCTTGTCAAACTCGCGGCGCCACTCAGCGACCTTCTCGACCTTCTTGAAGGGGTCAAGGTTCATGGCCTCACTATCGACGTACACGCTCTCCCCAAGAGTGAGCTCGCCTCGGCCAACAAACTTGCCCAGCTCAAAGCTCGCATACTTAGAGCTGGCACTGGAACGGTCGCCATCTTCCCAAACTCCAACCTTGAAAGTTGCACCTGGCTGGAAGAAAAAGCTGGACCCTTTGGCGGCGCCACTCCGCGTTCCGCTGTTAACGATCCTTGCCGAAGTGTGAGGTTTGCTGGACTCATCCTCCTTGTGCACCTGGGAGGCATTGTTTCCGTTGCCGCTCGCGGATTTACCGTTGCTGGAGTTTCCCTTCCCGCTGCTGTTGTTGTTCCTGTTCTCGTTACCACAGTCACGGCAGTCGGCATCCTTTGCGGAACCGTGCCCTTGAGAACCGTAGCCCTGAGAGCCGTAGCCCTGAGAGCCATAGCCTTGAGAACCATACCCTGGGGCACCGTACCCCTTGGGCTGGGACCCGTTGTCCTTGGTTGACACTGAGAAAGACATGCCAGGAGCACCAACTTTGAAGGCTTCTTTGGAAGAAGTGCTCTTGTCATTCTGAGGCTCGGGCTTCTTTCCACTTTCTTTAGCGGTGTTCCCATGGTAGAAATCTTCTTGAGGAATGATGGCAGCATTCTTGCTGCCGATCTCAATGTTCGTCGGGAATGGCTGCATGGACGCCTCACGAACGTCCTCAATGAGAAGTACCAAGGGTTTCTTCCAGATTGAATCATCCACCTTCTTGTAGAAGTTGAGCTTACAGCGGCCGGCGGAAAGCTGCGTATTCGGCGCTCGGGTGATGACGTGGTCAATGTTGGCTTCATTTGCTGTGATATGGTGAGCGGACGGTCGGAACCCAAATTGACATCGTAACTGTACTTACGAGTCCCGTAGAGGTAAAATGGCAAGAAGGTATCCGGATACTTGTCGAGACGATATTTCGAGTTCAATGGACGGCTGACGACGGTCTTCCCCAATTGAACACAAACGTCTTGGAGGATGATGCCGCTACAACTGTCAGGGGAATTCATTCCTGGCAAGGTATGTGCCAAAAGGTGTCAGACTGAACTTACGACTCCTTTGTCATGATCTGCCCATCAAAGTGTCCCTTGGCTTCGATGACATCTTTGGCCATTACCTTGCGCTGTGTCACGAGCAGCATCGGCTCAGTCGGGTTTGACTTCTTCAATTCAATGTACTTGGCCTTCGACTTCTCATCAAAGCTCGCGTTGACAATGAGCTGCTGTCGGTGGTTCGCCACATGGAACATGGGTAGATGGATCAAGTATATCTCCTCTGTGCCCTGGATGAGGAAGCTATGGAAGTCCGGGGCCGGGGTGTTACGCTTGCGAACGGTCTGTAAAAGAATTTTAGAAAGCGGAGCAAAGCGAGTGTGAATCGTCAAAGAACAAACCTCAGTCTCCTTCGCAACGACATCATAAAAGATGTCGGCGAGCTGATTTGTGAAGTTGCCATCAGTAGGGAAAGGAGACATGACGACATTTCGCAACACCATCAAGTCCAGGGGACTCTGCTCCAAGCCCAGTCGCTTGACGTAGTTCGCCTTGCATTCTCCATACAGCTCGTCAGAGAATTCGGTCGAGGTCAAGAAAAGAGGAATCTTGGTGGGATCATCGTCTGGGCTGTCAACGGAAAGGGCCTCAATGACTCTTTGCATAAGGTAGTTGGCTTCTTCGATATCATCATTCAAACGCCCATCCTCGTAACGGAAGTTCAATGCGAAGGCATTGATGTTGAGGTCTGAACCCAAGCTTCTTAGGAGTTTCATGAGCTTTTCGTCATCTGGTTTCTCTTTGTCTGCGGCAATGATGGCGGCGTTCGTCTTCTTGACAATGTGTTCCCGGATAAGCGCCTTTTCGGCCTCGATCTTCTCCTCAGTTGAATTCAGCTCAAGTTCAGATGGTAGCATATTGAAAGGCACGCAGACAAAAGGGCTTTTGGAGTCTGTCAACGCTGCCCATTCCGCAGAGAGCTTCACCGAGTGTATTAGCATCAGGCACCAAAGGGAAGCACTGCAACCCCCCATAAGGAGCGAGAACAGTGAGTGAGACTTACCCTGCTGCAAGTCCAAGTGACTTCTCCAAGCAAGGCACCATAGCCCTTTGCATCAAGACCGATTGTCCTGTTGGACAACCATGTCGAGACTGCAGAGGCACCGGGTTTACTGCAATGGACATACATGGTTACTTTCGTTTCATTTACTAATGGAACTCTTCGAATAGACTGACCTTCCCTCGACACCGTAAATGCCAATGCTGGTGACCGAGCCTCGCGACAAATAAGGACTTGTCCAAGTGACCAAAAATCTCATACGATTGTCACGGTAACAAAGACCGCCAGCCGGGTAGGGAATGTAGCCCGCTTTGTGGGGATCAACGGTGATGGAGTCGGCAAAGCGCATGGCGAACAAATCATCCTGAGTCTGGGCGCGGAGTGTCGCATCCGGCACGAAGCCATCGGCCGCACCCATGTCAGTAGGGAGATTCATGACATCTCCAGGCCGATAGTCCTTAGGCAGCATGGAACAGAAATACCCTCCTAGAGCGAAGTTAGCGCATCCGTTCCCTCAAAGCGTCGAGTTGGAAAAGCTCGGAACACCTACCCCAGGCAGCGTCAGCGTGAACCACGAAAGACAGTCCTTTGGCTTGAAATTGCTTGCGTAGGGCGAGAACACCACTGAGAGAGTCCACAGCACCCTCTTGAAGAGCAAAGTTAGCTTTCCATCAACTCAATCTCCTCAGTTGGCTCTGTCTCACCTTCCGTGGAACCTATGATAGCAACCACCGCATATACGGGCTGTTCTTTGTCGAGACTCTCTTGCAGTTTATTCTCCAACAAGCCCAAATCCAGACGCGCTCCCGCATCAACTGGAATGCCAATAACATTGTCGGAACCCAAGCCACTGATTGCTGTCATGTTTGAATGCTGTCAGACCTCAATCAGTCCCTTGAAGGAGAAAGGCATGTACTTACCCGCACCCTTGGGCCAAGAGTAGTGTCGGGTGTTTGACAGCATGTATTGGCCTGGTAGATCGAGTCCAAACTCCCTCTCTAGCTCATCCTTACCAGTGGACTGAATTGTGAACTTCTTCATCACGTCAGAAAGGAATGCATTCGACACCCCATGCTCCTGATAGAGTCGATCAGGGAGATCAAGAATGTCAGATGGCTTAAGGTTGAGCAGATCCCAAGTCGATAGATTAGTGAACAACTTGGTCTCTCCCTTGCAGGTCTCGACTTTGAAGGCCTCCGACAAGAAGTTGAGTGCCTCACCATTTCCAAAGGCCTTGCGAAGCGAAAGGGGATAGAACTTCAGGTTACGAGCTGGGAAGGTATGAGTACTCAACATCATAAGGCATAAGTTAATACATACCAACCCTGAAATCCAATTGTTAGTGCATGACAGTATTTGGAGGACTCAAGTATCCTACCACATGGATTCCAGATTGGCAACGGTGCCGTCACAAGTGACATGGCCCCAGGACGTAGGAGCTTCGGTGTTGTCCTCATTGATGTTGTAGCCAAAGAGATCACATAGCTGCTCGCCTACTTCAATCTCTGCCAAGGTCGACAGCGGACTGGCTTCAAACGCGACGTTGTTTGGATTGTAAAGCATCGTCATGAAGTATCCCAGCATTGAAGCCATGCTCAGGTCAGTGCACCTAAGTTGATCAGTTCGAGTACAACAAGATGATATAAGAAAAGCACTGACATATGAGCTTCATAGCGAGGGGACCAGAACGGTATGCTTGACTTGCTCAAAATGTTGGAGGCCATTTGAACGGCATTCTTGAGCTTGTCCATGGAATTGCGGAAAGCAGGCGTGTTCTGTGTCTGCTCATCGATGAAATTCTGCTTTGTATGAGCATAAAGACGGCTTGATAATTAGTGTGTGTTGAAATCTCTCGGAACATACTCCATCTTCAGGGTAGTAATTCTTTCTCGCAGCTTCAAGCTCATCCAAGATAAGATTGATGTTTTTCCTGAAATAAGGAAGGTTCTCAGCTTGAGGACCAATGAAGTATGACGAGATGATCTGATGAGACTCATCCTCATAAGTGGCCTTGGTATTGTAGGCTGTGTTCTTGGAAGCCATGATGGGAAAGCAGTAGGTGAATGGTCGATAGCTTTCAGTGGTGAGCTGCATGCGGTTTTCCGCAGATTACGGCGAGAGGAGTAGTCTTATAAATACATTTTTGGTTCTAATTCTCCCCAGTAACTAGTTGGCTCATAACTCTCACCACAACCTCTTTCGACTCTTCTACAGTCAAACCAGTGGCCCGATGATACTGCATCTCGCAACTACGCGGTGACGGAATGACAAGATGCAGGTTGGCGATCAACAACTACATTGTCCTGCTGGAGCCTTCGTGCATACATCCATAGTCATACCAAGTCCGAATCGAGTGTCTTGATCGGCCAGGTCTCAGATCTCGCATGGTGCGGGTTTCAATATTCCCCTCATGGGAATGCTTCCCACATACTCACCGGTCTCATGCACCCCCTTAGCGAAGTTCTAATTAACTGGAGAATAGGTTTCCGTGCACAACGCCAACGAATTATTTTGTGAGTTTTGGAGGACGCTCAAAACTCATGCATACCGTGCTGCCGTACGAGGTTAGCTCCGGGCGGGTTTTGCTCAAACTCGCAGCGGGAGCATGCGTGTCTCACGTAGCCGCCGCCTATCATGCGAGAGACAAGCGACGGCTGCAACCCTCGTATGAGTGAGTAATTACAGGTTGCAAAGCTACTTCATCACTGCCACACTTCCTTGAAAGGGGGTGATAGGACGAGACTACCAATGCACTTCAACTTTGGGCTGAAAAGGGTTGATCCATATCGACAGCCGATGTCAAACAATATTGGCCAACCCTTTGAGGGTAAGGTAGATTGATGCATAACGACGAATGAGACAAAGATGCAATGTCCGCTGAAATGGACGGCATCAAACTTGACGAGGGGTGAAATGAAGTCATGGCAAACATGCTCCGTGTTACGGGCTGGACCCGATTAGTGGATCCGGGCTAAGGCCCGGATTCTGTCACGACTTACCGCGCCGATTCCGCGGGGGTCCCACTTGAACGTTTTTCCTCTGCGGAATCCCCGCTCCAAATCTCTCCTCTTCAGCTTAGATTCTATATACCGAAATCACCCCTGCGTGGCCTCACGAGGGCTGGGCTCTTAACACTCAGGAGTTGATGGATTTTCCAGGAAGTCAAAATACATTCACCTCGATCGTTTGTGATCCGGAACTACCACCGTCGGCCCGGGGAGATCGCTCCCAGAGTAGCACTGGGTACACAAACTGCTCGGCTACACCCGCAGGCGTTAGACTAGATCGAGCTGGTTGCAGGAGAGGGGGGGTTCGGGCTTGGCAGTCCGCCTGTTGTAGGCTGTTGACTATCATCGAGCTTGAACGGTACCCTATCAAGGGGGTAGCGCAATAGGTTTCCGCTCAATACCTTGGCTCTACTTCTATTGCTCCTACCACTGGCCTTATTACTACCACTATAGTTATTATTGTTGTCTATTCCTTAGTTATATTATGTAGGATAAGCCTTAGATAATATAACATAGAAGTAGAAATAGCAATAGTAATAATAATAGTAGCTGTTATATGGAGGTGGCTAGTCGGTCGCTGAGCGGCATTTCAGTTTGTCACCCACTTGCCTCTCAGACGGAGTCGTACTATTCCGAGACAGCGTGACAGGCCAAATATGCCGATGGAAACCGATTTAGCTGCGCAAGTGAGGGGTTCATGATTCACTCACCGCTATGCCAATCATGCATTTCCCGTATTTGCGAACCATGACGTGGTACCGATAATGGTGCGGGCCAGGTATCAATGTGGTAATCTTATTTTAACAATTTGACTTGGAGTGCTTCCCCGCTCATACGCCTCTTTCAATTCTTGAGCGCAGAGCCGACTAGTTGGAAAGCATCTAGGTTTAGGACTCATGCTGATAACTACCTTACTATGGTAGGTAGATCAGATGAAGCAATTTGGCTCCAGCTATGAGAGACGATGTGAACAATCTACCTATTCAGCTTTTGACTCAGGTGTAAATGGCCATCGACAACTCCAGCAATTTACACAGCGGATTCCGTGCCTTCCCAAGTCATCCTAAATTGCGGACAGAAGAGCTTTCCACGTGTTGGGCAGCGATTATCAGGTAGGGGGTCAATGGGATGTATTGATGAGTATGAAGAACGAGTGGCTATGGGAATATCCCGACTATCTATATAGTGAGTGGAAGACCCTTTATACTGGCATATCCTTGGCAAACTTAGTCATGCTTGTGTAAGACTATATTGTCTCATAGGCATAGTGTGACAATCGTTGTAACGAGTGTACTGGGATGGGCCTGACACCACGCATCGACAACCGAACGGCTGGGCGCAAGTAATTCAATGACTTCCTTGCTAGTGGTCGAGGCCGGGCATTTGCCTTCCCATAGAGATACGGGAGCAGCCTTCATTGAAAGAATAACATTCTTGGACTCTTTCGTTGCTGACGCCATAGCGTCTACGAGAGACACATCCCTGAATTGAACGCTCTCCACGGGCGCGCCGATAGCCTCCTCCACCCATTGAACAATATCTCGCCCGGTCACATCAGTGGGCCCGTTCAGAATGTACTTTTTCCCGTTGTGCCGAGAAGGATCTTGGTCCCACAGCAGATGCGCAGCAAAGGTGCCGACATCGTCGCCATCAATAGCGCCCACCGGTGCGTCCTTGTCGGCGATAAGTCTAAGGGTTCCTTGCTTTTTTGTTTGGCGGTATTCTCTGACAAACTCAACCGCACCGTACAGATGTAGAGAGAAGAATATGTTCGGCCGTAGGGATGTCCACTTGAGTTCTTTGAAATCAGGTGAACCCAACATAGTCTCGATGGCCCAATGAGCTCGCGGATGGTAGGCATACGAATCCGGACGGACGTTAGGAGCCGTTGTGGAGATGCGTACGACGTACTGCACGCCGGTCTTTAGCGCCGCCTGGTGGAAAGTCGATTCTTCGGCAAATTGATTTGGGCTGCTGTGAGATGCGATGAAAGCTTTGGATATTTTTTGTTCGCGTAACCATAAAGCGTCGATGTCGACCCAATTCTTTTCAGCAAATATGATGTTAGGGAGACTCGCAAGGCGTTTGGCGGTTGAGGAGGGAATGGAACGTGTAAGGGCCAGGATGCGGATATTAGGCGGAGCATCGCTGCTGCTCACAAAATGGGAGAGAGTCTCGACAACACTCCGACCAGTGTTGCCTGTCGCACCGGCAATGAGAATCGTAGGGGTCATGGTGACGAGAATCTAGAAGTACGAGAACCACGGTGGTGATATTGCTGTAACAGAATCTGGCAGTTTTTTTTTGATAAAAGTCGCCAGGAAGTTTAAACAGTAGTCCATGAGCGGAGAAAATGTTAGGCATTCAGCGCTAGAGTCGGTTGTAGTTACCTCTGGGAGTGATTTAAACAGATTTCACTAACTTAAATTCTCATCATTAACATCGCTCTGTCAGCAGAATTTTCATGGAAAATCTGCCATTGCTTCTTAAGGTACTTGAGTTTCTCAGCCGAGACGTTTACAACCAGTCCTACTGACCTCGACCAGTAGCCTCATCCGAGACGCTGGCCTTCCCACAGCAGAGGTAGCCCTCGAAGCAGCGCGACTACGCTTCGCTATACGCCTGCAGAAGGTTGACCAACAGCATCCCTTGGTCCCAAGGCTGCTGCAGCCAGGGCGGCAACAGACCAGGCTTCAAAGAACAGCTGGCCTTTTACCTAAGTGTCCAAGGCCAGCGCTCCTACAGCCGCAATACCTCCCAGGGTCCTATGACCCTATAGTTACACAGACGAAGGAAGTAGCAGGTGGGATTTTCCAGGCCTGGCTCAAGACTGTGCCAGGTCAGCATACAGTCGTATACTCAGACGGCTCCAAAGCTCCTGACGGGGCTACAGGGTTCGGCTTTGTTATCTACCGCAACAATAAACGTATAGCCCAGGGCTGCGGCCGTCTCGGCTTAGCAGAAGTGTTTGATGGTGAGGCGGAGGGGGCGAGGGCTGGGCTCCGACGGGCCCTTCAGACCTCCCAAGGCCAGCCTATACACATCTGCATCGACAATACCAGCGTTATTCAGGGGATTCGCGGTAAGGTCCCAGACTCCTCACAAGCGGCCTTCCTTGAGATCCAGGAGGTAGCTAGGATACACGATATACAAACCCATTGGTCTCCTGGGCACCAAGGTATTAAAGGAAACGAAGAAGCAGACAGCCTAGCTAAGGAGGGAACAACTCTACCAGTCCTTAGGGGCCAACTAGCTACTCTATCAGGTATCAAGTGGCTTGCTAAAGAGCGGCCAAGACGCCAATATAGACGATGGTGGAAACAAGAGGCAACTCCCCGCTATACCCAACTAGGGCTCAAGGCTACCCTTGCTTGCCCTCCTGAACTTGGCCTCCCTAGGGCTGCCCTTCATCACCTCCTCGCGGCACGGTCAGGCCACGGGGACTTTGAACAATATCACCAACGCTTTAACCACACAGAAGCACTACTCACCTGCTCCTGTGGATGGGTTAAGGAGGCAGACCATCTAGTCTACTGCCGAAAGACCCTACTGAGGAGGCAACAGTGGCCCACCCTCTACCCCTACAGCCGCCAGGAGCCCGTAGGACCTATAGGGTCCCTCGATCGCTACTTCAAGGGGCTAATCACTGACTCTGAAGGCTTCCAGGCCTTCCTCTGCGTGACAGACTTCTTCCAGAAGATCTGCCCGCGGTACTAGGAGATAGGTCATAACCTATCCTCCAAACGACAAACTACCTCTATTAAGAAACCAGATGGTTATAACGGAACTAGGGCACCAGTGGGAACTAGGGATGGATAGAACACATAGTAGCTCACGAGCAAGATTTGGAGGACGTCAGGATACGGCGTGTACTATATAGTATATAGCTAGAGCCTGCGACCCTTCACGCCACATACCCTTCGGGAGGTCTGCCGCAAGGGCGGCTGCGCCCTTGCCGCCATGGCGTTAAATAGAACAACAACAACAACAACAACAACTCGAATGTCAAGTCAATACGGTTTGGTCGTGCTTCCCTACAGCTCACAAGGGACCAGACATAGAGTCTAGGTCGTATTGAAAGCTGGGACACAAGTATTGAGACATCGGGACTCCAATTTCTGCCACCAAAATCAACTAATTGCAACACTAGATATATGTTATCTGGTTTGACAAGTCGCAAACGCGCCCTGCTCTTGCGTAGAAAGCCTACGGGATTGTGCTACGTTGCCTATTTTGACTACATAAAATATCTCCAATGCCTTCCATAGGACCCATGACAGGTGGAAGTCATTGGATAATCTCGTAATAAAATTCAAAGCCCGCATGCGTGTGCAGCACCTTGTGCAATTTCTACAAAATGCAGGAATTTGTACTGAGCAGCCCACTGAAAGTGACATAAAAACTCACCGAGAGGTTTGTTCTAGAGTGTCTCTGAATATACCATTTTTTAAGATATAAAACCTGGGCTCACAAGTATTTGCAAGGAAATGGCTTAGAACGAGGAATAGCCACAACAGCACGCCTTTCCAGATCTTCCAACACTCCTCTGTTTAGGTTCAAGCTGTTAGCAGCCGTCTGATCTTCAGACATGGATGTGGGTTCGACTTGGCGGGGTTGGCAAACATCGATGGGGCAACGACTCATTGGTGGCGGCATGCTTTCAGATGTTTGATGCAGCATATCATAGCATGCGAATTATCCCATCAAATGATCCATATTCTGGTCGAAGGCGCTAGGATGCCATTGAACAGCATGAGCCGAAGTTGAGAAATGCGAAGCCAGTTGGCGGGGCAAACAAGCCCAGGTGCAATCAGTTCACTGTTATTAGACTGGAGCCACGGAACCCCATGATCGCCGTGTAAGTCGGGGAAACAGACACGCGGGAAGGCTTACACGGACTGCGCGGGTTCCAACGGTTTGGTCCAACTATCAACGTGCCCATTCAATGTTTCCCGAAGAGTTCGCGAATATGCACTGCGACATACGAAGACAGACTCCCATTTGTCGTGCCGCTGCTAGCTTCTGACAATTTCCACACAGCCGGCGGGATGATTGTCCTTGACGAAGCTTTTTGGGAAGCTTAAACAAACTTTAATCGGCCCCGATTCCTTGCAGAGCAGTTTCAACCTTCCTGCGGCAACTTTTCCATGCTCAACCAGGCGGAAGTTTGACACAAGCGCGAGACACTCCGGCCCCAAACAGAAAGCAAAAATTGGCGTCGTCGCAAGGCCAATTCAGTGATTAGTGGCACTTCTAGGGGAATTTCTTGATTCAAGGTTGCCTGCCAGGAGCACGTCAAAAGTATGTTTTCCGACGAACCCAATCTGATGGGGGAATTGAACTCAAGCCTTAAGAATGCCCCGTCCGTACCCCTCTCTGTTGCGTCCGTGGACCATCACTTCGACATCTGAAGACACGGCAACCTTTCGTGGGGAGTTCGGGATCTCAATACCATCCAACGTCCGCGATTAGCTCATTAGGAAGGACTTGCAGGTTCACCGCCTGTTCTTGGGCTTCGTGGCATTTCTCATCGCTACGACGGCGGTGAAGGTTCCGCAACCTGTCGGACCAGCGCATCAGGAAATCCAAGGACCGATAGTATGGGCAGCTTGTCCCGGGGATATTCGACCTTTCAAAGGCAACAACGCCACATCAGCTCTCCAATGCACAAACTTCTCGGTCCCTTTGAACTACAATGACCTCGGGGGTCCTCAAGTTCAGTTGGGCATTGTCAAGCTCCCGGCACAGGGCAAGCGCATTGGCAATCTCTTTGTGAACCCCGGCGGGCCTGGAGGGGCAGCGTCAAGCATGGCAGCGCGAATGGCTTCCGAGGGAATTTACGTCAGCGACGCGGTGCGCCAGTCATTCGACATCATTGGAATGGACTCTAGCGGCGTTGGCCTGAGTACACCGCAGAGGTGCGACACAAATGCGGCCAACCAGCCGAGCGAGTTTGATGCGACAACTCCGGAGGGGTTCCAAAAAGTGTTCAACTACAACAAAGCCGTTGGTGATTCTTGCCGGGCAATGACTGGACCTTTGTTTGACAACATGGACACAACATTTGTCGCCAAGGACATGGAGGCTGTTCGTGTGGGTAAGATCATCGTTCCATTACCCTGTCCTGACCAGAGAAGTTGACGTTGGGCAGCCACTGGAGGAGAGCCTATGAACTACTTTGGAGTATCATATGGAACACAACTTGGGGCTCAGTATGCTGCACTGTTCCCCACTGCAATCCGTGCTATGGCACTTGATGGGATGTTGCAGCACACTGGCTCTTTCGCATCGAACATCATGACACAGGCTACGTCCTTGGACGCCACCATCCAGGCGTTCTTCCGGTTCTGCGAAGCCAACGCTACGAACTGCGGGGAAGGAGGACAAGACATCCGGCAGACGTGGAACAAAATCCTTGAAGTTGCTGGCGCGGGTAACCTCAAGGCTGCAGAGTGTGACGGGACCATCAAAACCGGCTGCGTGCCTGCTGCGACACCAAACAACGTAATAGGATCTGCACGGTCGACTCTGGAGTTTCCCCAAGACCTGAAGAAGTTTGCCGAAACGCTCAAGCTTGGGGCCGCTGGGAACGGCTCGTTTTTCGTTCCAGGCCTGTTGTCTGGCGACGTTTTTTCCGACTCTCGATCTTTGTCCATTACGAACGTGCAGTGCCAGGACGGGCATTTCTTCGCTGCCAAAGATCACCTCGAAGTGCAGCGAGTGGCTGATATGACTCGTACTTTCACTACTACCCCAGGCATGGGCGAGTTCTGGCACAGGGTTATTGACTGCACCGGGTATCCTGTTTAGATCACGAATCCTCGGACGGCATTAAATATCAAGGGCACGCCGCCTATCTTACTCGTCCATTCTAGGTTTGATCCGGCTACGAGCTTGGTGTACGCGGCTGGTATGATGGAAGAGTTCCAAAACGCAACTTTACTTCTAAGAAAAGGATCTGGGCATACAAGCTATCTGCTAAAGGGTGATGCTTCGCGCGTTGTAGACGACTATTTGATCAATTTGAAGATGCCGGCACCGGGAACGGTGGTTCAAAGTTAGCTGAGCTGATCAAAGAGAGAATTAGAAAGCGAATCAGATTCTACTTCACCAAAAAAAAACGTCGGATTCTTCGTGTCTTCCTTCATTCTCGACGCAATTATTACACAAACGTTAGACCTTCATTACGCGTCTCAATACTAGCGACCGTCACCCATGCGGGTAGAACGGGAGTCAAGATAGCAACTTGTCTGGACGACAAACAAACAAAAAGCAGAGCCCATTCTCTCTCCTATAGAGCACCTTACCTTACAAATGGTGGACGAATAGGTCTGCGCCTGCCTCATACGAAGGCTGGGGATGAAGGCTGGGGTGTATACGGATTCCGAGTTTCTTTTGTGTTTCGGAGGGGTTGACGAAGATTAAGAAGATCAGATGTTCAACATGATTGGAGACTGCTATCTGCAAGGTGCTATGGACGGCGAGCTCCTGCCACTTGGAAGCAACACTATTGTCAAGTTGGTGTGATAGTCAGAATATGACGCCTCAAGGCCCGAACTTCAGACCCTTTGTTGCGACTATTGATTAGAAGTGAGTTGTAATTAACCAAGTGAGGCGCAAAAGGACAAAAGGGGTACGACCTGGATTCGAACCGGGGACTAACCAACCATTCTGGATCGCTCTGACCACCGAGCGCTCGTACCTAATGGTATCATCAGGAATGAACGAAAAAAACATAAACCACATTCTTTCGATTTGCCGCGAGCAGATTCTTTGAGTTATTGCAGAAAGACTGACTGGTACCGTGATGGATAGAGTAGGAAGCTTGAGGGGCAATACCCAAAGGCCCTACTCTTTCTCCACTGCTCATCTTACGGACTCTATGTCCCAAATGATTGAGGAATGTGGATATGGAGCTACTGATATGCAACCCATGACTACCCTACTTAATATTATCATGAGTTTAAACGCGACAGGTACCAGATGTAGTAAGTAAATACGTGGTAGCATTCATATAAACATAGTTGCAAGTACATAACATACAGAGTATCGAATAAAGCAGAAAGCGAGTAGGAGTAGCCTCGCAGCTAATATCCTTCCATGGTCTCATCGATGAGTCTTTTCTTCGGCGCCACCACCACGATGTAAATAAGTCCCGCGCGAATCTCATTAAAATCAATCATCAAGCTTCACTGATAGGAGGGGCTTGAAGAATCCATTCTCCGATAATCTTGATGGTCTTCTGGGTCTTGATCTTCGCATCCTCGAGCAGAACCGGGTCACGCACAATGCCGTCCAGATGCTGGTCGAAGCCATGGACCGTATCAGGGACCAAGAGCCACCGGTAACGGCTTCCGTCAGCGCCAGACACCTCGAAGTGGTATACCTCGTCGTCTAGCACAAGCTCGCCATCGCCGACAACTTCAGGCTTTCCAACCTTTGCTGGTGGCGGTGGTCGACCCGCAAGCCTGTGAATAAGCCTCTGGCCTTCCTGAGCAAGCATATCAAGCTCGCAGCCGATCATAAAGACCTGCTTTGGCAGAGCCTCCTCGGGCGCGAAGGTAGGGCTAAGAAGCGGGTTACGGCTGTCTTCACCAGGGATCTTGTATGCCCAATCGAACACTGGTGCAATCCCTTGCAGAAAGTCTTTTTCCTTTGCGCGGAAACCTCCGAGCTCAGGCTTGTACTGCCGCGTTGTGGCCTTCTCGTCTCCCGTGATGGAAAGATCAGCCGCAGGGTACAAGGGGACGATGCAGGTGAGATGTTTCCTAACGGTCTCCAGTTGAGCGACGGCCAGAGTCAGGTTTCCGCCCGCAGACCAGCCGGCCAGGGATACTCTGGTACGATCCAAAGGAATCGAGTCATCGTTGAGTGCAGCGAGGAAGAGCTCCTCACAGTCATGAATTGGCTTGGGGAACGGATTACCCGGAGCTTTGGCGTAGTTGAGACCAATGACAATCGAGTGGTGCTGCGAAGCATACGTCTGATTCCAGTCGTCGTTGTCATTTGGGGTACCGAGCACGAATCCACCACCGTGGATCGTGAAGAGAACCGGCAGCTTGTCTTTGGACGTTTTGTCAAAGCATTTCGGAAAGAAGACTCTGGAACGTGTCAATCTCAGCGCCAGTGCGACAGGTATTTACTTTGGGGTGAAATAAAAAGAACGCACCTGACGGGTAAGTACGGCCTGCATTCGTACGTCTTCACAATCTCTGGACGGTTCTCTGGCGGGATGACGTATGCTTTGACATCACGAACGAAGAGCGCGGGCTTTACCAAGAGATTTTGGATCGCAAAGGCTGTAGCGCCATACCTGACCTTTGACAGGAGCGGCAACTCTGGTACGCGATGTGAGTCGTCCGTGGTATTCTGATCTTCGGCCATCGTTGGAGCCAGGCGCGCGACGGGTTGAGTTGAGTTGCTTGGGGTGCTCGAGTGTCGCAGCGGATGTTGCGTTGGAAGAAACAGGCGGGGTTGGGATGAGAAGCGTCGCTGGCTGGTGGGAACGACTCGGTAGTTGTAGTCGCATGCACCTCGGTTTCGCATTTAAAGGGCCATAGCGAGGTTCAAGCCGAGTACGAAACAAGATGCGAAACCTTGTACCATGGACAACATGATTGGATAATAGGTGCTTGGAGACGCCATGTCTTCAGTCATTGATGGTACATAAGTGCAAGCCTGGCCCTTGGGTTTGAATCAAGGTTTAAGTTGCAGAGGATCTCATAACGCCTTCAATTGCTCACGGCATCACAAGTTGACGGGGACTTGTCAGCAAGTGCCGGGCTTTACAGCCGAACCTACCCCGCCGGCAGAGGTCTCCACTTTGGCCGGTGAATCGGGAAACTTCACGAGAGCGACAACTGCACAGTCCTCAACTCTTCATGCATTGCCACAACGCACGAATCGGCCAGCGTCCATTTTCAACCAAGTGACGCCTCGAACACATGCAGCCGTTATGGCGCAGCTGCTCTCAATCCGAAAGCAACTGCAGTTTGTGGCAAACCCCGAAGATTGCAGGACGCTTATCGTCGAGAGACAGAAAAAGGAGAAAGGAGTAGTAATGAGGCGAAAAGTAAACTCAGGAGGCACTGCTACCATGAATAGTTAGTAACGGTATCAAAAGTTTATACACGTGACCAAGGGGAAAGTCCGCCAGACGCGGTTGAATGACAGGCGCGCCTCGGGCCCCCCTCAAGTGAAGTCACCGTAAGTGACAACTTCCGACAAATTTGATTCTTCCCTGTGACTAGTGAGTCTAGACACGCTGATAATTATTCTACCATAGCGATGTACTCCTCTAGATATGTGGCTTCCTCCTCAGATCCAGAGGCTGAATGGATCAGGTTATCTTACTGGCCTTGAAAAAGTGATATGGCTTATTGCAATATGCAACGAATTCAACAGATCCATTACTTGGCTAGACGCAAATACCTAAGTTCTGAAAGAGTGAAATAATTGCCTTTACCAAAGGGAAGGTGCCAGCAAGTCAAATCGAAAGCCAGCTCTTGCTGTCTCCTTCCCTTTGGCGAAGGTGATTGTTGATCAAGTTGAACCTCAGGCGAAAAGTCTGAAGGCCTCTACCGGAACTTCTTCGTCGCTCGCTGCTTCCTTTATTTCTCCAAGGCTTGCCTCATCAAAAAGCAACTGGTGCCTCCATTACTTGAAGTTGTGTGAGAGACTTACCTTGGGTTTTGCTTTCCAAAGCTATTCAGCGTGATCAAAGAAGTCGACAAATTCACGTTTGATCATCGGGACAAAGTGATCCCTCTGCATCACTGGCAGAAATATTCTGAGACGCTGCAAGAATATCTCTGTCCGTCGACTTGATGGAGGACAAACCCGTTACCATGCCTTCAGCATGGCCTAGTATGGGAGAGTAAGTGGTCTCGTCAATTGCAATGCAGGACATGCTGACATTCAAGTCACAGCATTCTCAACTCACCACAAATCAAATTCCGCATCGGTCATAAAGCCAAGCCCTTCTCGGTTCACAAAGCTGCGATGGAATTCCTCTCCCCAAAGCTTGTGTCTCTGCAAGCTTCGGAGGAAGTCCAACCCGATCCCACTTCAATCACCCTCAGGGGCATCGATGAGACTACCTTCACCCGACTGGTCGAATACGCCTATCGTCACGATTACACTGTGCCAGTTCTCAAAGCCAGCCCCCATCCCTCCAACCATTCCAGCGTTTCGCTCTCGCTCTACGAGAAGCTTGAGCAGGGAGATGAGTTCCCAGACACCGAGCCCTTCATCACCCGAGCTCGCATCAAGTTCCACAACGAGGCGATGAAGCCCCACGCCGATCTCAACAATGCCGTCTCCCATGATACTGTCGAGGAGATGAAAGTCTCTGGTCGCTGCAGTCACTTTGACGTCCTCGATGCCCACATTGCTCTCTACAACCTGGCACGCCAATACGACATCCACCCATTGAAGAGTCTCTGCGAAAAGCGCTTCCGCCAAAGCTTGCTCTTTATGCACCATAATGAGCACACCATCATTGCTCTATCCGACATCTTGGATTGCGTTGAGCACGGCGCCCTTAGCGCTCCTGGCAATGAAATCCGAGACATTCTTCTGGATTACTTCCTTGCCAATTTCTACAGAGCGGCAGCACAGCGAGACTGTACCTGAAGTTCAAGACTACGCTCCTACAAGACAATGACTATTGCCATCTACTGCTCGCCAAGTTGCCAGCCGAGGATACACCCTTTGGCGATCGAGGCTGGGGCCTTGTCTACTGAGCTCTACATTGGAAAGAATTGGGACGATGGGAAATGGTTGACTCGCTTGGGATACCCCCTCTTCTTTGTATCGAATTGGGCTCATTGGGATATCGTAACTTCTCCTCTGGGGTTTCAGTGGCCGATTGTATTCGTGAGAAGATCCCGAAGACAGGTCCATGTCTGGAGTCAGACTCAGAACTACAATGGAGATAAATTGACATCTTCCTTTGTAACTGTCGTCCCAATTATGTTTACCTTGACAACTAACTCGAGGCGTTGAATTTGTCACTTCGTGAACTGTTTGTCAAATCGCCTCTAAGATACCGGTGGTAGCGAGCATCTACAACCCAAAGCCATTCCCGACGTAATACAGCCGACACCGGCATCTCTGGCCGATATCTTCGCCAGTAAACATCTAATCTCCATACAAGGCGGTGCCAAGGAGGTCACCGCAAGACATGACTGATAGGAAATGGCACTAGCCGTATCCATGTCGGCAGAGGTGGGGTCACTGCGGGGTTGTGCATGGTGATAGCTTCAACATCCGGCGCGATGTGATCCATGGTTCCGAAATGTCGGGATAACACCTCGTGGCTCTCCACTTTTCCCCGACCACCCTTATCTATCCGGGCATATTGCCGATAATGGCATCTTCAAGACGCATGGCACTGGATGGTATAAATAGAGATTGACCATATGGAGTAGTTCATGTTTCCTTGTCGTCTCTTGTGGAATTACTTCTCCGTTTGTCGAATTCAAAATGCTCGTTCCGCAAGTTCTATTGGCGTTGGGTGCCGTGGGCTTTGGCTCGGCCCATTTTATTGTCCCCAACGATGACCAGGACATGTCCGGTCTCACGGTCAACTCGATCCCTGCAGCGAAGAGAGTCGAGTACATGCAAAAGGTTTGACAGACTCGGTTCTGGTTCAACGTTTTCCTCCAAATGCTGACATTCCGCCAGGGAAACGAGGCACTTTTCCGCCAGAGCGGACCGTAAGTGGCCAAGCCCCGTCGAAAGCTAATTCATGAATTTCACTAAATTCCTGGCAGTTGCCCCTTTGCCGCGTTCGGTACCATCATCGTAAACCACACCAGCGATGAAGTCGTCTGCGAAGGAGCGAACTTCCGGACTGGTGATCCTACGAGTTTGTACTAGGACAACAGCAGTCATATCTGTGGGTGACTGACAAGACGCCAGTTCACGGAGAGATTTCTGCCATCAACGCATGCACAGCCAAGTTTGCTGAACAGGGCATGACGCCAACGTAAGGCCGACAAGGTACTATTCAAGACCAAGGCCTCACATCTTCGACAGACAGATCTATGCCGCTTGGGGAGACCTCTCAATCTACACAAACGCTGAGTCGTGTCCGATGGTAAGTACTTTGAGTCGCCAGAAAACTAGCAACATTAGTAACTAACGGGTTCCAGTGCGCGAGTGCAATTCGTTGGGCTGGTTTCAAAGGCAAGTTATCTCTCAATCGCTAGTTTCTCTTCCCACAACTAACACTGGCCTATCAGAATATGTCTATGGAACCACGATCCAGCACAACTACAACGTCGGTTGGGGTGTAATGACTCTTAGCAGTGTAAGAACCCCTGGATGATGGATCAGATACATGTTGAAGGACCCCTACTGAAAATAAATACCCGTCTATCTAGTACGACGTTTTCCAGCAATCTCGCCAGCTACCTGGCTACCAAACCTCCATGATCGGACAGATCCTGACCAACGAGACCGACCCTCTCTTCTCATGGCAGTATAACGCAAGCGCCCCCTGCCCGAACGAGTGTTTCCGTGTCCCCAGCGCGACTCGAGGTGGGACGACCTGCTCCAATGTGACCGTTTCTCGAAGGGACCATGATGCGTTGTAGAGAGTCATTCAGATAAGACGAAGAATATGGTATGTGGGAGAGTTTGTTAAGCACAAAGGGAAAGAACTAGACTCTTTGTCCTTGTGAATGTTTTGGAACCGCTATGTCAAGCAAGGTAGAGTAAGGTATTTGTACCTTATTCAGTTAGATCCCAAGTTTGAGTCCTTTCTCAAAGGAATGCCGCTTCGTAACTTGCTTGCTTATCCCATTGACTGCTGGATGGCGTCACTACATCCGTCTCCGGTCTTTCTCTAAATTTCCTCTATTCCGAGATCATTCATAGGCAGATGTAAGGGAAATCGGGTCGGATAATTCAATTCTTTGCTATTCTGCCATTGCGCCTTTCCTCTATTTCCCACTTCTCTTCCTTTAAAGCAACGCTTGTGTCTGGCTCGTCAAAAGCTTCCTTCTCGTAGCAGTTGCGCCAGGACGTATCTCAGGAGCTGCTTGGAAACTTGGAGTTGACATCATCGAGCGCTTTTCCCGATTGCTCCCAATATTTAGGAAGCTCAGTCATAACATCAAAAGCTAACTCAGGTACGCCACTGAGTAGGTCTTTGAAGCTGGGCATTGCCCGAACCATGCTAATATCGGCGACGCATGTCTGAACAAGCAACTTCCGAATCTTGTCTCCCGGCATGGTATTGGCGAACGCGAACTCAATGACGCCAAAGAGCAGCTGGTATCCAGGGTTGCCAAGTCTTGCGCGCGTCAAAGAGCTATGTAGTCGATGAAGGCAGACTTCTCTCAGCTGAGCAATGTCGTACCGGTCGGCGAAGAGATAAAGCTGCACGTGGTGCATGCAGATTTCTCCAAACAGTTGGTTGGCGACCATGAGGTCGAAGTTGACCTCGAGCTCCTCGTCCTTGTTCCACGGCAATCCGGGCGGTATAGCGTATAATTTTCCGGGTGTGCCTTGGTTGACGAACAACAGCAAATACCGCAGGTATGGCAGTTTTGCGTGTAGTCGGGAATCTGAATTCTGGACGTGTTCGATTAGGGAATCGTACGCCTCCCCTGGGATCAATTTGGCGGCGTCAGACTCTCCAGCCTTTTGAAATTTGTGCGACGTCGGCACGTCGTAGTTTCCGTAGAACGCGAAGTTAATGAAGCTTGTGAAAACTTCTGGCTTCACGTCGTCAATCTCAACAATTCCCTCGAGGGACTCACGCATGTTGTTGGCCAACATGCGGTCGAATATTGGGGACCGAGAGGCTATGAGCTTCTCGTGGATCTGGAATGGCTTTCGGTCTTGACCGATCCGGAAGGTGACCACTCGTGAGGTGAGTACGCTGCGGACGATTAGTTCCATGGTTATGACCTGATTAAACTGCACAAAAACGGAATTTTACGTACCCTTCAAGGTCAGGCATGCCTCTAGCGGAAGAAGCCATTGTAGGAAGTTGATGTCGGGTGGGCACGTCGTTCTGTTAAAGAGCCCCGAACCCGTTCGAGAGTTGCCTGTGGTGGATCCGCGACTCCTGGAGGTGAACTGGGGAAGTCAAATTCTGTATTCATGTAAGGCTTTCTCGAGATAAAGTACCCGCCGCAGAAGATGGATTAGTGGACGGAGGTATCAGTTGATGATGATGATGATGTATTTAACGTCTGGTAACAAAAGGACGTGCCGGGAGGTATCAGGAGGCTCTTGTTGAGAACGGGTTTGAGAGTTTCAGTCCAACCCATCACGTGACCGCAATGAGTTGTCAGATTTGGAATACGCTCGTCTTCATCGAAACGCGGGTTTCGCAATTCTCAAATTTTGAACCTATTGTAGTTCAATTATGAAGTCTCATGGAGTTCTTTGAAAAGCGGAACACCTCGAAAATAGAGATTGCCGCAGTGCGTGTCTTTGCTATGGACCTCTTAGATCTGAGATGCTGCGTTCCCCTAGGCCCTTCCCGCAATAAAAATCTCATTTCCCTTTTGAACTGACCTCACCACTCCAATGCAGCGTCCGCCGGCATGCCACGTTCCATATTTCCTAGACAAGGTCACTTGAATAAAATAGACCGCCCCCGAAATGGTCCCGAGCGTCCGGTGCCCCTCATGCTTGCCTTTGAAGGTCTTTCCAGTAGGTATCAGGTATTTCGAGCAGCAGCTCCACGGCGAAATCCGGGATCTCCTTGATCAAATTTTGGACGGCATCATTGCTCATCGCCCAATTCATGTCTCCGATGAGGTAGTGTAGTAGTACCTTGCGAAGTTCGTCTCGATGTAGTGTGTATGTGTAGAGGAAGCGAAAAACGGAACACACATGAGCAATCAACTCATCATGTCCAGTCGCATTGTAAAACTTTGGGCAAACATCTTCGATGCATGCTTTCTTGAGGTCCTCGATGATATATTTGTCGGCAAGAATGTAAAGCTCTGCAAGTTTCATTGGGTGGTCCAACGAGACCAATCTTTTCGAATCGGCTTCGTCATCGGAATCTTCTGATTCCTCCTTCCTGGGCATAGGATTCTTGCTAGTCGAACTGACTTCACCGATTCTATTATCGCTGAAGTGCTCCTTGCAAAAGTTCAATACTGCGTAGGATTGGCCGTCACTCTCTGCTGACCAGGCCTTGATTCCATGTCCGCAGTGAGTGGATCACCTCGGTTTCTTCTTCGGCGTCTTGTTCTTCCTTCGTGTCTTCTTTTGCATAGTCTTTGTTCTCGGGATAGGAAATGGGGTAGGAGCCGGTATACGCGTAGTCCAAAAGGAGGAGAAATGTGGCAGGCTTGACGTCGTCCCAGATGATTTTGCCCTCGAGAGATTCTTGCATACCCCCAGTAAGTAAGGCTCTGAGAGGCTCCGAGAGGTAAGTCAAGACTCCTTCGTGGAAACGGAACTCTCGCGTCGACTCGCCTCTGCCAACGACGAAAGTGACGATCCGGGAGTCAACAATTCTATTTAATGTTACCAGATATTCAAGCGAACCTGTGATTGCTCTAGGGAAGAGAAATACTTCCTCGTCGATGCCTCTCTTTCGTTTGAGAGACATCGTGGCGGTGTTGACGAAGGTGTGTGGGTGTAGAGGTGAGAGTTGAAGGTTGGACCAGCCGCGAAAAAAAAGCCCGTATTATATAGGAAGAAGAAGCTGAGGAGAGCAGGAAGTCTCGGCTGCCAAATTGCCAGGAAAGAACTGTATTCAGTCTTTCCGTCCTATTCGGTAGAACAGCGACTGCCGGTTACTGAGGTGCAGGAGCGTTGTTCTTCAAGCTCTTCCCGCCATTCATGGGGTTATATGCCCAAAGCATATATGTCTCTATTGTTGCATTCAATATCGTTTGCAAGTTTCATCGACTATTGGGAAGCAAACGATGTCAAATAGCTCTACGGTATCGCACATACCTCTGCGATGAGACACATCTAGATCTGCCTTCTCCAGCATTGCTGTTATATCCCATCAACTGCTAGATAACGTCAGTATAGAGGTACGTACTTTAATAAGGAGAATAGCGAATAATCTAATATTCCGACCCTATTTCCCTTATATCCGCCTATGAATAATCTCAAAATAGGACGAAATTGGAGAAAGACTAGAGATAGACGTAGTGATGCTATCCAGTAACTAGTCAATGGGATAAATCCTATTTTGCGCACCCTAGAGCGAACATGAAACTTTCAAACAGCACCTTTTATTTAGTTACGGCCTGGCAGAAATTACAAAGTGACTGTGCTAGACGGGAAGATGAAGTTTCGATCAACATTTTTAGACTAACTTTACACCTCGGGGGCTGCTTGGTGGTTCATATCTCGTTTTTTCTTAATGGCAATGAACGGTCCGCGGCAATGAGACGGCAGCTCTTTGTCAATGGAGACTAAGGTATGAAAGAGGATAACCTGTTTGATACAACGCAGTCCAGTCACACACCACGCAGACGGACGACACATACTATGAACGTTCTTTAATAATCAGAGTATCTCTTTGAATTCTTTCAGAAGTGAAAGAAAACTATGGTTCCTCTGATTACTGGAAAATGACTCAAAAGTGTCATGAGAACTAGTATGGTGATGTGATGATACCCAAGGCGTGCATCCGAATAACGAATTCACATTGTGCCAGGCCCTCTCCATAGCACAGTCGCAACTGCTCTCCGATAGAATCCTCCTCCAGCAAGTTTCATGGCCTCCAAGGCCACATATATCATCCTTTGATTCGTCCCCTCACTAGAATCGCAGCAAGCGTTGTCTCTTTCCTCTCTCTGGGTGAGCAGACGCGGAATCTTTGAGTGATGAACTGGGTTTGTGATACAGCGGCTTGCGGTTTCTGGGTTCAAGATGCATGGCCATGAAACGATCACACTCAGCCAATGCCTCTCGAACTTCGGGCGAGCGATTGAGAACCTCTGTATAGATCTCGGGAATTTCTTCCAAGACTTTGATAATGCAAGGCAACTTGAAGGCTCTGGGGAACTCAATGCGCAAGTAGTCAATGAGTAGTTCTCGAAATTGGTCATTTGGCAACGTGTTTGGCCAGATGAAGACCATGAGGTCGCAGATGATCTGCGTGAATTCGTGGGTAAACGGATGGCGAAGAAGAATACGACGAAACTTCTTGATGCATGCATCCATTAAGCTGTGAATGCTGTACTGATCGCCCAAGATGTAGACTCGTGCATGCGACATGAAGTACTCTCTCGAGTGAATATGGACAATGTCCAATTCGTCGGATCGCCAGGTGTGAATGAGGCGATGCCAAGCCGGATCAAGGTCCCCTGGTATCTTCTCTCCGCTCTCTGAGTGCCATGCGTAGTAGATTACGCGATGTTGAAGCGACTGAGCCGTTTCGATACTGCGCACTGTCTCCTTCTTCTCATCGGTGATGGTGAAATCCTTGGTGTAGGCGAACTCCATCAACAGAGCGAAAGTATCGGAGTCGACATCAGCCCAGACAACAACGCCCTCCACAGACTCCCTCATACCGTTGGTAACGAGGGCTCGGAGTGGCTTGGAGAGGCGACTAATAACTGCCTGGTGGACATTATGTTCGGCCTTATCTTTGCCGATGATAAACTTGATAATGCGAGACTTGGTAATCCTGTACCATGTTAGCAAATATCTCACCACTAAGCGAAGAAGGGAAAATGAAGTGGCAGTTTGGGTGCGCGTACTCGTAAGTGGTTTTATTCTTAGCCATCGCGAGGCATTTGGTCACAATGACCAGCTTGTTCGGGTAATGAGGAAGCTCAAACTGAGTGAGAAACAGAGTGAGAGATGGGAAAAAGACGATGTTTTGGTGAGACAGGGAAGGGCCGTGAGAGTAGGAACGATCAGAGCCCGAAGAAGGTGTAGAAGAAGAAAGGGTAATCCCGAAAGGCCTGAAATCGGAAGAAGTATGAGTAGACCTTACTTCCCTTCTTCTTTCCGTGACAATTTTTTCAGTAGTATGGTACGGAAGGAGCAACTGGAGGTGAGGGCGTTGTGGGAAGGACCGATCACCTGTGTGTGGTGAGGCGGTCTTCAACGTGACCCAGCCCTCTCTGAATACTCAATTGACGGAGGAGCGAGTATTCGTTCTAGAACTGCAATCCTCAAGCAATCGAGAGCCATCACCTCCCTCGTCTCCAAAAGACATCATGCCGAAGTTTAACAAGCCCCTCCATCAGCATAGACAGGCATATCTCTCCATATCAAGTAACGTCGAGTTAGTGAATGGGCAATCTTTTACATCATCATATCCAGGTCAATCCGACTCACAGGAAGCACTCAGGCTTGACACCGCACGTCCATTCCTCTCACATGGCTCAACAACATTCACTACACAGAACCGAACGTCAAATGCCTTTGAAAGTTATTGTTAATTTTATTTTAGGAGGCGAGCGTCCTGGGGTTGATCACAGTCGCGATCTGGTACTATTAGATACAATTCTGGCGTCGTCTCGTTATCGTGGCATTGCGATCAGGGCCCTTACTGAGGGATGCCCAACTCCTTGTAGAAGGCTTCGGTGCTAGGCTTGCGTCCAAGGAACTGCTCCAGGGTCAACATCTCCTCCTGGCTGCCACCCTTCTCCAAGACGGTGTGTCTGTAGCGGCGGCCCTCCTTGCCGTTCATGGGGTCGGCCTTGAAGACGGAGTAGAACATATCGGTAGAGTAGACCTCGGATGAGAGGTAGCCGTAGTAGCCGGCATCGTAGCCGCCAATCAGGTGGCCGAAGCAGGCTTGTCCGTTGCCCCAGGTGCTGTGTCTGTTAGTATTGTGTGATCTGAGATTGGATGGAGACTCATACCTCTTCTCGCCCTGAGCTTCGGGGCCCTTGATGCCAGCAATCTGGCCGCGAAGCTCGTTGTAGGTCGCCGACAAGTCCAGGTTCTTGATCGCCTCATGGCTCTCAGGGGTGTGAACGGTCATGTCGAAAGTACCGAAGTGGAGCTGACGCAGGTTGAAGAGAGCAGCGTTGACGTGCTTGGTGGAGATCTGCTTCTCGATGAGGTCATCGGGAATCTTCTCGCCAGTTTCGTAGTGTTGAGACAGCGCCTTGATAACACTGGGAGTCCAGCACCAGTTCTCCAACATCTGCGACGGCGCCTCAACGAAGTCTCTGACGGTGCTGGTGCCGTGGAAACGGCTGTATGTGCAGCGGCCGGCAAGGTCGTGGATACCGTGGCCGAGCTCGTGGAAGAGGGTGACTACCTCGTCGTGCTTGAGAAGCGAGGGCTTCTTGGGCGTGGGCTTGCTGAAGTTGCAGACCAGAGCGGTGGCAGGGTATCTGCGCGAGCCGTTGGCTTGCAGGTAACCGGGCTGCAAGTTGAAGTTGGCAGCGTGGCCGTACTTGCCCTGGCGAGGGTGCAAGTCAAGGTATAGGTAGCCGACGAATCCTTCTCCCTCGGAAGCATCGTCCCATACACTGAAAATGATGACATCCTCGTGCCATGCGATATCCTCACCCTTGCCTGTAGGGCTGAGGGCCTTGCGGTCCTCGGGCTTGAGCTCAACAAAGACGAAACCAAGGAGCTCTTCAAAGATCTTGAGCATACCAGCAATCGTCGAAGTAATGGGGAAGTACTCGGCGATCTTGTTCTCGTCGATGCTGTATTCCTTCTCAATCATCAAACGGTCGTAGAACTTGTGGTCCCACAGGTAGTAGTTGCCATCGTTCTCAACGCCGCGGGCGTCGGTGTCAGCCTTCTTGAGCTCCTGGAGGTGCTCGACTTCCTTAGCACCACCGGCGGTGAGGCGAGAGCGAAGATCGCCCAAGAAGTCGTTGACGGTCTTGGTGGTCTTGGCCATCTTGTCCTCGATGCGCAGGGCAGCGTGGTTGGGGTAGCCGAGCATGCGGGCGGCCTCATCACGGAGAATGATGGCCTCCTGGAAGAGGGGAACGTTCTGGTTGCACTTGTTCTCGTTCTGGATGAAGACCTTGCGTCTCGTCTCGGGGTTCTTGGCGAACTTGAGAGTCGGGAAGAGGTCGGGGTACTTGAAGGAAAGCTTGAGCTTGCCCTCGTTCTCGCCAGTGCCCTTCTCAAGACCGTCGAGGACGTCCTCTGAAACACCATCGAGCTCCTCCTTTGAAAACCAGATGCCGCCGTTCTCCTCGTTCAGGTTCTTTGTGAACTCGATCTGGATCTGACTGAGACGCTTCTTGATCTCCTTGAAGCGGTCACGTTGGGGCCCAGCGGGCAGACCCAGACCCATCTTGATGTAGTTCTTGTAGTCCTTCTCCAGCAACCTCAAGCTCTCGGGGTCCAGACCCTCGGCGTCTTTGCGCTGATGGAGAGCCTCAATAAGCTTGTAGACATCCTCCCTCATGTTCACCTCGATCGAGAACTCGTCCATGATGGTATCGGCTTGGGTCGAAGCCTCGCGCAGGGCGGCGTCGCTCGAGACATATTGGTAGAAGCCGAGGATGCGTGTCGACAGCCCGCTCTCGTTCTCGTCTTTGGCGATGGGCTTCATCACATTCTCGAAGGTAACCTTGTCGGCGGGGTAGTCGGCAACGAGCTTGTCGAGAAGCGCGCGAGTCTGGTCGCAGATCTTCTTGGAGTCGCCAACGATGGACTCCTTGGTGCCGGTGAAGACCGGGGGCGCCTGGGGCGGCGACTTGTATTTGTCGGGGACAGTCATGGCGGCGGTCACCAAGGGTCGGTATGTCGATAGAGATGGAGTGGCGACGAGGGGTAGCTGGACTGGTTTGAAGCGCAGCTGTGCAAAGAGAGAAGTAATTCTCGGGACTGCTCTTGGGGCCGCCAGGATGAGAGCTGTGAGGAGAAATATGAGGAAGAAGGTAAGGGAGAGGAGGGGACGCTTGGAGGACGCCACGGCTACTGGACGAAACACGGTTCGATCAGTCAGTGAGTTGGGTGCGTCGAGGCGGGGGAGGGGGAAGGGGAGCAGCTGCAGGACCAGGTCTTGGACACGGGGCAGACGTAGATGGATGCAGGTGGAGGTGTCGATGCCGTAAGTTGGTAGGTGACAGGCGAGGTTAAGCGCGATGGTACATGTAGCTACGCAAAGAGTGGACTGAGAGCGGTGACTTGCAGCAAGCTTCTGGTTTGCGGGACGATTCGTGTGTGTGTAAGTGGATGAAGGTTTACGTTAAATCTGACGAGTACGGAATGCAATGGGGTCCCCTTCTCTCTCACCTTCCAGTTGGAGGTTTCCTTGGCGGGCAGTCGCGGCCTGCCAGGGGAGCTTCCCTCGAGCTCCCGGCGCTACGACGTTCCGGGCTGCGACGACCCACGCTGAAGCAAGCGGGGTCTCAATGATTTACCACCACCACAGGTAGCCAGAGCAATTCTCTCTGCAGCTGCACTTTGTTGCAAGGCTTCTTAGATGTATTCCAAACTGATTTTCTTTTGTTTAGAGAATTTTCAGCAAGTGTAACATCAAAGAACAGAGATTTTTGTGAGCCTTGGGACGATTGAGTTGAAGTATCTCGTTCAACTGGAAACATTCGGTACCGCAATCCTGCAGGTCCAGGATGCAGGCCACATCGCCTGAGGGAAGCGAGCTTACATAAGTCGGCCGCACCACCGGATTGTGCGGGGTCCTTTGTTGCTGGGCAGACGGGCCAAGGCCTGGTGCGACATCATGGCTGAGGCTGATGGATCAACATGGCAGGATCGCGGAGGCCGCAGGATAGCCGTAGAGTTGCACAGATCAGTCCTTCTTATGGAGTCTTTCGTTGCTATGAACATGGTGCAGTGAATGTCGATGCCTTGCCCTCTCGTCCCATCATGCGCTTCGAAGCAGGCACAACCCCTGACCACTCCAGGGACGTCCATATTATGACGGTTTTGCAAGCTCGGTGATGTTGGTATCATGGTATTTATTTCTTTTGTTATCGGTTCTATTTAGTCCCGTACATGTGTCGTGTGGTCCGGAGCAACGCCTTTGAGGAGGCGGGGGTGAACTCCAGAATACCCAAATTCCCTACAATAGCGAACAACGCAATCGCAACGCAAAAGCAAACGCCATTTCCCATCCTGCCAGCCATGCAAGTGTCTCTTTCTCCTCTTTTCGTAAACTGCTTCCGGCTCGTTCCTCTGATCTGTTCGTACAACACTCGCTCGCTGGATGGATCTAGTTGGCGAGGATGGTTCGGACAAGCTCTGTTGCGCGGATGTCAGTAAACACGGTCTTCAGGGCTTGATACGTTTTCAGTATGCTGAAAGATGATGGCTTACCGGTGTAGTTGACCTGGCCAGAGCTGGTGTCGACGGCCTTGAGCAGCTCGTCGACCTCGTCGTCGGACATCTTCTCGCCGAGGTTGGTCAGGATGTACTTGAGCTGACCGACACCGATGAAGCCCGTCATGTCCTTGTCAAAGACCTGGAAACCGCGGCAGTACTCCTCGGGTTCGCCGGGGTCGCGGAAGCCGCCGGGGCGGTTGAGGATGCGCTGGAAGGTCTCGAAGTCGACTGCGCGCGCAAACATCGCTGGTCAGTATCGTGTGTCTCTCTGCCGTTGACATACATCTGTTTTCGATGCGCGGTGTATGCAAGGGACAAAACTCACAGTCGCCGCCGACGTTCTTCTCGAGGTCGCGGATCTCGTTGAGGGTAGGGTTCTGGCCGCAGGCGCGGAGAAGGTCGCCCAAGCTGTCGATGGCGACACGGCCGTTGCCGCGCTTGTCGAACAGGGAGAAGGCCTCCTTGTAGTTGGTAGAAGCCTGAGCGTCGTACTGGTTAGAAGACATTGTGATATGTTTGTGTGGTTGTGTTTTGCGCAAGTGAGAAGGTCGCGATATGGAATAGAGAGCAAGTGACGTTTCGCGGGGCGGTTGTGAAATTATCAAGTTTGGGATGTAAGGTGGGAAAATCGTGAAGAGGAATGGTTGCAGGACGAGGAATGTCGTGATGCAGCCGCAAGTTGAATGGCCCAGTGGCTCGCGCGGGAAAATTGGCGCTGATCTTCTGTCCTTGGCTAGCTGCGCTGGCAGTTGGTATCCGATCCGTTGTTTGGGTTGCTCCTGTTGGCTGGTGGATGGCGCTGCTGCTGCGCTGGTGGTGGTGGTGGTGGTGGTGGTACTGCTGCTGCCGGCGTCGGATGCTGGTAGTACTGCGCTGCTGTGTGTCGCCCTTTGCTGCAAGGTTCGCCATTGAACCAAACCGGCGCTAAGGCTGTTTTTCGTCGGCCATCAAAGGGGTCGAAAGACTCGAAAGGGGGGTAGGGAAGCTGCTGAATGGCTGGATCGATTTCCTTTGTTTACATTCCGGCCGATGGTGGGAGGGGTGCCGCCGACCGCGGGGGGAAAAACACAACAAAAAAAAAGCAACAGAGGGGAGGGGGCCCGGATTGGAGGGATAGAGACTCACCATTTTTGGTCTGTGTGATGTGGTATGTGGTATATACGTGGGGGAGAGAAAGTAAACAACAGGTAAAAAAGTTATTTGCCTTGGGATATCAAAAAGGACGAAAAAAAGACAGAGAAGAGTCGTGAGGATGTTTCCTGGAGGTTGCTGTCTGCCAGTCGAAACACTTTATGCTTGCACTTTCCCTTTTCTTCGTCTCCTTCCCCCAGTCTGTTGTCAGTCGGTCACCACCTTCCGCTATCTGTCATGTACCCTCGGGCTCAGTATTATTTTTATCCAATGCATCGAGTGCACACACACCCAATTGGCCTTGTATTCGAGTGTCATGGGCCATGGGCATTCCCAGTCTCCGTTATTCATGCGTTTTGGGCTGGCGGTGGCAGCAGCGGTGTGCACCGGCACCCAAAACTATCGAGGGCCCCTGGAGGCGGTCTACGGCAGGTACGACTGACTGTACAGATGGGGTGGTGCCTTCCTCATACAAACACAGTGCGTCTCTGCCACACAAGGCCAAAACTCCTGAAACCTGACGGGGCAACCACCGCCGGGGGCTCCTCTTTCCCAATCTTGCCGGGTTGCCACAGCCAATCACGGCTCTCGGATGAGTTGCTGCCCCCTTGCCTTTTTTGCCCAGTCCCAATGTCCACCTGCCCAATGGCCCACGACTCCATCTTCCAATATTCTGTCATGGCTGGAGACTTGCACAAACGCTATCGACATCTTTCATTGCGGTGAGTCGAGATTGTCTAATCCGTACTAACACAATTAGGTACGAAATATATCTTTGCACTAAATTCGAATTGTGCCAAACCACGGATATCAAGACCGTCTAAACTCTCAATCGCACCAAACTTTGCACGTTGCGGTTCGTCCCGAATCTTCAGACTGCCATATCGGGCTCGACCTGCGAGTCAATCCACTTCACCTTCGGCACAAACGGATCCCTTCTCCGTGGTCTCTCTCGATCCCGTCACATCCTCTCTACTCGTACAGACAGAGTCCGAAGCCTTTACTTCCTCTTGGCCAGGATGATGGTCGTTCCCCACACGGCCTCAACCTCGATATCCCGCCACTTATCCCCCGCAGCCTTCCACTCCGGAACCGCCTCCAGCAACCGATCAAACAACAGATCCGCAATATCTCCCTCCGCCCCGCCCTCCGCTCGGCTCTTCACCTCCGGATGCGCGTCTCTCCACCCGCGGTACGCGCTGAAAGTGTGCACATACCCCTCAAACTCGCCCAGCTTCATCACCTTCCGCTGCTGCCACGCCGCTCGCGGATCTTCAGGATCCATTGCCTCCGTGTTCGCCTCAGCCTGAGAAGTCTTCCTGTCCGGGTCGTATACGATGCGCTTCACCTTCTCCCACTCCGACTCGGGAGGCACAACCGCCGCCAGGTTATCCCGCAGGATCTGCCGCCCGGGCTTCTCCCAGTACGGCCCCATCGTCTCCACTCCGCTGCCGGGCGACGACTCCCCTTCCCCGTAACAAAAGTGCATAAAGATATCGTTGACCGCTGGGAACCCGACGAGGATGTTGTCTTTGTATCCCCAAAACGCCAACGTTCCGCCGCTCTTGACCACCCGCGCCAGCTCAGGCCATACCTTGTCGTAGTTGAACCAGTGCGCCGCCTGGCCCGCGACCACGAGGTCTACCGAGGCGTCCGCCACAAAGGATAGATCCTCAGAGCTGGCTTGGCGAAATGTGATTTTCGGGTCCGAGGTTGAGTCTGCTGCCTGCTTCACCATACCCGCACTAGGGTCAATGGCGATGACGCGAGCGAAGCTCGGGCTGAGCTCTCGCGAGATGAGGCCGTGGCCACAGCCCAGGTCCAGCGCCGTGCCGCTTGTCGACTGAGTGTTGTGATACGCCAGCACCGTCCTGAAGAGTGATGCAGGGTAGGATGGGCGGAAGGCCGCATAGCCTGCGGCCGAAAAGGTTGAACGTCTGTCATCACGTGTCAGCTTAAGACCGATGGCATTTGGAATTCTGCTGCCAAGATGAGTTCGCCCACGTACGCAAAAACAGACATCGTTAGCCGTGTACGGAAGGTAAGTTATTACAGTGAAGCTGCAAGGTTGTAGTTGCTAGCCCTTGCGAGATTGGTGGGTTGGTTGATGGTCCAATAAAGACTCAATGATGTGTAATGCATGTAGTCGCACCCGTCTCTTTGACCGAAAAGACGGCGGCCATCCTCCATTTTATTCCCATGCTTCTTTCGGGCGGGATCCTTCCGACGATTCAGGGACCACGGCTATCCGGAACAAGACCGTCAAAGAAAACCTGCTATGATACATTGCCACGAGGGCATTCGAAGGCCTCACAGAATCAATCTCACATATCAAAACCCAAGCCTGACTAAGATTCTAGAATAAGGCAGGTAGTAACCGCGGCTCCGTGGTATGCATGGCAGACTTACAGTGGCAGGTCGCGTCATCAGCCGTGGCCCGCACGCCTCGGCCGCCCCCCTAAAGGGTCCCACTGACGTGCTCGGGGGTCGGAGCTCTCAGCCTGGCCCCTCGAAACTCCATTTCAAGGTCCGAGTCGCCCGCCCGAGGAACCCCTCCATCTCCGTCCTCCTCGCTCTTCAACAACTCCCGTTCCCGCGCCTCGAATACACTTTCCACACCTTGGTCCGTCCCGAAACTAGTGCCCGACATGTCGACCGAAGCTACGGCCCGTCTTTTCTTTTCGCAAAAGTTCATTGCGGTGGTGGGCGCCAGCTCGAACCCTGCCAAGTTTGGCAATAAGAGTACGTTGTTCCCGGCTGCTTATTCCCGTTCAATTGCTTGCCGTGCAGTGCCGTGGTCTAAGCTTGAGGAGCTGTCACTCACTCATTCACACTCACTCTCACTCTCACTCATCGCATCCCCTCAAACCTCTCCAACTTCAAGCCTCACTCAAAGCTATCCTCACTAACATCCGCACACAGTCTTCGCCTGGTACCTATCCCACTCCATCCCCGCAACCCCCATCAACCCGACCGCAAGCACCGTCAACGCTCTCGGAAAAGACCACCCGGCCCTCCCCAACCTCGCCGCCCTGCCCAATCCGAAAGACACCGCCGTGTCCATCATCACCCCGCCGCCCGCGACCCTCAAGGTCCTGCAGGAGGCGAAAGAGCTGGGCGTGCCCGCCGTCTGGCTGCAGCCGGGTACCTTTGACGACGCGGTGCTCGAGTACGCGCGCGGCGAGGGCGGCTTCGAGGCCGTTGTTGCCGGGTTCGGGGGCGGGACTCGCGGCGGGGAGGGGTGGTGTGTCCTTGTTGATGGGGAGAGGGCCATGAATGCTGCGGGGAAGCTTTGATGGGTCAAGATATCAAACTCGTGATATGAATCGCGGACCGTTCTAGAGTACGGAAGTGAAGGCATGCTGAACGAGGGGTTCATGAGATGAGATGCTGTTACGAGATGAATGAATGCTAGTTTCCTCCATAAAGGGTCACCAGCAACCCCAATGCGAGACTATAGAAGCAGACTACACTTGGGTTCTGTTGATCCATGAACTAGACTCTGAGGCCCAGTGAAACCTTCGTTCGTCCTCCATGGATTTCCCATCGTGAGAGATGCCGCGTTGGCGATCCCGTGCCGAGATAGCTCCGTCCTGGTGCCGTCTTTAAAGTTGTGACGGGCGCATTCGCAGCGTTTTTGGACCGGCATTTATACCAGGTCACACCACCCCCCTTCCCCCTCTATCGAAATTCAAATCTCCAACCTTTCTGATGCGCCGACAGGACGATCGCTCTTGGGATCTTGGTTGTCACTTCATCATTCGTGATCGAGTCAAGGGCTGTGCTGCCAAGTCTGGGGTAACGTAGCGCCTAGTGCTGGGGGCCGCATCTGCCGCTTCGCCCTCCCCTCCTTTCCACCTCCCGACGGCGCCTCTCAATTGAGCCTCAAGTGAATCCATCATGACATGTACACTCTGAATCCCAAGCCTATATGCCAAGTCCATTGGGCGGCCGGGTTGCATGAGCACCAACCATCCAACTGTCAAGTCTCGGAGTGTCGAATAGTCTTTCTCAGACCAACTCAACCCATCTTTCAGGTTCAGCATCCCATCTCACTCTGAATCCCAACTAAACTTCCCAATTCCCCTTGTTCATCCTCGCTACCCTTTTCCGTCGTGCCGCAAGTTTATGGAGTAGGCAATACCTCTGAACATGCAATGATGGAACGCACACGCCTCATCCGCTACCCCGATGCTCCCCATCCCCTTGACCCGTCACACCCCCTAGTAAGAAAGCGACAAAGTGTGGTGAGGTGTAGAGCTTTCCCCGCAATACCTCTAGCCCGGGGGCAGTCCCAAGCGTGCCCCACACGAGCTGAAGCTTCCCTTCCCCCCTCATCCGCAAGGCCTCCCCCAAAACTCAAACCAACCAAACCCAGCTTCCCCTTTTCGGAATACTAAACGGACTTACACTCTAGAGTCTCCAGTCTCGACGTGGTAGATCACGGATAGATCACGGATAATGGAGGACCGGGGAGGGACAGCAAACGATGAAGGACGGACGTAATTGCTGGCGCTACTGCAAGACCGGTCAAATAAACTGTTGTGTTCGCTCCCGTCAAGCCAAGGACCTCACGTCCATCTTCCTTATTCCCAGACTACATCCATGTGCCGCTCAATGCCGGGTAGTCCTTATCCAATCCACGCTATTCTGCATACCAGAGTCAGAAAACTTCCGTTCCTCCATGTCGTTCATTCGTCTGCTCGTTGATTCGTTGGTTCGTTTGTGCGGTTCCGCATCCTTACCCCAGCTTTGCCCAGGTCCTCTATTGACGAACCAACTCACCCATTCCCCCCCAAAAGAAGCGCCAGCGGTTTCTCTCCCTTGCCTCCACGCGAGATTGTTCGAGTAAGCCTCAACTGGGGCATGGCAGGTTATTGACTCGGTCAGAGCCTCAGACAACGCGCCCAGAAGAGTCCAACAGTGACGCCTCAAACGCACAATTCTGCATCCGCACGAACCCTTGACGACTCACCAGTGTGATTGTGACATGAGCTCTGGCAGGCGTGGCAGGCGTGGCAGGTCTCGCCGTTTCCTCCTCCCCTCAGCCCCGAATGTGTTCAACTGAGACATTGACGGTTTGACTTTTCCCAGACCGCGTGCTTCACACCCTCAGCTAGGGAAGAGAGAGACAGAGAGAGACGTTGTTGGTCCAAGACAGGACGCAACGCTCCAAGTAAAGCAAGCAAGCACCCTTCTCCTACATATCCCAAGTTCCTTGCCTTTCGCCCCCAGCTTCAACCAAACCATGTCCCAAACCCCCAAACGTGCTGCCATCCAATCCGATAATCTCCCCAATGGACTACCTCCCAGTGTCTCCGGATGGCTACTCGTTCGAACCATGCTCTCGCAGCAGCAGTTCCAACGAATCATCGTCGTAGATCCTGCATCATGCCACCCTCCAGATTGAAGCAACCCATCCCTTGTCCCGAATCCTGGGGTATCCGTCTGCCGGTCGTCCTAGCCCCAAAGTGGGTTCGGTCGATGTGGACTCGTGGAGGAGCCTCCTACCCTATTGCCTTCTCGCCCACTCCTCCTCCTCACGGTCCACGGACGCGTTTGTATCGTCGGTCGTTCTGGTTCAAGAAGATCTACCACCAGATAACCCAGTCGTGGTCCTCGTAAACCCCGGTATTCCATTTGACGTGTGGGTGACCGGGGTTTTGGGGAGGAGGGGGGGCATGTGAAGTGGTGATCGTGGGAAAAGACTATCCTATCCGTCTCAACCGTCCTAGCCCAGTGCCAGCAGGGCTCCCAACTGCCAAGATGGCCCCGGTCGTTTGCTAAACCCCCCCAGTCTTTTCTTTTTTACGTCTTGGAAACGCTCTTTAGGGTGTGTGAGAGAGACAGAGAGAGAACGCCGCAACGCGAGAAAGGACTGAAAGAGATGTGTGTGGAGGACTAGGCCCGTTACGGCCGGCCTGGACCTTTATACATCTAATGACCCAGTCCTCCTCTCGGATGTCTGCGTTCAGTCTTGGTTGTCATTCCTGTCATCTCTTATTTCCTCCGTTCATCCAAAGAACATAGTGTACCATTTGTATCATTATCCCTCTCCTCGAGCTCATCGGTCGGTCAATATCCTTTGATACCTCACTTAATCACTCCCCCTACGAAACACCAGAAACACCACCTTCGCAATGGATAACAAGGAAGATATTCACGAAGTCCGCTCCCACTCCCACCACAACGAGCACCGCCGCCTCTCGGAGCAGCACCAACGCATCGATAGCCACCATCGTCGTGTACCCAATGGGGGCGGCTATAACGAGTACCCAGAGGACGAATACGTGGCGCCCCAGATGAGCCGCGACGACGCCCTCAGGAGGATGAAGACGGCCGGGTCAATCTCCATGTCGCCTGAGTTATTTGAGAAATTGTATCTGTCTCCGCAGAACAACGTCAAGGGGGACCTACGCAGGACCTTTGGTAACCCGACTCCAATGTAAGAGACTATCATGCCTTTGGTGGATGATCATCGGTTCATTGGCATTGACTAACACTTAAAACAGCGCCATTGTTGGATTCCTCATCTCATTGACGCCTCTCGCTTGTGACTTGATGGGTTGGAGGGGAGCAGGCGGAAGCGGTGCGGCAGGCATGTAAGTCATCCTCCAACACCTCTCATCTCACGGTCCTCAGACTCACACCTCATCCTCCACAGCGGCTCATACTTCTTCTTCGGCGGGCTCCTCATGTTCGTAGGCGGTCTTCTCGAATGGGTCCTCGGTAACACTTTCCCCTCCGTCGTCTTCCTCACCTTCTCCTCTTTCTGGTTCACCTTCGGCGCGACCCTCAACCCTTCCTTTGCCGCCTTCTCATCGTACGCTCCCGCGAACGCGACGTCTGGGGCTGAGGGATTGACAACGCAGGGGTTTAATGCTAGCTTCGGTCAGTACTTGCTCATTACCCTTTCCTCATACCACAATAGACTTGAACTGACACAGGTTGTTTGAACAGGCTTCATCACACTCGCCATGGGAATGATCTGCGTCGTCTTCCTCATCTGCTCGCTCCGCACGAACATCGTCTTCTTCGTCATTTTCTTGACGCTCGTTGCTGCTTTCGGGTTGATCACCGCTGCGTACTGGTTCCTTGCCATGGATTACACTAGCAATGCTGCGTACGCCGCAAAACTGCTCCAGGTCAGTCTCTGAAGACGGGGGGTGTTACGAGGTGGAACCTTGTTACTGACATTTTCGCTATCAGGCCGCTGGTGCTTGTGCATTTGTGACTTGTGCCGCTGGCTGGTGGCTCATCTTCGCCATCCTCTTGGCTTCTCTTGACTTCCCTTTGGAGCTTCCCGTTGGAGATCTTAGCAGAGTGATTCGGGGCAAGAGCGAAAAAAGTCAGGTTTGATAATGGGTCCTTGGTAAGAGAGTAAATGTGCCATCGTAGGCAGAGGAACTGGCGCAGGACGGCGAATCCCATTTGACGATGATCTTGTGTCAGCAGTATTACCTGAGCATGCCGAATGACTGACTCCAACGTCTGAAATTAGCTTAAGTATCTCTGAGAAAAAACCATCACGCATGTCACATTCGTGTTAGAACTGCAAACTTGAGTTCCAATCCTTCCATGATGAGAAACTATTCTGATGATCGACTTGTGCATCTCCTTGGTAGAAGACTATCACCTCGACTTGCACTTTGCCAAAAATGCCTCTAATCATCGGATTGATAACAATTCTCGTGTAAAGAAATTGGGGAAATCCGTTGCCCACTTTAATCAAAGAAGAATGCATCCCTTAATTCCTTCCAGTATGACTGGGGTATCCCGCAAAACAGATCGACGGCGAGTTCCGGGGTGCGTTTGACCATATTATTGAAGCCATTGCCACTGAACCACATCATGTTTGCGATGCAGTAATTCATAAACAGCCTCGGTAATCTGTCTCCAGGAAGCGTCTTTTCATAGGTGGAGACGAATCTTGAAACAACGCGCCTCAGCTCCGTTGTTCTGGGGTAATGCACCAAGAAGTGACCAATTTTGTCCAAGCAAAGTTGCTTGAGATCGTCAATGGTGTACTTTTCAGCGAGTAGGTAGAGACTTTGATGTTGTGAGAATATCTCTTCCAGGTGTTCCACACTTCTAGCAGCGTCTTTCAGATTTTCGACGCCGACGAGATTCGGGTGGCTAGCTCCAGCATTGATTTGTTCTCGCCCGGGGTTCGTGTATGGAGAGAAAGCCTGCTTGGCAAAGTGTTGCTGCGAGCCCATGTGAGAATTGGTTGGGATTTTAATGTAATCTCCCAGTGATCTTCGAGACTTTGCGTTGGTCGTGTCTTGCGTCGTCGCTGTTATATTTTGGATATCTGCATCACTCTCGTCATCGATCGCTACTTTTGCGGCCATGGTTGGAAAATCGCGCAGTGAGTAATCACTGCTATTGACCTTGCCCTCATGGGACTCCTGAAAGACTCCTGTAAGAAGTGCGCGTAGGGGAGGCGACAAGGCCGTGAAGCTGGATTCGTAGACGGTGTATTCCTTCTTCTCTGGACCGATAATGAACTTGATGTTCCTGGACTGAATAGCACTTCACCGGATATTAGCAAGGCTGAAGCGAGTCAGAAGGTGCTTGGGTCGTACTTACTCGTCCAAGTCCTCGAATCTTTTCCGTTTGCCAAGCATGGCTGCGGTGCGTGATGTACCTCGATGCTTGATCAGAACCCGCAATGAATTTGGCGAGTAGGAAGCAGGATCAAGAGTTTTATTTCTTGCCTAGAATGTCGGTTGATTCCTGTTGATGCAGGGCACTTGATGAGTGGAAGTTTGCAAGACAAGGGTGGAGCTTGCGCGTCGTTGTCAGTTGAGCGATTGTATGAAATCCGGCTCCTTTTCTTTGGAGCTGCAAAAGGCGGCTCGGCAAGCGCAAGCGACCACAGTAGAGCCGCCTGCCGCTCCTTCCATGGTGGCTTCCATTGAATTAAAATACCGTCAGGTCGACTTTTCATGCAAGGCAGGTACGGTGCCTCAGGTAAGCTAAAGTCCTGAGTCATCAACCCTTTGTCACAGATGATAGACGATACTGGTCACCTCCAAATCCCTCTTCGAAGTCTTATGTCTGATAGAATGAGGTAATCTGCTGTATTCCCCAAGATTTCTAAGTTCCATGCTACGTTGTCTTGACTTGGATAGAAAGAAAACGAGCCCAACTGTTTGTTTGTCTTGGGTACTACGCGTCTCGGAGCAGAAGAGACAAAGAGAGACTAGTAGGCTGCGATTACCTGGTATCGATTGTTTTCGCAAAAGGTACTCCATGAAAGGCTGCATCAAAGCAAAAGTCTTCAGCTCAATGGCAGCTTTCAAGTATGTCCAAGTAAGCATCGTGACCTCTCTAGTACCTCAAAAGATGCAACGCGCCGGCCCGCATAATCCTTCGACTACCGACCACTACCCTGGGCTTAGGTTTGTTTTGCCTCAACTCCTTGCGCAGATGATTACTCAACATAACGACGCCGTACTCGATACTCGGCCGAGAAACTTCGATATCCAAAGCCGATCCAGGTAAACGTCCGTGCCTGGCGTGACATTCCGGCGTTCGGATCTGCCCCACAGATCTACGAACGGTGGAAGCAAACTCCGTTAATCTAGAACGGCGGGGGGAGTGCGTGGCATCGCCGAGAGCCACAAAAATGTCGACGTCTACACATGGCCGGGCTTCCGAAAAGTCAGGAGAGCCCAGTCACGCATCATGTATATAAGTCATCTTTGTCGCCAAGGACTCATAACTCGATAACTCACCACCGACGACATTCGTTCTTGATCGAATTCTCAGCCATGTCTCTCCTCGCCAAGGCCGCCGCCATTGCTTGCACTTTGCCTGCTCTGCCCGTGGAACGACTCTGTCTTATCCTGGAAGCTTGATAACGGTCATTGACCCGCTCATGGAGGCCTTCCCTAACAGCAACTATGAGGATATCGTTTACCCGGCCACGGACGAGTCTGGAAGTGACAGCTAATACTTTGTTGGAGTTCGTGATGACGCTAAGCAGATCATCACATACGCAGAGGCTTGCCCCGAGTCCAAGATCGTCTTGATGGGATACTCCCAGGGCGCCATGGTTCTTGGAGACATCTTGGCTGGCGGTGGTGATGGCAATATTCTTGGCAACTACACTAAGCCTCAGTTCGATGCTCACACTGTTGGTGATCACAGTACGTTTCACCGCAAAATCTGGTCTGGGAATAATCTGCTGACATGGCTGTTCAGTTGCGGCAATCCTGCTGTACGGCAACCCTCGACACATGCCGAACCATACCTACAACGTTGGCAACGCTTCTGCGTTCGGTGCCACCGGCGTTAGTTTCAATCTCGCCAGATCGGCCTCTGAAGCCTGTTTGTAACTGACTCTTTGGACAGAAATACCCTCGGACTGCTGGACAACTTGCTTCCTTCAACGTCTTCGCCGATAGAGTCCATGACTACTGCAACTACCACGACGGAGTGTGCGATGCCAGCGGCAGTAATCTCACTGCTCACATGGCGTATTCTTCGGATTACGATACACAGGCAGTTGCTTGGCTGGAGTCTAAACTCCGCTAAAGAGTGTCCGAGCCGTTGCTGAAATCTCCTCTCTTGGTGCCGCACAGTGGATGCCTAAAAGCTAGCCCTCATTCGCCAAAAAGAAAGAGCCTGTCAGCAGCCGTCAGTATTTCCGATCCTAAGAATACACTGTGATCAGAAATACTTGACTTATTGTAGACAACAAAGAGTCATAGAGGCTAACGTAAATGAACAAAAGGCCAATACGAAATTGTCTACTTTACGGTCCAGGAGTTTTGCCCCCCTTTTCTTTCCTCTAAACGTTCGACCTACACTATAAGCTCGATGGGAGTCCTCCAACCTTAGCCTGACGTGTTCTCTACGGTCTATGATACAGCGTGAATCTTCTGAATGTTGGAATGCCGGGAAGAAAATCCCGCGTGAAAGGAAGGCAGTCCCCAGAAAGCCTCACGTTCCTTCCACTCCTGTACATGGAATCTCCACTTCCCCTACCTTTCTTAAACTGATTCCCCTTTCCTAGATAGGTACCTACCTTTCCCAACCTAACCTTTGAATCAACACGCCGCAGTGTCCCCTCAATTTGATCAGTCGCTAGGCGGCTAGCTTTTGAAAATCTTTTCTTTTCCCTTTCCCTTTGTACCTCCAACTATTCTTAAAGTCCAGCGAGTTCTCAGCGAAACTTTACCTCTGCAATAGCATCAATTTTCACCATGTCTCTAAAGCGCAAGCGTGACATGAGCCGGTTGGCCCCCATTTACCTCGACGCGTCTTGGCCAAGTTAAGCTAACGCGAGACTACAGGATCTTTCGATCCACGACCCTTACGGTCGTCATCGGCAAAGACCAGATCAACCATATCGGTCACGAATCTGCCTTCTTGGCTTTGTCCCCAACTTTCGAGAATTTCGTCAGACGGAGCACAGCTATCACAGTTGGCATTGCCAACGAACGTGTCAACGGAAGAGACTCGTCATCTCTCATGTTCTGGCCTCAGATCGAGCCGGCTACTTTTGTCAACTTGATGGAGTATGCTTACTCCCTCGACTACACAGTGCCTGCTTTGTCCAAATGCAAGCAGAACGGCACCTTCAACGCGATCAAGGAAGAGAATGGAAGCGATAATACACCTAATTTAGCGAGCGATGATGGCGAAGGGAACGTCAATGCACCCGGAGATACGACTCATGCGAGACCCTCAAGAGCGGGGGGTTCCGCGCCGGAGCTGCAAGTACTCGACAGAATACCCAGCAGCCTGAGATATCGTCATTGTACATGTGGATCAGGAGTGTCTCGGAAGATTCGCAGCCTCAGCAGCATACCAGCGCTCAGTACAAGTTCTGCGAGAAGCATTTCCCCATTGCTTCTGAAGCCATCGAGGCGGCAACTGAAGACTGGCTAGAAGACATCAAGCAACAACATCGGAATGGCTATAAGGAAGTCTTCCTTGCACATGCCAAGCTATATCTCGTTGCAAACCAGTTCAAGATTGTCGAACTCAAGAGACTCTGCTTGCACAAACTTCGTCAGAGCCTCTTACATGCTCCAGGCACCGACGAGATGTTGCGAGCCACAGCCGTTACAATTCAGCACGTTTATTCCAATACCACATCCCGAGATGACGATCTCAGAAAGTTGCTATTGCAATTCTGTCTCACCGACATGGAGTGGATGATGAGAGACAAGGATCTGGAACCAGTGCTGGAGAGTGTCCCTGGTTTTGCCATTGATCTGTTTCGCGAGATTCCCCATGACTACTGGAGAGAGCTCAGAGACGGAGGGCCCGCGTGAGAGGTGGTAGCGAGTGCATGGGGACATGGACACGAAGGATGCGTTGACTCAGCCGAGAAAGGTGTAGTCGAGGGTTTCTTGCTGCCCAGACGAGCGAGCCTCTCTTCATTGGGCGGAGCGAGAAAACTGCCAGGCAAAATCGTGCAATCTGAGGATAGAGATTTTTCAGGCTAGGATATCTTGGGAGGAGAAGGTACGCGATTTTGAATCTGTGGGGAGGATTTCTAGAATCCAAGGAAATAATCCAATGCAAACCGTTCTTTGGTCCTCGAGTGAGCTTCTTGGTGCATGTCTCAAGTCCTAACACGAAGTCGACACGGGAGTTCTGAATGACTAACGCAGTGTGGCTGAGGGGGCCTGTCACAAAACCGACAGGGCAGAAATGAGCCACACCCCGCCGGACCCACCAGCTAGCCACGGAAACAGAGGTTGAATGTAAACAAACGCGATCGGAATAGCCAATACGGTTTGGTGTCTGCCGCATCACCACTTCAATCTTTGCTCTTCTCGACTCCGATTGTGTTGCTACTCTCCCGCATTCGACGATTGAAAAACATTGCTCCCCTCGATATCTCCTTTCGACCATTTCTACTCTTCAAAGACCGATGCGACCACAGCTCAACCTCTTGTGACCCGATGCATTCTAGCCGCGAATAATATTTCCTCCCTGCGATCGACGCGTTCGTCCTGTGCACGTCTCTTGCGCAACCTGTCCGCGCTCCGGATCGCGACCAGCCTCACTTTGCACGAACCCCGAGCTTCATAGCTGTTGCAAAGCGCCTAGCTATAGCCCAATATGACCGAGAACCTCGCCTTTGAGGGCTTAGTCCCTAACGAATACTTCACACACGATGGCCGCCTGGGCTCTTTCCATCAAGTCTACCCTGCACCTAAGCGCCGTCAATCAGGCGCGACCAAAGGCGGCAAAAACCTCACATGGCCGCATATGAAGTATCTGTTGCCAGAAGATGTATGTCTGCAATCGCAAGAGCTGGGTCGAGGACGACGCGTGTGCTAACTTGCCGCAGCTCGCGAAAGCAGGTTTCGTCTGGCGGCCGTTCCCCGAAAACCCCGATAACGTCGCATGCTTCCTGTGCAACAAATCTCTCGATGGCTGGGAAGAGGGTGATAAGCCCCTCGAGGAGCACTTGAAGCACTCTCCTGACTGCGGGTGGGCCATTGTCGCGGGCATCGAAGCCAACCTGAACGGTCTGCCATCTGAGGACCCTGCCAGCACTCGAATGATCGCGGCCAGGAAGGCGACTTTCGATGGACGGTGGCCACACGAGGGAAAGAGGGGCTGGAAGAATAAGATCAAACAGGTCAGTCACGGCATTTCGACTAGACCTTCCTCTGCTGACCAGATTGTAGCTCGCCGAAGCAGGATGGAAATACACGCCTTCCCTCGAGTACAACGACATGGCGACCTGCACCTACTGCGAGCTTGCTTTGGACGGTTGGGAACAGAACGACAAGCCCATGTACGTCTCCTGAGTTCTGTTTCCCCAAACATCATCTGACCCAATTATAGGGACGAACACTTCAACCGATCCCCACAGTGTCCGTACTTCGCCTTGGTGAATCAACACGCTTCCACGAGGAAGCCAAAGGGCAAGGCAGCCCGAGGCTCAAAGAACACATCAAGGCTATCCGTACAATCAGTCGCGACATCAGTGTCCGACATCACATCGATAACAGACGTTCCCGCTGAGTTCGACGACAGCGTCTTGACAACGACCTCCACGATGGGCAGCAAGAAGGGCACTCGCGCCAAGAAAACCACAACCGCGGCGAAAGGCAGGAAGACCAAGGCAAAGAAGGACGAGCCTGTCGAAGTAGTTGAGGACGAAGCCATGCCGGAAGATGAACCTATGCCACCATCAAAACCTGCCCGAGGCCGCAAGCGCACGAGCGACGAAGTCGATGATTCAGCGCTCACAGTATCTGAGGCGCCTGCACCAAAGAAGCGCGGAGGACGCGGTCGCCCCAAAGCCGCAGCTGATAGCTCGACAATCGAACAATCACAACAGGACATCAGCATTGGCGATGCGCCGCCACCGGCGAAGGCACCAAAAGGCCGCAAGACTGCGCGCGCGTCTGGGACCAAGGGAACACGGAAAGCCTCGGCAACGTCACAGAGGTCAAACGCGTCGATAGCATCCTTGCGCACTGCTCCCGGCGCATTCCCGGAAGATGATGACGAGATTACCCGGCAGCTTGAGGCTGACCTTGAGCGTCCGCTGACCGACGACGAGGATATCATGCAAGATTCTGATTCCGAACGAAAGAAAGCCCCTGCGCCCAAGGCGAAGTCGAAGAAGAGCCATTCGAGCAAGGAGTCTGCGGTCAGTGAGCCGTCAGATAACCATGAAATGTTTGATGCGGAACCATACGTGGCAGACGAAAACGATGTTGACGACGAATTGAAGCAACTGGAGGCCGAAATGACCATTGATGAGCCTGAGGTGCTAGAAGTTCCCAAGAAGGGGCGCAAGGTCGCAGCCCCCCGTAAGGTGTCTAAGCAGACCAAGGCTCAGAAGGTCAAGGCCGCAAAAGTGGTCGTCGAAGAAGACGAGTTAGCGGTTTCAGCAGAGCCTAGCCGTCCTGAGGAGCCTGCTGATGTTGAAGAGGATGAGATCAGCACTGCCACGGTGATTACGACAAAGCCTGCTCGCGCAAGCACTGGTAGGAAACGCGGTCGCCCCTCGAAGGCATCATTGGCGTCGCGTGCATCCCTGGAAAGCGCTGGCAAGGTTGAAGAGGTAGAGGCTATCGAGCCGCAGGTTGCGGCCGCTGCTGATAAGGTTGAGCCGGAACTTGAAGCCCAGCCTGAGCTTGAAGCTGAGGTCGAGACTGAAGCCGAAGATGCGTCTGCGCGCCAGTCTTTTGCTTCGGCACGGCAAACGCCTGCGCCTGCAGCGCCTCAAGATGAGCCTGAAGAGGAACACGAGGAGCCGGAGGAACCAGAAGAAGAGCTCCCCGATGAACTTGCGGACGAGCCGGAAGAGGAGGAAGAGTCTGAGATGGAGCAAGCAGATGAGCTCGAGCAAGAGCCAGAATCTGAGGCACCTGAGCCCACACCAAGGAGCGCACTGAAGACGAGCTCTCCGCCACCGCTATCATCGCCTGTTCCTACTTCATCTGCTCGCCGCAGTGTGCAACACCAATCAGGGACTCCGCGAATCTCTCCTGCCCAGTCGGCTCGCCAGGCAGCTGTTTCGCCTTCGCCATCTCCTCAGTCCTCAGATGCTGAGAACCAGCCTCCGTCTTCAAGACCCTCCACAACTCAGAAGCGAGTGACACATGCGCCTATTTCATCCACCCCAGCAAGACCAAACTCGCCGACTAAGCGCAAAGCTTTGGCGAGCCTCCAAAGCACTACGCCCTGGAACCCCGTTGACATTGACCTTGTCTTCGGATCCCCCGAGAAGTCGGACAAAAGGAACCCGGTAGACAGGCTTCTTCACAAAGGCACCGAGCTGACAAGCCCCGAGATGCGCATGACGGTGGAGGAGTGGATTCACCACAATGCCAACCAGGCCGAGTCGAAGCTGCGACAAGAGTGTGAGGCTATGGTTAGCAAGTTTGAGAGCGAGGGTAGCAAGGCGATGAATGTCTTGGAGGGGCTGATTGTAGATTGAGTGTTTGCATAGCGTAGTGTCGTTTGGAGCACCATTCAAAGGTTAATGATTGGACTATGATCATGATACAACAACAGACAAGTGTATGCGCTTTTCGACGGGCTCAGTCGGCCGTTGATAATTGGTTTGGTGCAAGGCAGCAAAGTTGAATAACGACGCTTTCAACCGAGTTGGGGATAGAGAAGGGCCACGAATTGGCTCTCGAGCATTGACACATAAAAGGAGAATGGCAAGGGGGAGCGTATTGTTCTGACAGGCAATTGTTATTATTACTACTGATTTTTTAGATAATGCGGGTGTTTGATCTAATCTATGTTCATTAAGAAATCCCCTCCTGAAAATGTTGTTTGGAATGTTCCCTCATTCGTCTAATTCATGATCCTAGTGGTATCGTTTCCGGCATGTCGATATTTCATTACTTGCTCACTTCACCCACTACTCCTTCACTTCGTTTTTGTTTCTCCTTTCAGACACTACTACGTCGTCTCTGCGAGGAGCACGACTTAGGTGCAGTGCTGAACGCCGTCAGCGTGGGTGTGGCACTCCTGAGGAGCACTGGAGGTTGCAGCGGCAGTGGTGGTAGCGGCACCAGCAGCAGCGGCAGTCGTAGGCGTAGCATCGTAGTCGTGGTCCTCCTCCTCGAGCTCACCAGGGCATCCGACGCCGGGGGCAGCGATATCGTAGGCCCAGACGTCAATGGCGAAGTACTGCAGCGCGTCACTGTCAACGACAGAGTAAGTCGCGTTGTTCTTTGCGAGCTCGAGGGCCTCGGCGTAGTCTTCGGCGTAGTGCTCGACGGCGCCCTCGGAGATGAGGGGCACGTGGAAGACGCGGTGGAGGAGGTCGGTGGCCCAGAAGGTGTTGAGCTTGGAGTTGGCAACGTTGTAGCCCAGACCGCAGACCGAAGAAAGGGGGCGGCGGATCTCAAAAGACAGGGGGCAGATGACGGTCTCCTGGGAGGCGTTGGCGCCGCGCCAGTGGCCTGCCCAGCCGGACTGGGTCGCGCAGTTGCGGTCCGGGTCGTCGCAGCGGAAGGTCATGCCGTTCTTGTCGGCGCTGACGACGCGGTCGTACCAGCCCACGGGTGTGGCGGTGGACGAGTTGCCAAAGTACTTGCGGACGTGCTCGGAGCTGTTGCCGAAGCGGAGGATGTGGTCGCGGGCGTGGGCGGCGAGCTGTTGGGTCTCGGCGAGGCCGACCTCGAGCTGGGCGCGGAGGGTCGAGTTGCAGGACTGGTGGATGGGGAAGGTCTTTTGCCAGCCGGCGGACCAGTCGTAGGGGGCTTGCGGGGTGGAGGCCGGGGCCGCGGGGACGGAGACCGTCTCGGAGGTGGAGGAGGCCTGGCGGCGGGCGAGGGGGGTCGCGTCCGTGAGGGCGGAGAGCAGCAGGGCTGCGGTGACGAGGCTGTACTGCATCTTGACTGAGTGACTTTGAAGGACTTGCCTGAGTAAGGCTTCTGGTATGACGAGGCTCTTGTGGACGGACTGGTGAAAAGTCTTGTCAGATATGAGCTTGAGCTTGGACTTGGAGCTTAGGAAACAGCTTGAAGATAGGAGCTTGATATTGGAAGATGCGAGGTATGCAATGGTCTTTTATAGCTGCGATATGCCATGTGAATGAAGTTTTTTCTTTCTCGGTCCCGTCTCCTCGGGTCTCCAATGGTACTCGAGAGGCTCTTCGAGATGTCGAGCCAAGACCTGCTAGCCCTGCCATGCTTGCTTGCTTGGGCAGGTTCGTTGCTCGTCTTGCCCACAAGTAAGCAAATCCTTCCATCCTAGCCAGGTTGCAAGGTGTGTCGCGCGTGTCCCATCCCGTGCTACTGCCCTTTTCCTCCGGATTCTGCCCTCGTCGCCAGTCGTCTTTGCCGCTTGTCGCAGTTGGATAATCCCTCCATCCTTGCACGTTCCCCTCTTGTCGTACGCTCGTCAACAAGCTTCTTTGATGAAAAAGATCCAATATTGCGCCAGTGGAGTCCATGTCGTCGGTCACGACTGCCTTCTTAGAACACTCTTAGCCATGCGTGAGGTATTAGTCGGGTGACGCCAAGGCGCGGGCAGCTCTGTGCCAAGCTCACGATCACCTTGATGTTCTCAAGGTCGATTGGCCAATGGACCATAGAGCGAATGGCGAAGCTTGGTTGCAGAGACTCGACCCCACGGCCAAGAAGTGCTAAGTCGTGTCGGCTCGTGAATTCGGTGACGTTGGAGCGGACTTTTACAGCTGGGAGCTGAGTCGCCCGGTGGCCATCCGGGTTCTCGGACCCCCGCTCAACTCGGAGGACATCAAGGTGTCGGAACCGGGGTCCGACATAGACCCGCTTTTTGTTTTGTTTTTGCTCTCTTGTTTCCCGTCCCGCCTAGGGTGTTCTGCCTGTCTTGTTTTCCATTGTTGGGTTGTTTGTTCAGCTTGTGGGCTGAACGCTCGAAACTTTTGCCTAGCGACTAACAAGTGTGACCCTCCATCTTCTGTTTTTCCTCTCGCTCTCCACGCTTGCTTTCCGCATGCATATGACGAGACCAGCCATGCCATGGGTTCACGATGCCACTCACATGGACCGAGGAGACCCCGAGACGGTTCATTGGAGCTTCCAGCCGCTTGGTAATACTAGTATCTAAGTGGCGATGTCGGGATATGCGCGAATAGTGTTGACGGATGTAACTTGTCGTAGGGTATATATGGCGTTAATTGCTGCCCGTAAAAAACGGCGTCGTTTTTGCGACATAACTCTATTGCGTAAAGTAAGCGTCGAACACCTGCAGGGCCTTGCTTCCGTCGCGGGGGTTCCCGTTGTTCTGTCGTTGGTCGTGGTCCAGGAGCGCGGTTTTCGCCTTCAACACTTCGTGGCTACGGCCGGTCCTTGCTTTGAGAGATTTATGAATTCCCTGGGCAGGGTAGGCAACGAGGCCGAACATTGCTAGCCACGCCGCCGGGTTAGCTTCGACCGAAAACTTTTGCCAAACATGATCTACTTCTGGAGCGATCAGACGAGTGTTGTTTGCTTACCTGCTCCCGGTTTGAGAAAGAGGCCGACGGATCCTGTGGCCACTCCCTTTGCTAGACCGAGCGCACCTCCTTCATTCGCGCCTTTGTAGGGATCGGCGAAGACACCCGTTAATCCGTCATAGAATCCGGTCCCAAAGGTCTAGGTCCACATCAGCCATGATTTTGTGTGATCAAACTCGATAACCAAACTTACCTTAGCGGCTACAACTCCTCCGCTCTTCCAATCTTCCACCTTGCCGTTGTCTCGTACCTTGTCGCCGTACAAACCCGGAGTGTTGTGCAAACCTTCTGCGATAGCAAGAGGCATGCTCACGAGGCCGCCCTTGACTATCGCTCCAGTCATGGAGGCAAATCCCTTGCCAACGGCCATTGCGGCGGCACCACTCGCTTGACCGGCTTCATGACCCGTCGCACGGGAGCGCTTGTACTCCTTCCACGGATCGATGAAGGTACCACCCAAAGCGACGGTGAAGTCAGTAACGATACCTAGGAACGAGGAGGCACCACCGGTGATGGGATCCCATCGCTTCACGTCGGTGTCGTATTCTTTTGTTCTCAGGGGCTTCAGGTCGGCCATCTTGATCTTCTTCGCATCGATTAGAGACAACGCTGCTTGGTTCGAAAGTCTCATCCGCTTGGTGCCTGATTTGGACTGTTTCTCGAGCAGCCAGGCTGCGCGCTGACCACAGATAAGGTCACAGCCGAGATAGTTGGCTGGGACATTACGATGGAAGGATTCCGTGGCGGTATCAACGCCTCGTTCCTGTTGCATCGCGCTGGCTACTTCTTGCACCGCATGATTTGCTTCAGGTGAGAGACAGTATCGGATGGCCTCTACGAGCTGCTCCGTACGGAACTCCTTTTGTGGTATGGGCAAGGGCCCTGCGCCCGACTTTGCAATGACTCGGCCCCAAAACGGCTGATCACCAAAGAACGGGACGACAATCGTTGGTCTCGCGTTGATGAGGCCACAGGCCGTCGTACCAGCTCCTCCATGATGAACCACGGCTGACACACGTTTGAACAGCCACTCGTGTGGGCAATCTCCAAGACAGAATACGCTATCTGTGTTTGACTTGCCCTCTCCCAGTTTGCTCCATCCTCGCGAGATGATGACACGAATGCCACAGATGCCAGCGGCCTCGAGAATGACATCTGTCAAACGCCCCGGGTCGTCGACAACAATACTACCAAACCCGACATACAAGGGGGGCGGTCCGGCTGAGAGAAAGGCGTCCAAGTCAGCAGGTGGCTTGTAGGATGGTTCGTTGCGCATGAAGAAGCCACAGACGTCGATTTCTGGACCCCAATCTGCAGGTTTGGGTACCACCGCCGGTGACCAGCAGTATGTGTGCGGGATCTTGAGGAAGGTTGTCACGCCTGGCCCTATACTGGCGGGAATCGGCGCGAGCTGAAGATCTTTCCTTCGCCAGCTGTTGATGACATCGCCCAGGCCCTGCCAGGTCATCAACTCAACTACACCGTACGACAGCCAGTTGGTCACCTGCGGGTCCAAGTCCTTGTTGCGTTGGATGTTTGCTAGCGGGTGGGGAAAAGCACGCGTCGCCGTCCAAGGCATGGTGAACATAATGTGCGCCGGAATGCCGAGGGCTTGCGCGCAATGAACATGGGCGAAGCTCGGAGGGTTGGCGATGATGGCGTCAGCAACGAACGGTCGACTGCTGATGGGGTCGGGATCGATGCAGGATCGCCAACATCCATGGAGCATTTGGCGTATCATCCGGCGTTTCTTCCCCACGTCGCCGCCCTTCAAAGACTCCATCGAGGGTATCAGGCCAGGGTTCCGAACCATATACTTGGTTTCCGTCAGTGGCAAGCGCGAGGGAAAGAATATTCAAGAGAGGAGCGCAAGACATACCGACATCAAGTCTGCAGGGTCCCCGCCGATCGGGAAGAACTCTAGGCCAGAGTCGGTTACGAACTTGGCAAAGTTGTCATGTGTGGCGAGGCGAACTCTATGACCGTAACGGCGGAGAGCTGTGCCTAGTGCTATGAAGGGCTGAACATCACCTGATTGCATATCTTAGCAGGCCGACCTTAGTGTCCACCAGGGAGGCTTTGGGCAATATTTTGCCACGTGGAACTCACCACGACTACCGACTACCTGTATCACTACATTCAGGAATGGTACGGGCTTGAGGTTGATATTCGGCAACGCCAGATCCTCAGCTGTCGGGAAAGGGGGGAGCTGCTCCCACAGCTCCGCCGGATTCTGCGACTGGAAGTTGATGTTCACATGGCCGTCAGCTGCTTGAAGATTAATTTCGAGTACGGAATATGCAGAAGGGGTTGCTATTCTGACACTGCATGGCAGCCTCGCTAGACAAGAGTGGACCGGTGGAGTGTAGCTCGTAAGGAGGAGGGACGTTGCAGAGAGACTCGGCGTCTTCCGTCTCGGCAGCTGCCAAGCTTCTCTTCGAGTCTATGATAGACATAATTTCCGTGATTGGCAAAGCGGCAGTTGCAGTAGCTGGCAATCAGAGTAGGACGCGAAAGGGCCGTGGTCAATTTATACAACAGCCCTCAAAATCGCCGCCGGAAACGGTAGAGTCGTCGATGGATTCACTTCTGCGTAATCGGCGCTGAAGCGGAGTTTTCTCGACATCGCCGGAACGCCGTTTGAGGCTGATGCCGGGCCGCAGCATATCAGTGGCTCGCATAGTACGCGTGTTCGTTCTTTCACCGCGAGGCAACAGCATAAACCGATGTAAATATCCCACCGATTCGGCATTGCCGCTCTTGAAAACCCATTGCGCCGCGGTTGATGTGGATAGTGGCGTGGGTTTCCGAGCTTACGAGGGGCTCGCATTGATCGGGTTCAGGCAATGCACAAGATGAAGTCGACCGAGGACCGATGCATTCGTATCGGCCTCGGGTCTCCACTTAAGAGAAAGCCACAATTCCGTCAGCCACATTGAGACGGGTGGCTCGAGCAGAGGCTCAATCTTTATCTCACGTGTTGATTGATGACTGATCATTGATGAGGATGATGCTTGATTCTTTTCTCCTTTCTGATGACCTCGGAGGTATTAATTCTGTTGTGCAAGAACCACTAGGTAGAAATAATGTATCCATAGCCGCACAGACTCTGACCGGGATGATATTGACAGCATGACTAGCATAACATGACATACCCATGGCACTCCAAGTTGGCGTGTAAGACGTTAATCGACAGGGCTTTTTAAGGTTTCGCGGACCAGAACTCTAGGGAATGAGCCACTAAATATAATCAGACGAAGCAACGCAGGTACCACTCGGGCGGGACGAACACGTCGTTGCGAACCACTTTCACCTTGGCTTCCACGTTGAATAAGGACAATCTCTCGATCTTTCAGTTCTCCGCCGGCTTGATTGAATCATCACACAAGCATTCTATTCGATCTCGTTGAATCAGCAAGGCACCCCCAACATGTCTCACGAAACGACACCGACCGCCATCTTGTGGGACTGGGATCAGTCAGATCTCACAGACGTTGTCAACGACATGCGACGACTGTTGACCAACCCGTCACATCTTACCGCTATCAGAGACGTCACACTGCGCGGTGTGAGGGCTGCGAGGGATCCAAAAACTGCATTACTAGCAAGAAGCCTCACCATTAGCGAGAAAGCCACCCTCAAGTCGTGGATGACTGATTTCAACCTGTCGCCCGAAATACCCACTGCGCTCTTACAAGAATCCGAGGTCTCGCTCGCACATGCCACCGCCATCCTATTATCGCGACTCCCAGCCCTCAAGACTATCGACTTGCAGGCCTATGACCGAAATGACCACGACGAATGGACACAATCTCGCCCACTTGGTGATGAGTTTTTGACTCTTCTGAGCCAACTAGTCTCTTCAAACATTGCAACTAGCTCTTTTTTCAACAACGTGGAAACGATCAAGGTTCTAGTTCCGACACCCGACGGAGATTCAGCAAATGAGTTCAACCACTATGTCTACGTTGAAAATATTTTGCCATTCTTTCACCTCCCGCAAATCCAGAACCTGGAGCTTCATCGAGTGGAGGACGGAGGGAAATCAATTTCCTGGCCAGCTCCCCATCCGAGCCCATCAGCAACGACGCTGGAAGAAATGGTGCTAAGCAAATGCCAATTCTCCGAGGAGAATGTTGACCAACTGCTGCGAGCTTCACCAAATCTCAAGACTTTCCGTTGCGGATACGTCATCGACGCCGAGTACGCAACCACCTGGCTGGACCTAGAGGCACTGAGAAGCTCGCTCGACACACTGAAAGCCTCACTCGAAGAGCTCTCCTTTACGCTGACGCTATGGACATCAACGGCCATCGACTGCGGCGAGGTCGGGCCTTGGGGGATCCGCGGCTCATTCGGATCACTCAAGGACTTCTCGCGACTCACTCGCCTCTCCATCTCTCTGCCGGTACTCCTCGGCTGGGAAACAAAGGGCTCGTCTAAGCTCGCGGACGTGCTCCCCGAGGGGCTCCAGGCATTGACCATCACCAACGAAATGTTCTTCTGGTGGCACTACCGGTGGGACGACCTCGACTGGGAAGAGGACGACCCTGTGGTTCCCATGTGGCAGTCGCTGGAAGCCAATATTGTCGAGTATCTTGAGAGCCGCCCTCGACACTTGAGGAAGCTAAGGTTGGAGATTTCAATGGTTGGTGAGGAGCAGCGAGCTGAGGAGTTGAAGGCCAACTTGATCGCTCAAGGATCAGATGCAGGAGTACATGTCACTGTAGAGTTGAAGCCATAGATAGATAAGGTAGGCAAAAGCCTGTCATTGTCAAAATTTGAATTCGATACCCAGCATAGGAAGCCCGCCGAGTGTGCTTTTTCTCCCTGCATCAACAACCAGGACAGTCTGCTTATTATTGACATCCCCGAAGAGATCACAAGATGGCACAGGTTTTTGAACTAATGAATATTTTGACTATAGACTAAGTGATATCTTTGCACCAACAAGAAGAAAGAAAGGCTCAAGTTCACTGGCCATATCTCTTATCGCACCCCTACGACCTCGGTATCATCCCCGCAACCCCCACGATAAGTCTAGCACGGGCGTCCATCACCGCCACCACAAGCATTGCAATCAGAGTGGTGCTGGAAATTGCAAACAAACACACCAAGACCACTCGCACCACCCAAGCAGTTCAAGCACTTGAGCGCAGGCGCCTGACAGTTCGGCAGCATGCCGGGGATTGTCTCAGGCATAGACGGCGTGCTCGGCATAGGAACAGCACAGCCCACAGCCTCCGTCGCACCAAACTCCTTGTCGCCGACAGTTCCGGCGTTGTCCTCGGCCAGACGCCACATGACGAGATTGGCAATGACGGCGTGGCCGCCGGGACGCGGGTGGAACACTCTCTTGATCTCGTCTCCGATAAAGTCGGAGACTTTAAGGTTGTTGCGACCCCTGAAAGCCGGGTCAGCCGCGCTGTTGTCGGCGAGGGAGATGACAAGGCTGGAGTTGAGTTTACGCGCTTCTGTGATTTGGTCGGCGATGTACTGCTCCATTGACGGTGATGCAGCCGTGCTCTGACGAACTTCCAGGACGGGTGTCTTTGTGTTAGACTTGGTAGTTTGTCTGTGCGGGAAGGAGCTCCAAATCTGTCCTGCGCGCTTAGAGAGGATGGACAATAGGCCCAGCTTGCTGCTGTGGATCTCTAGATAGGAGTCGCCAATTTCGCCAATCGTGGGGGTCGCACGAGGAAGCATCTGTTCGTTGTTGAAGGATACGACCTCGGGCTCGGCTTCACGTCTCGCGAGTGTGGTATCGTCGTTCTTGCTGGACCACTCAAAAAAGAGACCATCGCGGTTTCCGTTGGGCTCCTTGGTGGCACCTTCGCAGAAACGGCCCTGAAGCACAGAGAAGTACTGGTCATAGTTGACAAACTCGAACGAAGCACCGGCTCTTCTGACGGCGGCCTCGATGACGTTGTTAACAGCGGTAGTGAGCTCGTTCATCAGCGTCCTACGCTCGGTAGTAAGCTTCTGCTTGTTGGCGCTGTTGAACCAGAAACACCAGCTGACATCGTCGCATGCAGTCGTGGTGTTGTCGAAGAAGTTCGCGTAGCCCGTGACATAGATCTTGCGGCCCGGGTTGATCTTATTCTTGAGGCCCGCGTACAGCTTGTCTAGGGTGCCCGGCAGAGTATCCCGGATGAGGTTCAGCGTAGCCTGCATCTCGTCGGGACAATTGGCAAAGGGATTCCACTGGAAGATGCAGGCGTTGAGGATGCTGGTCAGGCTGACATCGTTGCCGCCAGCGCTGACGGTGATGATGTCGTAGCCGGTGCCCAGCGCGGAGACCTGGTTGGCGAGGATCTCGGGGGCGGTGGCGCCGGAGCAGGCGAGAAACTTAAAGGCCGCGGACTCGGGTATAAGTTCGTAGGACTGTATATAGGCTAGGTACGACTGGTTATAACGGGCACAGGTGGTTAAGCTATTGGGGTACGGCAAGCTGGAGCCAATACCGGCGGAGCTATTAAAGACATCAGGTCAGAACGATGAATATCGGTCACGTCGTTGGGAATAACTTACTAAGAATCGCCGATAATAGCCCACTTTTTTTTACCCATGAGAGGTCATAGGGGTCTGCGGGAGCAGGCTAGGCAGTATCCTAACCCTGGTCGTAGAAGCAGGTACCTCTATTAAACAGGTTAGTTACCATTGATATAGTTCGATTGTTAAAAGAGACGTTAACTCACCCTTTACCATACCATGCACCTCCACGGTCTATGCCACATTTTATGAGGCAAGGCGACTGATCAGGGTAACTAAAAGGGAATTGATATACCGGCGTCGCAAATTGATACACCGGCGTCGACCTTACACCGGCGTCGCTGTTCGACCTTTTGATTGGCTCAAAAAATCAATACCTCCCCATAAAGGCGGTGAGGGTGACTGCACTAACATGGCTATTCCTGCCCTCTTCTCTAACCTAAGCTCTAATTTGAGATTTCTAAAAGTACGTATTACAGCCTACTTATACCCCAGGTTTGTAAATCTCAAATAGGGACTATATAACCCCTCAAAAGGCCTATTACCTAACTACCTTTTGCGACGTGGTTGCAAAGATTCATCGTCACTACAGACCATTTCCCACTAACTCCGTTTCCTCCGAACACTAGGCTACATCGGCCGTCCACTTGCATAATTCCCTGTTGTCCTCCCCTTACCAAGAACACTAGACTGGCTCCTTGTTTGTCGCTAGGATGAGCTTGATATCTGGCTTTGACTTGGCTAACTTGTCTCTTGTGTAAGCCCAGCTAGCGTCGACTTATTCTTGCTCCCAGGTGGGCGGCCTCGCTTCTTACTACTTACGCCTTGGCTGCTATAGGTAGTGCGGGCTTGTCTGGCTGACTGGCCCTCTGCAGGTAAGGCTAGTTATGATAGGACAGGCTGCACTATGTTCTTTAGCCTACCGCGGAGGGATGCAGCAATCTTAGGGTCAAGGATCCGGCGGTATGGATCTGAGGAAGACGTCTCTCGAAGACGCCACCGAGGGTATACCTCCCATTTACTAAAAGTAGCTAAATCTAACTTTTAGGAGTAGATCTTATGGCAGCATGGGATACCCAGCTCAATTAAAACAGTGCAGTCTAGACCACAGTCTCCAAGGGGGGCTAGGAATAGCCTCGTGCCAGACGGCATTGCCTTCTTTACCAGCCGGTATTGCTTCCCAATTAATGCAAGACACTTCGAGGAAAGCATCGTTCGAAGTTCGCCTAGGTACTCAAAGCGAGTACCTATATACTCCCGGCCTGTAAGCACTTCATCCTCAGCACAAGCTTGCCTGAAGCGTATCTCCTGGTCACCAATCATGTCCTACATAACATCAACAAGTCGATATAGGTGACTAAGATCATTTAAGAGATAACTCTTAATGTTGTTATTACTTGACTCAGTGCCAGAGGTGACGCGAACACCAAAGTTCTAATATTTTCGGATAGAGCAGCGGGCCCACTGTGCTCTTAAAGGTAGGTATGTTATGTGGAGGTACTGGAGGATTGGGCGTTGGTCGTTAAACTCTTTACAGAGCTTGGTCCAGGCTTTCTCAAAAGCGTGCTCAGTCTCAGCAAAAACAACAAGCTTCCACATCATAAGGACCCCACGATACGTATGAGGGGGGGGCTTATCAATAGATGTGTTGATATAGGCCTCATCCTCATCACTTAGCGTGGCCATTGCTTGTATTGGTAGCTGATATCCCTCGTCATTAGACCCACTGCTGTTACTGCTACAGCTGCGGTCCTTAACCCACTTCTGCTTAGCCCTGAGCATAACGTTAGAATTGATGTGGTGGATGCAGAGTTGTTGCTGAACGTCTGGGAACTGCTCATTCAGTGCAGCCTTCATCTGCTTGTCGTAGTCTGTAATAATAACAGTGGGGTAACGGACTGAGTGTTGGTCCATGAGTTGGCGGATCCCTGCTGAGAGAAACTGGAAACCCTCTAGTCTCTTGTTGTCGATAAGGCTAAACGCAGCGTTGTAAATAGATCCAAGGCAGGTCTGCCCAGTAGCTTGGAAGAGAGGGAGCTTGAAGCGATTGGTATTATAGGTGTTATCAAAGCTAATCACCTCAGGGAATCGCTTCCACATTTGGAAATAGTAGGGAAAGGTCCAGACAAGGCCAATAAGGCGGTTTGGCTCGGCGTCTGCCCATTTCACTACGTATAGGATGTCTCGCTCATCAAACAGCTTGATTAATGCTGCAGTAAGCGAATATCCCGCTAGTTTCTCTCGGTTTATACGAGCCCTAGCGTTATAGATATCTCGCTAGGTGAATAAGGACTCTAGGAACTGCTCCTAGACAACAGCACGCATATCGCAAGCCCGAATCCCAACTCGTCGGCTTATAGTTTCAATAGCATCCTAAAGTGGCTAGGTAAGCCTACGATGTGAAGGGTGTACAGTAGCTTCAAGGCTAGGGCCATAATTATACTGACTATACTAGGGGTCTAGGTGATAACATAAGAGCCACTTACCCTCCTCTTGAGCCTCGGCAATAACTTGCCATTTACAACCGCATTTACGAGACTTACGCTATCGAATGCCAGCACCTTATGTAGGCCCAGGCTCGCCAAACCGATCACATTAGAAGGTATATCGAATAATTCGGCCTCGAGCTTTATGCCTATTCCGCTTTACAATACCAAATCTATTAGCTCTTACAAAGGTATTAACTCGGTCGAAGAGGGCATCATAGGTTTGCTCTAGATCGCCAGGAATCGGTGGGTTTAGGATTTCGGTTATAGGAGGAGAGGAGGATTAGTTACTTAGAGTATAGTAGGAGGCTGCAGTTCGGAAAGACGCTTCGCTTTAAGGGGAGGATTGCCGTAGGGGTGAATAGGGTGGTAGGTTGACTTGGGGACCCTATGTTTCTTGCCATTGACGGACATACTCTTATTATCGGAGGAGTGCCGTTGTTAGCTGTTGATTAGTCCTAATAACCTGTAGAATAAGCTGAAGAGCACTATTGAACTGCTCTGTTATAGGATGGGAAGGTTGCTGGGACTGTTCGTTAGGAGGAGAGGGGCTATGCTCTAGAGAAAGTCGTGGGAGAGTAGTCCGCTAGGTTTTTATTATTCCTTTAGGGAAATAACGAGTAAGATATAGCTGTCGGATTGGAAGTCCAATTCGACCGCGAGTAAGGGCAGAGCATGGGCCACCTCGAGGGAGTACAATTAGACCTCGACTACCCACCCAACCTCCGGTTGGAATCTCCCTTCTACTCCTTACGCAGAATCAATCAATACAGAGATATTGATACTTCGTCACCCCAGGACCCTACGGTTCGAACCAATTTCCCTGTGAAAGGAATACCAACAATAGCGTAGGCTTTATACTAGGGTAATCGTATATAAGAGGTCGCGTATTTTATAGTATGTCGGCTAGGAGCTTGGTAATAAGGTCGCGCTGCCCTTAAGGATTACCAACTCCATAGAATTGGCTAACGCTAGGGCGGCTGCTTTCTAAGGAGGGAGATGATGGTGGTTGGCCAGATGATGGTGGGAGGCCGTACTCAAACAATGGTCGCTCTCGTATAGGGGGAGGTTTATTAGTAGGGGTATTGCTTTGAGATTGGCCTTGTGGAACATCTCTAACTCCAGTTAGAGAAGCCATTGTAAGTGTCGGAACGGCAAGGCTGATAAGGAGCAATGGGCAGGTATCGTGGGCTGGCTGGCGCCTGCCCTGGGCGAAGTGGGACAACCGGCTTAGTCACCACGGCCGGCTAAGGTGGGGCAACCACCCAGGCCGTCACCACCTACTTCGACCGACCCCTGCCCACAATGTAAATAGGAACAAGAACAACAGCAATTATCACGGACATCGACGTGATTGTTGCCGAAGATACACCCTCATGAGGAAATGTATCACGCCTGTGATACCAACAGTAAGTAAATAGCATAAGTCAGACTTAGAGGCTTGATGATGTAACCTTAGAGGAAAGAGAGCAAAGGAACAAAAAGGGTTGAGATACTTTGTGGGTATCTGGCAGAATTTGATTGCACTAACAATATTTTTTGAGCCAATCAAAAGGTCGAACAGCGACGCCGGTGTAAGGTCGACGCCGGTATATCAATTCCCAACTAAAAACGCACCTGTCTTGAACAATCTTACTAGAAATATATTAATAGTTGAAGATATCTCACAATATATAACACTTCCTCTGCAAGCTTCTGGACCTTAAGGTAATGATAAGGAGTAGTAGAATCTTTAAGATATTAGTTAAAGTTGGCTATGCTGTACTGGTCGATAGCTCTAAATATCTCTTCTGCTGTAGAGTCGCTTTGAGTAAGTACGAGCCCAGTAAAGAGTCCGAGACTTAACGTATAAGCCTTTATATTCGGTTACGTATATAAAAAAGGAGTGATTAAGAAATCAGAAGTACTGAGAAGCAAGCTGGTATGAAATGAGTAGGATGATTTGCTTAAATCCCTAAACATAAATATCATTAATACGGCGGTGGTTATATGACTATAATGTTACGCCCGCCGCAACTTGTCACTGTGGGCGCGTAGCTATATAATGCAGAACAAGGGAAAATGATGCGGAGTCATCATTATCGAAGCTTTTGCTTTGTGCCACAGTTGGTTGCCTTGTCCAGCTCGTAACATATAACTGCTATTGTAGCATAAGCCACTCATAACTTATCTGCGTACTAAGCGGGCTGCAATATATGATAGATCTAGAATACCTTAAAGAACCTTAGTTTCTAATCCCTTAATTAATTTTAAGCGTTTTATCGTGGCGGTACGTACCGGTGCTCGGGCCGAAGAGCAAGTTAGTAAAAATAGGTATCGTACGGATAGTCGCCGACTATGTATAGAATACGGAATCCATATATGAAGCGCAGGCCCTCGGTAGCCCCGGGCTTATTATATTTCTATTCGTTATTTCCTTTTACTTTGCTGCCCGCAACGGCCACACGGCGGTTGAGATTGACTTCAAGTTTTACCGCCTTGCCGGTAACCGCGGCGCTAAGACGAAGGCTATTACAACATAAGACGATATTTTACGGCCAGCTAGTCGTAGTGAGGTATGTTTGCAGAAGTTGAGGCTGCGGAACTAATAACAGTAATAGTCGGATGTTGTTGGTATTCCTTTCACAGGGAATTTGGTTCGAACCGTAGGGTCCTGGGGGTGACGAAGTATCAATATCTCTGTATTGATTGATTCTGCGTAGGGAGTAGAAGGGAGATTCCAACCGGAGGTTGGGTGGGTAGTCGAGGTCTAAGTGTACCCCCTCGAGGTGGCCCTTGCTCTGCCCCTACTCGCGGCCGAATTGGACTTCCAATCCAATAGATGTAATAATCGGATGATTATTATACTTCGTTAAATAGTCTCAAGTAGGTTGTATCTGTACGTCGTAAGGTAAGTAAGGCTTCGGTAATCAATCGTAGTCTTATTAAAGAGGTTCTTAAGAAAGATAGCTAAAAGCGATTATAAGATCTAATACGAAGTTAATTACTGAAGAAGCTATGGGAAGTCTGACCTAGAGCCCGGCTCGAGTCCATCCTATATATAAGTCCTAATCTTAAATATATCCTTTATCCGTATATTTACCTAACGGGTTCTATATCCTAAATATACGGGGTCTATATCCTTAAAGGACGGGCTCCGTATCCTTGGCGTACAGGTTTCTTTATCTTATTATCACGTGACTTATTCTATAGTTCTTCCGTTCTATAGGCTAACGTATATGTTCCCGTGACTTATGCATATATGGTGTACCGTAGCCGCCGTAAGCCTGCGGGGCAGGCCCTGGTCTTGTTTATGCATGTTGGGTCGTAACAGCAGGCCTGAACTTGGTCATGCATGTTGGGTCTAATATAAGGATATCTATCTCTCTTTAAACCTTAAGGGTGGCCCCTTCTTATACATATATGCGGACTCTTATTTTAAGCCGCAGGTTATTGTTGCGGTTAAGTGGTACTAGATTAGCTTGTAGCAGACGGTAAGGCGCGGTGCTATAATTAATATCTAGCACCGGACCCAGGCCAGCTATGCCAAGGGTTAGAGTATCGCGAGTTTGGTTGGACAAAGCAACCAGTCGATTCCCATCCTTCCAAGGGTCTTCGAGAAATCTAGTCAAGCATGGTTGTCTGCCGGTGTATGTGGAGGCGGTTGTCGAAGCAGCGGTACTGGGAGGAGAGGAGTAGGTGGCAGACGCAGATCTGAGAATCTCACGATAGTCAGCATTTGCACACAACCTTTGTATCGCAGAACACCTTGGCTAATCGTCGCAACTAACTTACGTAGCTTGAGCGAAGTTCTGCGACATGATGGAATGAAGAAAGGCATAAATGAGCCGAGCTGAATTTGAAAATTGAATGTGAGCTCCGGGCCTAGCAGATGGATGTTTTGGAAACGGAAGAATTGCAGGTCTTATCGCTCCATGCTCTATACAGACAGTGATTTGGACTGAAAAGCAGAAGACGGGGCGATCCATCAGTACCTACTTATGTATGGCTCTCTCAATTTTGAAGCGCAAGAACCTTAAAGACTGTTCAACATAGCATAGCGATTGCCGACTTGGCCCCGACAAGCAGTTGTCCAGAAAATATCCGCCCATTGTTCGCGAACCATTGCAAACTACTTAGGTATGTCATTAGTCTCTCTCTTTGTCAGGTTGGAAAGGTGAAAAGAAGGTAGGTAGCGAAAGGGAGTTGGACGGGTCGCAGAGTTCCAAGATGGTTTGCAAATTGCCCGTCCCGCTACAGGGTAAATTTTCGTCTAGTTATCATCTTTAAATAACACAATTATGATATGAGCTATTCTTCTTTGATCACTTGGCATTTCGGAGATGCGCCGCAGATCCTCTGGAAGCTACCCGTAACTGCAGTTCGGGGATAGCTATAGCTCAGGATTGGTCTAGTCTCTGTGGCACCATAGAACCAAGCTGAGAATTGTAGGAGCAGGAGACATTGACGGAAGTTTGCGGTTATTGAGAGATCTGCTTCATGGAAAACTACCTCTATTAGGAAACCAGATGGTTATAACGGACCTAGGGCACCAGTGGGAACTAGGGATGGATAGAACACATAGTAGCTCACGAGCAAGACTTGAAGGACGCCAGGATACGGCGTGTACTGTATAGTATATAGCTGGAGCCTACGACCCTCCACGCCACATACCCTTCAGGAGGTCTGCCGCAAGGGCGACTGCGCCTTTGCCGCCATGGCGTTAAATATAAAACAAACAAACAAACAACCTACCACTGAATAATTTCGCCTTACGATTGTGAACAGTGAACCGCGATGAAGATTATTGAGGAGATCGCAAGTCCATCCCGAAAGAGTTTGAACTTGATCCATAAGTAGACTTGGAAAGCGCATTGTCATGAATCCTACTGCTATTAACGCATAGCATCGTCAATCCATGGGTGATCTCCCAGCAAGTACCGGATGACGTCGGTACATCAGCGCGTACTCCATTCCAGTGAAAGGAACAAATTACGTATCATTCCATGACTTCTGATGATGATTCCGCATTGAATCCGTCTGCTGCACCCAATCAAAGAATTCAAGATGGAATCATTTTTGGAGAAAACCGGAGACATATGTACCGACTCAGCCAGTACTTGATGGGATACAAACATTTCAAGCCCCTAGCCTGAAGCTGTAGGGCATTGATACCACGAGTATGTATGACCCCTTAAGAATGATATGATATTAAATAGAGCCTCTGAGATCTTGTTCTTCTGACAAATTCAAAGCCAACGAGACAGATAGCTAGTACCAAAAGAGTCTTGAAACACTGAGGGCAAGGACTTGAGTCTTGAAGCTAGTCTTTGGACCTTCGAGCCCGGGCAAGTTCAACATCTTCCTAAAGCAGAGAAGCCGTGTCAGGGCTAACGCACTATGCAAAATAACATTTGTTGTTGAGAACTCAAACGACTGAATGTTGCAGTGTGCCCATGAAATTGAAAAACGAATGCGAGAATGACCAGTCGTGTAACACGAGATGGGGCTCAGAGCCAATGGGAGGCACACGGAGAATATTGTGCCGATGCACGCCTTCGTCTATGCCCAACGGCCGGGATAACTCGCAGCAAGGCAGCAAGGCAGAATGCCAACGTGGTCTACGGGGCAGGCAAAGTCAGATGTTTTCCAAAAAATAATTGGCGGTGGGAAAAGTCAAAGATAAGGTGCCCCAACGAACGGGCGCAATTGTGCTCAATAAGGCGGTTAGCGTAGGCAAAGCGGGGATGCTGTTTGTTCAGGGCCTTCATTGTAGTGATCGGAACATCTCGGACGGAGGATTAAAACATCGGGAGGGCAGCTTTAATTCGATCGGCGATTCGGGGTTAGTTGGCACTCGGCCCTGCTTGAACCGAGTGTGCCGATCTTCCGTGGAGAGCAGGCCGACGCGGCCCGATCATTCTATTTTGGAGGTAGGCTTGTTTCCGTTGTAATGGCGAGGTTGTGCTATGACGTCGAAAGGGACAAGCTGACAGAGGGCAACATCACCTCTCGTAAGAGGACCACGTGATATTTGAGGCCTCGATTGTGGGATCGTTGTTGCAGTACCAAGTCCAAGTGTATAATGGTTCGGGGACGGTGTTATTATTCGGGTCAAGTCGAGATTTTGAAGCTACTCTCGAGACCAGCTAGACGGCGACGGGTATCGATGATGGATGGAGCCTTGAAGAGATAGAAGTGCTGTTATCGAGACCACTTTGAAGATTTCGGGACCAGGATAGGGATGAAAATGATAGGTAAGGTGTTTGCAAATTGGGTATGCTGTGTGCGATAACTTGATCCCTAAGAAAGGAGACCACCGTAAAAGTTGAAGATGCTGGGACGAAGACTTTATAACAGGTTCATCATGGCGCCCTGCTTTGGCGAACCGTCTGTCGCCTTAAAGCTGTTGCCTTATTAAAGCCCAGTGGAGTTTAACTAAGGCGTATGATTGCCGTGAGTTAGCGCCATGCAACCGCCAAGCGGCTTGCTCTCTCTGGCTTAACCCACAAGACAATGCCAACCAAGGCAAAGTATTGGCTCGATCGTTTTCATGAACGCCTTGCAGCCAGGTAGGTCGACCACGTTCGTGGCTCGCCATGCAGGTTGCCAAACCGAACGTTGACCGAAGCTCCAATAGGAGTGTTTAATTGACTCTCAGTATTGCGCAGCTGCGCGCGTTACGATGTAACTACAGGGATGGAGACGGCAGAGTGTTTGCCTGAAACCTCACAGGCTAGTCCGCCCCTTAAACTGGCTGTGGAAGAGATCCTCTTGTAAGTACGTCAGGATATGTGTGCCGGGAAATCTCTAACCCCATCCAAACGTCTCATGCACACATCATTTTCGAGAAAGATGATCATCTACCATTATTGGGGCTCAATGGCTTATGTCTTGATTTCGTCGATTGCTCATTTTCACAACTCAAGGTGGCCGCTTCTCAAGGGATGAGATATTTGGGAAACATCTAGCCGTTCTTCCGCCCAGGAACATCATTGACAAAGTTTCCCTGCCCAGTCTTATTCGCTTTCATCTCCAACCTCGTCTGTAGCCTCCTGGCGGCCTTCTCTGCCTTATCCAATTGTTTCTGACGCGTCAGTAAGACGCTCCGCTGCTCAGCGGAAGATAAGTGTGCGAGCGCAGAGCGATCGTTGATGCTCAAACGGGAAAGCTGCGTCTCAGAGACCACATCGCGCTTCTCGGCGCGCGTCAGAGCCTTTGTGTCGAATCTGCCTCCTAGTCCAGATGGCGCTGTGAGTTGGAAGCTTGCTTCTGACTCGTTGATGCCCGAGGAGCCTGATCCTTCTTGAATGAGGTTGTCTGAGGTATCTGTGTCGTTGTTTGCACCAATCTTGGTGCGAGGCCTCGATGGCCTCGGCGCAGAGCGGTGGGATAGCTGTTTCCCAGAAGGTAAACGGATCGAGCCGCCTTCTTCTAAGGCATCCGCAACAGCTTTCCTAGCCTCGCCCTCTTCTCTTGTGTTCTCCCCATCCTTTGAAGGTTGCTCGTAGAAGTCCCTAAACTCAGAATCCTCCGCCGTGACGTCAAATCGGCAATGTCCCTTTCCCAGCATATGCTGCTGTACCGCAGCAGCCGTCCGTCGTTGCGTGCCGCACTGCAGACACTCGCGGTACCCGGATACGACGAGGTGGAGGTACTTGACCAGCGTCTCAACGTCGACGATGAGCTTTTCCTTATCTGGGATAAACATCCCGTGCGCTCTGTGCATATGCGCGACATTACCGTCAAGAGAGTCTGAGGTGGTGTTGCAGAATAAGCACTCTTCCAGGATGAAGTCATCATCATCGTCTTCGGCATCGCTCAGATCGGCCTCAGAGGCAGACGATGAAGAAGAGTCGGACTCCGTTGTGGGGCCGGCCTTGCCCAGAGCGGCGGCCGGTTGTGTGGAGACAGAGGCCGCGTGCTGCTCCGCTGTGAGGGGCTCGAGATCGGTCATGCGGCGTTTGAGGTTCGTGACGTGCCATTGGCTTTTTGAGTGGGCGCGGCGGGTGTCGGGGTTGTCGAAGTGAACGGTGCAGGTGCCGCACGAAGTTGCTGAGAGCTTGAAGTGGGATGTGTTTGAGTGCTCCATGGTGGCGGTTGTGGTGTTGGTGGTTGAGGTTGTGGTGACGGCGAGCATGAGATGCAATTGAGGGTGATGAGCGGAAGATGCGTGCTCGTTGGGTAGTGCCTTCGATAAGATCGTTCAGGGTGGCCTGATGGATTAATCTAGTGAGAAAGAAACGCTTGGTGTGCTTCGGATGTGCGATTGTTTTATAAGACAAATTGTTACTTCAACGAGCTGACAAGCAGGAATCTGAGGCAAGTTGGATGGATCATCGTGGCAACGGCCGTGACTTCTCGGTCCCACGACGATCAAAGATCTCAAAGCACAATTGGCGAATCAGCAGCGTCTTACTAAACCCCAGCCCTCAAAACGCCATTCATCAGCCGATGCCGTGTACCCGCGACAATTCCCTTGAGTCAAATTGTGGAGTCAATTAGCTAGCAAATCTCAACTGCAGCATCGAGACAGCCTAGAAGTAGACGAAGGATTCAAAGCCTGTGCAATTTTTTGCAAGATTTCTCAAACGATTGCTGGGCATCTCAGAGGCGGCGTGACTCCGACGCTGCAAAGGGTAGCGATTGGAGGAAGGGGACGAAGATGAGTCATACCCCGGGGCCGAGACCTTCCCTATTGGGATGCGTCGTCGTTGGCAATTGAATGAGCCATCATGAATCGACTCCACTGCGGTCCGAGTTGCAGGGGGTCATTTGCCGTCGCCGCGCCGAACTCAATTCCATGACATGGCGGACTTGACCTCCGGCTTGGGAAACGTGAATTTTCGGAAAGCGTAATTGGCCATGTCTCTTGGGAACAACGTCTCTCAAAACGAAATATCTCGGCCCTTTGCGAGCCGCCTCACAGAGTCGAAGTCACGATACAGCTCCTCATCGCTTCTCACTTCGTTCCAAATCTGGAAGTTTGTTCGTCTTTCGCATCTGACTCGATCACAAAGAAGTTGAGGAAAGAACTGTATCGTGCAATTGATTCATGTAGTCCTTTAGGAGTTGATGAAAAGTGGAAACTCGAAACACTGTCGTGTTCAATACTTGAGCGATAGGTAAACATGGTGCGTGCGATACTGACCGTCTTCATATAAGTCAAAAGTTGGAAGCAAGTAACAATACTTGAGTACGTGGATTTGTTTCATAAGTTGGTATCGAATCACTTTTCAGCCGTAGCTATCTAACCCCCCTCACACCCTCGCGCGGAGAAATCGTCAAATGATCTCTTCCTCTACCCCTCTTCTCTAGCAACACATGATATGAATCGAACCTGCCGTATAGGTCTCGTTATCCCGGCCCCAAAAATGCTCAACACCCCCCGCAACTCCTCTCAATATCATCGCCGCTGTTTCTCTAGTAGCTGCGGCCGAACATGGTCCACTTCTGGGCCTTGGCCTCGCACTCGGGGTTGAGGCACTTGGTCTCGCCGGCGACGAGACCGCTCTCGGGCTGCTCAAAGGGAATGCAAAGGGACTTCATGCCCATGCTGGGCTGCTTCTTGCCCTCGGGGAGGGTGGCGTTCTCGGGGGGCTCGCTGGTGGTGAGCTCCTTGATGCGGTCCTCGCACTTCATGCCCAGGCAGAAGGGGATGAGGACGACGTTCTTGCTGTCGAGGGCGGGGATGACCTTGTCCCACTCGGTGAGGACGAGGCGGTGCTCGCGGAAGCACTTCTCGGCCTTGTTGTACATGTCGGACTGGATGGTCTCGAGAAGCTCGGGGACCTTGGTGGAGATTTCGGCAAGGGGGAGGGAGCTCTTCTCAGCAGTGTCACGGCGGGCAGTAGCGACGACCTCGTTGGCGGCATCCTTGGGGCCGAACTCAAGTCTCAGGGGAACACCGCGGAGTTCCCACTCGTTGAACTTCCAGGCGGGAGTGTATCCGTCTCTCAGATCGGACTCGGCGCGGACACCGGCCTTGCGTAACTCATTGCGGAGGTCGTCGACCTTGTCCTCTAGCTTCTTTCTGTCCTCGAGGCTGGTCTTGGCAGTAATACCGACGGCGATAAGGACAACCTGGGTCTTGGCGATACGAGGGGGGAGGACCAGACCCTTATCGTCACCGTGGATCATGACCATGACACCGATCACACGGGTGGAGAGACCCCAAGAGTTCTGCCAGACGTGAATCTTCTCGCCCTTCTTGTCGGGGTTCTCGACGGTGATGTCGAACATCTTGGAGAAGTTCTGACCCAGGCAATGGGAGGTGGCACCCTGGATACCACGGCCGTTGGAGGGAATGTAACCTTCGACGGTGGTGGTGTAGTAACCACCAGCGAACTTCTCGTTCTCGGTCTTGGTGCCGCGAACGACGGGGACGGCGAGCAGCTGCTCATAGACACCAGCGTAGAGCTCGAGAATCTCGAGAACCTCCTTGCCGGCCAGCTCCTCCGTGAGATGGGCGGTGTGGCCTTCCTGCCACAAGAACTCTCTTGTGCGGAGGAAAGGGGTGGTCTGCTTGGCCTCCCAACGGACGACAGAGTTCCACTGGTTCAGGCGGAAGGGGAGGTCGCGATGGCTGCGAATCCACTTGGAGTAGTAGGGGTACATGACGGCCTCGGAGGTAGGACGAACTGCGACGGGGACTTCGAGGTCCTTGTCACCACTGTAAATGTGATATCAGCAGGGGGGCTTGGCGCAATTATCAAGGGAGAGACGACTTACGCCTTTGTGACCCAGGCCAATTCAGGGGCGAAACCCTCGACGTGGTCCTTCTCCTTCTCGAGCGACTTGGAGGAAAGGAACATGGGGAAGCTGGTCTCATCGACACCCATCTCCTCGATTCTCTCAGAGAACCACTTGCGGATCACGGTCCAGATGTACATGGACGCGGGGCGCAAGATGAAGAAACCGGAGATTTCGTTGTAGTACTCGACCATCTCGGCCTTGAGAACAATCTCTTGGTACCAGGCGGAGAAGTCCTCGTTCTTCTTGACCGTGATTCCCGTGATGTCCTCCTTCTTCTTGCCTCCGACAACGGGGAGGGAAGCTTGCTTGGCGGCCTTTGCAGCCTTTTCGGCAGCCATCTTTGCCTGCTTCTCGGCCTTCTTCAAGGCGCTCTTGGACGGCTCAGCGGGGGCGGTAGCGTCAGCCATGTTTTCGATATTGACTGCAGGTCGCAGAGTCGTCTCGTGAAGTCGGGTAGGGTCTCGTCTTATGGAATTGGCGACGCGGTGACCAGATCGGCCTGAGTCACTGGGAGATTTTGGGGCAGAGAAGGCGGTGCGATGCAGCGGAAAAAGTGCCCCGCACTAAAAGTGAGTCGTGTGTCGAGCTGTTGGGTGGGAGCGCAGTGAGGGGTCAATTGGGCTCCAGCCACGGGGGTCGGAGGGTGGCCCGGGCTTTTAATCAATTGTGGAGCGTCCCCGGTCGTCTATCTCGGATCAAGCCACACTGGATGTCACTGCACGGCTACAGAGATTGGTTATATAAATCGACATCACAAGAGTGGGAGAGTGACTGAGAGAAGGTCAGGAGAGAAATGCATCATGCTAGAAAGGTATTTTAAAAATGCTAGTCTGATTCAATTCCTACGGATGTCGAGACTTCGCGGTTGAGCTCCCGAATGCAGGTACCTTAAAATCCAGGGTCATGCAGACCCGATAAGATAACGGAGCACCAGCCACATCCCCGGTTCCTGGAACAACCCCGGCTCCGATAAAAAAGTTGCGTCGAGGGGAGACAAGGCAGGCACAGAGCACAGAAGCTTCTATTGCTATCCAGGCACTCACCGACCGAAGCTCCTTAAACCACCCCCATCCACCACCTCCAAATCCCGCGATCCAACCACAACCGCAGGCAGCGAGGCGCAAAAATGGCTTCCATGTTCGAGCAGTCAGGGAGCGGCACGCTTTTCCTCGGCGGTCAGAAGATTTCCGGCGCCGACATCAGAGACCAGAACGGTATGTCAACATTCCCCCCCACCACACCGGTCAAATCGCAACGAAGCTTCATCTTGCTGACAAACATGTAGTCCTCGCGACCCAAGCTATCGCAAATGTCGTCAAGAGCTCTTTCGGCCCCAGTGGTCTCGACAAGATGATGGTGGACGATATTGGTGTATGTTATGTGGCCCTACTCCCCCCTGGACCCCGCTTACCCCCCGGCGCAGGATGTCACGGTCACGAACGACGGCGCTACTATTCTCAGCTTGTTGGATGTCGAGCACCCCGCGGGCAAGATCTTGGTCGACCTGGCACAACAACAAGACAAGGAGGTCGGCGATGGCACAACCTCTGTTGTCCTGATCGCGGCCGAGCTGCTTCGCCGAGGAAACGAGCTGATGAAGAACCGCATACACCCCACTACCATCATCACCGGTTACCGACTTGCCCTTCGCGAGGCCGTCAAGTACATGAACGAGAACATCAGCATCAAGGTCGAGAACCTCGGACGCGAATCCCTCGTCAACATTGGCAAGACATCCATGTCCAGCAAGATTATTGGAGCCGACTCTGATTTCTTCGCCAACATGGTCGTGGATGCCATGCTGGCTGTCAAGTCGACAAACGGCCGCAACGAGACAAAATACCCCGTCAAGGCTGTCAACATTCTGAAGGCACACGGCAAGGGCTCCTTGGAGTCCCAGCTTATCAAGGGTTACGCTCTCAACTGCACAGTCGCCTCGCAGGCCATGCCGACGAGAATACAAGATGCCAAGATTGCAGTGTTGGATATGAATCTGCAAAAGGAGCGCATGAAGCTGGGTGTCCAGATCACGGTGGATGACCCTCAGCAATTGGAGCAGATTCGCCAGAGAGAGTCGGGCATGATCTTGGAGAGAGTAGAGATGATCCTCAAGGCGGGTGCCAACGTCATTCTTACCACCAAGGGTATTGATGACATGGTTCTGAAGACCTTTGTCGAGAAGGGTGCCATGGGTGTGCGCAGATGCAAGAAGGAGGACCTCCGCAGAATCGCCAAGGCGACGGGCGCCACCATGCTCAGCACACTGTCGGACCTCAACGGTGACGAGAAGTTCGACCCCTCATACCTCGGACACGCCGAGGAGGTTGTCCAGGAGCGCATCTCCGACGACGAGTGCATCCTCGTCAAGGGCACTAAGACCCACTCTTCAGCATCCATCATCCTCCGCGGGCCCAATGACTTCACCCTCGACGAGATGGAACGGTCCATCCACGACTCCCTCAACGCCGTCAAGAGAACCCTTGAGAGCGGCAGCATCGTTCCCGGCGGTGGTTCCGTCGAGACGGCCCTGCACATTTACCTCGAGGAGTTTGCCGGCACCGTCGGCTCCCGCGAGCAGCTGGCCATCGGCGAGTTCGCGCAGTCGCTGCTCGTCATTCCCAAGACGCTGGCCGTCAACGCCGCCAAGGACGCATCAGAGCTCGTTGCCCAGCTGCGTTCCCGGCACGCACTGTCGCAGCGCATCCAGGAGGGCGAGGCCAACGATGACGAGAAGACGGTCGCGCGCAAGAAGGCCTACAAGAACTACGGTCTCGACCTGGTGCGCGGCAAGGTGATTGACGAGATCAAGGCCGGTGTCCTGGAGCCCACCATCAGCAAGATCAGGCAGCTGAAGAGTGCCGTGGAGGCCTGCATCAGCATCATGCGTATCGATACCCTGATCAAATTGGACCCCGAGCAGCAGGCCGAGGACGACGGACACGGTCACTGAAGAAAGTGGGTGGTGTTTGGAAAACTTAAAAACAAAAATGGGCCAATTGCGGGAGTGTTCAAGGTTAGACGGTTCATAGATCACTTTGCTAATGATACCTCGTCATGCCGGCCTGGATGTCCAGACCTGTGATATTTTTGGAGTCCCTATTGAAATAAACGTGTTGATAATGAAGCCACTTGTATGTATGAGCCTGCTAATAATATGCAAAATGGGTGTGACCAATCGGTCAGCACCAGCCAAACTTCTCATTGAGCACCCACTCAACCTCTCCTTGGCCATACCACATGAGGCTGGCAATGCTATCGTTCTCCCTCTCAATAAACTCATGCGGAATCCCCGCCTTCTCAATCAGTCCCCTCACCCTGGGCTCAGGATTCCACATCTCGACGTTATTCACCTTCCACTCCGCCGCCTGCGCCCTCGCCATCCTCAACAGCGCCTCAATGGCACTCTGCACATACTCGTCTCCGCTCCCTTCCTCGTCCTCAATCGCGAGCCGCAGGATATGCATCGTGTTCCCCTCGGGCTTCTTCAGTCCGCCGTAGTAACCCCTCGTCCACACGGCCCATACCCGCGACCCATGCTCGCCTACAACCCCGCCGCGGACGGTGGGTGTCTGGCCGAAGATGTGCTTGGTCATGTAGTCCTCGCGCATCAGGTGCCAGAGCATGGCGTCCAGGTCCGGGATCAGCGAGACGCGGGTCTTTGTGCTCTTCTTGGACAGCTTTGCGCGGATGAGACGCTCGTCGACGGAGCAGAGCTCTGCTAGCTCATGGTAACCTAGCGGCGCGGCCTCGACTTGCACCGCTCCCACAGCTCCCGCCGCTCCCGATTCCGATGGTGGCGGTGATGCCTGCGGCGGGAACTCGAGGTGCGTACTCTCATACGGATGCCAGCCGTGCTTGGCGTAAAACTTCTTCCCAATATCAGAATACAGCACCGAGCACGCGACCTCTCCGTCCTTGATATCACCCCAGCTCTCCCCGCTCTTCATCTCGGCCCCTTGCCACCTTGCAAGCTGCGGTCCCACCATGTTCATCATGATAGACGCATACCCATTCCCACGGTACACCGGGTCCGTAAACACGGAACCGACGGCGTGGGTGATTGCGTCGACGACGGTACCGTCCGGTTTCGCGACGAGGACGTTTTTGCGGATACTCTCGCACGACGAGAGAATGGGGCGGGCGTCGGGGGGTAGGGTCGGGTCGGTTAGGATCCATTGGGTGATGCCGCCGTTGCGGGAGACGGGGACCGTGGTCATGTAGGATTCGCGGCGGATGTATTCTTCTAGTTCGAGGGCGGCGCCCCAGTTTGCGTAGGTTGAGGTGTAGGTCTTTAGGCGCTCTGCTGGGGTTGGTTGGGTGAGGACCAGGTCTGTTTCGTGGGTTGAGCCCATGATGTCTGTTTGTCTCTGGGGTAGTTCAACTCGGCGTGGATTGTGTAGATTCGTGTGGATTTTGTCTCTGTTCTTCTTGTCTACGGTGTCAAGGCAGGCAAGACAGCTTCTTGTCGTAAGTATTATGGTGGGTGGTGTCTTGTTTGTTTCTGGTCAATCACGTCACACCACACATGAACAAACATGAGAGGTCAGAATCAGGCAGGTAATTGGAGAAGGTGAGAACTTGGAGGATGGCGAGAATGAGAACGAGGAGGAGAGTCAGGTCCAGCTTCCAGAAGCTGGGGTTGGGAAAAGATAAAAAAAAAGGGGACAAAGCGCCGTCCTCTTATCAATTTTGTCGTGTTCCAGACGGCTTCAGAAAGTACCTTGAGTTTGGCTTGTACTGGCGCGGGCGTTGCGCACAAGAGCGTGCCCCACCTCACCTAAAATGACGATGGAAGCGTTGGCGGGGAAGACCCAGTCAAACCCCAGGTATTCCGGGATCACAGCGCCTCGTTCGAAAAGCTGTGAGATATGGTATGGGTTGGAGGGGGCGTGAGTTAAGGGGGCTGGGCTGGGCTGGGCTGGGCTGGCTAGTGTAGTGTGTGAGTGAGCCGATGTACAGATAGCTAGGATCGATATACAACAAAGTCCAAAAAGCACAAAAAGGACCTCGAAACCCCTCCTCTTCCTGTTGTCTTTCCCCCTTCCGTCTCACCAGACACAGGAATCAGGATACCAAAGATGGTCAGCAGGCCCACAAGCGAAGCGGCTCATCGTGGAAAAGCCAAGTCTTACGTCACGGGGTAGCGTCTTAGCGGGTGAGTCGCGAAGGTGATACAGCCATGAAAAGTACGGACGAAAAGAAAAGACAACTGTGCCTTGGAAACCTGGGACACATTTTTAGGTAATTGTTTTTGCCTACGTGCCTATTTAGTCTTCCGCCTGGGCCGGGGAGTGCGCAACGGGCAGGTGTCGCCGGCGGGGTGAGGAGGTCACGGAGGCCGGTGGAAGCCGATGGTAGGCGGGGCCGGAATTGCGCCGGTTGAACGCGGCCGTGACGCCCGCACCAGTCTTTTCTCTAGACACTTACTTACTATACTATGAGCTGATACCGCTAATGTTGTGAACCGGTTCGGGGCGAGGGATTCCCTTGTCTTGGAAGAGTCGGCTGACTTGGCTGATGTTCTGACATGTTGGTTGTGTGGCCTGTGTCATGGTGGGAAAGTTTGGTGTGTGAGGTGAGGTGTGTGGTGTTGGTTGCGGTGTTCATGCGCGACCAATGAGTGTAGGGCCTACCTGGTACATACAGCCAAAAGAGTTCCCTTTTCTCTTTTCTTGGGCCACGTTGCAATCCGATTTGTGTATCTCTCGATCTCTTGCAGATACTGGGCAGTTCCCTTCTTGAGAGGACTCCATCGTTGTATCTAGTGTTCCATGGTTCCTCTTACAAGTTCCAAGTTCCAATAGCTACACCGATCGTCATCAACTTCTCATCCTAAACATCCCTATCTCCCAACCTGGTCTTATCTCCCAATCTAAGCTCTTAACAACATGTATGCACAATAGTTCCTCTCACCATGCTCTACTGCGTACATGATAACCTCAACCAAACAGAGTCACACCTCCACCTTCCATTCCCGTCGCCCCCCTGCTCCGTAACAACCTCACAACCTCATCATGCCCCCTTGCAGCAGCGCACTGCAACGCAGTCTGCGTCCGCCCTCGTACCATACCCCCCCATCCAGTCCCAGCCTCGATCTCGGCCCCGGCGCCCAGCAGCGTCTCGCACACACGCACGTGGCCCCCCTCAGCAGCAGCATGCAGCGCCCTTCCGCCCTTGAACCTGCTCCCTTCGGCGTTGACATCCGCCCCCGCACCTGCAGCTCGTCCACTGGCACCACTGGCAACCCCCGCGACCCCGGCTGGCCCCGCCGTAAGGAGCATCTCGACAAGCCCCGCTCGCCCACGGTAGCTCGCCGCCTGCAGCGCCGTGAACCCTCGATTCCGACACGCCGGCGCGTCCACCTCTGCGCCCTGCCGCTGAATCAGCATCGCCGCCATCGCGAGGAATCCGCCCTCACACGCAGCCTGGAGCGCCGTTCGACCGGCCGTCGGGGCTGGGGGCGCATTCACGTCCGCACCGTGCTCTAGCAGCAGCGCGACGGTGTCGTCTAACCCCGCGGCACAGGCACCCTGCAGCGCCGTCATTCCAAAGTATTGCGACGCGGGCACGTTGACATCGGCGCCGTGGTCTAGGAGTGTTCTAACGATGGCCAAGTCCGGCTTCCCCGCCGCGATCTGCAGCGCGTTCTTGGCGCCGTTGTTCCCGGGACGGTCGTTGACTTCGGCGCCGGCTGCGAGGAGCGCCGAGACCACGGCGCCGTGAGAGGCTTCGCAGGCGGCTTGGAGGGCTGTGCGGCCGTAGTACCCCCGCGGCGGGGCGTTGACGTCTGCTCCTGAGGCGAGGGCGGCGTGGATGGCGGAGAGGTCGCCTTCGCGGGCGGCGATTTGGAGGGGGGTCCAGCAGTCATCTTCGTCTTGAGAGTCATTGTCTTGTTCTGTGAGATGCTGCATTTTGCAGTGATGTTGTCTACCGTAGGTAAGTAGAATGGCTCTTCCCCCGTGAAGCTGGTGAGACTGTAACGAGGTGAGGAAAGTGAGAGCAGTGGAGTTTGAATGCGAGAGAATCCTTCGCCATCTCACCTTCCCCAGCAGATGCGCGACGGAAATGCGGCACAATCACGCCCTTCCGCTCATCTCACTGGGTGAAGGATTGACAAATCATCACTGAATCAACAAAAATCGGCCAAAATAAAAACTTGCAAAAACAATCAACGGTGGCTCATATTAGATAAAAGAACACCATGAAAATGATTGACTAACTAGTCATCCGTCTCAGCCTTCTTCTTGCTCTCACTCTTCTTCTCCGGCTCGCCCTTTTTTGGCTCATTCTTCGACCCCGCCTCGTTCTCGTAGCCGCCGCCCTGCTTCTCGTACTCCTTTGCCAGTTTTGCCCCCTGCATAATCAGTCAGTCGGCCACCCAGACTTCAAAGACGACCACAAATGTTGTCGAAATTTCTAGGGTCGTGGGGTTTGAAAATGAGGATCGATATACCTTCCATGCGGCCCATTGACCCTCTCCTCCGCCCGACTTGTTGGGCTCCTGCTTGATTTCTAGGTGTAACTGTGAGCATAACCAAACTCCAATCGAATCCAGTGACCTCGTTTCCTCATACCTTCCTTGATCTCCTCCCTCAACTCGGGATCGGTAGGCTTTCCCTTGGAAGAGGGCATCTTGTGTGATGAGTACGATAGAAGTCCACGAGTCGGGTAGAGATATGACTTTGGATCACGTAAAACTAGGTTACAGGTAGGACAGTAAATAGGAACGAAAGCTCGAATCATTTCCAACTTTAATTGACAAGCAAATCGCACGACGGGTTCAGAAGCATGCGAAACAGGGGTGAACTAGATGATGCTGCGAACAATCATCGATGACGCCTACAACATCAGCCACCCGGCCGCTCGGTCGGCCCCGTTGGCGGATCGGGAGACCCACACATAACCTCCGCGCCGTCCCGGATAGTTAACAAGGTTTTCCGGGCCAGCGGCCTTGTTCCTACCTAACTTAGGCTATCTAGGTATCGGCCAGGAACGAAGATGGTTTTCTCTTCCAACTTATATTCTCAACGCCACAGTTCCTGGTCAAATTGTCTCAGCAGAGTCTCTGCCTCAGAAACAACGCACCAAGCTGTCGCGACTGCTTCAGACACGGCCAGAAATAAGATTGTCTTCACTCTACCGAGCAACACCGTTTCTGGATAATAGTTTTCTCACCGCGAGCCAGACATTTTATGAGCTACTCTTATTCGTCACTTCAAATCCTAAACCTCATTAACTGCAAGAAGGACTTCCAAGTCATGCACCATTTTTTCATCCGGGTTTAGTTCTCGCCGTTGGCCAATACATCATACACATACCTTATGTTCTCGTGAGTCAGTGAACTATCACTGTGTGGAATAAGTACTCCCATTGGAAATCTTCATGAGAACATTGAAAACACGTCACGAGTTTGTAACATTGATCTTGAGATCGAGGCTTCTGCCGCCGTCATTGCATGCTTGAAGTAAATGAACTTTATTGAGTACATGTACAAGATCTTGACTTTTGACGGTGTCAAACCATCACTTCAGGCCATATTTTCGCGTATGATGCCAGAGGTTTGATGAGCCCTTCGTAGATCGACTCCCTAAAGCGAACGTCTGAAAATATCGGCCTTGGACCAAAAGAACAGTCCAGGCAACGCCTCACAACATCCGCGATGTTCGGTCCACTCTCACCTAGAACTTTCTTCGCTCACCGTTCAGCGGTAAACTTATCTGTGAGCTCATTGGGCCTGTTATCCTGAAGATAGTCTTTGCGGAAGCGGCAATGGCTGATGTCATGTCCTAAGATGAATTCCAAAAATATTACGCCGACAGTAAACATATAGTTGCGGACCGCCTGTTCTGAAATGTTGTTGGTGAACACAGATTCTTCAGAGGGCGAGTTCTCTTCCTTGTCGAGCTCAAATTTATTTGACAAAAATGGATGGCAGCTCAGGAGTGTCTCACCGTCAACAAGGAAGTAGAAGCTGCTCTTTGTCCATGAAGAAGGCATCCAAGGCGAGAGGTACGTGTTGAGTAGGGCCGCCGAGATATGGGCTGCTATCTCGAACCGTGACTGCCTTGAGAGAGATGGTTATGTCCACTTCGTGATGTGATTGTAGTAACTCGGTAAGAGACAAAAGCCTCAATTTGTCGGGAACAATTCGTGGCAAGCCTGACGATGCTTTATTGAAGACAAGGCGCCTGTCAAACTCGTCATCCAACACACCCTCATTCCATGATGTCTATTCCAGGAAGGCACAAAGATCCTCGATTTTCTGCCTGCTGGACCAGTCGTCAATGTTTCGACAAGGAAGGGACTCCCCGTCAGTCTTCGTACCAGCTTCGTTTTCCGACGGTGTGATACTGTCGGAACGGCAAGGCTGATAAGGAGCAATGGGCAGGTATCGTGGGCTGGCTGGCGCCTGCCCTGGGCGAAGTGGGACAACCGGCTTAGTCATCACGGCCGGTTAAGGTGGGGCAACCACCCAGGCCGTCCCCACCTACTTCGATCGGCCCCTGCCCACAATGTAAATAGGAGCAAGAACAGCAATTATCAAGGACATCGACGTGATTGTTGCCGAAGATACACCCTCATGAGGAAATTTATCACGCCTGTGATACCAACACATAGAATTAATGGTACCTAAAGACGCTCAACTTTCCACCTTGGATTTGAAGAACCTTGTATAGGTCCAACATTACGTCGTGCATCATCTCGATAGTTCGAAAGTGTTGGATTCACAGGTGGAAAAGGAAATACTCGAGTATCGTGGGTAGCAACGATCACCGACTGTAGTGGTGATATTGCTTGTTCTTGTTGTTCTTGAGTGGAAGTCTAACCAGGTGCCAGCGGCGGCAGGAAGTCTGGGGTATACCACCCTCGTGTGGCTGAGCCACACGGACCACCGTGGCTGGAACGGACCGCGGCAGCAACCTCCTGCTGCCTAATGTAGGCCTATTCCAACAGAAAGAAGCGATCCAGCTCACTTGGGAAACAATCCTCTAAAAGGTCCTCAAGGCTACCGTCCTTCCATCGAAGATCGGCGGGGTCTCTTATCAATGCCATCAGACTCTGTGGAGGCAATACTACTGTATTGGATCTGATGATGATGATGATGATGGGAAAAGCTGAGCGCTGGCTGGGCTGGATATCTGGGCAAGGTGTAGGTGGGGCAGCTCCGAGATGTGAAGGAGCTGCCTCACGTGACCCACCTGCACCTGCCACACCGCCCCTCAGGCCAGCCACAGTGAAAACTATCGTACATGTGAGAAGCAGGCTCAAATACCGACAATCCCAATTAGTCCTCCGCTGTATCCCATGCTCCGCCTATATCCTCCGTCCTGTGCCTGAGCCAAATAATCCTTTATCCCTTGTTTGTTCGGTCGGGTATAAGGATATCTATATGCTCATTTGCAAGCGATTTTCGTAAGGCCAAGCATTTTGACGAAGTTGGCGTGCTTCTCGTGATTTAACGGCTTCGTGAGTCCGTCAGCAGGCATGTCATGTGTTCGGATAAGTTTGAGGTTGAACAAGCCGTTTTTGACTTGATCGATGATCCACTTGTATCGTAGATCGATGTTCCTGGTTCGCGCCTGGTTTAGTGGATTCGTTACGTTGATCAGCGCGTTGCGGGAATCAGTAAATAGGACCGTAGGACGAGGTTGAGTGCAGCCGAGAAGTCTCAGCAGCTTATGAACCCATTGGACCGAAAGTCCCGTTGGAGTAAGGTTAATGAATTCAGCTTCCGTGGAGCTGGTTGTGACGTAAGTCTGTTTCTTCGACTTCCATATCACTGGGCCACCGGCAAGGATAACGACGTATCCTCCAGTGCTCACTCGGGTAAGGCGACAGTCGCCAAAGGCCGCGTCGCTGGCAGCATGGAGTCCGAGGTCATCAATAGGCATAGAAGCGTCAAAGGTGATGCCGAGGTCGACTGTGCCAGTGAGGTATCTCATGAGGTGCTTGATTGCTGCGAAGTGGTGCTCACCAGGGCGGCTGTTGGCTTCGCAGAGTTTGCTAGTTGCGTAAGTTATATCGGGGCGCGTACCGGTCGAGAGGAAATTAATAGAGCCTGTCATTTGCAAGTACAGCTTGCAACGGTCAGTTTCAACTGGTTCATACTCAACTGGCCACTTGGCGACGATATTGTGATCCATTGGTGTGCGGACTGGATGGAGGTCCACGTATCCGAACTTCTGAAGCATCCTGCGACAGAATTCGGCTTGTGATAGGTGTAGGGTCTTGGCTCTCTCATTGCGACAGACTTCGTAACCTAGGAATCTCTGAACGTCTCCCAGTTCTTTCATGCTGACAAATGACTTAAGGAGATCCTTGACTTTGCGAATAGTGTTCCGGTCTGGAGCAGCGATGACGTTGTCATCAACATACATCAAAACAATGCAGTTGTACTCGTCATGGATAAAAAGGCAGACTTCGCCTTCAATAGCTCGAAAACCGAGGTCAGTCATGTGACCTTTGATCTTGTTGAACCACCATACAGGTGCCATGGGGTGGCCGTAAAGGGCACGCTTGAGGAGGCAGACTTTGTCTCCTTGGCGATAGCCATGGGGCTGCTGGACGTACACCTTGGTATCGTCCGGGATAGAGGCGTGAAGAAAAGCTGTGTCGTAATCGAATAACTCTGCGATGTAGGTCTTGGTTGCAACAACAGCAAAGAAAACACGGATAGAGGTTGCATTAGCGACAGCTGCGTACAATTGTTCAGCGGACCAGTCAGATACCGCGTGGTTGCCACAGACAACCCATCGGGCACGATATCTGCCGTCAGACTTGATATCGCATATCCATTGGCCAGGAAGAATCTTTTCTCCGGTTGGAGGGTCAACGAGTTCCCAGGCTTCGGCTTGCTGTAGCGCCTTGATTTGCTTATCAAAAGCAGGTTGCCACTTGTCCCACTCAGGACCCTCTTTGGCCTGCTTGAAAGTGCGAGGTACGGTTGGACCAGCGAGTGCGGCAGCGGCGATGGCAGATAATACTGGAGGCTGGTTGTCTTCCCACACAACTGTGTCAAGGCTGACATAGGCTTGTTGATAACCATCAGACTTGGCATACGTGTTGCCTCGGAGAGAGCAACCGCTGAAACCGCTCCTCTTCTTGACCCAAGTGCCCTGTGAGTTTCTGACATGCTCACGTGTTGAGGCTCTGTTTGGTTGGCTTGGAGGAGGGCGAGGTTGACGAGTTCGTCTAGTTGGTTGTGTTGTAGGTTGAAGATCGTGATCTTCTGTGGCAACTACTATAGTTGCTTCATCTATATCCTGTTGGATAGCTTCTTCGATAGCGTTATCGAAAGATGTATCAGTATCGTGCTGTTGAACAGTTATGTTAGCAGACATCTGCTGATCAATAGGGCTGTCTGGTTCAGGGGTTGGAAGAGGGTTTTGGGTAGTTGCCTCTTCGGCAGACTTGTTGTCAGTGGTTTCGTCCTGGCGGTCAGGAGTGCTGGACGACTTCTGAGCTCCTTCATACTCAACAGATGAGGTGCTGGTGTCTGGATCAGCAAAAATGGCATCGTGATCAATGGTTGGGTCATTGTCTTCGTCCTGGTGCTTGCCCTGTTCATAGAAACGAACATCGCGGCAGCGGTATACCTTGTGGCTTTGAGGTACGTAGACGTAGAAGAGATGGCCGTGAAGTGAGTCGTATCCAACGAGATATCCCTTGATGGCTCTTGTCTCCATCTTGTTGGCGCGGGCTGGTTGCAATGACCCCTTGCGGTGGAGATAGGCAACGCAGCCGAAAGTGCGGATATGGTGGATATACGGTACGTGATGGGCTTCGTCAAGATTGAGATCTTTCGCGAGCATCTCGTGGGGGCTGAGATGGCCTGGATTGGTTGCTTTGGGCAACAGGTTGGCAATCGTGATGACTGTGGTGACGGCATAGTCCCAGAGATAATCAGGAAGGTTGGCGTCAATCAGCATGGTTCGGGCCGCCTCTGCAAAAGTCCGGCCAGCTCGCTCTGCCTTTCCATTCATGCTTGGGGTGTCAGCAACAGTCAATTTGACTTTAATGCCTCGTTTGGTGTACAGCTCCTGCGAAAGAGCATTGAAAAGCTCGGTGCCGTTGTCTATTTGAAACGCCTTAATCGAAAGGTTGGTCTGGTTTTCGAAGAAGTTGATGAATTCTTCGATACGATCAAGCACTTCGTCAGCACGCTTGCTCTTGAGCAAGTATCGCCACTGGAAGCCTGTACGCGCGTCGATCATGTGAATTAGATAACGTGACTTTGTATAGGACAAGGGTTCGAATTGTACCAAGTCCATGTGAATGAGATGACCGGGCTGGGCCTCTCGAATGGGGGTTTCTCTGCTGATGAGTTGTTGAGATTTGCCTAGGTGGCAAGCCTCGCAGTGAAAGGTGTCAATTTCTTGTTGAGGAAAAGTTATGCCCACACGACGGCAGGCTTCAACGACCCTGCTCTTGCCCGCGTGGCAAAGTCGCTTGTGCATAAGGTCAAATGTGACTTTGTTGTTATTCTTGCTTACCATAGCAAGGTTAAGGGCCGCGTTAATTTTCGGGCCTTCGTAGTTGTTGGTGACGATAACGGCAACATTGTTATGCCAATCGAGTTTGGCGATCGCGACGTTGTTTCCAATGTGGATAGTGTCGTCGCTGACCTTGTAGCCCTGCTGACGGAGTGTGCCTTGACTCAGCAGATTGACTGGGCAGTCAGGGCAGTACTGTACATCCTCAATTGACCAGTCGACCACCTTGTTGCTGTCATCTGGATCAACGGCAGTGAAGTAAACCGTGCCGTAACCAGCTGGCGATGCGTACTGACCGTTGGCGACTTCCATGGGTGGCAGTATTGCCTCGGTGAAGGAGGTGAACCAACTGAGGTTGTTGAAAGTGGTTCGCGAGCACCCGGAATCCAGGATAATGTCGTCACGGTTAATTCTGCCCGTTGCCATCGAAGTTGAGCACGGCAAGACTGTATGTCCCATTGTGTTCTGGTGGAGAACGTTCGGCGTAGCCTTGACCGCGACTGCCTTACCCTCCCGGCATTCGGAGGTACAAGTATGAGCAGCAGCTTTCTTGAGCAGGTTCTCACGGTACTTATGGTTGGATGGGATGAGGTCGGGATGGGCGACCCAGCAAGAGGTAGTCGCATGTTTCTTGCCGCAGTGTTGGCAGTCAGGACCATTGTAGTTGTTGTTAGGTCGCTGATTGTTGTTTGAGGTGTTACCGGAGGCCTTGTTGTTGCCGTTGCTGTTGTTTCCAACGGCGACGTAGCCCTTCGCGGCATTGAGTGAAGCAGTCCTTTCGGCATTGGCCTTGAATGTGAGATCGCGTGTGAGATCTTCAAGAGTCTTGGTGTTGTCCTCGACGTACTTGTCGTAAAGTGCTGGATATTCTTGTTGGCATCCGTTGAGTAGGATGAACATGGCTTTCTTGTGCCAAGAGGGGACCAGCTCATCGATACGACGAATGAGATACTGGCCACGCTGGAGATACTTATGAGTATCTGAGAAGTCCTTTCGCTTGAGGTTGCAGAGCTCTCGAACGAGCTCGGCGACGGCATCCTCTGAAATCTTGGGGATGATGGTCTTCAATTTGTTCATGAGAAGGAAGGGGTTGCGGTCAGCCGTCTTGATGTCGTATCCATCAGCGAGGAGACGATCGAGGACTTTGCTGATTGATGCGATGATGATGCCGTACGTTTCAATGCGCTGGCTCTTCCAAGTAGTGAAGGCCACAGCCTGCGCTGGAGTGATAGGATCATCGCGATGGGGTTGAGAGACGTCTTCATCGACGTACTTCTCGTAATCGAGAGTCTCAAGGGTGAGATGCAGTACTGCGTACCATTGGTCCCAATTTTCTTCTCCCTTGAGGTCGGGCACCTCCCAGCGGACGCGGTTGCCAGCCATGATGACGATGGAGGTGAAAGATTCGTGATAGTGTGTGTATAGGTGTAGACGGCCTGTACGGTCGCGTCTGTTGTTGTTTTTTGAGGAATCTGTACCTCTGCCGTTGCCAGTCGCGACGCCGCGATCTCTGGTCGACAGATTAGTAACTGCTCAATTGAACGGGCTCTACGCAGAGCTGGGCGATCAATTCATATGGGGTAAAAAGAAAAAGAGTCAACGCTGGGCTCTCATAACCTGTGGAGGCAATACTACTGTATTGGATCTGATGATGATGATGATGATGGGAAAAGCTGAGCGCTGGCTGGGCTGGATATCTGGGCAAGGTGTAGGTGGGGCAGCTCCGAGATGTGAAGGAGCTGCCTCACGTGACCCACCTGCACCTGCCACAGACTCTCATTGTCAGCAATGATAGGGTCGAGGAGATGAATGAGATTGTCGTGATATCTCATGCTCTGGTGCCTGATATCGTCGACAAACTCGATGAGATGATCTCGGAAGTGCCACCAATTGTCTATCGGCCCAAGGGCTCCGCGATAATATTCTATGCAGTTCAGAAGAATCAGAAAGCCACCTAAAACAACACCAGCAATCTCAATCCTGACATGGCGGTAATCAGTTTGCAGTTCTCGCGATATTCGTTTTAGATGGTTACAGACAGTCTCTCGAGTCTTGCCCAGGATTTCGAAATGAGCGGAAAACTATGGGAGTACGAACTCAAAGAGAGGGACTTAGCGCAACTGTCTGAAAGATTCGAACAATGGGCCGAGAATATTGGCGCTCTTCGACAGCTGAGCTCCAAGCTATCGCTCGACCATCGCCTTCGCGACAGTCCCACGGTCAGAGCCTCCATTTTCAGCATGCTTGAGGATTTGAACGACTCTGCCAAAACCGGTACGTTCCGGCATGAATCCGGTTTCGCAAATGTTAATGCATGCTTTATAGCTACAGATATAGTCTCGGGCCGTCGACCCAACAGAGTAATGCCAAGATTGGACATTAGTGAGGAAGAGCTGGAGGAATTCGATATTTCCTCCAATATCTCTGAGTCAGGCGCATCTACAACTTCGAATAGTAGTCGAGAAAGTCGACATGGCGCAACTTCGGAGATACACAAGCTTTTATCAGCAATCAGGACAAGCCTCAACACCCTGTTCAAAGCTTCCGTATTCATCCGCAAATTCGCGCCAGAGGACAGACGCCAACGAGCCTCTAAAGCGAAGCCTTTTGCATCGACTGCTGATTTGATGTATATTAAAGACAAGTATGATTTTCTTTGGGAAACCAACGAGCCTTTAGCAATACGTCTAGCAGAGGCGAATGCTCGGCGAAGACAGTACTTCAAATATCGTCAGCAACATCAGAAAAGTTGTCTTCCCAGCAAGACGACGGCATCATGGTCAGAAAAGACGCTCATCTACGGACCCAATCAAAGCCACTTGAGAAAGAACCCCATCGAGAAGGGTCAATCATATCTGGTATGACCAAGACCAGCATTCTAGCCGAGACTGAAGCGACAGAATTCGTGCGAAATAAGACAGCAGAAGCTCACTTCTCCGGGCTTTCAAGCCCAGAACCGGCCATGTCGGTCTTCTCGATGGCGACCACAGTTGAAGAGGCTTCTGATGCAGAGCTTCAATTTCCGCCGATACCTCAGGAAGGGCAGAAGAGCGATTCGTTCTTGTGTTCATTTTGCTTGGAGATTGTTCTCTGGCAAACCAAAAACAAAGAGGGTCAATGGAGGCAAGCTTACAGAGCTCGATCCGTTGCTTTCATTACTGATTTTCAAATAGGAAACACATTATCCATGACTTGGAACCATACCTGTGTCTTTACCAAAACTGTACCTTGGATACCTTTTCGTCAGCTCATACCTGGTTCGAGCACGAACTATTGGTCCATCGTACGATTTGGGAGTGTCCTTTATGCGCCAACACCGTTCAAGACTCGGAGGATATGAAGAAACACTTGCACAGCTATCATGGAAGTGATGTAGTGGCCAGTCAACTTCCATCGCTGAGTGGCCAATACAAGCGACCAGCAAGGCACATTCTGGCCAGTGAATGCCCATTCTGTGACGACGAGTGGGCTAAAGTCGAGCCAGACGTCGAGTCGTCTGTCCATAGTGACAGCGAAGAAGAATTTGAGGATGCTGACGTTTATGTCGATGCAGATGAATTCCGCAGACATGTTGGGCATCATCTTGTACAACTCTCTCTTTTTTCTCTCCCACGACTTTACTCAGGCGATTTCGAAGGGTTGAACAGTGCTGGCGCTGTCCCGGACGGTGAGAGATATTCCGAAGAGGGGGCCCCGTTTCGGCTAGGCAAAGATCATTTATCACGCGGGTGGCAAGTCGTGATGAAGAGAATGGGTACCCTCTCTGTGATCTCTCTGTCCCTCGGTTTTCACGACATGCAGAAGCGTGGCAAGGTTTACCCCGATGCGTTGGCTACCGTCACTTTCGAATCATTACCGCCCAGCCACAAAGACAAAGGAGATTAATGGTCCATTGTCCATGATCCTACAGTCCCGAAGATGTTCGATCTCACCCTTACACACGGATGAACTCGATTTCCCAGTTGTCGACGTGTGTTTCAGTCTGCGCAGACACTACGTCGGAATATGCGGCAATCGTGTTTTTCAGGTTTTTGATATTGAGAACGAAGAACCATTTTGCATCCTAAGCTCTGAAGAGATAATGGAACTGAGTGTTGAGGAAGAGGGAGACATGTATTAATGAGACGGCTGTTTTCATCCGAACGACGATTTGTTCATTACATGCTCAGAGGATAAACTGATCCGGGTTAGTTCGTTCGAACATGCATAAATATGTCTTCCCCAACACGATGTTCATCTAACGCTCTATAGGTAATTGACATCAAGTCTCGAATTTTCGTCCAAACACTTGTCGGGCATGATCAGGATGTCTACAGACTAGATGTTTCAAACAATGGCAAGCTTCTTGCTTCTGGCAGTGGAGATTACACAGTTCGACTCTGGAGTACCACTACCTGGGAATGTCTGCACACTGTTGAATTACCAGCCGTCGTGACAGGGTTAGCATTTTCAAATCAAAACGACTTTCTCGCCGTTTACACTCTCGATAACGTCGCGCGAGTGTGGGAAACGGACGCGATACCAGACGTTAAAGAACTTTCTGAAGAAATCCAGGCCAAACCCAACATTTGGACATGCTACGGCCACTCAGATAGCGTCGATAACGTTCGATTTTCTTCCGACGACAGATATGTGATTACAGCATCTTCAGATAAAACCGCCAAGGTTTTCCCGGCTGCAAGTCAACAATGCGACGGCTCTTCAAAGTCCCTGAGATGTCTTAGCACACTAGAGGGCCACTCGGTATGTTAAACGGTTGGCATATGACTTATATTGAAAACTAAGCATGCATATAGGACGGTGTAGTTGCCTTAGCAGTTATGTCCAACGGCTGGGCTTTGACTACCAGCAGCGATAGTAGTGTACGATTCTTGGATATAAAAACCGGCAGATCAATTGCCAGACTGAATGCCCAAAGATATTCGGTCTTATAAACGGCTATAGGACCAAACACGGGGTTAGGCATTATGTTCGCTACCGCTAGGGCTGATCAGAAGCGGCGCTTATGGTCCCTTTATCTTACTAGACCTAACGGCTTGATGTCACCGGAGTGAACTTGGAGAGGCCCAGAGTATGACATTCTTGGATGCCTCTTTCTAATGTGTTATCTTTCTTCCGTCTACAAATCAGTCTTGGTGATGGTCGGCCATTTCTCTAGACAAAGGCCCTCGTCGGTATGCCTCGGACTACAAATTTTCAATTCCATCAGACAAGCGATCGCAGACGTAGCAATGCGATATATTCATCGAATTATTGATGAATTGACCTGTCTGCAGCACTTCAAGTATTTTTACAACTTCTGTCCTTTGTTTCACATTGTGACGCATTGCCACGGAAAGAGCAGGCTGGAACAATGCTTATGAGAACTCTTGTAAAATGATTTCTATATGTCAGACGATCGCTGTTTTCTTGGCAAGCCACCAGATCATGAGTCCGCGAGGATGTTCATTTTAATCTGAAGGTTTAAGGGCTTATAGTGAATCCTTCGCCAATGTTTACTACAAGCTTGCACATGACAGTACGAGGAATAGAACTTGTTGAGACGTACACTGCATGCGTTCCCGTATCTACCTTCCACGACCCCGTGTCATCTACCCAAAATACGGCACCGTCTCTCTTGAACTTCACTTGCATTGTTTCATGCAAATCTGGATCCAAGTGAACCTTCCCGAAGCCAGGTGAGCCTTCGGCGGCCGTTGAGTGTCAGTACCGTCCTTCGGGGGCGCTGAGTAGACTTGGGCCACTTCAGAGCCCGGGCGTCCACCGACATGTTTGACGGTTGTTGTGATGGTTACTTCGGCATCGGCATTCTTTGTGCTAAGATAGCCTGCTAAAGAGTATCCGAAGGTTTCGAACGCTGCGTAGGTAGCTGAGTTTGTGACCAAAAGGGCATATGATCTCTTTCTCGGAGCTACAATAGCGAGAGTTCAAATGTATGTAGCTAAATATTAACACTTTCGATATACTTGATGTCTCGACTCTGTTAGCTATCTAGACCGGAGTGGCGAAACTCCCGATGTGATTGTGTGTAAGCGCGGCTCGATTGGTGCCTACTAGTAATCCTTTTTGACTTAGCGAGTTGTCTGAAAACTGCTGCCTCTAAGAGTGGGTGTTATCGTAGCCTCTCCTCCTAATCAAATCCCCAATAACTAAGTAGATACTTCGCTGACATTGAGCAAACTGTAGCTGCTTCGCCGCCCCCTTGTGTAAGGCAACTGACACGCCTTGGTCATCTAGCAACAAACACACAAACAATCGCCCGTTCAGCGTGGACGCTTACTTGCCGCGCCATATTGATAGCCAATCGAACATTACATGAAGCGAACCGACAATTCTTGCGCCTTCTTGGCGACGTAAGCATCTCACATAGTGATCTAACACTGAGACCAACAGACTTAGACTAATACTCACGAGACCCATTTCGGCACAGTATGATATCGTCGGAGCGGCGTTCCAATGGCTACATACCTTGATCCAACCACTGGAAGGATCAGAGGAAGGCTTGGGGCCTGGCCTTCGGTGGCGGCAGCCTCTTGAACAGCTGGAATTTAGACTGATATTATCTCAACTATCTAACGTGGTTGATAAGCGAGTGGATCAGACAAGCGAGTGGATCAGCCGACCGCGACCAACATATCTTCCACCCTTCATAGGCGTTACGCCACAACCAAGCATGTCATCACAAAGTAATGAAGGCCAGCTAACCTTAGCGGTTCAGGCTATCAAAACGACACCAAATCTTAGTATCCGAGCGGCATCCCGGATCTACTCAGTACCCTTCTCAACCTTACGCCATCGTCTAAGGGGAAAGTTATCACGACGCGACACTATGCCTAGATCGCGGAATTTGACTACGCTTCAAGAAGAGAAGCTAGTTGAGTATATTCTCGACCTAGATTCCCGATCATTCCCTCCCCGCATTAGAGGTGTGGAAGAAATGGCTAATCGACTGCTCGCCGACCGCAACGCGCCCCCAGTTGGGAAGCGCTGGGCTTCGAACTTCGTCAAGCGACAACCACAGCTCCAGACGCGCTTTTTTCGCAAGTACGACTACAAGAGGGCCCAATGCGAAGATCCAAACGCCATAAACGCGTGGTTTCGCCTTGTGGCGAACACAATCGCGAAATATGGTATTGTGGACTCTGATATCTATAACTTTGATGAGACTGGGTTTATGATGGGCCAGATTGCATCTGGGATGGTCGCCACGAGCGCCGAAAGGCGTTCAAACACGAAAATGATGCAGCCTGGTGACCGTGAATGGGTTACAGTCATTCAGGCCATTAGTTCGTCGGGCTACAGCGTCCCGCCGTATATCATCGTTGCAGGCCAATATCACCTCTCCACCTGGTACACGGAAACCAATCTCCCACGCGACTGGGTCATTGCAACGTCTGACAACGGATGGACAACAAACGAAAGAGGCCTAGATTGGCTCCAGCACTTTGATCGGCATACAAAACTGCGTGCAACTGGCAGTTATCGCCTCCTCGTCGTCGATGGGCATGAAAGTCACCACGCTGCCGACTTCGAGATATATTGCAAGGAAAACAATATCGTCACACTCTGTATGCCGGCCCATTCGTCTCATCTGCTTCAGCCCTTAGACGTTGGGTGCTTTGGGCCACTAAAGACGGCTTATGGTCGACAAATTGAGGATAAGATGCGCCGGGGTAATACGCATATTACAAAGGAAGACTTCTTCCCTGCGTTTCGCGAGGCTTTTGCCCAAGCTATTACGGAAAAGAACATTCAGGGAGGTTTCAGAGGGGCTGGGCTTGTCCCTTTGAGTGCCGAAAGTGTGCTTTCAAAGCTTGATATCAGGTTACACACTCCAACACCTCCAGGATCCCTCCCAACAACACCCCCTGCGTGGACTTCTCAGACGCCAAACAACCCAACAAAAGCATCTTCTCAGTCTGAACTCATCAAAAGGAGGATCTCCCGCCATCAGAATAGCTCACCAACTTCAATTATTGAAGCTGTTGAGCATCTATCAAAGGGGGCGCGTGGATTTATGCACCAGATTGCGTTATTAAGGTCTGAGAACAAAATCCTTCGTGAGGAAAACAACCTACTAAGCCGGCGCCGGAGGGCTAAGAAAACACGTCTCAGACAAGGAGGAAGTCTTACTATAGCTGAGGCTGAGGACCTTCAGTCGCAGAGAGAAGCAACAGCTCAGATCGAGGAGGAAACACGCCGGAGTAGTGGTCGCCGACCGAGGACCGAGACGGGCCAACGGCGATGTGGCGTCTGTGGGAACACTGGTCATAATGCACGAACATGTCAATTTGCTGAAGAAATGTCTGAAGAAGAGGATCTTAAATAGTTTCAATTGAATTACTTTTCTTAGTGCTGCGTATCGGTCGCAAATGTGCTGTGGTCGCGGTCGGCTGATCCACTCGCTTGTCTGATCCACTCGCTTATCAACCACGTTAGATGCTTACATATTTTGATCCTTCTATGTGCAATCGGATGAGTTTAACTTATATTGTTAAGGCTTCCTGCTTTTTCGATTGCACCCGCTCCGTAGTAAGGCTCGAAGAGGATACGGATACTGGCATCGTCTAGAAGCCGACTAGGTACTATCTCTAAAGCCAAATACTCGGCGTTTCGAGGACTCTAAGGTGCATCCTGAAAGGTCCCTCTTGATGAGGATCGCTCGGCTCGAGCACTCTTAGTCATGCTCTTTTGATACGAAGTCAGCGTATAGCACAATCAGATGAAACTCTTAATGACCTCCAGTATTCGCATGCGGTAATCGTACATTTACCACTTCTCGAGTCTGTTGCCTCTTTGTCAATCGGACCCAAATGCATTGCCCCAGCCCACCAGCTCCCACCAGCTGGGCCAACCCTAAAGACCTTTCGGGGTTCTCCCAAATCCGTGAGGGCCGCGGTGTCTTGGTAATATGCGGCTCTGAGCATCTGTGTCTAGAGGTGATGCGTAAGCTGTCAACTGTACCGGGAGAAAGAGTCCGTTGCTACCTTATCGCCGCGATTCTGAAGAGGCAGAATGCAGTCAACCTACCGAAAAGGGACCGGTTTATATCGCATAGTTTTCACGGAGCATTCGACGAAGCCGTTGCGCCGAAATGAGGTCTAAGTCAGCAGTCTACCTTTCGGAGATGTGGCGATATGAACCGAGTCTGAGGATATCGGATAGTGCGCAAAGTCTACACAGAAGATGCGTTGGCACTTTCTGGGGTAAGGTAAGATGATGAATATCCCATTGACTACTGGATGGCGTCAATACATCCGTCTCCGGTATTTCTCTAATCTTACTCTATTTCGAGATTATTTATAGGCGGATATAAGGGGAAAAAAGTCGGATTATTCGATTATTTATTATTCCCCTTATTACAGTACGTACATATATACTGACGCCATCTAGCAGTTGATGGGATGTCCGAGGGGATGCGTCGTATAAGTAGGCGGTAATTGATGGATGGAATATGAAGACTTTCTGTTCTATCCCACGACGTCCTTTAAAGTGCTGGGTACCCTAGGTATACAGAATAGAACCCAGAAATGAAACCATTCCTCTCTTAATTATCACTCATAACCTAGTTTGCGACAATTATCACACCGAGATCACATTGGCTTAATCGCGGACCATCGATGCCCGCACTCGTGGCATCATGCCACATGGGACTACTGATACTATGATAGTGTACCCATTCCACAATTTTCCTTAGTAGCAAACTCGTGAAGTGGTTCTCAGTACTTTGGCAATCACAGGATATCTATTTCCACCGTCTTCTCTACCACTGCGCCAGCTACGGCTGCCACAGACCAAGAGAGGCAACTGTACTTATTGGCTAGGTTTTTCGAGGTATCATGGCAGGATGGGAGTCGATTAGTCACACTTTTCGATCAAACGCACGATACTCGGGAAACACAACGAATACACAAAGCAACGGTCTCAAGCAAACTCAACAGTTTAAATAAGCGATTAAGCGATACATAGCCAAATCATCTCATAGTTAAGACATACGGTACAGGAAGATTTGTCGATTTTCTCATGGTTTTTCGATATATTTCGCTTTGGTGGCCATTATCTCTATGTCATTTACTTTGGAGTCTCAATGATGCCATTACGAAGTCTACAAAATTTTCCAAAGCCAGTTGTGATCAGTAGAGTTTGGAGCTTTAAATGGACATATACCTCACGTGGAAGGGTAGTGTGCCGTATGTATGTGGAAGATCTCCCATGCACCCGGGCTACCTAGTAGTCCCATGCCGAAGCCATCAGGGTGTCACTCGTGACGAGAAAATGTCTTTCAAATTGACGAAGTGTTGACTTCAGACTCATATACTCATTTCTTTTCCCCTGATTCATATGGTCTATGTAAGGCATCATACCGAACCCTCATAATCCCTTTTTCTTTCTCCGTCCGATTCTCCTAATCCCCTTCATAACGTCATGAAGACCATGAAAACCACCAAGATCGACCAGCACAATTAAATTTTCCGCCCCTTTCAATGAATAGACACAGCCTCAAACTCCTCAACTCCCTCGACAGCCTCCCCATCCATGATCCCATACACGTACGCCGCACCCACAATTCTCTTCATCCCCTCCCTCTCACCACTCTTCCTCAACACAAACGGCGCATTGCACCCCTTCATAACCCACACCTCATCGCCCGCCTGGCTCCCCTCCGGCACCATGGCAACATACTTCCCGCCCTTGGCCAGCACCAAATCCAGCGCCGCGCGCATCGGGAAGACACGGTTAATCAACACCTGCGCCGCCGCCTCCAAAGCCTCATTGGCTTCCTGCGCGGTGCAGCCGGACATCATAATCTCCTTTCGCAGAATATCCCGCTCCGGCCGCGCGGCATCGAGGTCGTCCTCCTCGACGGCGGTGCAGAAGCGCCACGCCAGCTTCAGCGTCGTGGCCGGGATCTTGTCCTCTTCGCTGCCCTCCCCCTCGGTGCGGAAGAAGGTCAGCGCGCGGAGGATGGCTTCGAGACCGCTCTCGCCGGTCGGGTACTTTGACTCCTCGAAGCCGGGGATGTTGGCCAGCAGCTGCGAGAGGGTGACCATGTCGCGCTTCACCCATAGGGACGGGTGATCAGCGTGTAAATGCGCCGCGCGCGGCACGGCGGTCATGTGCTCAATCGTGTCGACTTTGATACCCTTGAGAAGCAACTCATCCTCCTCGGCATTCGGATCAAACCCAAAATCAAAGTCCGTCTCGCCTGCAGCCTCGGATTCAGCTGCATCGGCAACCGTCATGCGCCGCCAGGGTCTGCGGAAGTCAGGCAGCCAGGAAGGGAAGCCTGCCGCCGTGCTGCTTGTGCCGTTGTGTTTCTCTGCGATACCGGCGTGGTCGAGGAGTTCCTCGCTGAAAGGCTCGTGGAGGAGGGTGCGGCCGAAGCGGAGGGCCGTCTGCTCAAAAGTGGCGGAGTAATCCGGGCGGAACTCCTCTCTGTCGCCGTCGAGGGCGAGACCGAGGAGCGCGAAATAGAGGTCGCGCGGGTCTGTGGCGTCGACTTCGCGGAAGGACATGAGGAGGTTGAGGAGGTCTGTTGAGCGCTTTTCGCCGTCGTCTTCGTCGTCGTCTTCTGATTCCCATTCGCCTTCGTCGCCTTCTTCAGCGTCGGCTTCCTCCTCGTGGTCGTGGTCGTGGTCGCAATCAGGGCCGTGTTCATGGTCATGATCGTGACCGTGGTGATCATCATCATGTTCATCCCCTCCACAGCATCCACCCCCATGCTCATGCCCACCTTCATGCTCATGCGACCTCGTGTTCCCCCTCATAGCACCAAGCTGATAAAACCGCAACCTCTGCGCCATATTCGCCATCAATTCCGCCGCGCTCTCAATCTCCTCCCCCTTGGCATCCACCAACGGCCAGGGAGGGTTCTCTGGCTCTTCCAACGCAATCGTTCCCGGCCACAGCTGCGACCAGTTCACCGTCTGGCCACCACACATCATCATCACGTCCCGCGCCAGGATGAACTCCTGCACGATCCACACCCTGCGGAACCAAGGACGGTTCCAGAACCGGGACACGCTCAACCACTTGTCGGCGCCCACGGGCGGCAGCTCCGCGCCAGCACCCGTCGGCGCATCGGGAATCGGCGCACCAAGAAGGTCCTCTGCGAATGCGCGCGCGCCGGCGTTCAGAGGGTCCGGGATGTGGACGCGCCAGTACCGCTCAATCAATTCCATCGCCTCGCCGCTGCCATCAGCTTCTTCACCAAGGTAAGCGAGAACTCTCTGCGCGCTAAGGTAGATGTCGTGCATGAGCATAATCTGCGCCTCCTTCTCCTTCCCGTCAGCCTGGTTGATGCACAACGCATCTGCCCAGACGAGGCGCGTTCGGTCCTCGAGGCGCACACGCTTGAGGCAGAGGTACAAGCTGTCCGTGATGGGGATTTGTGCGCCAGTAGAGGTGGTGATGTGGTGGGGTTTCTCGTTGGAGCCCCAAACGTAGGAGATGGCTTCATACGAGTCGGCTGATTCGGGCAACTCGTTCTCGTGTTTGCTTGCCTCGTCGACGTAGGTGTCGATGGGGCGGGTGATGAGGTCGCCTTGGAGGGCGTCGTTGAAGCGGCCTGGTGCGAGGGAGAGGAGGCGGAAATCCCGCTCGCCGAGGGGCGTGTATTTGTACTCGGCCATGGCTGAAAAGGCGCAAAACCTATTGCGATGCTCTCCTGGTCAGGTTTGGTGAGTGCAAATTTGTTGGTGTTGAAATTGGAAGCTTGGGTGGTGAGCGAGTGAGTGAGAAGAAAAAATCAGAGTTTGGCGGCGTTTTTGGGGATTGTGGAGCTGAGATTGGAGCTGAGATCCAGGAAAGCGCTCCATGAAAATGTCCACATCAAAAAGATTGGATTTTCATTGGCAGCACCCGCTGATCCAGGAACCACGGCCGAAAATCGAAGTTATTTCCTCGACATTCTTGCCGTGCACTCACTCGAGGATTGAACGGATTTCTAAACAGATTCTGCGTTGCCTCAGCTTTTGCTTCAACTTCACGATCTAGGATCATACAAATCGGAAAACAACTCCATAATGTTATGTTCATGAGCATCAAACGCAACTTCATAACGAAATGTTTACGAGCATCTTCAATTGACTGTATCAAAAAAATCTGAACCCGGTCAAATTGATTCATCATTCATCTCCAGTCTAAGAACTAGGAGTCGCAACCTTCATGTCATTCTCATCATCTCCTACTTTCAGCACAACCATGTCATAACCTCTCACTACTAAAGCAAAACAAGGCATAACCTCATACAACCCCTCAGAGTCCCAAAGCAGAGTTGAAAGCATCAGCAGCAGCCTGCCCGCTCAACCCCTTGGAATCAGCCTCTCCCTGTTGACAAGCCGCAACAGCAGCCTCATCCGCCTGACACCGGCTCTCCAACTGCCCGCAAATGAAACCCGAAATCACCCCAATGTTCAACGCGCTCCCATGCTCAAAGTCGCCCGCCGGCGCAAAAGAAGCCTCCTTGCGTCCACCAAGACCCTCAGCAAACTCAATACTCGGGTCCTGACACTCGCCAAACTCAAACGCCTGTCGGCCCTTCAACAACGCCGTCGTAGCGATTCTCATTCTTCTCGCACCGCGCGCGTTCAACCCCGACGCACGACGGAGCTTTGTCTGCGAGGAGGCAGCGAGGCAGTCGTCTTCCTGCGCGTCGCAGTCTGACACGCTGATATCCTCGGACCCAGAGTTGGTGGCGTCAGCGCAGGCGTTGTGCTGGACTGCGCAGGAGCGCTGGAGGGCTGCGCCGGCGTTGAGGAAGGTTGCGCCGTTGACGGAGAAGGGCTTGTCTGCGGAGGGGTCCGAGGTTACGGGCGGGGCGGGGCCGCCGAGGGTGCCGGTGAAGGTTTGGACGTCTGTTGTGCCTGTGGCCGCGTCGTTTGCGTTGTCACTTGCGTCGGCGGTGCTGTTGTTGTTGGCGTTGCCATTGTTGTTGGACTGACGACGAGTCTTCTCAGAGGCTTCGGCCGTGGCGTTGTCGGCGCTGGCGCTGGCGCCCTTGTTACCGCGCTGGGAGAGGATGGTACGGCTCAAGAAGCTTCTGGTGCGCAAGCGGTTTGCTGCGCCGGTAGAGTTGGTCGCGGCGGCCGTGGCGTTGCCGGCAGCGGCTTCGCCGGCACCTCCAGTGGCAGCGGCATCAATCTCCTCTGGTGTAGCATCCTTGACGATGAGGTTCTGGCTAAAGATGCATCCCTCAGCATCATCGGCATCGTCACAGGTGTTGCCGGCTCCGGTATTGTCGTTGACCTATCTCCTCGTCAGTCTTCACGTCTCACAAGTCTGCATCTTCTTGTTGAAAAGGACTTACATCACCAGGCTCGAAAGTGCCCGAATCAAGCGCAAGCTGCGGATCAGCCCCAATAGCAGAAAGCTGCTTCGCCAACTCCAACGTAATAGCCTTGTTCTCCTCGGCCGCACCATCCGAAGCCGGATCCTGATGCTGGCTCAGCGCCGCAATCTCGGGGTTCGCGGCCGTCTCGTCGCACAGCACGCTCTTGAGGCCCACCTTGCCGGTGTTGCGCTCCACGGCGCGGAAGACGAGCGCGCTCGCCATGCCGTCGACGTCGCCCGCGGCTTTGGCCGTGGTGTAGGCCGAGTCGGCCGTCGTCTGGTGAAGGCAGTCGAGGTTGGTCACGTCGCCCGCGCCCGCGGCGGCGGCGGCATTACCGAGGAGGCCAAAAACTGCGTCTTGGATGTTGTTTGGGTTGTCTTGTTTGAGGAGGGCGTTGACGGCGCGGAGGTACTTCTCGTGGGAATGTTCTTGGGGCACTTCGGCGGCGGCGAAGGCGACGAGGGCCGCGAGGGCGGTGGAGGTTTGGAACTTCATTGTTGGGAAGCTTCCGAAGGAACTCTTGTTTTTCGAATTGTTCGATGAGGTGGAGAGTATAGCTGATATAAAATGTCCAAAAGAAGGGCCGGCCCAAGAGAAGTGGTCTAAAGGATAAGAGCCTAGAAAGGAAAGAATGAAGATTTGATAGAAATACAGAAAGTTCCCAGAACTGAACGAAAGAGAGGAAAACGGTGATGGCTTGAAAGACAGTAGATGAACTTCTTCTTCAGCCGTTGAGCAAGAAGAGCAGGCGCCGAGTTATATACAGTCTGCTCGCGGCAAGCCCATCATCTACATCGGGGGCCCGTCTCAGAGCCCACCCAACATCTTGTGTTCGTCTCATGGCCGCGACGTTAAATCCTTCCCCTGAGCAACCCGCTTGGGAAAGCCGAGCCGTCGATCAACGGGACGTTGATACGGTAGACGCTGCCGGGCTCGATGATGCGGTCTGCTTGGCGAAAAAAGAGAGCTCAGATGTAGAACGGAGGCGCTGGGTCGAGCAAGGGACTGGAACCGTCGGCTGGAGTGCACTCCGATACAGTTTGGCCACAATAGACTGGAGAAAGGAGGCGTGGCCACCGTTCGACGTGTGCGAGCCAAGAGTTCATCCCGTTCCGGAGAGACGGGGCGGCTTGCCCTGCGGCTCATGGTCCATGGTACGGTTCGATGGAATGCATGTCCTGTTTCGGGTCCTGGGCCGAGTACGAGTACTCTGTAGAAGCGACGGCCTGGTCGAGGACGGATGGCAAGGGTAGAGCAGATAAGAATGACCGGACCTCGTTCACTGTGACGGGCATGGTGGAGAGAAGTCGTTCAGCGAATGCGATTGAGAATGATGCCCAAAGCATATCGGCCGTCATGAGAGAACTTCTCCCTCTGCCGGAAGCCGCATACCCAAACCCATCGCTCGATGAACTCTGGTACCGCACTTCCGAACAACCTCACCCTCCTCACCCGGCATCTGTCTCTCCCATCTCCAATATCAAACTCAAAAGGAGCCTCATCGCCAGATCGTCATCCAAGAGATGGCCCCGACTCCTCCAATCGGCCTCCACCGACCCCCTGTCCTTGAAGGGGGATGCTGAAGTTGAGCAGAGTTTGAGGATCTTGCAAATCAGACGGCACCCGTCGCGGAACAACGTCTCATCCACTCTTTTCCTGCCGTCTTTTTGAGGGATCTCATTGGCTTAACCACGTTCTGTTTGGCAAAGATGTGGAGACTGGAGGTTGAGCAGGGGCCTTGGGGGTAACGGACCCCGGTCCAACTTCAACCTGCCAACGTCTTCAACTTCTGTTGGTGGTAACCTTGCTCGCTTGCCAAGGTGATAAGATGTTATTGTTATCTCTTCAGTCGGATTTTGCGACACCAAGATCGATCAACCAACTGCCGTCCCATGTTTTTGTCGTGGTCTGAATTTTGAAGGGCGCCTAGATCTAGCTTAGTACTCTTGCTATAGACGATGCCTTCTATGCCGGATGTTCTGTCCGATTTATGCCTGGCAGAAAGTGTCATCTCATCAAATTCGGTAGGATACATCGATCTGTTTATGCCATCTGCATTCAAGGTTCAATGACGCCGACGCCAAAGATCAAGAGAGAGCCTCTGGTGTCTTTGGACATCGACCGTGATGATTTCAGCTCGGCAGTGATGCTTCTACGGGAAATGCCACTGGAAGTGTCTAGCGAGTATACCATCTCGTGTATGAACCTGATGATCTCAGTGCAAAGGGGCCTTCCTCATCTTCGTGGCCTCGCCGGTCCCGGCAACACACACCTCCTGCAAAAATCAGGTGCAGCTCCCTCCTGCCCATCCGCCAACACCTCCCGAACCCAAGCAACGCTCACCCACGAACCGGATACCGAAAACGTTTAGACAGTAATGCACCGTAACAAATACCCAACGAACAACATAACCATGCTCCCCCGCGTCAATGGTCTCATCATACCGAGACAATCATCCCACCCTCAACTGACGTCAAGGCATTATCCATCATGCGCCTGTCCCGTCGCCGAGGATTCATCCCGTCATCTGCCAAAAAGGTGTGGCATCCATCCACGCAGGAATCGAAACGGCACTCGTTGTATTCTGTAGTGATAGTCTCGATATTGGGACGTGGCTGCTGGTCCAGTCACACCCGGGATCCTCGCTCCGAACCAATGTTGGGTTGTCACATGAGCGCAGCCCAGTCTGATCGACCCCCAGTTACAATGTCCCGGACCGTAAAACCTCCAAACTCTCATAAGAAAACCTCCGGCCGGCTCTCAACGTCTGTACATCCTTAATCTTGTTCCACTGGACACCACCTCCAGCACGTTGTCGGGGTATGAGTCGCTCGCTTCGAGTTTTGCGATCCGTCCAATGGCCGTTCTTCCTGATAATCCGTCCTATGATCGCCTCTGTGACCTTCAGCGAATGATTAGTCACCAGCAACGCCAAACATCACTTTTACCTAGTCCACGGCCGGTTGTAGTAAAGTTGCGAGACTGCTTGTTCCTGGACGCTCATTGACTTTTGTACATTTGGCATTATTGCCCTAGGGACACGTCTAAGAAAAAAGAAAATGGACACCTCTCTCTCGTCTTGTGGGAAGCCAAACCAGCACCAGCTCGGTCTCCGATGCAAAAGAAAATGTTGTTCTAGTAGTTTGTTGTTGCCATCATTTCGGCCATACACCTCCCCCTTCCCTCAAAGGAGAGAGAGATGTGCTGGCCTCCGTTCGTACTCTCCCGCTGCCGTTCGTCTCAAATACTCATACAGTGGTCCCGCTTAACCAATGACCAGCTTGCCGTCCTCGGGGAATTCGTACTCGGGGATCTCGAGGTTGAGGGGAGCGGGTCCCTTTCTGATACGGCCGGAGATATCGTAGTGGGAGCCGTGGCAGGGGCAGAACCAACCGCCGTAGTCGCCGGCCTCGCCAATGGGGACACATCCCAAGTGTGTGCAGACACCTAGAAGGTAATTTGTTAGCTTGCGTGTACTGATTCTGGAGTGATGCTTCGATATGCGATTGCTGCTACAAAGGCATTGATCCTTCGTCCGAGCACACTTCTCTCCAAAAGACCGCAACATCTCGCCACCGTAACAATTGAATCAATTGTCGTCAAAAAGTACGTACCCAACATGATGAGCCACTCGGGGGTCTTGACACGGTCGTCGTCCTTCTGGGGGTCACGGAGGGAGGAAACGGAGACCTTGTTGGCCTCGTCGATCTCGGACTGGGTGCGGTGGCGGATGAAGACGGGCTTGCCTCTCCACTTGATGATGACCTGTTTTCCACATGTGTCAGTACGGCCGTCTCAATTGTTGTATGCCGCCGCTCGGCTTTTCAATCGGGCTAACTCACGTTCTTTCCCTCGGGGATGGTGCTGAGGTCGACCTCAACCTTGGCCATGGCCAAAACGTCGGCGGAAGCGGACATGTTGACCAGGAATTCTGCAATTGACACCGGTCCGTCAGCCATTGTTTCCTTGATTCCTTGATTTTTGCTCCTGCAATTGCCCGTTTTTCACCCGACGGATTCATGTTCGGCGTTTGTTTCGGGTCTACGGAAGAGAGTGTTGCCTACCCTGGACGGTGGACTTCGCGCCGGCGGCGGTGATGGCGCCCATGGTGCCGACCATGAAGTATCCGAAAAGCTGGTTGGTGCCGGCAGAACCCTTGCTCATGTACTTGGAGAAGTCGGGGATGCTGCTGCCCTTCTGGGCGCCCTTGAAGGGGCTCGAGTAGCTCGTGGCGGTCGAGTCGTTCCGGGCGGCCGAGGTGCTGAGCGCGCGCGCAGCCGTCGACGGGCTGGTGCGCGCCAGTTGCCGCAGGCAAGTGCGGGAAGCGTGTGCGAGTGGCGCCATCTCGTGAATCGGAGGAGAGGGGAGAGGATTTGCGGCGGCGAGGGTCTGGTTGCGAGATGCAATTGGGGAGAGGGATGACGTTTAGTAGGAGAGCGTCTTTTTTCGTGATGCCCGTGGTTTGAGGATTGCCGAAAGCTTTCTGTCTGGTCGCCTCAGGCAGAAGGTTCTGAAATTGGTGCATGTTGATTGGTTGGTGGGTATAGCTGGGACCCGGCCCTTTCCGGAGTGGCACGAGTGATGACTGCGACGATGTGGATAGATGCAAGTCCCCCATTAGGAAAATCAAACATTGAGACAAATTGCCATCTTGCTCATCCGCAGACAATGGGGTTTTCTGTACATATCGTCCACGACATCAATTCATGGGGGCATTGGAAAGGGTTTTTGCAATCATCTAAGAGTGATTTGTTTTCCGCCGTATTTAATCATAGCCGTGGGCCGTCACTCATTTCAAGTCCATTCGCCCAACTCCCCGTGTCTGAATATCCTACATCATCCTATGGTGCTTTAATGCATGCGCTTCAGCTCCTCCACCAAGTTGCGCATGTTCTCTACCGTGGGCCCAAGTCCCGCGACGACGGCCTCTTGTTTAGCCTCATCCAAGTCCAAGAAACGCTCAATCAGCTCCCCATCGACAAAGCGGAAGGGCGCATCTGCCGCGCGCTTGGCGTTCCGGAAACCTCGCCATGACATGAATGAGAGCCCGGTGCCCGCGGCATCGTCACCTTGACCCAGTGTCTTCACCACTCCAGCCAAGTTTTCCTGGAATTGCAGCAGTAGACTTTGGTGCTCTGGCCTGATATCCGCAAAGACATACACCGATCCTTCAACCTAGGCCAATGTTAGCAACCGTTTTGCAAAGTCGGCTGGAAATCAACTTACTGTTGCGAGGAACGCCTTTGGTACGATCGGGTCGTTCTCATTCGGAACAACGTCGAGTGATCGGATCTTATTCACTTGCTCTCCGAGGTGAAACTCGCTAATGACTTCCATCTGCTTCTGGTCGTGCTCTGTTGGCGCATCCGGATTCCTCCGTAGTACCATGAGGTTGCCCTGCGCATCGGACTCAAGCCACGAATGCCCCTCCAAGTGACATACTGATGTGGCCCAAATGTACTGGAAGTGACGGGCGCGCTCTACAAGCTTTGCTTTGTCTCCGTCTTGTGCCGGGATGAACTCGATCAAGGTCATCGACTGCATGAGATCAGCGATGCCAATCATATTTCCGTTGACATCAATGTCGACGGGGAATGTTGAAGGGCGGAAAGTAGCCAGCTTGCGGAGTGCTCCAGATGTGGTCGACTCTTCGGCATAGTCGTAGACCACTACTGTCTTGCTCAGCCCAGCAACAATCTTTTCGCCCATCACACCAAGGCTGCGACAGGCGCCCTTTAGCTCGTGACTGACAATTAAGTTAGGGTTCTTGTCAGAGTCAACGCCCAAGACCAGAATCCGGCCTTTGACATCGCTGTTCTCATCAATCTCCGGGTCTGCCAGATAACTTGTACCGATGATGAAGCGTTCGGCAGGTTGCCCCATGCTGTCGGGCAGCTCTGCTCTGATGACGCTTTCGACCATCTCGGTTGATGTGGAGCCATCAAGGTGGAATGCCTTACCAACCACGCCAAGGACCACTTCGTCAACCAGTTGGAACGAGCTTGATACCGCCTCTTCATTGTTTATGAGTTCTCTGCGGATGGTACCTATGCCAAAGGCACGGAGTGCTGGCGAGTAGGCCACCCTTCGAACCGTCTCGCGTAGAGGAAGTGGGTTGACATGTGTTCTCCTTTCGGCATCGATGTGGGCAATCCGGACGTTACGATCCGTGGCGAGGAAGATGGCATCTGGGAAGGCTTCTGAGTCGAAGGGCGCGATATAGGTAACATCTTCTGCAGTTGCCGCAGAGTAGATGATTCTCCCTTCTGAGCTGTAAATCAGACTAGAGTGCTCGGTAGTAGCAAACACATTGCTGATGCCTTCGTCGCCCGGTCTTGGAAGAATGTGTAGCCCAGCTTGTTTGCTGCCAAGAGTGACGCTTTTACGACTCGATAAAGAGAAGTCCTCTTTCGACACATTGAACGACACAACCTGGCCATCCTCCATAGCGACGAACAGTGTGGGGCCGAGCAGATGTTGCGGGTGTAGTTGCACTAGAACCATGTCTCTGGGAACAGAGACACTGTCATCGGTTTGCTTAATGGTTTCACCCTGTAGGGCATTGAGTGTGCGGAGGTCAATTATGGACACTGAACCCGTTGCCCAGAAGCCTACCACGCCAATGTGGTCAAGATCGCTGGCTGCGTGAACGCAAGAAATCTGGTCCTCCGCACCCCCAACGCCACGACCTAAGACTTGCTCTTGGGCTGCCAGGTTATCCACCAGGTTCAATGATACCAGAGAGGTACCGTTGATAGACAGTAACACCCAATCACTGTTGGCGGACGCGTTGACAATGGTCTTGCCATCTGGTACTGACCAAGTGTTCAGAGTAACGCCGCTCTCAAGATCGAGCAGTGTCACAGTTGCTGCAGTGACTTGTAGTAATTGACCACTGGGCAATGTTCTTGCGATTAAAGTGGGCTGATCCAAGGTGAGCCCCTGAAACTCGAACACTTCCTCAATGCCGCCCTCAGCATCAAAGCTGAAAACTCTGGTTTCTGTCATGAAAGAAACCACGAGGGTGTTAAGTTTCTCTGAACCGTGCGACCGAAGACTGAAAAGACCACGGGCATCCTGCAAGTCCTCTAGAACTCCAATGTCTTCTAGCCCAACACTGCTTCGGATGCTCCGTAAGCTGCCATTTTGATGGACACCACATCCGGCGACGATGCGAGCTTGGCCTGACGAGAAAGCGTTGCCAATCTGGCTGTCTCCAGCGTTTCCCAAATCCATGATGGCGAAGTCGAGAATAGGCGCAATGTTGGGAATTGTCTGCACAAGCTTTGTCGACAGTTCCTCGAGATCCACTTGCAGTAGTTGCGAGTCACCGTAGTGAGAGCCCAAGAAAAGCATGCCATCTCCCATGTAGACGAGACATGATGCACGAGACGTTACACCGAGAGTTCTAACAGTCATTCCGAGAACAACAACGCCCTCTGTCTCGATCGTCAGAAGATGGAGGTTGCCATAGTCGTCAGAGAGGAAAAAGTTCGTGTCATCATAGGCAGTCCATGCCACAAATATGGCGGGACTAGCCATTGGACTTTCCACGACAGACTGTGTCAAGGTATCGACGTAAACCAACAGAGTTTCACCAACAACAATCAAGCCACCGAGTTGTGCCTTGGCCGCTGATGTGTCTCTTTTGTGGTATCGCTTTACTTCATCCTCGATGATGTTCACAGGGATGAGAATGCGGGCGTAAGGGTCCTTGATCTCAACATCGAGATCTCTATTGCGTTCTGGATCGAACCTCGAAACGGCTGTGTTCTTGTCGTCCGTCATCAGTCTGTATATGGCGAGTTGTGCGTCCTCCTTGTCGATCTTGGATTGGTACAAGAAGGCGACGGTGGGATGGCCAGTCTCGGTGGGTACAAAGATGCTCGCCTTCATGAAGAGCTCGGAGAGGCGGACTTGTTCCCATGCATCGTCAAGGCGAGCGAGCTGTCCTTTCCTAGTTCCCAAGCGCATGACGTTCATGATACCCTCCCACAAGTGCATAGCCATGAACCTTCCTGTCGGGTCGACTAGGCACTTGTCCTGGCTCTGGGCTTCGCGCATGTGAGGCTCGGCAGTATCCTCGACGACCTGCTCCGTGTGGAGCCTCTGTGTGGCAGGGTCCCATTTCGCCGTGAAGTATTGGAATCGATCGGTACCGACAAAAAGCAGATCAGCTTTGCTGTCCCTGGGTCGCAGTCGCTGGAGAAGGAGGATGGTGCCGTAGACTGCGGCCGAGCCGAGCAAGTACATATCGGTGGGCGTGATGCGCCATACTTCGAGTCTGTTTGATCGCCTTGGAGATTGTCAGTATGAGGCGATAAACGTCCAAGTCTGCCTCCCTGCTTGCGTGTGGCAACTTGAAAACAGGGGAAAGGTAAAGGGAGGGGCAGTACAGAAGGGAGTAAACTCACGCTACCACCAAGCTCTCGCTCTCATCTTCCTCAGACAGGCGTATTCTGATGGCCTGGCGTATGCTGCTTGGTCTATGGATGGGCGCGATGTACGACATGGTGCCGGTCTGTGAGGTGTGAGCTGCAGCTATATCAGGTAGGGGCTCTGATCCCACGCGATAGCAGCCATGGACAAAAGAGACGTCGTGGGGGGAGGAGAATCGATTCAGTCGGTGCTCTTCCTAACGTCGGAGTTTAGCAGTGCAGGTCCGGGCCCCTCCAAAGCAGCAGTAAACGGCAGGTTCGATTTCATCATCAATTCCAGCGCTGGCGGTGGGGCCGTGAGCTTCGGCAGGTGCAGGGGCCAGGCCGACCTGCCGCCTTCCTTCCACTGGGGGGCTGTCTGTCACTGCACCTGCCGTCACTGAAATTGAGAACTTTCGGGCAAGAGTCGGGTGCTTCTTATGTAATCCACACTGTCCGAATGCCCGGCTAAAGTGTGGAGCCGGACAGTGATCTTCACAGTGTTTCCGCCGAGGTCCCTGCACACGTCCCCTACAGTGTGCATTTGTTTCTTCAGATTTACTACGGATGTGTTTGTCTCCGATCAACGTCGCCTATCAAACCATCCTCTTCGGACTTTGTCATGTTTCCATGAGATCATCATCGAGAAGGATTCATCTCTCGAGCCGTTGGTCCATCCCCTCTACTCAAGATATCCAACATCGGATATCCACCGTTCGACCGAACACTCATGGACATCGCCTGTTGGGAAGCTCCCAGAGCATCGCCCAGTTGATGTGAGGCTGCGAGAGGCCATACTTGCTAAAGTCCACTTTGTGCTCGTCGATATCCTTGAACCCAACCTTTTGGTACAGATGATGGCCAGCGACTGAAGACTCAAGGTACGCCGGAACACCCAACCGAACAGCTTCCTGCACTATCGGTGTCATCAACTGCCACCCTGCTCCACGTCTCTGGTGCTTAGGGTCCGTCACCAAAATATGCAGATCTGTTGTTCGCGTTAGCTGTCATTCACATCCGCCATCAACGCACCAAACGTGGGATGTCCACCACTTACAGACGACCGGCTTGCCACCTATCAAACGTACGCGCATATGGTCCAAGCCATAGAACAACGCTGCGCAAGCCTCCTCGTTGCAGCCTGGTCCCCAGACACGTGGTTTTGGCACCGGCAAGCCCTCCGAGTATGCATTCCACTTGCTCCAAGCCATGATCGCTTCGTCGCCAGAGAGATCCGTGTCCACCGCTTTGTGGAAGCGCACGGTTGTATCCTCTCGAAACTGTTTAGCCAATTCTTCGGCTCGAATCCCCATGATATCCTCTGGCATGGGTCCGGGGAATAGGACTGGTTCAAGTGGGCTCCCCAAAAATGCCAGTTTCTCAATCTCGGCGCACCGCCGAAGATCACTCTCCAACACCGGCTGAATTTCGATTGGCATGTTTGCTAGATATTTGACGCTCTCAAATGGTCTATGTCGAGGTTTGAGCGACGTCTTTGGATTTGTCGTGGAGAAGTCCACATCTACCTATACTTGTACACCCGTACGGGCCACGCCGCTTGCCTTCTTATGCGGGGTCTTTTCGGCGTGGGGTTCCTATCCAGGTGTCCGTATGGCCGGTTCGGAAACCAATCGGTCTGACTCACCATGGGATTCGTATTGGTTTTCGTCACCGTATTGATCAGCCTTTCGGTGACCATCTAGGAAGCTCGTCAACGAGGGATCACGTCCTACATGCATCCTGCACGTAATAGGGTCCATCAACAAGAATACGCAAGCTGTCAAAATTTGCCATTCCTGTCAGCTGCAGAAGGGATATGCAACGCTTATATGCAAATGCATTTTAACCTCAAGGTTTGTCCTTAGCAACCTTGGAGGCTTATTCCACCGGAGGATTATCAAAGTCTTGATCGCTAGTGTGACCGTGAGGGTCTTCCTAGATGGAGCTGGCCGCGTTTTTCTCCCTATCAGAAGGACAGCACATGGTCTGATTCATCGCTAGGTTCATGGTACGTGGTTGATGGTTCATGGATGACGGTTGACATGTTCAGGCCGACCGAACAAAGCTTTGAGTCTCAGGCAGGGACCGGGGAGCTATGTTCATCAAGAGACTAGGCCGTGTTCGTATCGTGGACCAAGCCGTTGACCACGGAATCTAAGTACGGAGCTATCCAGCCATGATAATAGAGCCTCATTGAAGGAGTTTGCGGGGACGTCCTGCCGACGTTAAAAAGCTCGGATGGGGTTGACGCACAGCCAATGGGATTGGAAAGCGGAGGGGAACTTGTCGGCCGGGAATGAGGAGGCGCAGCGATATCTGCGCGTATCACCAAATTCATCGACGGCACTCGTCGACATCGTGTGTCCTCGAAACATGTCCGAGCATCCACCTTGCGTCCCCGACCAACTGGAGTAGATCGCATTTAGACCACAGCTTGGTGTCCCTCGCCGTTCGTCCCAAGTGTCTGGCATTTGACGGCTGCGTCCGGGAACGTCCCCTCTTTGGTTCCTTGGGAGCCTCCCCGAGCTTCAAAGGCCTCGACGTCGGCGCCGCTGTCGACATGGTGCGGTTCGTTTCATGGCTCATGCAGCCCAGCTGTCGCCGCGGCGCCAGGGCCTCATCCCTTTTGCATCGGGTCCTTGCCTTCCCTTCCTGCACCAAGATGCTCGCACGGGTCAAGGGTTTCTGACCTACAGAAGCTTAATTTTCCTTTCGGCCGCCGTTCCACGACCGTTTAGCTGTCTCGTACCTGTCAGATTATCAAAAGTGTACATTGGCTGCATACCAGTACCTCCCGGCCGAGAATCACGGATGTCAACACAGACCTTAGTGGCCTGTATCTCGAGGATCCTTGCGTCGGGGACGCAGATGCTGGCGTTTCGAAGGCTGCTTCCCGACCTGGAGACAACATTCTCAGGATGTGAGCCACTGCAGGGTCGAGGACTATCGACTTCCTCACGGTACGAAGGTGTCTCACGGTCTCACATCCTAGGCGCAGACGGGAGCTAACGAGGGTCCATCTCTCCGTCTTGGTCCTGGATGTGATCTGAGCTTCAATTATCACAGACTGGTTGACCAAATCTTATAAACCTATTCGATATCCCACCGGAAGGGAATTATCTTTTGGAGCATCAGACAAGGATCTCAACAACAACAGCTTGGTTATTCCCAAAGCCTCAATACCTTCCTCGAAAACCTTCAGACCCTTCGTCTGTCACCTTCACATCAAAATGGTTACCATGCACCTGACCCTTGCTCTCTTCGCCCAGGCGGCCATCATCGCTGCCGCCCCACTTCAGCCTATCCGGATCATCCAGATCGAGGAGAGAGCCGCAGGTGATCTCGACACTATTGAGCGAGCTCTGGCTCCTGTCTCCGAATCACTCGCCAATGTCGATGCCGCAGTCCTATCTTTGGATAGTGGCCCAGTCACGGCAAACAACCTCCTCATCTTCTCTCAGCAAGCCCAGGTGGCTACCGACCAGGCCACAGTCGATATCCAGTCTGCTGGCGACCTTGGTGCCTTCAGAGCTGCCAGACTTCGCCGTACCACGGACGCTCTCATCGATCAGACGACTGTCACCGTGAACGACTTGGTCTCCCGCAAGCCTGTTCTTGACAACCTTGGTGTCAGTGGCGTTGCATTGGAGTCCCTCCAGAGGCAGAAGATCTCCAGCATGGCATTGACTGCCGCGCTCGAGGAGAAGGTCCCCAGAGTCGGGCAGAGAATCACAGCTGAGGGCAGGGCTCAGATTGAGTCCGTGATGGACCAGGCAATCGCCATCTACTCTGAGCCAGCCGTCGCTGCTGTTCCGGCCGTTTCCCCTCCTCCTGCTACGCCTGCCAACCCCAACGCCATCCCTATCGCAGTTCCGCCTGCTGACCCCAACGCCGCTGTTCCTCAGGCTGGATCCCCTGCTACCGTCCCGGCTCCTCAGCCGGCGCCTGCAGTTGCTGGTCCTCCCGCCGTTGCTCCTGCTCCTGCCCCTGCGGTGCCCGTCGCTACAGTTCCCCTGGTTGCACCCGTCCCGCCTCCTCAAATCACTCCTGTTTCTGGCCGCAAAGCCCTCAAGGACAAGAAGAAGAAGGCGTCAAGGATCAATATGGTCGAGACTGAGGGCGAGACTGTTTAGCAGTAAACACATCTATCAGTGATGATTATGAATTGGAGTTTCAAGGCACCACAGGCGCAGGAATGGGAATGAACGGGTTTACTTCAGAATGCTATAATATTACAAAAATATAATGATCGAATGCATATTAATTTACCCTACAAACGTTTGCTCGAGAAGCATTTTTCCATCGCTCAGTGATAAGTGACAAGCAGCAGGCAAATGCGCATGACTTTCTAGTCCTGCCATCCCAGTCAATGTAGCAATATGCAAATCAACTAAGACCGCAAGGGAATGCGAGATTAAGACTGGGCGTACATAAAGTTTGTGCCATTGACTGGGCAGATGCTACCTGACGGAAACTATATGTACCCACAACTACCTAAATGCAGTAGAGGGATCTCTCTTTTGTATATGGCGCAACGGTACAATTCCGAATTCTGTCACTACCCTACTGCAAAACACGACATTGCAGATCACGCAGTGCACAATTAACACACAAACAATTTCGATTGCGCAGCACGCCGCACGCGCGCTAATGCAGGAGCTCAGCGACGCTAGAGACTATCGTGACTAGTTCCTCGTAGATTTTTTTTGACGGATTGCTCCGCGTCGACGACCGTCAGCTTTTTGTGTTTACGGATTTCGTCTACGACGAGAGAGGTTTTGGTTTCGAATGTTCTGCGCCTGGTTGTCGAATCGACCGTTGTTGTTGTTGTTGCTGTTGTATTTAACGCCGTGGCGGCAAAGGCGCTGCCGCCCTTGCGGCCGACCTCCCGAGGGGTATATGGCGTGGAGGGCCGTAGGCTCGAGCTATATACTCTATAGTACACGCCTCTTCCTAACGTCCTCCAAATCTTGCCCGTGGGCTACTGTCTGTTCTATCCGTCCCTAGTTCCCGCTGGTTCCCTAGCTCCGTTGTTACCGTCTGTCCCTCTAGGAGGAGAAATTCGTTAGTCGGGCCTAGGTCAAGACCCAGTCCTTAGTACTACGGGCAGATCTTCTGAATGAAGTCTGTCACGCGAAGAAAGGCCTAGAAGCCAATAGGATCAGTAATTAACCCCTTATAGTACCGCTTAAGAGATCCTATAGGTCCTATAGGATCAAGTAGGCTAGAAGGGTGGAGGGTAGGCCACTAATGCCTCCTCACTAGGGTCTTTTAATAGTAAACTAGATAGTCTACCGCCTTTACCTCCCCGTAGGAGCAGGTAAGTAGTGCTTCTGTATAGTTAAAGCGTTAGTGGTATTGTTCGAAGTCTCTATGGCCTGATCGGGCTGCTAAGAGATGATAAAGGATAGCCTGCGGTAAGGCTAGTTCGGGGGCGCAAGCGAGGGTGGCCTTGAGTCCTAGCTCGGTATAACAGGATGTTGCCTCCCGTTTCTACTATTTTCTATATTAGCGACGTGTACGCTCCTTAGTAAGCCGTTTGATTCCTGATAGAGTTGCTAGCTGTCCCCTTGGGACTAGTAGGGTTATGCCCTCCTTAGCTAGGCTGTCTGCTTCTTCGTTTCCTTTGATGCCTTGGTGCCCAGGAGACCAATGGGTTCGTATATCGTGTATCCTGGCTGCCTCCTGGATCTCAAGGAAGGCCGCTTGTGAGGAGTCTGGGACCTTACCGCGAATCCCCTAAACAACGCTGGTGTTATCGATATAGATGTGTATGGGCTGGCCTTGGGAGGTCTAAAGGGCCCGTCGGAGCCCAGCCCTCGCCCCCTCAGCCTCGCCATCAAACACTTTTATTAAGCCGAGACAGCCGTAGCCCTGGGCTATATGTTTGTTGTTGCGGTAGATAACAAAGCCGAACCCTGTAGCCCCGTCAGGGGCTTTGGAGCCGTCTGAGTATACGACTGTATGCTTGCCTGGCACAGTCTTGAGCCAGGCCTGGAAAATCCTAGCTGCTACTTCCTTCGTCTGTGTAATAATAAGGTCATAAGACCCTGGGAGATATTGCGGCTGTAGGAGTGCTGGCCTTAGACACTTAGGTAAGAGGCCAGCTGTTCTTTGAAGCCTGGTCTGTTGCCGCCCTGGCTGCAGCAGCCTTGGGACCAAGGGATGCTGTTGGTCAACCTTCTGTAGGCGTATAGCGAAGCGTAGTCGCGCTGCTTCGAGGGCTACCTCTGCTGTAGGAAGGCCAGCGTCTCGGATGAGGCTACTGGTCGGTGTGGTTCTTTATACAGGCAGGATAGCCCTTGCTGCTGCTGTAATAACTTTGTTAACTCTACGGGCCAGGCCCTTCTGTCCTATATTAACTGTAGATATCCGTAAAGCAGTACTATTGCTAGTATTGGTGCCGCTGTTCAGGGCTGGTTTGGTTAGGCCCGTATACCAGGTCTCAGCTCTATATAAGGCTATTGGGAGGACATAGGCAATAACCGCTTTTCGTACTGCGGCTGCTGGGAGCCCCCATTTAGTATTTGTTAGGTGCCGAAGGAACTGGGCTACCTTCTTTGCTACTGCCGCCTTGGTTTTGACATGGTGACGGAAGGTGAGTCTCTTGTCAAACCAGACTCCTAGCCATCGTACAGGCTTAGTTGAGGCCTTAATAATTAGGCCCCTCGCTTATATATCTGGTAGGTCTTTTGTCTGGTTATATTTCCTACTAAAGTGGACTGCCTCACACTTAGCTAGGTCAAAAGTAACCTTATTATCAGTACCCTAGGTAAGGATATAAGTAATCTTTTGGCCTAAGGCTATAGTGTTTTCTTTTAGCGACGGGTTAGTAATTACTAAACCTATATCATCCGTATAGCTAAACCGTAGCTTCTGATCGTCGGCTAAGATATTAGCTATATATAGCAGAAAGAGAATAGGGGATAGTAGGGAGCCTTATGGTAGCCCACAGGATAGAGGGAAATCCTTTATAGTTATATCCTTTAGCCTAACCCGGGCTGCTCGGCTAGAGGTAAAGGTGAAGATTAGCCTAATTAGATGACTAGGCCAGCCTTGCTATCGTAGCCTGATAATAAGTCGGTTTCTTAAGATAAAGTCAAAAGCCCCTTTAACGTCCATTGTTATAAGAGTTGTAGTGAGCCCTGAGTCTAGAGCCTTCTCGATCTCGTGGGTTAGGTAGGCTGTTAGGTCGACTACAGCCCTCCCTAGTAGTAAGTTAAACCTATTATAATTAATAGGTTTCTGTCTTTTCGTTTCTTAATGAAGTAGATTAGTTCGGACTTATCGAGGTCAAAAGTGATTCCTTCCGTCGCGCCCCATCCTAAGGTTTTTTTCCATTCCTTAGTTATGATATCACAGTTGTTCTCTAGTAATGTTGAGCTTACTAAGATAGCGACGTTATCGGCGTAACCGAAACGAGATCGCTTCCTTCCTAGGCGAGCTATACCTAGCTTAAAAAGAGGTTCAATATAGAGCATAAATAGAATAGGAGACACGGGTAAGCCTTATGGTAGTCCGCATTCGAGACCGAAGACGTCTCCTACCTCCCCATCAAGCCTTATTCTTGCTCTCCTTCCAGTAACGAAACTTAAGACCCAGCGTACGAGGTTCTCCGGCCATCCTTGTTCGCAGAGGCGTCGGACCAGTCGTCCTGGGAGCACGGCGTCGAAAGCCCCTTTTATATCGAGCGTAAGCATAGAGGTAACCAGGCCTCTTTGCCAGGCGCACTCGATGTCGTGGATGGCCGCTGCGATAAGGAAGAGTCTTTGTGGGAACAAACGGCAATCGCTAGGTATACACGGAGCCGAGCTATGTCACGTGTCTTCGGCACGTGACACACCTCAGCTCCCTCCTTCCATATCACGAGCCTTCGCGTTTAGATACTCTCCTTAACAACAATAACAACAACAAGAACACCAGATTAACCCAACGATATTGCTACCGATCGCGATACCAGGAATACCTGTGTGACTAACCTGTGGTACACGCAAACCAACAGTCTTCATTCTAGATGGTAAGTATTTCCGTCGTGTTACCCCAGCGCGTTACCACCAGCCACACCTAGTAGACGACAAGCGGGAAAAGATTCGAGAACATGGTTCTAATTCTCGGAAAAGGATTCCCAAGATCAATAGAACAAACAACACACTTCCAAACCCTCATCGCCCCAATAACCTCCCTCCTCCTCCTCCAATGCTCCCCAGAAACAAGGCATCACCGCCTCCTCCCCCGCGGTCGATTCGACAACTTCCCCCTCGCCTAATTTTTCTTGGCATATACTGTTAGTGCGATAGGTGGGCCACCACCAATATCCTTATCAGCTGAAAACCCTTCACCTCTTTCCTCCGGCGCCCTCCCGCGATGGCCTTACAGCCTCCGGCGGGCTCTGGACTGTTGCCAGCCTCCTCGGCCGGTCCTGACCAAGGCTCTGGACCCCCTCCGGAGTCGTCTCCAACCTCAAGGGCTAAACGCCGCCGCGGTACCGAGGCCCAGCCATCCCGGCCCAGCCTCGTGGGAAGCCAGCCTGACGCCCTTACGATAACCCCCTTAACGGCTAAGGGGCCCTCGACTATGACTGGGACAGCTACTGGAGCTGTCCTTACAGCTCTTAATGAAGAGGCTAAGCACTATGAAGCCCGAAAGGACGTCTTTATGGCTATTGCTCAGTCTGTAGACAACGTAATCTCTTGCTTTGAGGGGCCTAGGAAGCAGATCGCAAAAGAAGCTACAACCTATGTAATCCAAGCCTTGAAGAGGATTATGGGTAACGAGACTACGGCTCCGACTCCGAGCCGGAAATGGACTGACGTAGCAGCCTCGGCTTTAACTACAGCCGTGGCCCCGACCCGTACCC